TCCCAGATTTCCTTCCACCCGGAATAATCTCAACACCCAAATAAGTAATCCCCAACACCCAGAACACCACCCAACGCCTCACACACGTCACCTATCCTCACGCACATCACCCAGATCGCCCAGAAAATAGAAAGCGTACGTCGAGAGCATCGAGGCTCCTTATTCCAAGCGGTAACGCGGCGTTAGGCGTCTAAACCCCACGACCATTCCACCACGACCATTATTCTGCCTCACCAGTGCCACGCATATGCGTCCATGCATCCCCCATCTGTCCGTCCGCCAACAACGCGGTGATCGTCGGCCATACATCCCGACGGCCCACAGCCCATGAGGCCGCGAAGCCGCTAGGTCGTGTGAGCCTCAGCCGAGTCCCGCTGTGCGCCCCTCTACCCCCTACCCCCTAACGGCCTTGCTCTCGCGCGAGAGTTTACTCGGTTATCCAGGTTCCGTGCCCACGCACTCGAGTTCGCTCGGTGAATTAAGCGACCTAGACCTCCCAGTTGCTCTTCCTTCAACTCTCCTCCTCACGCCTTCCCCATCGGAGCCCCCGAGCAACCGGGTATCTCACTGTCAGGTCTATACGCTTCTATACGCCTGTTCCAGCGATGGACTCTCGGCAGATTAACGACCTAGACCGCCAGCTTCAAGTCCTTCACCTCACGCTTGCCCCATTTACGCCCCCGAGCTTCATTCCCCATCAGGCCTCCCGAGCGACTGGGTCCGGCTTCTCACACGCCTGTCTCCCTCCGGTGTCTTTGAGGTCCCCCCTTCCCACACGATTCTTCCCATCGCCTCTTTCTTATTCCCAGAGCGTCTACGGGAACCCAAAGAGGTTGTGTATTGATAGATGGTGTATTGATAGGTGGGCGCGGCGATCTACGCGGAGTCAAGCCTTCAATTTTCGACCTTCCCTCCCAGCCTCCCCGAGCGCCGATACTACAATAGGAGACAGCGATACAGCGATGCTAGACCCCCTCCCCCTCCCCAGACATCGTAACATAGCGCAGGCTAGACCCGGCCCCGAGACCTTCTGCCCACCTAGCATCCAGCACGAACTTCGCGCTGCACGTTCCATCCAAGAACCCAAGAATCTGGAATCTAGGTATTTGGAAATTTGGCATGTCTCCGACATACTCGCAAATCGCAAATCGCAAGTCACGGAAAACGATTCCGAAGCTTAGCGCTGACTACGTAGTGCGCACCGCCATTTGCTCACCGCATACTGCATACCTGGCTCCATTTGCTTCCGTCAGCGATCGCCGTAGAGCAGTGCCGCCGCGCGCCTCGCTCCACACAAGGAAGCGAGTACCCCGATCGTGTTTCTCCTAGCTTCCTCTCCTAATATCCCCTATCCCCTCCTCCTATTCCGCCCAGTCAGGAGCTCGATCATGATCACGATCTCTATCTCGAGCCCATTGTTCTCCCCCGTACGCGCAGATGGATACCGATCACACGAACACCACGCGTAGGTACAATCCCAAAACAAAACCCATTGTTCTCCAAATTTTCCGTGGACGTTGATCAACGAGCTCCTTCTTACTCTTACTCTCTCCAACACGATCGCAGGAACACGATCGTCTGCGTCGCGTATGTACCGCAAAACCCATTGTTCTCCACCCTCGTCGTTCTTCTAGTGTAATGCCGTGCAATTATTTCTTACAGTGCTTTCCACCACGATCATAAGAACGCGATCGTCTTGACTCAAAACCCATTGTCTCCATCCTTCTCCACTCATATCTTTTTCAGGCCTTAATCTCCCGTTGTCGTCGATCTACTTCCCTGTAAGTTCGCCGCTGCATTGTCCCCACCTTTCCCTTTTATCACTTGATTTTTGATTTTATGGTTATCAAAGCAACGGAAGCAATTCTCGAGCTACGTTCTGCTGTTTTTTGTCAGCTGCAGTACTTCCCACTTCCCCGCTCCATTGTTCTCCACCCTCCACCCTCCCCACCCCCACTTGCCCTCCCTTCCCTTCCCCTTCCCCTTTCCCTTTTTCATGCATTTTTTATATACATTTTCTGATTCAATCGTCGATTTGGCTACTTTTAAGTACCTCCCTCCTGTCACGTCAACGGAAGCAAATTTCGAGACTCCGAGACTCCGAGACTCCGAGACTCCGACTGCATTGTTCTCCTCTCCTCGTCCTGCCTCCCCCTTCACTCCCATCGCCTTATTCCTACCTCCTTATCCCTTCGAGTTACTTCCATCTGCAAGTACGATCTAGTTCCGTCTACATCTACGTCTGCGGCTACGTCTACGTCTACGTATGTTGAGTAGCCGGCCTTCCTCGCCCCCATTGCCATTGCCCTCCCCTCCTTCCCTCCTTCCCTCCTGAGTTAGTTGCTCAGTTACTTCGAGGTAGTTACTTCGAGGTAGTTACTTCGAGTGTACCGATCGCTTTCCTAATGTACTAATGTACCAATTTACCAATTCACTAATTTACCAATTTACTTCCTCCTCCCTCCTCCCTCCTTCTTCCCTTCTGTCGAGCTTGCCCCGTGCGACCGTATTGCGAGAGGCGCTCCGGTCGCTAGTCTCACCCGCACTAATCACCCATTCACTAGCGATTCTCACCTTGATGCACTCACCTAATATATCACCGTCCACCGCCCTCCCGCCGTAGTAGCGCACCGATTCTGTGCACGAATAGGAGTATAAGGATGTAAGGATAATCGCGACGCCGGCGCACCCGACACTCATACACCCTACACGCCTCCATGCCTAGTACACCTACACGCTCCCCTACGCCTACGCTCCCCTAGGCAACCCCTCCTCCTTCCTTTCCTTTCCTCCTCATAGCTACCCCCCCAATCACCCCCCACGCCAACGACTCCCAATCACCCCCACCCTACTAATCCCAATCCATCCTCCGCACCCTGATTCGTGCTAGCGCATATCGCTCAGCGCCCAGCGCGCAGTAGCCATGACCTGTGAGATTTTGAAACACGAACGTATCGACGTATCAACGTATCGACCACGAACGATGACGATGACGCTGACGGTGACGGTGATATCCATTGCTTCGCAATTGCTTAATATTTGATGATTAGTATCTAGTGATAATGATTAGTATCTAGTGATAATGATTACTTCTAGTGATTAGTGATGATGATCACTCACACCGACGATTCGACGACTCGACGATTTGAAGTTGGTATAGTTTGGTAGAGTTTGCGGTACCGCACTGCTGACTACGCGCCACGCGCTAGAATATTCGAACATTCGACAGAAGAATAATCCAATCCAATGCAATTCAATACACAATCCACAATCCACAATCCACGCTCTTGCTCCTGTATAACGCAAAGCTGTATAACACACAACACACAACGCATAACGCATAACGCATAACGCATAACGCATAACGCATAACACATAACGCACAAAGCCCAATGCACAATGCCTGACGCGAAGTCCGAACACGACGACTAGTCAGTACTTTAACATTCAATGGTCACTAATATCACCAACCCGAATTCTGAATCGCGAACCATCAACCATCATGCATCAACCATCTCAACGATCTCAACATCGGACGTCCGACGATTAGTACTTAGCACTCACAACCTGTACTCACAACCTGCACTCACAACCTACTCACAACCTACGCACGACTCGGAGCCACCGCACGTCCCTACAGCCCTCGCGGCGGACTCATGCGTGCCGCGCTGCGACCCTATGCTTGCTGAGCGTTCTGATTCTGATTCTGGTTCTGGTTCTGATAGTGGCGCGCAATAGCAACTAGTAACTCGTAAGTGGCGCGCGCGCGTACGCGTACGCGCAGCCGACCCTCCGCCGCCGCCTCCCCCATCCCTCCATCCCTCCTTCCATCTATCCTTCTATCCATCCTTCCTTCCATACTTATCTCACAAAACGCCGGGGGCCCCTGCTTACTACGACGACGTCGGGGGCAATAGGACAGCCAGGGTGACGAAGGGTGACCGGTGACGGATGAGACGAGGCGGATTTACAGCCTCGCGCGATCAGGCGCTGATCGTCGTCGTTCGTCACTCTTGATTTACAATTTACGATTTACGATTTACATCCATACAACCATAACCACACAACATCACAGAATAGTCATATGCAGTGCAAATGCAGGATACGTTGCATATTGTGTGGTACATATCACCTCTCACCTCACCTGCTGTTATACATATTACAGGATATATGTTGTATATAACGCTTCTGACGAATGGAACAGAGACCCGATGGTTGCGAACATCGGGATGGGAGGAGGTCGGGTAAGTCGGGCAGCGAAGAACCCGTCGTAGTCGTAGTCGTAGTCGGGGAGGGGGAGGAGGTCGGGGAGGGCTCGGAAGGTCCAACAGGAGGCCGAAGGGCAAAACAAGAGGGGAGCGGACTGAGTAGCGAAGCAGGGGTCGGCGAGCGCCCGAGGCAGAGCAGTCGGAAGGAGGGGAGAGGGAGAGGCAGGAACAGGAGGGGGGGAAGCGGCTCCCACTCCACCTTTTGGGCTCCACCCGCTCCACCGCTAGAATACGCGCAGTGATACTCACCAAGAAGGCAAGTCAGAGGTCATGCACACAAGACTGGGCAGTGAGCACGATGACGACGACGACGAAATTCATTTAATATTGCACAATTATGATTATGCAGTTACGTAGCCAGTACGCACTAGTACGCAGCGCCCTTGATGTCGGGGAGCGCCTGCCATTCCGGGCAGCCAGAAAAGGCAAGAGGGGACGGTGGTGGAAAGAAGGGAGTGGTGCATGTACGAGCCTAGGGAGAAACAGAAAGACAGAAAGAGCGCGAGAGAGAGCAGCGGGGATTGGATGTTTCCAGGCTGCAGCCAGACAGATCTCGATCGTCGGCCTGTCTCTGGCTCTGATGGGAGACAAAGCGGCTCTTCGTGCGTGGCCCTGTTTGCTCGTGCAAGGTGCTGTTTGCCGCGAGCGAAGGGAAGGAGGGAGGGAGGGAAAGGAAGGAGCGCAACTGGAGATCTGCCTGAGATCCGGAGGGAGACAGATCAGATCCCCCCGATGCAGATGGGCGTCTGGGTAGCCCCGAACGGACGGGCGATCTGGATCTGGATGGGTTGTTGTGAGTGGGTGGTTGATATATAAAGACGAGGAGGCGAGGCGGACTGGGCATCTCCTCCTCCTCGTCTCGCTCTCCACCGACGCACACGACTCGCCCAAAACACAACAGAAGGAAGCAGGAACAAAGATGGATACAGACTGGTGTCTCACTTGCGGGCGTCGTCAAGTACGTCCGTCTCCCCTTCACCCGCAATGACACTGACATATCGCTTAGCAGCAGGAGTCCTCCGCGTACTGCTCGCTCCAGTGCATGATGTACGACGATCCCTCGCCCTCCTCCCTCCGCGGCGTCTCCTCCATCCAAGCCTGGGCAAAGGCCATCCCGCCAGGCCCGCCGCCGCCACCACCCTCACTCCCCACCGTCCCCCACACCACCGCCTCCTCCTCCACCCACGGGACCTCGCGGACAGCGTCCACACGCTCGTCCTCCTCCTCCTCGCTCCACTCATCGCACTCGCACTCGCAATCCTCCTCGTCCGGGAGCTCCTCGCCGCCCCGCACACCCGCGTCCCTCCTCCCCACATCCACATCCGCCTCGTCGTCCGCGTACAAGCCCAAACCGCCCCACCTCATCCTGCACTCCCAGATCCCGCTCCCGCCCACCCTCTGCATGTCCACCCCGCAGCCGCCCCCGCGCATCACATCCACACCCACAAAGTCCACGCCCATCAAGCCGTCCCCCGTCTCCCACCCCGCCGCGCACCCCACATCCAACCCCACCACCACCAACGCCAAATCGGCGTCCTCGTTCCGCCTGAACGGCACCTCCACCTCCTCCGCCTCCGCCTCCATCGCCACCCCCTCCGCGCACTCCGCCCTCGGCTCCCTCGCAAACCACGTCCGCACCTGGGTCTGCCCCTCCGCCCCCGCGTCCCCCAGCGCCCCCCACTGCGCCCCAGAGTACAAGTACACAGACGCGCACCACCCCGAGGACGCCAAATCGCACCCCAACTCGAACGAGACGCAGCACACCCTGCGCCTCCCCAAGTCCCCGAACTCGCCGTCCTACCCCGCCGCCAAAACCTCCCCCTCGCATCCGCATCCCTCGCATTCGCACCCCTCGCACCCCGCCTACCCCTCGCAACCCCCGCATTCGCAGTACCCCACCCGCACGACCCGCCCGCGCGGCAACTCCTTCTCCCCCTTCCCCACATCGCTGCGCGCGTGCGCATGGGACGATGACGAGCTCTCGTCCTCGCTCTCGTCCGTCTCGCCGTCCCCGTACGAGGGCCACCACCAGCCGGCGTACCCCTCGCCCCCGCGCGGCATCCCCTTCGCGCGCGCCCAGCACGAGCAGTTCGCGCCCCAGCCGCAGCTGAGGGGCCGCAAGGCGTCGCGCGCTCTCGCCTAACTTCCTAAACGCTCTTCTCTCTACTCCCTGCTCCTGTCGCTCGAATGCTGCGCTTCGTTACTCTCTGCTCACCACCACTACTCTCTCCTTCCCCCAGTTTCCGTTCTATTTCTCATCCATAGACGTCCGCTTTCTATCTATGCACACATCCCTCATCCTTCCCTTTCCTCATTTCTCATTTCTCATTCCTCACTGTTCCTTTCCCCATCCACGTTATCAATCCACATGCTTATACCACCCCATCCACGCCCATCACATATCACATATACATACATACACACATACACTCTCCTTGCCACCGCCAGTCCGCTCTATATATCCCATAGATTGTACCACCACCGCTGCTACTACACGCTACACGCTACGCGCCACGATTACGCTGTTACTGCTACCGACGCACTGCTATCGCCTGCCATCTGATATCGATGCTTGCTTGCTTGCTACGCCGTCCGACTCTACTAAGACTCTCTGAGACTCTGAGTTTGCACTGATAAGAAGCTCAGCTCCCTAACACAACACGCCACACAAAACACAAAACATGTCCAACACCCGGACCCAGTGAGAAAACCCCCCTCCTTCCTATTTTCCTTCCTCCCTCCTTCCTATTTTCCCTCCTTCCTATTTTCCACTTTTCCTTCCTATTTCAAGTTTTCCACAGTTACTTTTTCCTTCCACCTGCATTCGTCGCAGAACTTCCAATAGAACGCCCTGAGGCCTGAGGCCTGAGGCCTGATGACTGATCTGACGGCCGCATCCGGAAGGTGCGTGCCGCGCGCTCGCGATCCCCATCGCACGCACCCACCAATAGCCACCAATAACCATACGTGCACTTACGCTCACACGAGAGACACGAGAGACACTCCGACCGGGCGTTTGCGCGCGAAGACTGGGAGACTGGGAGACTGGGAGACTGGGAACTGGAGTCGCATTTGCATTTGCATCAGAAGACAGAAGGGAGGCAGAAGGCAGAAGACGGGAGACAGGAGAAGATGTTCAAGTTGCTTGACTGAGTCTTTGTTGCTCGAATAGCGCTTAAGCCCTGCGTGACTGGTTGGTTGTCTCGTCACCACCACCAACGACCGACGACCGTTCCCATTCCCGAGACCATGCCAACGTTGCGTCTGTGACGGCGACGGCGACGGCGGATGGCGTGCTGCTCCCCATTGCCATTGCCATTAACCGCCATCGTTGGCGCTATCTGCCTCCCGCGCCGCCTTCTTCCTCCCCTCCCCGTCCTCGAGTTCGAATTCCATCCCCCTCCCCCTCGACGTATGCCTGGTAAACCCGCGCCCCAGATCCGTATGTCAATGTCAATGTCAGTATATCAGCGGCGGCGTCGCTTCCCTCGAACACTCGAACACTCGAACATCCGCCGTCAGCGCAGCCGCCGGCAGCGATAGTTCACTGGTGACGTCCTCTTCCATTCCGTCGATCCCGTCGAACGCGCCACGGCTGGCTGGATCTATCAGCGGCGCACTTCTTCCTCGACGGCCTACGTCGTACTGCCATCGTCGTGGTGTCATGTCGCCCCCGAGTCATGCATCATGCGTCATGCGTCATGTTACAGTCTTTCGTTTGCCATTTGCCGTCTATGTCCTCGAGACCGCTGGCTTTGGCAGCGGCCCACCGCCACCCTCTTCGTTTTCTCGGACCTCTTTTTCGTTGATCCCCATGTCATTTCCCGTCTACCGTGCCAACCATCTCGTATTTGCGCGGCAAATCCAGCAAGGCCTCACGCACACGGGTCGCCATTGGGTGGGTCTACCAGCATCAGTGGCGCACTTCTCGTTCCATGGTCTTGATTCTTCTCGTTCTGCCTCCCCTCCTCCTCCTCCTTCCCGCTCTATGTTCTCAGTGCTCTGCGTTCTGCAGTGTCTATCAGCGGCGTGTGGCGTCGCCTCACGTCGTCCTCGAGTGGCGTAACTTTCTTCATTATGCATTATGCACCGCGCGTCATGGTCTATCGTGGGCATTCAATCATTCAGTATGTTTTGCATCCGGGGTTCGGGCTCCGAGGTGCCTATCAGTGGCGGCGCAGCGTTGCGTCCTCTATGTTCTCCCCTCTATGTTATGTTCTCCAACGTCTATCAGCGGCGCCGCCACTCGTCGTCATCGCATGTCGTAACTCCTCCCATCTCTCTCTTTTGTATCATGTATCATCAATCATCGTTGTTTCCTTTTATCGTCTTGTATCCCAATTCCTCCGACCCGGGTCGCCCTCGGTGGCGTACGGTCGTGGCGCCTCCCTTCTCTGCCATTATTCGTCTTTCCGCCCATCCCCCCTCATTATTCTATTCGCGTGCACACCTACTGGCGTCGTGGCGCATTGCGCCGCCTTCTCAGCCTGTGCCCTCACCCGACGGCACCTCTCAGTCTTCTAGTCTTCCAGTCTTCCTTTCCTTTTCCCCAATCATCAATTATCAATTATCAATTACGTGCACAATACCCAACGCCCAACGCGTACCCCATACCCTCATAACTCATAACTCATAAGCAAATACTGAAATACTGATGGAAATTCGAAACCACTACACTAGGTGTGAAGCACGCCAAGTACATTGGCTGGACCTACGAGGGAGGACCGCGCTGCGGCGTCGGCGTGGCGTGGCCTCCCGGGGACTTCTGCGTTCGCGTGGTGATCTGATGCCGTACGGCCGCGTCGTTCTATTATTCAAAGCTACAAAGCTACACGGCATGTTTCCGCTATCCCACTGCTCTAGCACCCTTGTACTTACTTGCCCCGCCGAACGAAGTCGGATCCCTTCTGCTTATCCAACGTCTTCTTGTGCAATCGCATTCAATACACTAAACTGCTGGACTGCTGGACTGATGCACTGGCAGGACCTGCATATATATCACCCTGCAGCACCCATTACCCATTACCCGTCAGCCTTCGTGATCCAGCGCATCGTCCTGCAGTACCCATCACCCACCGTCCGCTCCTTCTGCCAGAAGGACTCTGGATCCCGACTCCCGGATTCTGGACTGGGCCCCCGAGTATTGTGCTGCATCTATTAGCATCAGCATCAGCATCGGCGGCGCCGTGGCGTCAGCACTTCTCCCTCACTTGCCCGCTTCTGCCCCTTCTCCCCCACTCACTGCCCCTTCTCCCACTCACTGCCCCACCTTCCCACCTCCCACCTTCCCACCTTCCCAGCTACTTCCTCTTCTTTACCCTACCCTACCACCGGTACCGTCCCCCCTTCCGCGTACGCCGGGCGATGCGGTCGCTTCCGTCCCGTCGACGCCAGGACTCAGGACCTGGACGCAGTGTAATGACATACCCCCCATTATATTATTATATATTTATGTTATTATATTACCCGACTTCTGGATCCTGCATTCTGGGTTATCCTGAATTTATCAGCGGCGTCGTGGCGTAGTCTACTTCTCCAGTTCTCCAGTTCTCCAGTTCTCCCCGCTCCACCCTCTTCTCGACCACCCTTTTCCATCGTACTTCCCCATCACCGGCACCGCCCATGTCCCATGTTCGCTCGCCCCTGGGTCTAGGCGCCCAGTGCCTCGCTGTCGCATGTCGTATGTTTGACTTCTAACTTCTGGCTCACTTCTAAATGAATTTACGCTCCTTCTCATGTATTCATACTCTCACTCTATTACTCTCACTTTCACTCGGTCGCGTCGCGGAGCCACTATACATCATGCATCATGCATCATGCTCCACGCCATGCGCATGCGCATAACATCGGGAAACAACATACGCTGAGAAAGCGAATCGATGTGAAATCATGATTAACGACGAGGCTTAGGATTATAGCGTTAACGTTAGCTCTTAGCTCGGACATAGGCGCACAGGATGGAGACATCATTCAATTTTAATATGTGGACCAGGGGTACGTATGCCCCTCGGTCCCCGGCTCAACCTCACTTCAACTTCAACATAACGCCAGCTTCTCTCACATAACATCATACGGATCTTACGGGGCCCATAGTCTTATCATCTACGCCTCTCCTGTTATCTTACGGCGAGCACCCCACCGCTATAGCACTTCGAAGCCGGACCCGTGCTCATAAGCCGTAAGACCCCAAAGAACCCGACATTATGATCTATTATGATACGCTTCGCCAGGTCCCACAGCAGGAACCCCGCAGCCCCACGCCCTAAGTAACGTGTCGCACCCGTTACGCCAATGCAGCGCACCTGCGCACACGCGAAGCGAAGCCGCGAACTTGTGAGCGCCCGCGTGACGATGCTTGCGATGGTGCCTTCGCACACCTTGGACCTTGGGACCGTCGGACCCTCGCCGGCAGGCCCTGGCGTTACAGCATCACCCAGGTATGTGGCAGCGGAGCAAGGAACAGCAGCGTCCCCTGTAGGCGAGCAGCATCAAATCATCAAATCACCAAATCACCAAACCGTCGTACGGCACAGCACCTCACCCAACCCCACCTACCGCACGCAGACCAGCACCACAGCACCTCGCATCACAGCAGCGCTTGTAGCTTGTAGCTTGTAGCATCAATCACCACACACGACACAGGAACCAGGATATAGATATCCACGGAACTGGGGCGTTTGCGGAAGCGAACAGAACAGCAGAACACATACGTATACGTGTGCATAATTAAATCGCCGTGATTCGTGACCGTCGTGTACGGTATGGGCATGGGCATGTTATATTTATACGTACATCCTTATGATTAGGATTACGCTGACATAGGCCTGATTTTAGAGCGAATTGAGGCACGGTACGGGAAGGTGGGCACGGGCGCGGCGAAGGTTCGAAGGTTCGAGGGTTCGTAGGCTCTAACCTTCTAAAGTTGGTGATTTGGTCGTGATTTGGTGTAGGTGCTGATTCAATTGGTGATTTGATTCTATTGGATTGGATTGGTGCCAATTGGCGCGGCTGATGGAGATGGAGATTTGGGGTTGTGATTTGTGATTTCGAGGACATACTCGGCGCATACCCTAGAATAGCAGAGTCTGTATCTATGGGTATGTGAGGTGGAGAGGTGGATTGGAAGGACGTGCGACAAGACGCGGTGATGGGGAAGGACGACGCCGCTGATTGATAACCTGGTATCGCTCGGTATCTTGGTCCCTTTACATAGCGGGCCATCGGATAATCAAGAACTCAGAATGCACGGTGCACGATGCGAGTGAAGAACGCAGAGTGTGGAATGCAGAAGGGTCACCAGCACACCCCGAGAAGGTAGAACGGAGATATCTACGCCACAGATAGATTCAGCCAGCCAATCCAGGGGGAGGGTGCTGCATCGCGGGATGCGCGTGTCGATGGTGTGATCACAGAGCGCTCAACAAGAATGTACTATGGGATATCTGCTACGCCGCCCCTGTCCGCCCCTGTAAGACTTGCCACAATCAAAGTAACTAAGCTTTCTACCCTCGTACTCCACTCCTAGTTCCCTCCGCCGTGTTGTCGCATGAGGGATCCTCAGCTACGTTGACACTCTGGACATTGTGGCGTATGTGTACTAATCGAGTCTGGAAGCTGAAGGAAGCTTGTCCGAACAATCGACGCCGCCAGAGCGCAGGATGCAGAGCACCAAATGCAGAAGGAGCGGTAGGTAAGGCCCAGCTACCTCTCGGTGAAGATAAAGGGCCGCCTTGCCTTAACAATGCCTCAGGCCCAGAGAGGCAACATTGGGACGATTCAACGCTACATACTTTGGAATGAAATGATAGAACTGCAGTGCCGGCCACATATGACGCAGCTTGGGTGAACCTTGACGCTTTCTCGGACCAACGGCAACGGGCCTCTGTGTAGGATCAGACCACTGGAGGAAGCAAGGAAGAGTGGAGTATAAAGCTCACCTAATGTTAACGTTAACGAGAAGAGGGAAGTCATCATGTCAGGTATGTTTATTCGTCTTCTTCGGTACCCGGCTCAGCTTGTGTCTTGATTTTATGGCATCTTCGCCTGAGGCATGCTCATGGTGGTCCTCACGGTATGCCCCCGTGCTACAGCAATATGCTCTTTGAGTACGCTTCGCCCCCACATACACACGCACGCCTCGGGATCTTATACGTTCGCGTTTACAGCATCATACTCCAGCCATCATACAGCAGAGCATCGGCATCATACAGCACATCCACCATAACCACGCCATTCCCTCGCAACTGCCACATGCATGTACGTTCGTAGCTTGTAGTCTGATGCATCAAATCGCGAGATAACAGTCCCGGGATCACGTACGCCCCCGGTAACGAACAACGATAACGATAACGTCGGTGTTTTAGCGTGCTTTAGTGTGTGTATGATCGTGCGGTCCGAGTAAGAGGAGAGTTCACTGAGAGTGCGTCATCCGACTCCCCAATTCCATTCTAATTAGTTCCGAATAGATGCGTATGTTTTTGCGACTGTCATCCCGCCGGTATCTTACTTTCCCCACTATTCTAAGGTCCAATCTGCAGAAGAGTAATTTGCCTCTACTTACGTGTGCAGCCCTGCGTGTCCAAGTCACCTTCGCTATTCGGTTCACCAGGGAATTTAGCTTGTAAGATGGAGTCACCGCGAAGCTTGCTGGTTGTGCACAGAGGAATATGTCGGGAGTCCGATTACAGGGGCGTCCCCTGGAGAGAACAGGGGCCCCATCCTTCTTCAAGTCACCGCCACTTCACCCCTGCCCCCGTCCATCCGACACTGACAAGAAAAAATCGTGTGGTCGATCGTTTTTCTTATTTCCCGAGGACACTCTTTGACTCGGTCAGACCCGAGGACGAGGAGAATGGATATTGCGCCGACCCTGAAGATTACCCGCACCCGTCCCTGCTCTCATGAAAAACGCTGTGCAGCGATCGGTTTCCTTTATTTATTTGATTGAATCGAGGTCGAGTCTGGTCGAGTCACTTGCACTCAAAAATAAATGACTCGTCATATCTTCATATTGAGCTTATGGTCCGAAACCTTCCTTCTAGAATATGGAGCCATATTCATTCATTCAATGGATGCAAGGCGCCTCGACGTAAAATGAAAGTCGTCACATCTCATGAATCCATCTACCACCACGTAAGTACATCCGAATAGCCATCTCCCATCTCTCACCCATCTCTCCTCTCCCGAACATATGTATATCCGATGAACCCGAACCCGAAGAAAACTTGCAATTTTCGTCCGAAGAGAAGAAGAAATTGAAACATTGACACGCGAAGCGTGTTGCATGTTGGGGCGGCGTGGGACTGGCTCTCTCTCTCACCCATCCACATCACCATGAGATGCCATGAGAGACCATGTCGCTTACGCGTACCTATTTCGAAAACTTACTGTAGGTTATTTTTCATTTGATGGATTTTTCATTTCTCTTTCAATTCGGGTTCTCAAGATCAGTGCGAGTTACTATGTCTCGAAAGGTCCAAATCCAGCTACTCAAGAAGCTTGATATGATTTCTGGGTCCTGGGGATGCGCTAGGAAAGATCTATCGCCGCCTACCACCTGCGTACCAATACTATACGCCATACAGCATCTATCATTTATACATCGAGAATTATTTAACCGAACGGTCAATCCCAAAACCCAAATGGAACTCAAACGGAGTCGCCTCACGCCCGAGTCCCGAGTCCCGACTACTGGCCTGTCCGGTTCTGGTTTCTCTTTATTCCCCTTCCTTTCGGTACTGGATACTCGACGATTTCCCGGCTCTTGTGCACCATAATGTTCCACAACTGTCAGAGTTGTCATTCATGTCATTCTGACGCAACTGTATCCATCACCAACCAATTGCAACAACGCTCTAATTCGAAGCTTCCTTCCTTACGACTTCAGGACCCATCACACAGCACGGACCACGGACCAGTCACCAGTCGTCGGCACACCCATCACTGGCCACTCGTTGCTCACCATCACTTACTTATGCAGCGGCATCCATTATGATCATGCCGTTATGCCATTATGCGTCAACGTTCAACTCAAAGTCCCACCAAACAGCGAGCGGTGCCGGTGTACATCAATTCATTAACAGTTCATCAACGGTTGGCTGATTCTTACTGATCCTTTCCTTTGACGTTATAGGAAGGCCGAACAAACACGAAAACTAATACGGAAAGCAAAGCCATCTTTCGTACCCGAGGCCGACTCGACGAGGGTAACTATCACCATCAACTTTCCCGATGGGTCCTCCTTCTATCTTTCTTCTCTTCGAGAAGTGATTGGCGTAAGTGATATGTTCTGATACCAGGAGGTCAGAAGGACTAGGTATGGATATGTCAAGCTGCATACGGTCTCGGTGGGGATGTCAGTATGGAAACCGTCAAGCTTCAAGGAGAAGTTATCCAATTCCATTCTCCGACTGGACATCTTCGACCGCTCTTGTACCTCAAGCAGATGCCATTGTGGATACTAGGGGATACATGTACGTCCTCGAGCGCCAACGCATACGCGATACTAAATACGAATGCTTGTTCCGATGATTTCTGTACGCGTTTCCTCAATCCGCGATTAATTACGTTTATGTTTGTTTCCGCAGTATGTGGGCCTTGCGCCACGACCGCCCAAATACGAGAGTATACATGTACGATCGTGATATTATCGTCAATCGTAGTGGCCTCCGCCAAAGTCTGTCTGATATCAATGGACATGGAAATAGTAAATCATTCATCCAACGGTTAACGGTCACACAACAAACAGTTCTTTACGACAAACGCGTAGACAAAGCATCAGCAATGCACGCCCACTCTATCACATACGCACACAAAAAATTTGACTCAACCCCATTCAACGCATCATCACTGCCACCACATACCATACCAAAAGATCCACCGACATCACATCAAAACAAAATGAATCTCCCCTGCTTCCGCACATCTACTATGTATGTATATATATAGCTTACATTAACAACGGCGCACCCGAGTGTGCTCACAATCACCTCCCTTTCCCCGCCTCTTCAATGAGCCCTGATTTAGACTTGAGGCGTAAGTATACCCTGCGTGTACCCCATTTCGTTTCTCCGGCTCCTGACAGCTCCTGACAAGGCCACCCTGAGACCACCCACCCCCTGTCTCTGGTTCCTTGCCCTGCCCAACTCTCCCGCCGCAATGATGATCTGACATAGTTCGACGATGTCTTACAAGGTCGTCCTATCAGGTCGACTGGGCTACTCGACGGAACCTCTCTCTCTTTAGACATCATCTCCGACTCAGCGTGCCTTTATACATACGAGCGTAGACATTCTGTACGAATTGCAACGGTTCCGAAGGCGACTCCGATTCCGATTCCGAAATTATCGACATGCCTCGACCTCCCTGAGACGCGGGAGGACTACTTCAACTCACAGTTATGATAAACTCATGTACCTTCTTTGCCGTTCAAAGTCTGTAGACTTCCAGATCTGTAACTTTTAAGTGATTCAGTATTGCTCGCCATGATGTATCCCCGTCGAATTCACAAAACCACCCACATATCCTAGCCCCTGTCCACTCCTCTTGTTCATTTCTCCTCCCCTTATAGGCTCTTCCCCGATACCCTGTCCCCGGCTTATTTCCCCAGTCGCCCCAATATGTCCCCACCGTCCACGAAGACAGCCGACAGGCGCGTCGAAATGCCTGGTAGAATCCAGAGCAATCGGTGGGGCCCTGTGGCTGACCTTCTATCTAACAGATCTGGTTATACGTCGCTTAAGTCTGCTTCCGACTTCAAGTTAAGGTCTAACAGGTCTAGAAATGGGAAGCTGGAGGTCTACATCTAGTAACCAATGAACAGGAGGCTAGAGCTGTGCCCTTTCTAATGATGCACAATGTCGGATCCATGGCGCACGTCAAATGATGAACTAAACCTTCGAGTGACCCCGAACGGTCAAAGACGATAATTCCTCCCGAGTATCGTATTCAATATGAATGCAAAAACTTTGTTCGTTTTCAATTGCATTTACCGCTGTCATGCATACACACATCCCTGTATTCGGAATGGTCGTTGTTCTTGTCTGGGTCTTGATTCTTGTAACTACGCATAATAGAATAGACGGACTCGACCAAGTATGGACTTGCGGTATTCTTGCAATTGATTTGTATTTGGGCCTATATATACGACACGCAACGTCCACGAGGTATTGGTGCCGAGACACATCAAGAACACAAGGTAATGAGCGATGTCGACGAGATGGTGATCGTTGTGCTAGTGACAACCTCGCCATCATGAGTCGAAAAGGTTGGGCTCGCCGTTCACCGCTGCGGGTTCATCCATCAGAAAACAGATACATCACCTGTAACCCCTCTTCAGCCCCTCGATCCCTGAGCAAACGCATGTGCTCCACGTCTCCATCCCTCGACTACCTACCCGAGACGAGACGTATCTTCATCGATATCGCTTAGCTACCGTCCGCAGTTTCAGGGTTGTCCAAAAGGATAGGGCTACTGGCGACGTACCCATGCATCGTCATCTACTTAATCGTTGTCGTGCGCCCCAAATCCGGGCCTCCCACATTGCTTACGGCGTGCGCGAAATACAATTACTCGCTTCCCTATCTCTCTATGTTTTTGTCCGTCGATAAATCAATAAAGCGACCCTAGTTTCGACATCGTATCAATTACTCACTCCAACGTCGAACTCCACTCCACGAGCGGTACTGTTACGCTGTACACGGGATTGATTCAACTCCCATCAACATCAAGGTCTACCGACCCCGAAAGCCCTTACCTTGCAACGTGGATAACCCGGGCAGCATGTTGCGCAATTCGACTGATAAATCATGTGGACAACGCACAAGTAAGGGGTAATATTGTTTGATTCCGTATGAGCTGTCACCTCCATGTAAGATAGCAAGATAGTTCCGCTGTAGTGTCCTGATTGACCGTCCTTGGGACCCGACCAGCACCCTTCAATGACCAATGGCTCTGCCAAACCTGAAGACATGGTGTAATCATTCTCACCTCCACTGAACACAACAATGGCAACGAGTCGCAACCTCGATCAACATAACATTGTACTAGGCTGTACCCTCAAACGTTAACGGCATAACATGACGCGTAGGTGTCACGTAACATACCTTGCTTCTCTGCCTCTTCTGCCCCGAATATCGTCGATATGTCCCCTCGATCAAGAATCGAATACAACGACATCAATGTTGAGCGGGTCCACTACGTTTCGGGTTTAAACATGCCCTATGCGGCTTGGATATGACCTTCAGGTTAGAAGATCACTTATTATCGTAACCTGATTTAGGGTGACTATCGATCACTGTAGACTAGAGCATTGAGCCTATGTTAATCCGCCATGCGTATAATGTTCAGCCTGAAAAAAACTTACTTCTCTCCAGCCTTGGGTCTTGCGAGTACAACGAGGCGAATGAATTGCTTCTAGGAGTGAGTTAATCGGAAGCGTTCTTCGCCCTTATGGCCGTCTGCCCCTTCATACTTGCTTCAAGCGTGTATGATCTTGAGCTCCATCGCTTAAGGCTCCGCCGAATACTTGAGACCATTAGGCATCAGGGCACCGAGCCACGATGTGAACGGATGTAATCATTCTTCTTGTCCTCTCTCACACTGCGTGCAGTTATCCCATCACAATGTTTGAGAAGACGCAGTTAGTAAGGATAGAGAACGATAAAGTGACTTTACCTTCGATGCTGGACAGTGGATTCCCCTGCCCACTAATCGCAAAGCTGCAGTGTTCACAGCCTATCCTCGAATGAAAATATTTAACGCTTTTGGGAGGTGGCGATCCCACAGCGCCCACTCTCCACCGCTAGATTCTGTTAGCCCGATTCGATTTCGATTGAAGCCTACAGTTTGGTTACTCGTACACAGGGAAAACCATTTTCCCGCAGTATCGTACCGTGCACCGGTGCTTCCCTCGAACCTTCAATAAGTAAGTGCAAAGCAAGTGGCGAGAAGAACGAGAAGAGCGATGTCATCATCAGCTATAGAGATAAGAACTCTATGTAGAAAACTTACACGGTAGATGGTAGAAAACACTTCATTGCATCATCTTCTTGAAAGGTCGAACTGTGCTGCGACCAATCGCAAGGTGACCGGATTATGAAGTTACTCTCTTGGTAGAGAGAATCTTCTGGAAGGACTCATCACAGCCAAATATGCGAAGACGGTTGCGATCAGGGTTCTTTTCCCATTGGAAATGGAGTGGATAGTGAGGTGACCTAAGTTGTAGACAGTAGTAGGGATATTGCTCGCATCCTGCTTTCCATCGGTTCCAGTAGATCGACGACACCTTGAATACAGAAGCCTTTATTTGATGTTTATTGACCTTTGCACTACTGTCCCGCTGCCTCACAATCGAAGATGATAAATTCCAGTAGGCGTGTAAGTGGTGCTGTAATACGCACCGGTACCTGGTTAGCTTTGTCGAATACTTCCCAAAGGGAACACTTACATCGAGCTCCCTGGCAGTAATATTTCGGTACCGCTATGTTGTCGCATTACTTCCTTAGGGAACGTCCGCCAACTAGAATCGCTGAATGCCGGGCGGTCACCCACTTCTACGCATTGGTACGCATTGGTTACGCAGGTTGCCGGATGCGTGAAGTTGAGCGATCGCGTATGTATAAGTCCTGATCGAAACCCGCTTGATCAGATGCTTGAGCTCGTCCCTAGTCAGCGCTTCAGCCCTCGTCGTACACCGACGAATTGACCGGCTCCTATGCCCACACAATACTAAACCATTCCGGGCCTCCGCCTGAAGCGTGGGGACCTAGAAAGATCAGAGCACTCTATCCATCAAGCGACCCTCCAAATCGAGGTGTTCAGCGAGTCACTAGTCCGGCAATGTGATCATAGACAAAATCAGGTCTCTGCATCCGAGATTCTTTCCCTGATAGATCGATGCCAAAAACATACCTTTGTACCATTTCCGGTAAACAAGGTTGGGTCTAAACCTCATTCTCTCGCCCAATTGTGCTCGCCTCCCGCAACTTCCCGAACAACAGCGGTTTCAAAAATAAGTGTTGGACGCTGAACACGGGTGCTGTGGGTCAAGACCTCAAACGGAGGGCATTGCACTCGACTCGGGGAGCGTCACCAACTCAGTGTGGTGTTTCACCCGTTACGGTTTCCCGAACGGAGGGGGAAAGAGCGGCTGGTCTTGAGTTGTGCGGAGTATTGACAAGGCACACGTCCCCCTGGTCGCTTCGATGGTGATCGTGGTTGCGGCGGTGCAAGGGCGGACATGAACGCGTGGTACTCTGTGGTTCTTGACACTCCGGCCACTCAAATTGAGCAGTTGAGAGCCGAACATCTTTTTCATTTGTTGGCGTTAATATTGACATTGAGAGCCTTTCGGCGGAAACAGTCTCGTCCGTATACTAGGACCCGATTTACCAATGTGTCCCTGCTTTGACATTCATAAGTCTAGCAGCGCGTAAATGGCCGGGATATGATGGGGAATAATGCTTGAATTGTTTGGAAACCGAGCATCTAAGTTAGATTGTCGGTTGGCGTGAGGTGCCTGTTCACCCAAGTTGGCAACACTAAGGGCCCGGTCTGCTCGTCGAGATGTTAGTCCCTACCTGCCAAATTTGGCTCCCACGGTTGGACCAAACCTGGCCCAAACCTACTCCAAACCGACAGTTTGGTCTGCTGTACCAGGGGGTTTGCGGGTGGGTTAGGACCTTCCTGTCACATTATTATGTCAGCGTTAATATACCTGGTGGCACCTTGTATCAACTGCATTATCTATTCCCTCCAATAAACAGTACTACAGCTTGTGGTGTTTATTTATTAATGAATGTTAGTGGTGAGATAGCAGGACGAAGAAGTGAAAAAAGGACAATCCGTGGCTCGAACCCGCAACCTTTCCGTGCTAAAAAGTAGTACTCAAGCGCGCAAACCGCTAAACCAACGTACCACATGTTAAACTCTTTTGGACTAGTATATCACCTACTGAGCCGGGATACTTCAGGTCGCCGACAAGAAATACAAGAAATACCGAAAGCAGAAGTTTGCATGTATTTACTTTGTATCTATTGCCGCTTTCCCACCATGATGTCTGTGACTTATTTGTGACGATTCCCAAGCGCCCTGAGCAGACTCCAGCGCTAGGTTTTGTCAAGTTCAATCTCCGCCAACCCCAGGCCCGAGGGACTGACATCTCGACGAGCAGACCGGGCCCTAATGTGGAACTCCCCGTATTGGTAGGAAAGCGTCGAATGGAGCGCGCTCGGGAGTGGAGGGAACCAACCTTGACATGGGAAATGATCGTGGCGTATGGTACCGACACAGAAGCCCATTGGCATGCTGTCGGTGCGGAAACAAAGGCGAAGGTAGAGGGCGCCGCCACAGGATACAACGCTCGCCGTTTCAACATCGGATCTGAACATATGTCGGGGCATTGTGGAGGTGGTGACGCGAGGTAGCTTAGTTGCCGAAAGGCAATGCCCTACCGTGGTATCATACAAATGTCGCAATTGATACGAGGAGGTATGTAGCCATACTGGGTGGCATCTGTACCCTGGGGTATCTTGATTCCTGACGCCGCCATCAATCTATATCCTTGCGACGAGTTCAAGACTCACCTTGGCCCCAGTGTTCACACTCTAAAACATAAAATTTCTCCCAGACGCTACACACAACAGTCATATGATGTCCCGTCCAGAGAGGACACGGTTAAGCTCCATCTGAATGGAAAGCTCCGAAAATTAAGGACCTTACATTGCCGGGATTCTTCGAGTTGTTCGACTATCCCATCGACTGCAACCATCCCGAGTGACTACGACGGGACCTAATGAATGACAGCAGGGAAAATATAGAGACTGTGTATCGAGAAAGCGCCGTACATAGCAATGGTTTCTCAGTCTCTGTCCAGCCACTGGATGGACTGCCTCCATATAACAAAGTGCGGTCTTCATTGCCGTGTTTCGTAGTTCTACATACAGGTTACGGGCATACCCACAAAGCAGGGAAAGCTTGGAATCGCTGGCCGATGTACTGATTTTACACTGAAAGCAATCATTGTGGGGGTGGTTGAAAGCTAGGCGGACGTGAGCAAGGGAAGAGCGAGGCGGCGGATACGAGGGCTCACCCTGGAGGAGGCCCCCCAAATCCTGCTGGGGGCGGAGGGAATGGCATGCCTGGAGGAAAACCTGGAGGCCTGAAGCCTGGAGGTGGCCCAGGCATACCAGGAGGAGCAAAAGGCATCGGTGGGCGAGCTAAGGCTGGAGCACCCACTGCAGAAAGGTTAGTCTACCATCTTTGAAGATAAATTGATAACGGTCATCAAACATACTTGGAGGCATCATTCCCATACCGCGTCCGGCGGGCATACCCCTACCTGGACCCATAGGAAGCTAATTGCAGATTAATAAACCGAGAATAAGGTATGAAATAGCGCATACGGCATTTTTCTTGTCTTCGTCGACGACAGGTGGTGGGCCTTCGACAGTCAGGCTGACTACAGCTTCTCCTCGCAGGATCACTAAGCCCAATGCACGTTTCATCTCTTGTTCAGGAGCAGTTTCCTCCCCGGGCTTTTTCTTCGGCCTCACTCGTCTAAACTCCTCGCAATCGGCCAAAACTAGATTCATATGTCTATCGAATGCGAGCATCTGCCCTGTTAGTGCACGTCCATCGTTGATCGTAACTCTCAGTCTCCAATTTATGAGACTGAGCATTTTTCCACCCTTGGATTTTGGAGGAGGCTAATGTTCCACATGTCAGATCTGTCGTTGGACCATCCGTGAAACTGAAGCGTACCATGTTGGGCGACGAGTCTTGCGATGGAGGACGCGATGCCTGTTGGATGATTTCTGTTACACAAACAGATACAAATATAAACGTGACTTAACGAACTGGTCAGGGGGATCAGTTCCATTCGCAATATTGTGCTCTCAACTTGTGCTGAATGCCCGGGTGACAAATTTCGCGGAATCTTACGGGCACTCAGCGTATACAGCTACACGGAAAAGCCGGAAGCTTCATTTCTTGGTCACCATGGCTCTGACGCCTAGCATGAACACTGATTTTACTCGCCTTTTGGGTACGTCCATTGCCCTGGTCTGTGCACACGACCGTTTGATGAGATGGGTCCTTAGGTCTAAGGACACCCATTGTTTCTGCGCCTATGGCAGGTGCCAGTGGCGGCAACCTAGCTGCGCAAGTATCCCTAGGTGGCGGCTTTGGTTTCATCGCAGCAGGTTGGCTTTCCAGGATTCCGCTACTGTTAATCTGACGTTCCAAAGGCTATGATACGCCTCACAAATTTGGCCATGAATTAGCACTGGCTCGGGCAGCATTGCAAATACCCGCCGCAACTCGGTTACCCCTTGGTGTCGGTTTCCTATGCTGGCAGCTCGAAAAGCCAGATTCACCTGCATCTAAATTGCTGTCAATTGCCCTGGAGAATGGCGTGCAGGCTGTATGTTTTTCATTTGGTACTCAGCTCGGGCGATGGGTGCAATATGTCCGCGACTACGATCAAAGAGTCGGCTCTACCCAGCGGACACTGGTATTCGCACAAGTCTCTTCCGAACAAGATATCTTGGCTGCTGTGAATGATTGGAAAGTCGATGTCTTGGTGGTGCAAGGTTCATCGCAATCATGCTACTACGTGTCACCTCCCACTAAGGTATGCGTGATCTAGGTAACGAATCTGGGGGCCATGGCTTTTCGAATGCTGCTCCTACGGCGTCGCTTGTCCTCAAGGCCCTTCCCTTGGCACGCGCCGCAGGCATACCACTACTAGCCGCGGGAGGCCTGGCTACTGGCGCACACGTTGCATCTATGCTGGCTCTTGGAGCTTCTGGCGCTGTTCTCGGGACACGCTTTCTACTAACTCCAGAGAGCTTGTACACGGACAAGCAACGGCAGGCGCTCCTCGACGCCTCAGACTCTTCAACTGTACGTACTATGGCTTTCGACGTCGCTAGAGGCACTCTTGGTTGGCCGGAAGGTGTGGATGGTAGAGCACTTCGTAACTCAACAGTTGTCGATCATGAGAACGGCCGCAATGAGAGAGAACTGAAGGAATTGTTCGCGAAAGCCCAAGTGGAAGGTGATCGCGAGCGCATGCTTGTTTGGGCAGGCACTGGGGTAGGGGCTATGAACTCCATCAAACCCGCTAAAGTGCGCTACACTGCGTCCGCATATGTAAACTTTCTAATTGTCAGTCTAGGAGGTCGTGGAAGAATTGCACAACGAATGTGTGGAGCATCTGCAGATGGGGCCTCGGTTATGAAGGAGCGTTGTAACGGTACGCTCGCATGTAAGGCTTTGTATTGCTATTCTTTTCTTGGTGCGCGCCACACAAATTTAATCTCAACTCCATGCCGTATCTCCTCCTCAGTTTCAGCGATCTATATTGAATTTCCTGCACCGTCGGCACTCCTGCTGGTTGAGGCTCCCCGTGAATCTCCCATATCTGCCCCTTGGACTCCATACAATGAACCGCGGCGACTCTTCGCTAAACCGTGGTTTCAGACATATATTCTTGCACCAAACTTCGGGAAACCCGCGGGGAAGACATCGCCAGGAATACCGACGACCGCATCGCCACTGGTCGACACTTATGCTCATAAAGTAATAACTATCCACCGGTTGTTGATCTTCTTACTCCCCCCACAACTACATGTACGACCGCCACCTGGGCCATATGTTGCGGTCTCGCATTTAGAAGACCTTCGAATGCAGACGTCACAGGGAAAACGGGAACAATACGGGTGATAGAAGGGCCACAAAGGCCTGCTATCTCCCCCGTCATCCCACAGGATGTCTGATATCCCAGATAACGGGGCCTGAACATACATATCGGACAATCTTCTCTCAGTTCTCCGATTCAGCGCAATGCAGCCTTATCCTCACCAATCATCAATGCGTCATGGCCTGGGCAGGTCGTACTGATTTCGAGGCTGCGTTCAACGATGCTCAAGTCCATTTATAGCATGTTAAAAGATGAAAGATGCAGATCATTCTGATTCTAGCGACGTTCCACGACATTCTACCCGTACTGATACAAAATTCGAAATGCACGAACATAGACATCATTATCGTACAGCGACCATTTTACTCACGCAATGTCCTAATGTACAATCTCCACGGTCAGATCACCCTGGTTGATGGAGTCGCCTATAACGAGTTCGTGGGTTGGGGAAACGACTGCGGATAACAAGAAGCCTACCTTCGTGAACCACAACCCGTTTGATATGGCCAGACACAGGAGCAGTAACAGCAGATTCCATCTGTATACGGAGTATCAGTCAGTCAATCAGGAGCACAGGCGAAATCGATCTCTGGACTTGCCTTCATGGCGCTCAGCACTACGGATGACAGGTCAGATAGCACGATAATCGGAGGGGCTAGTGGACTTACCACATAGAGGATCGCCCTTCTTGATCTCCTGCCCTTCCTTAACTCTCACCTCGACGACAACACCAGACATAGGGGCGCCCACTGAGCCGGGATCATTGGTGGCCTTCTCGCGCGAAACAGTCTCGACCGCTGAGTTTTTGTCCTCCACGGAAACCGCACGGACCTGCACGAGGGTATCATCAAGATTAGCATCCAAAAGAACCGTAAATTTAACCCACCTCTCCGTTGACTTCGAACCAAACATCACGTTGCGCACGCCCTTCAACGACAGGACCCACAGCCATGAGACGGATGATCAATGTCTTTCCAGATTCAATCGAAATGTGCATCTCCTCGCCAACATCGGGGCGACCCAAGAAATAGCGAGTGGGAACGACGCTGGAGATTGATAGGTCAAGGAGACTGCCGCGAATATTGGCAATCGAACACACCTGAGATCTCCGTACTTCTCAATGAAGGCCTGGTACTCTTCGAAGACCTATAACAGCGCTTCAGGATCGGTACTCGATCTTTGGGTATGATCAAGTCTACCTTGGGGTACATCACATACGAGGACACATCTGTGTCAGTAATGTGCTTGCCGAATTTGCTCCGTAGTTCTGCCTTGATCTTCTTGAAGTCAAGGGGGGCCATGGTTGCCCCCGGACGGCCGTCTATTCTAGGTTTGTTTCGGATGATGCGCGAGCGCAGAGGCTCTGGGAAGCCTCCCACAGGTTGGCCAAGGTACCCTTGGAAGAACTCAACAACAGAGGAGGGGAAGTCCAGGCTTTCAGCACGCTCGAGAACTTGTTCAGCCGTCAGTGAATTCGAAGTCATCCATTGGGCAAAGTCGCCAACAACTTTAGACGACGGCGTGACCTAGAAGAGATGGTATTAATATCGATGGGCAAGTTGGTGAGTAGCAGCAATAATAACCTTGACAATGTTGCCGCACTGAAATGTGACATCAGATATCGCACGTTGCTCGAGTAAACAGGGGTGCTCACAAGCTGATTGGCCTCGACGTATTTCTTCTTGACGACTGGAAGCGGGTCATTGAGAATTAACATCAACCGGGGAAAGTCTTTACCTACCTTCCCATTGAGTGCCGAGACCGAGTTGGGCGGCTTGGAACTGCTTTGGATGAGACAAATATCAAATACATAGATTGAAGAAGGCCGCACCATGAGGTTAGTGTATTGACCTCCCGGCATTTCGTGTTCGAAGACACTAGAGTCTGATGCTCGGACATTGGCTTCGAAGCAACTGTATAGCATCCGGACTTGGCTCCAGTAGCTGTTCAGTGCCTGGATATCTTCGTAGCGGATGCCTGTTCCCAACGATGTCTGTTCCAAGGCCATGCAGACGGCTCCCATGGATGGTTGAGAAGTCAGGCCGGACATGCCTGTGAACATCAAGAGATAGTCAGCATTGTCACGACGTGCACGGCAAATACCACGGACTATCAATAGCAACATCGACAACATCAGCCCCCGCAAGAGCGCAAGCAATCATGCTCGCAGTAGCAATGCCCGCCGTGTCGTGAGAGTGGACATGGATAGGAAGTTCAGGGTATTTCTCTCGGATGGCGCCGATGAGTCTACACGACATACAGAATGTAAGCTTCTTTTCGGTGACAAGGGAATGATGGTGCCCTCACAGTTTCGCTGCCTCGGGCTTGAGAAGGCCAGCCATGTCCTTCACACCGAGGACGTGGATGCCTTCCTGAACACATTGTTCGACGAAGTCAAGGTAGTACTTGAGGGTATATTTAGTTTCCTTGGGGCTGGCCACATCACCGGAGTAGCAAACAACGGCCTCGACAACACCTCCTGCCTTCTTTGCGGCATCGATGCCAAGTCTCATCTTCATGACTTATTAGTCTATCTGCAGCGGGACTCACTCGGGAAAACTTACATTTTCTAGATTAAGGAAGAGACAATCAGATCGCCGTCGACACGGTAACTGCGGCTAATGATTACTTACCGAAGTAGTTGAGGGAATCGAAGACACGGAAGATATCGAGTCCATTCTCTACGGCCTTCTTGGAGAACTCATAGATGGCGTTATCGCTACTCGCAGCATGGGGAATGGCAATCGAAGATAGGAACAAGATACACGTACGGGTAACTGGTATAGCCAACACCATTGGCACCGCGGACGAGAGCTTGGAACGGAATGTTTGGAACAAGTTTGCGGAGGGTGCGCTGAGCCGCGATTATCAGAACGGAGAGCCAATAAATATGCATCGACGGAATCACGTACGAGACGTTCCCATGGGTCCTCATACAAGAAGCGCATAGCCACATCGAAGGTTGCGCCTCCCCAGCATTCTATGCTGTAGGCATTGGCGAGAGCGTAACTAGTTTCTTTCGCGATGTTGACCATGTCCAAAGTACGCATACGTGTAGCGAGCAGAGACTGATGAGCATCACGCCAGGTCGTGTCCATGATGAGGGTACCAGGGTATTCGCGAACAGCCTTCGCGAAGGCCTCTGGTCCATGCTCGACAATGATGTTACGCCAACCGACTTCACAAGGTAACAAGGTGTCGATGGGTGTGGCGGGGTCTTCTCGGCTCGAAAGCTTGGGGATGACAATGTCTTGCTTGAGACCTGGTTCTCCCTACGCATAGATATATTAACTTTTTCTTATATTGACAGGAGGAAAGTTACGCACAACTTGGCCTTTGATGGAGCTGCCATTCACGGCCAGATCGCCCAGGTACGCAAGCAGTTTCTGGGCGCGATTTTGACTTTGAACGAGTTTGAAAAGATCGGGAGTATCGTCAATGAACTGATAGTTGTTGAAGTGTTAGTATGAGCGCATCGTCGACACATGTAATTAGATACTAACTGTCGTCCAAGTTTTGCCACCAATGAAGATATCGTGAGTCAACAAGCGGAACAAGAATGGGATGTTGGTCTACACCGAGTACAGAAATGGAGTTAGTATTCGTTGAGTGAAGTGCGACAACACGGCTTACCTTGACACCACGAATACGGAATTCAACGAGCGCGCGAAGCATCTTTCTCCTGGCGACTTCATATGTAGTTCCACTTACGGTACACTTGACAAGCAAGCTGTCGTAATGGGGCTTTTATTGGAGTTAATTAGCGTCAATCAGGACATAGATAGAAGATGTCAAACACACAGTAATCTGAGCGCCCGCGAAGCCAGAGCTTGCATCAAGACGCACACCGTTACCGCCAGCGCTACGGTAGACCTCGATTTTGCCGGTATCAGGCTGGAAGCCTTGCGAGGCGTCTTCGGTGGTGATACGACACTGGATGGCGAAGCCGCGCTTCGTGATCGCATCCTGTGTGAGCCCAAGTTGAGGGAGAGTCGCACCAGCGGCAATCTGGATCTGAGCGGCTACGATATCAATGCCAGTGATTTCCTCTGCAGGGTCAAATATCAGCCCCCTGAAGGTGCATATAGGAGCAGAATGGCAGCCCACCAGTGATTGTATGTTCAACTTGAATACGGGGGTTGATTTCGATGAAGTAGTGTCTGCCCATCTGGTCGACCAAGAACTCAGCAGTGCCGGCGTTCCTGTAGCCAACGCTCTTTGCGAGCTTGATTGCGTCGGCCAAAATGGCCTGACGAACCTCCTCAGGCAAGTGTGTGGCAGGAGCAACTTCGACAACTTTCTGGTGACGTCTCTGTACAGAGCAATCACGCTCAAAAAGGTGGATGGTGTTACCCTGAGCATCGGCAAGGAGTTGAACTTCAATGTGACGGGGGCGCTCGAGGAAGCGTTCAATGAAGACAGTTCCATCACCGAAAGCAGACTTGGCTTCCGAGACGGCGCGTTCGAAGGAATCCTTGAAGTCAGACTGGGCGCGAACGACACGCATTCCACGACCTCCACCACCCATGGCGGCTTTGATGATGACTATTCCAGTGATTAGTAGATTGTATGAGTGAAACGAATGCTGATGTTACCTGGGAAACCGTATTCCTTGATGAATGATTCACCATCTGTGTAGCTATCCACTGGGCCTGGTGTACCAGGGACAACTGGAACGCCGACCTTCATGGCTAAAGTGAAACGATCAGCGCGCGCATAACGAACTTGATTGGCGTAACAACGGACCAAGTGTCCTTGCTTTGGTCTTGTCTCCAAGCCCATCAATGACCTCAGGTGACGGTCCTACGAATGCAATACCAGCTTGCTCGACTTTACGAGCGAATTCTGCGTTCTCTGAAAGGAAACCGTAGCTACGCGGCATTCAGATCCACTTCTACGAGATAAGCGACATTTAGACATACCCTGGATGGATCATGTCTACACCATGTTCCAAGGCAATTCTAATGATGTCCTCTTGAGCGAGGTATGCTCCTACCGGAGTCATGCCCTTCCCAACTTGATACGCTTCATCCGACTAAGATCCTATGTTTAGATATGATCGTGATTGATATGATGTTGGCGCACCTTCTGACGATGGGCTGATAACCGATCCTCGAATGAGTATATAGCGACGGTGTGCATGGCCAATTCATGGGCGGTTCTGAAGACACGGATGGCGATTTCCTACATCGAATCACATCTCTTCGATTACAGTCGACTGATCTGTTACTGAAAGCACTCACACCACGGTTAGCGACGAGGATCTTTGTCAATGGTCCACTATGGCCAGCGGCCTTTCTCCTCATCGTCTGGATTGAGTGCACCGGGGTACCCGGCACACTGGGCGTCCCGGCGAAGATGGACGCCAGCCTCGGTGGATGCAGCGATTGCTCTGAAGACATGATGGTGGAGAAGGAAGGATCAGAAGGGCTTTCACTGAAAGGCTCCTGATGTGTTTAAAGGAAGGAGAAGGAGGAAACCGGGATCAATCACAAGGTCGATGGAGTGACTGAGTTAGATATAAGGGAGAGAAGAGGTTGAGTGGATTGCCGTCCCTTGATAACAGAAGCAACTGGGGCTGTATCCGCCCCCGACACTTCACCATGGCAGACGGAATTAGCGCGGCGACTACCGCTCCATCTCCACTATACTGTCGATTTCACAGGTTCTAACTCCTCACATCCAGCGACGTTCCCGTCTACAAGCACCCGGACAAGCACCCGACGACGTTCATTATCTTAGCGAGCCTTGGCAAGAAGTCATTAATCTTATCGCGTCGGTCAGGAACGCATGATATCATCCGGGGCAAGAGAAAGTCCATACAAAACGAAGTCCATGCTGTGCTCTATGCTACAATCATCGTTTGGTCAATGGTATGAGGGGTTCGACACGACTCTCTGCTTTCTTCTGATTATTCTTAGCTATGGCGTAAAGCAGGCCGGCAAAGAAGCCAACGCCAATGGCTGACACTGATCCAAATGTTGCCGGATCGCCAAAGAACAGCATCCCTGATGCAGCGACAGGTAGTTTATTCAAGGCACCCACCATGCTAGGCCACTTATCAGCGCAATTGTCCTCTAGGTTGAGGCATGACCCACCTATATGTTGTGCTGCTGGTGACTCGTACACACCACGCCGTCGTGTACGAAATACCAACAGCAGCGGCTCCCGAAAACGCGATCGCGAAGAGCAAGAAGTTCCGAGTTTCCTGGGGGCTGTATCAAGGTTCCTCGATTAAAAGGCCCGACGTTATCAATGACAACGGCTCACAAATTTCTGGCGAGGCTTGCAACGCTCCAATCTTCCACAAGAAAAGAGAAAACAATGAGCACGGGGATGGACAGAAGATTATTGTAGAACATGGAGTCCCAATCCGAAAAGCCCGTAAGCTTGATCCTTTTACGCATTGCCAGGACCTGACAGGTGTGTGTAAAATTGAGACGTTAAGGAGGATATAACATATCTTACATAGGCCGCACTTGTAGCGCAATTGATGAGCATCCACAGATATCCGATATTTAATCGCGAGACAACGCCAGGCAGCGCCTTGAGTGATTCCAAGCTCAGGCCTATGCTTGTAATGGGTACGGAATCGCCCAGAGTTGCGGAAACATCAGACCATGCTGCAATGATCGAGGAGAGGACCTGCAAAGTCATGTTGAAAGTGCCAAGCAACATAACAGGAAGGTTACTTACCATAAAGATAAACGAGACGAATGTTAACCCTGTGATCCTGCCTCCAAACCATATGACTTCTCCATATGCCTGAGTACACTTGAGCCATGGCTCACGCGATGGAGGGTCGGAAACTTACAATCAGAATTATAGTCAAATTCTTGAAAATGGTATACACCGGTATGCTAAGAAATTGCTATGCGGCGGGTAAGCATGCGAAGCCGATGACGGCTGAGGCGAAGTATATCCGACTTACTAGACTCTTCGACCCAGTATATATCACGCTCACGAGGAGGAAGCTGATAGGGAACCACGTCTTGGCGTCCTTCTTATCAAAGTCTCGGAATGATATAATTCCCATCTTTTTCACCGCAGTTACACAACCGATGCATACGGTCGATTGTATACATAGTAGCAGGAAGTTCATCGTAAAGTGCGCTCCAGAGACGACAAACTGGAATCCATTGAGAGTGGCCTAAGCTTGAGAGTTGACAGCTACTCACCTTGTTCACAACTGTCATAAGGATCGAGGCAAGGCAGTAACATACGATTGGCGGAACTGTTTCTCTCATTGGCACGCATGCTATAGATGAAGGTCGTTGACAGTACCTGGGGAGACGTGCGCATCTGGGTTGACGGCGCCAGTCGCAATGGCCTTTTTCAACTCTGCAGCATCCTGTTCTTCGTTCGAAGCTCGTCCGTTAGGCGAGGACATTTATACGCGGGCAGAATGGGTATATCGAAACGCGACTGCGCGTCGTGAAGGAGCAATAAGCCTGAAATTCGAGAATTTGTGGGCTTGGCTGTCGGTTGGCAGGTTGACTTCGAGACGTGGCGCGTAAGAATTGATGATGTCGTGAACGCGGGGCTGACTAAGCAGAGACACCAGTGCGCGCATCATCGCCGTTGCAGCGTTCCACGCCGCAGCACTTACAATTCTTACCTTCAACCATGTTTCCGGAGTGGTTGTCGACCGTGGCGTCTGTGGGGATGGCTGTGGGCCCGCCACTGGTACGTCGACTCCTCCATTGAGCAGAGACGCGCTCAACGCCACGGCGATATAGGTCTACGCAGACCAGGCGTTCTCTATCGTGAAACGAAAGTACGTGTGCCCTTCATTGCACATGTTCTTGCTCTTACTGTCTCACAGAGACTCTACGGGCTTCTCAAAGGATACCTGTGCGATCCTGTTCGTATCCTCCGTATACCGAATGACCTCCGATTCAAATGATCATTCCGCAGCTTGTTGGCCAACCTAACTCGATGCTTCTTCTGGTTGGGGTGAGTCCCTCTGCTTACTTATGTTGAGCTACAGCGTACGAACTGCTTTCAGAGAGAGATTCGAGCGGGCCTTACTCATACAGTCGATATTGATGATTTTCGCCCAAGTACGCTCAACCATACCGTCTCCGAGACTGACAAGTCTAACGCCGGCACCCAAAGATCGCCCTCTTATTCATCTGTCTAAAATATCGACCGCGGATATCATCAGAGTCACTTGGTGGATCTAGTCGCCCGTTGTCATTTTGGCAATGGGCGACTTTCACTCAATACATCGAATTCCTTGCCGGCTTCATGTGCGTAGTTCCCAAGGCCTTTCAAACTTTACCTCATCACAAGTTACAGCCTTGTGCAAGGAATAGCTTTCCTTATATTCGGGCGCTCCAAGTTGTATGTGTCAATCCTCGGATTCGTTGCCTTGGGGTTAGAAAGTACTTTACCTATCCCTCAGCTAATCAGGTCAGTCTTGCTCGAACACGTCGGTTGACTGCATACTAACTTTTCATCAGTAATTACAAACAACGGTCATTGTACGGCTTCCGTATGTCTACTCTCCTAGGCTGGGTAGGCGGGGATTCATTCAAGTAAGCAACGTATTTCCCAGATGATGGATCCCCTTAACCTCGGAACATTAGGACATGGTATTTCTTCAACGAAGGCTCCCCTCTGCAGTTTAAAGTCTGCGCGATATTCCAGCTGTCCATTGATTTCGGTACGTCTACATGTGGCCATACGATTCGGGTTTCGCTAACGCCGGCTCGCAGTCATTGTGGCTCAGCGGTTTATTTACGGGAATGCCCCTCCTGAGACTGTCCTCCCAGATGATGATTTGGAACAAGCCCTCGCTCTCGAAGATGATTAGATGTCCAGATGCCTTGCGCAAAGACCATAGAAAAACTTTGCGTATCTCGTCGCTACTATACGGCGTAAGGAAGTTGATTACAATAAGTATAGACACGCAAATTCTGCAGTACATGCCAGATTCGACGCGAGTGAGCATTTACTTGGTCCAGGCTTGAGGTAATTACACGCGAACGCGGTCATGTGATCCCCTATCTGCCCTCTCCCGCCCCTAAACTCCCTAAACGTTCTTCAGCGCGGCCAACCGCTAGTTGCGACCCACCATACTGTTCCTGCTGGCCAGACAGCCGCAAAATATCCGCCAAGGCGTTTTCTTCCAATGGCGCCTCCAGAAGTCAACGCAGACCACTACACAACGCTCCCGCGAGCCCGCCGAACTTCGCTTCCATCTTCCAATCTCCGAAACAGTATACGCGTAAACCACCGACTTCGGGCAGCTTCGACGAGCTATTCTCCTATGAGACCGTCATTTAACCATGCTTCAGTTACCCATACCTCCAGGCCTGATATTCGGAGCCAGAATGCTCAGAACGCCCGCGTTAAGCCACGCCCATACACCAAGCCAGATCCCGACACGATATTGCCAGAGATCAAGAAGCTTCTAGGCGATTTTCCTGCGTCGGCTCCGCCACAACAACAAATACGCGACTTCCTGGATGTTGACGAAATATTTGCTTTACACGACCGAGACATCATGGATCGCAGAGAGCGAGAAGACCACAGGGGTGCAAGGAACGATCAGGGGCTCAGTACGCGAACCAATATTCTGCTTACCTGTGTGCTCATGAGATTTCAGCGGTATTCGGCGTCCATCTTCGCCAAGTCTCTATGTATGCTTCTGGATTTCTGCCACTGGCCAGCGAACCACGGTCATGTGCTTATGAGATACCTCTCGTCGCGTCGATGATCATCCAGGAACTCCAGGAAAGGGGAGTAAATTCCGCCTTGCCGTTTCTCCATCCCAAGCCTGCTTCACGAGCGCGCATACTCCACCTCTGCCAGCTCTTTGACTCCTCTCCGTATTATCCGCCTTCGTCTCCCCCGTTCAGCGAATCGACGACAGATTTATGTGCCTTGTTAAAAATGTACATACTTGCGTTACCTGAGCCGATGTTCAGCGAAGCGGTCTCTGAAGGACTCTGGCGGTGGTGCATCCGGCCTTCCCTCGAAGAAAACGATCTCAGGGCTCTCGAATCTAGAAAGGACTTTCGACCAACCACTGAGGGCACACGCATCCGGATTGCGGCGCTACTATTTCGACTTCTGCCAAGCGCTAACGTCGGTCTTCTGGTCCATCTCTTGGATTTCTTCTCTCACTTTGGTTCACCCGAAGATTCGAAGATAGAAGAAGGAGCCCCGGGTTCGCAGACAGAATACACGGAAGCTGGCCGACTGTTTGGAGAGGCGATATTTGGATCAAGTTTAGGCGGACAGAAGTCGACGTCTCGGCAAGGTGCAAAGATACCAGGAAATGCAAGAGCTGTCAGCATAATGCTATGGGTCCTCCGGTGTTGGTCTTCGATACGGCCGTTCATTAGTGGCATCAGCACCCCCAGCGGCAATCTCATTCGTGTTGACCATATACATGAGCGCAAGCATCCAGGAAGTGAGCTCATCCTCCTGGCGGCCCCGATCCCCAAGTATCCACCGAATTATCCCGGAATGGCCTCCGGATGTAGGAACGAGAAGGCGAATATACGTCGCAGTAATGAATTTATCGTGGCACCGCAAGGTGGAAGAGTTTCTCCCCCGACGGGAGCCAATGCTTCATCGTCTACCCCACATGGTAAGCGTCATGGCGACTTCATCAAGGCGAAACGAACTGATGGGTTTGTCGCAGGAGTGGCACTCAATAGGGAAGAAAACATCAGTAGTTGTTCGACCCAAGCTCGTAAGCTGTTCCCCGTATATCTTAAATTTCGTTGCGACTGATCTGGGTGTCTGTAGTTGACGAGAGGTTGGTGGATGTCAACTTGCTCACGATTCCGCCTATGGACATGGAATTAAACCTTAGTGACCTTTCCGAGCCTGAACATTCTCATGCACCCCCGACATCGTCAATATCACATTCATCCCCTACAAATGCTACAGGTGCAGGAGAGGAACAGGGCAATCTGAAGCGTATCGAGGAGCTCGACAAAGAACTCAGAGACGCGCTGTCAAACGCAGCAGCGGCTAAAGAAACCCAAGAAAAGGTTGAAGCCGAGGTCCGGGATCTGCGCGAACAGTTAGCTCGCTCTGAACAGCGCGAAGCGGAGATTACAGCTCAACGTGATGCACTACAAGAACGCTTGAACGATGCTAATGCGAAGACGACGAGCACAGAAAACGAAAATACGGACTTGACGGCAAGTCTTGTTACTCTGAGGAAAGAGTTAAAAGCGTTGGAGGTAGATCGTGACGCCAAAGCACATATTGTGGATGAAATGAAAAGAGTATTGGCTGTAATCTAATGCCTCGGCTTGTAGTCATCCACCACATATGAATGCCAATGGGACCCCAATAATCTGTTGTTAAGGACTTAGAACTATCGATAACATCACGAAAGCTTGGGAATAAAGAATTCGGGGTCACTACGCTGGATTAGCGGAGAAGTTACTGGGAACCGGAATTGGCAGAAGAGAAGTCGTGAGTATCAGCCAGTGTTTACTAGGCACTATGACTGGCTTTGCGCCGTTGGTCTCGAAACGTTCTCTTCCTACAAAGAGGAGACCCTCCCACTCGCCCTGGCTTTCGACCCTGCCTCGCTCCTGGTCTTTCGATCATCCCTCAAACGACGCACCACAGAAACTGAACATCAACGACCGCTGGACGCGCTACGGACACACCCCTAGACCCCCAAGTATCCACCGCAAAGTGTCGGAGCAGGCAACACCTCCTGTAGAATTCTTCTGCCGAGATCTTGGTTCGGGGCAGTTCTGATTTAGTTGAGGCGTTGATTCGAGGTCAAGCGCCCTATGTCGGTGATGCCTTGGAGGGAAGGAGGAATGTCCGGTTTCGTAGTAGAATATGTCCCAGGTCCTTGCGTCCTCAGGATCTCGACCGTGTAAGTCGAGGTTTGGTGGCTGAGCCTGTCATTTCGTCTTTCTTGCACACGGTAGAATCGCGAAGACTATATCGCCCGACGATCTGACAGCCAACGAAACAACCACTGGGTCTCAGTTCGACACGTCGGGCGTGCGGTCCCGCCTATCCATACTGTCCCTGCCGTGTCCCTGGATCCATTGTGGATGTACGATATTCAGATTGGGATCCAGATTCGCGAGACGTTGGCGGTTCGAGAGTTCGTTTGGAGTGGGGGATTGGTCTCGGTTGACAATGGGACGTTGTTGGGACACAAGCTTGTGGAGATTACGGTATGTCTACTACCGATTACCCTCTTCTCGAATTCGGCCTCACTGACTGTCGCCTCGAATCTCCCAGTAATAGGACTTTACTGTCGACGATGAAGACTACTGCCCCGCCCTCCGGGCGGCTGTCCGGTTCGGCGCCTCCTAGCCCAGGGGGTCTGTTGCTCTACGTCTCTGCCAGTACGTAGCACGCCAACCAAAATATACGAGCTGGATAAGAGGATATTTGGTTAGCGTGGTGAACGTGGTGGGAAAGCGCCGTTATTACCTCTCGTACTTGAGTGTCCGAGCATGTTTATCTAGCTCTGAATCCACGCCTGTTTTCCCAATTATGAGTAGGTCGGCGCGGGTATCTCAAAGGGCGACGGCATCGGGTGCCCCGTCTTCGCTGATGAATGTTGAGAGGGAATGCGTTCTTGCTTGAAACTAGCCAATACAATTCAAGGAACTAATTTTACAATCAGCAGGCTACACCTATTGCATTATGAACGCTGCAAGGCGCTATGGTAGGTAATGTTACTCGGACTACGATCCATTGGTTGTCGACGTCCAATCCAGCATTGAAGGGTTGGCCAAGGGATATTCCATGAGTACTGATGTAATCATTATCGGACTACGAAGAAGCGGTCAGAAGCAATATGGATCGGAATCGTATCGACTCACAGCAATGAATAGGAAGTAGTCGTTGGGGAAGGCAGGGTCATCGACAGGAGCAAGCGTAAATGACTCCCATTTCGCGTCAATCAGCGTTTCGTCATTCGGTTCACCTAGATGCGCGGTAAGTAGGTCTCACTTATGTCAAGCGGTAGGCAAAACATACCAGTATGCAAGCCGAATCTAGCAAGCTGGTCTTTATCGATGAAATCCACGAACTCTGTCAGTGCTGCAGGAGTAACGCTCTTGTCGAGCTTCCCGCCTGGTGCAACCGGGTTAACTGGATCGTCGAACTTAGACCCGCGTATGTTGGTGGCCTGGGAGATGTCTACCAAATCCGCGTGTCTGAAAGGGGAGTCAACCCGAGCGTAAGTGCACAATGACTTTGAATCCCTACTTATACGAAGCATCGATGTCGTCATCTCCTCGACCATTGCCGTCCCGAGCAAGGGCCAAGAACAGATTAGGGCCAACGAAGATGATCTCGCTGCACCCTCTAGTTTTATCGTTCTTGCTTTGTGGAAGGGGAACTACCCACTCTCCGATCAGCGATGGACGAGCGGTAGGTGATAATACATCAAAAGCAAACAGCCGCGTGAATCGAGATGTAGTTTTGTCGGCGCCGCCATCTTGGATTGTCGCAGTCTGAAGCATTGCATATAGGGTCGAAGACGTGGTGTCCAGTGTTAAACCCTCAAAGCCTAAGACAAGGTTTAATTGGTGTCTTATCGTCATGAACGATATATGTTAACGCGCCTTGATTGCTCGTTCTTCCTGTTGCCGGGTCGGTGTCTGCAGTGAAGTTTAGTGTACCAGCGGCGTCATGGGGAAGAATGGCTTCAGGAGGTTGAATCGTTTGTAGGAGTTTGCCTTCGCTGGAGAATCGATAAATATATGGCCCATATTCATCGCTGACCCAGAATCTAGAAAGATATGTTGAGTGTGGTCCGCCAGGGAGAAGAGAATTGGTAGTTACGATCCATCAGCATTAGCTACTATCCCTTCAGCATCTACCGTTAGATGAGGCTCAGCATTGCTCGCAATTGGCATTTCGGGGTCAGCAGTGGCAACGCTCGGGAAACCACTCTGTGGCAGCCGGACGGCCAAAGGGTCGAGTCCGCTGGTCGGCGCATCTCCCCTTTCTGTCTCTAATATAGTCCTTCGGTACGTGAGTTGCAGCGTTTTCTGTGCGTCTTTGAAGCTAAGCTTCTTCTTGTCGGTATAGGGCGTCAATACGAAATCAATTTCGTGTCGCCGACCTTGAACGTCGACGGTTCCGTCTCTGCGATGGAAAGAATAAGCAAGGATAAATTAGGTGTGGGGAAAGGGAGGATGTACACGTTAAATCCGCGATCAGGGTGCATCACCAGGGTACCAGTATAGGTCCCCGACGAGGTCTTCGCCCAGGTTCCCAATTTGAGTGTCATGGCACTACCTATTCCACCGAGAGTGTCTCCTGTTGACTCCCTAAAGTCCGAAGGGATGAGGCCGAAGCCTACGATTCCCTGAAAGCAATGGTGTAAATGTCTACATCGTGGTCGACAAGAGTCTCTAGCGCATACCTTGTTGACGAACGTCTGTCCGCGCACTTTGACAGAAACATCGGACTTTGCGGCTATTAGCGATGGGGTCGGTGATGCATCGGCATGATGCAGAACGGATACGACCTGCAGCAACACAGCGAAAGCGCTCGTTAATTTCACCATCATCAACGATCGTCCAAGAAATTGGTGCACCCACTGTTATTAAATACGCTGGGGGTCTTCGCACGTTCGACTGTCATGAACGTGAGGGAAGAAACGACCACCCGTTCACACCAAGCCTTTCCACATGTGCATTCTTCTCGAAGCCAGAACTTGACGCGCGCGTCGGCGGCGAGCTCCCGGCTATACTCCTTTTCCCATGACACCCGCAATGTCGAAGATCGCCTGTCCAACTATGGATCAAATTCTCATGTGGACGTTACACAACCCGTTCTAAGCTTTAAAAATGCAGTAGTAGGGGAGCAGGCTCGCGTTAACAGTTCGCGTGTTTCTGCTATCTCAACATGGTCGCCTGAACAATGTCGCGACTATGTTGAACATTAGTTGAGGCGCCGCTGCCACATATCCTTGAGTTGGCGTACCGAATAGAGAGATCCCTTGTCGCTTTGAACTGCAATGACTTTTCGACCTTCCTCCACTAGTTGACTGCTGTGCCACCCTGGGTCGTGCGTCCACTGTTTTACCTGCAACCGGCGGGCTTTACATACGCGCGGTGCGCAGTGACCAGCTAAGCGCCCGTACATATCCGTGTATGTAAATAGTCGTAAACATCCATCCAGTCCTTTCCCAACTTTCCATCTCTACACGACCCAAATCCCTCACCATGGCGGCCGTGGACGCTTCGAAACCCATTGCTTTCTGCGAGCATCTTCAACTCTCTAGTCTTGGAATACAGCCCGCATCCATTTCGTTCCAGGTCCGTCTCAATAGCGCGTCGTGCGCGTCGATAAGTGCTGACGTATTTCCAGACTTTGACCCTCGAGTCCGACCACTTTATTTGTGTTCGAGAAAAGATAAATGAGCAGAACCAGGTCGTTATCATTGACCTCGCTGACGCCAACAATGTGCTACGAAGACCTATATCAGCCGAAAGTGCAATAATGTCCCCCCATCAAAAAATTCTTGCTCTTAAAGGTGAGCAAACATCAATGTAGACTCGAGAGGCAAGTAGTGATACGTCTTCTTCGTCAAAGCTGCACGCACGCTCCAAATATTCAATATCGAGGCCAAGCAGAAAGTCAAGTCCCATGTCAGTAACGAAGATGTCGTGTTCTGGAAATGGGTTTCCGACACCACCATTGGCATTGTCACCGAGTCGGCTGTATACCATTGGTCTATTTCAGACCAAACTTCCCCACCCCAGAAGATCTTCGACCGTCATCCAACTCTTGCGGGCGCCCAAATTATCAACTACCGTGTTACTCCCGATGAGAAGTGGCTTGTTTTGATCGGTATCTCTGGCAACTCGACGAATCCTTCCGCATTCAAAGTGAAAGGTTCCATGCAGCTATACAGTCGGGACCGGGGTGTCAGTCAGGCAATTGAGGGCCATGCTGCGGCTTTCGCTGAGGTGAAGTTGGACGGCCATCAGAAGCCTACGAAGCTGTTCACCTTTTCTGTTCGTACCGCTACAGGTGCTAAGGTATGTGCTTTTCTGTTCGCCTGAAACGTCATCAGATTTCTCAATATTCCTCTTCGCAGTTGCATGTCGTGGAAATTGATCATCAAGCACCGGACCCACCTTTCGTCAAGAAGGCGGTCGACGTTTACTTCCCGCCTGAAGCCACAAACGACTTCCCCGTGGCTATGCAAGTGTCGAAGAAGCACGGGATTGTATACCTCGTCACCAAGTACGGTTTCATCCATCTCTACGACCTTGAGTCGGGCGCCTGCGTCTACATGAATCGTATCTCTGGCGAAACGATATTCGTCACTGCCGAGCATGAGGCCACTAATGGTATTATCGGTGTCAACAAGAAGGGTCAAGTGCTGAGCGTGAATGTCGACGAGCAGACGATTATCCCTTATATTTTGACGACTTTGAACAACACGGAGCTGGCCTTCAAGCTTGCCAGTCGAGCGAATTTGCCTGGTGCTGATGAATTGTACATACAACAATATCAACAACTCTTCGCAAGTGGACAATTCGGCGAAGCAGCTAAAGTTGCTGCTAACTCACCACGGGTACGTTATTATTTACTCAAGCATCTTCTTTTCCTCATCTTGCTCTAGGGCATTTTGCGTACGAATGCCGTCATTGAGTCGTTCAAGCAGGCTCCAGCGCCGCCCGGTGGCCTTTCTCCCATTTTGCAGTACTTTGGTATCCTCTTGGAGAAGGGAGAGCTCAATCACTTGGAGTCATTAGAACTTGCTCGCCCTGTTCTGCAGCAGGGCCGCAAGCAACTGCTAGAGAAATGGCTGAAAGAGAACAAGGTTTGTTTCTCTCTTCATCCATCTCTATCACAATTCTGACCTTCTTGTAGCTTACATGTAGTGAAGAACTTGGTGATATCGTCCGTTTGCACGACATGACCCTCGCCCTCAGTGTCTACCTGCGAGCAAACGTGCCCAACAAAGTCATTGCATGCTTTGCGGAAACCGGGCAAACCGAGAAGATCGTTCTCTACTCGAAGAAAGTTGGATATCAACCGGACTACGTTGCTCTCCTTCAGCACGTCATGCGTTCAAACCCAGAGAAGGGTGCTGAGTTTGCCTCGCAACTTGTAAACGATGAGAACGGACCTCTTGTTGACATTGAGCGGGTGCGTCCCCCGAATTCCATGTTGCATAGATTGTAGCTAACGGCTGGATTGATTCGCAGGTGGTCGACATCTTCATGTCTCAGAATATGATACAACCTGCTACCTCCTTCCTCTTGGATGCCCTCAAGGATAACAAGCCAGAGCAGGGCCCATTACAAACCCGCCTCCTCGAGATGAACCTCATGCACGCTCCCCAAGTCGCAGACGCTATCTTGGGCAACGAGATGTTCACGCACTACGACAGGCCAAGAATCGCCAATCTTTGCGAGAAGGCCGGCTTGCTTCAACGGGTACGTTCTCAATAGTATCATTGACCACGCCTGTCTCATAACGATTATCTAGGCACTCGAACACTATGAGGACCTTGCTGACATCAAGAGGGCAATTGTGCACACTACTGCTCTTCAACAAGACGTGCGTGCCTTAGTTTGTTTAGTCCACAGTACCTGACCCATTCTCCGTAGTGGCTCGTCACCTATTTCAGCCGCTTGACCACCGAGCAATCCATGGCATGCTTGAACGAGATGCTACGCGTCAATATCCGCCAAAACCTCCAAATCGTCGTTCAAATCGCTACCAAGTACTCTGATATCCTTGGGCCTGTCAAGCTCATCGAAATGTTCGAGAGTTTTAAGAGTTCGGAAGGTTGGCATATATAGCTGTCTCAAAGCCTGCATCAACTAAGAGTATTATCCTCCAGGTCTCTACTACTATTTGGGCTCCGTCGTCAATCTCAGTGAAGACCCGGAGGTTCACTTCAAGTACATCCAGGCTGCGACGCGTACGGGGCAGATTCGGGAAGTCGAGCGCATCTGTCGCGAGAGCAATTTCTACAACCCAGAGAAGGTCAAGAACTTCCTCAAGGAAGCCAAATTATCCGACCAGCTCCCCCTTATCATCGTCTGCGACCGCTTTGATTTCGTCCACGACCTCGTTCTGTACCTCTATCAAAATGGGCTCACTAAGTTCATTGAAGTTTACGTGCAACGCGTCAACTCTGTTCGAACTCCCCAGGTTATTGGTGGTTTGCTGGATGTCGACTGTGACGAAACGACCATCAAAGGCCTTTTGGCTTCTGTTACTGGCAACTTCCCCATTGACGAGCTCGTCCATGAAGTCGAGCAGAGAAATCGTCTCAAGTTGATTCTGCCATGGTTGGATGCTCGCGTGCAAGCCGGGTCGCAGGACCCCGCCATCTACAATGCCATTGCTAAGATCTCTATCGACAGCAACAGCAATCCTGAGCAATTCTTGAAGGAGAACAACGTTCGTACCCCCTAATCCTCTTGCCCATCCCCATGGCTGACTCATATTCTTCATTAGCTTTACGAGCCACTCGTTGTCGGCAAATTCTGCGAGGCTCGCGATCCATACCTGGCTTACATTGCCTACGCTAAGGGTTTCTGTGATGACGAACTCATTGCCATCACCAATGATAACTCGATGTTCAAGCAACAAGCACGGTACCTCGTTAAACGTCGCCAACCTGAATTGTGGGCCCAAGTCCTTGTACCCGATAACATGCACCGCCGCGCCCTCATTGACCAGGTATAGTTCATTTCCTCTGATTACTACACCATACTCATCAAGACTTAGGTCGTCGCTACAGCCATACCCGAGTGCACTGACCCCGACGATGTGTCTACTACTGTCAAGGCGTTCTTGCAAGCAGATCTACCCATTGAGTTGATCGAACTTTTGGAGAAGATCATCCTCGAGCCATCACCATTCAGCGACAACCGCAATCTGCAGAACCTCATGCTCCTTACTGCTATCCGTGCGGACAAAGGAAAGGTTGTCGGATACATCAACAAACTCCAGAACTACGACCCCGCCGACATTGCCAAGATTGCCACGGAGCATGGTTTGTATGAGGAAGCGTTCACCATCTACAAGAAGCACGAACAACATGCGTTGGCGATCAATGTTCTCGTTGAACATATCGTTTCCATCGACCGTGGTTTGGACTACGCGAAGAAGGTCAACAAACCGGAAGTTTGGAGCCGACTCGCCAAGGCTCAGTTGGACGGGTTACGTATCAAGGACTCTATCGGTATGGATAACTTTCGCCAATGATGGTCAATTAACCCACTCACTTTCCTCAGATTCTTACATCAAGGCGGAAGATGCGTCCAACTTTGCTGAGGTCATTGAGATCTCCAACCACGCCGGCAAACATGACGACCTCGTTCGATACCTACAAATGGCCCGCAAGACTCTTCGTGAACCCAAGATCGACACTGAACTTGCTTACGCGTACGCGAAGACCGACCGGCTGCACGATATGGAAGACTTCCTCGGTATGACCAACGTCGCCGATATTCTCGAAGTCGGAGAGAAGTGCTTCGAAGACGAGCTGTACCAAGCCGCGAAACTCTTGTTCACCAGCATCTCTAACTGGGCACGTCTCGCCACCACCCTCATCTACCTCGGTGAAAACCAGGCCGCTGTTGAGAGTGCTCGCAAGGCTGGCAATACCCAGTACGTAACAGATTAAGATGGTTTTGCCCGATCGCTCACTGATTACTCTACAGGGTATGGAAGCAGGTGCATGCTGCTTGTATCGAGAAGTCCGAGTTCCGCCTGGTACGTACCCGCCCCCTGCACGGTCGATAGAGAAACTAATGCCAGATTATAGGCTCAAATCTGTGGTCTGCACATCATTGTGCATGCGGTAAGCTGCCCCTTACCCCTGTTAGGGCATGTATACTAACATACCATTGCAGGAGGAACTTGCCGCACTCGTGCAGATGTACGAATACCGGGGTCATTTCGAGGAGATCATTTCGTTATTGGAAGCTGGTTTGAGTCTTGAAAGAGCTCACGTATGTCTTCTCTACTCTTGCTCTGCAATCCGCTCATAACTTCCTACAGATGGGCATCTTCACCGAACTTTCGATCCTTCTTAGTAAATACAAGCCAGCGAAACGTAGGTCGAAGCTGTTTCTCCATCTTCAAGACGCTAACCTATTGGTACTTGTTAGTGATGGAACATCTTAAACTCTTCGTTTCGAGGATCAACATACCGAAGGTAACACAATGGCTTATCACAATCTAACGAAATCTCACCTCGCTCCGTAGGTCATCAAAGCTACGGAAAAAGCCCACCTTTGGCCCGAGTTGGTTTTCCTGTACATCAAATACGACGAGTTTGTGAGTTTGTTACTTGGTTGGCCTTTAGATATCCCTTAAGGCTACTTGCAGGATAACGCAGCACTGGCAATGATTGAACGATCGGCTGACGCCTGGGAACACAATCAATTCAAGGAGGTCATCGTTCGTGCAGCTAACGTCGAAATGTAAGTCTCTTCTTCATTGGCCTCACGCCGCTCAACAGTTTTTTTTGCACAGCTACTACAAGGCACTTTCGTTCTACCTGCAAGAACAGCCGACGCTGCTCACCGATCTTCTTACCGTCCTCATCCCTCGCATTGATCACGCCCGTGTCGTTCGCATGTTCGACCAAATAGAACACACTCCTCTCATCCGCCCATACCTCATCGCCGTCCAACACGTAAGCATGTTGTACCAGTCATGTTATATGTGTTGACTAACGATCTTTGTAGCTCAATATCGAAGCCGTCAACGTCGCCTATAACAAACTTCTCATCGAGGAGGAAGACTATAAGACGTTGCGCGACTCAATCGATAGCTTCGACAACTTCAACAACATCCAACTTGCTCAACAGTTGGAGAAACACGAACTCCTCGAATTCCGTAGACTTGCCGCCCACCTATACAAGGTTCGTTCATACTCTAGTCGTTCCTTGAATTCCTCACTAATTCTGCTATAGAAAAATGGTCGCTGGGAAGAGTCCATTGCCATGTCGAAACAAGACAAGTTGTACAAGGATGCTATGATTACGGCTGCCGCTTCGGCTTCAACAGAGGTCGCAGAGGAGTTGCTATCGTACTTCGTGGACATTGGGAACAAGGAGTGTTTCGCCGCCATGCTCTATCTTTGCTTCGACCTTCTCCGATCAGACATCATCGAAGAACTTTCATGGCGACACGGTCTTAACGATTTCTATATGCCCTACAAAATACAAGTACAGCGATCGCTGGTCGATAAGGTAACGCATATGCTCCCTGTCGTACCCCATCCCATCTCAACTCTATCTAGCTGGCGCAATTGGAGAAGGACTTCCACGAGAGACTAAAGAAGGAGACCAAGAAGGAGCAGGAGGAGGCAGAGGCCCCCATCATTAACCCTGGTGGATTTGGAAACCAACTTCTCCTCACAAACGGGTATGTCCAACTTTACTGGATAGATTGACTAGTTACTGATTCGCCACTTAGGTTTGGGGGTCAAGCCCCTCCAATGCCAATGCCAATGCCTAACGGTGTCGGTATGATGGTAAGTGATGTGTTTACGAGCGAAGCTTTGTACTCACCTAATCCCTTTTAGCCGACTATGACTGGCTTCGGCGGTGTATTCTAGTGGATTTTCGTATACTTCTTTACTTTGGACCTCCGTATAATGCTTTCTTGAACTTCGTAATGAATATGTTTCCTTTGTCACGTGGTATTGATTGTGAGACGCGCTGTTTACTCTTATTGATAATCACGTTAGACGATTGCGGCAACATCATGGCCTGACACTTCTTGACTCTACTGAGACCACACTCCTTGTTTCATCTTTCATCTTTCATGTACATTTCTTGACTCTTTTGACTCTGTCTCTTAACCTCGACATGTCCGAGCCCGTCGTTGTTGAAGGCGTTCCATTCAGCTTGCAAGTTATTCATCTCAAGCAAGCAATAGACGAACTAATCAATCATAGCAATCTAGTTTTGTCTCCCTTGTTCGCGAAATCTCAGAAATAACTCCCAAATCTGCTGCTAGACGGCCCAAGGATCCCCTTATCCACCCTGCCCGTGGAACATTCCGCCGTTGGCTAGCTGCACTTCGACGACAGTTCAACCCACTCCCCCCGAATACAGTCAGCATACTCTTGAGACTTCTCTTTCCCGAGGAGGATAAGAAACGGAAGTATGAGCTACAAGAAACCAAATTTATCCCTCTCCTGGCGAACTGCTTTGGTTTCTCGAGCACATCCCTCGAGAAATGGAATGCAGAGGGTAACTCTGGGTGCCTTGGCTGTGAGCTCCGACGCATCCTGGAAGAAACGCATGCCGTAGGTTCCCCTCCCTCATCTCCCTGCCGCGCGAGTCGCGATTCAAGCTTGAACTTATCAATATACTGAATGCATCATAGGATCCATCCGAGTCGATAAGTTCTCTCAGCATTGCACAAGTCGACGAGCTTCTAGATGAACTCGCTGCGTCTTCGTCGTTCACCGATAACTCTATTCGCCGCAAGTACCTCAAGGCCTCTTGGCGCCCTCGATCGGCCGTAATTCGATGTTTATTTCGACCATTGACTCCGTTAGATGCAGCGTGTGCCGTCCAGATCATTCTCAAGGACATGAGACCTCTGCTATACCCACAAACTGAGAAACATTATACTGCGGCTTTGAAGAATCTGAACTCTAGATCATATACGACGCTCACCAAAGAGGATGTCATGTTTGAACTCGATCCCCCTGGCTCGCTATACCGAATGTCCAAAGTTGTCGCACGTCTGGATGAAGCCGTCGAAGCACACGAGCAATCTCTCAAGCCTGGACAACCTAGAATAGGGATCGCTATCCAGGTGACGAGATCCTCGACCTCTTTTCCACACAACCCGCACATCTAAACCCTTCATAAGATACCAAAATCCTCCAAAGCTCAGTCTTGTGGACACGGTTTGAAGTTCCTTCAAGGTGCCAAGAAAGTATACGCTGAGACGAAGTACGACGGAGAAAGGGCCCAGATCCATGTCGAAGTTCCTAGCGATGGGACGAAGGCTCGCATTACGATTTTTAGCAAGAGTACACGAGACTCTTCTCTAGACCGTGTGGGTGTATTTCCGATTATTCGGCAGGCTCTTGGTCTGGAAGAAGGTCAGACCCCACGGATATCACAAAACGTCATCCTGGATGCGGAGATGGTAGCATATCAGAACGATCATATCGACGGTAGCTAAATCGACCTAGACGGAGACCTGGTGGCTGATGAATGACTACATACACAGAATTCTGGCGCATTCGGGGACTCGTTGAAACTACCGCGTATGGCGTTCGTGGTTCACGTCGGATATCAGGGGCAGGGAAACCCTCCAACATTGCGTCAGCCCACAATTTCATTTGCCTTCTTGTCATTATCTGAACCACTTATAGGAACTCGCAATGCTCATTGGCAAGCTCAGTAAACGAGGGTTGCCATCTTGCCCTAGTCTTCTTCGATATCCTTTATCTTGATTCACAGTCTACCTTGCACCGACCTTATGATGAACGTCGCGACCTACTAGAACGCACGGTACAACCTATCCCTCACCACGCTCTCTTCTCCAAGCGCACGCTGCTTGAATCCCGACGCGAATCATTGACAGCTCATCTTTGTGAAGTCTTCGCAGACGCAATATCAAACCACGAAGAAGGGCTCGTGCTCAAGGCAAGCAATTCACGCTACAACGATACGTTATTGCCTTGGGTGAAGGTGAAAAGGGATTATATCCCAGGGCTCGGAGATTGTCTGGATATGGTCATTCTGGGTGCTGACTGGGAGAAGGATCGCGGGAGGGGCCTTTATGGTAGTTTCTCACTTTTAGCGTGGCGCAATACTTCCCGTTAACTCTTGAGCTAGCCCCAACAGGTACACTCACTACATTCTACGTAGGTATCCTCGAGAACTCATTTGAGATTGAGTCGTCCGTGAGTCCAGTCCTCTTCTGCCCCCGCTTTCGCCGTGCGCTGAGCTCCGTTCGTAGCCCGGTACCAAACCTGCCTTTCACATTTACTACACTTCGTCCTACGGTCTTGACCGTGAAACGCTGGAAGAAACCAATTTCTTGATCAAGAGTTCAGATCCCGTTGAGTATGACAAGAAACACCCAGTAGGTCCCTTTCCAGCATGCTGAATCCATATGGCGGGCTGAAACCATTTTCAAGCCGCAAGGGCTGCCTTATGCATATACTCTATATCCAGGCATCAAACCTCCAGGCATCCTGTTTAGTACCCCTCTTCTGGGCGAACTGTACGGTGATCGCTTCACAAAGGCTGCACAGAGCAAGGTCAGCATCAGAATACCCACGTTCAACTCCATCATTGACTATCTCTGTAGTACTACGAACTTCGCTTCCCTCGCCTGATCAAGATATATCGCCCAAAGGAACGTTCGTGGCAAGGCGGCGTGACGCCTGAAGTACTGCTTTCCACAGCACGCGAAATCCTTGGTGTCGATGATAAGGGCAAAGATGTACGTGATGTCTGTAAAGGTTTATTTGGACAGCCGCCGTCTCCGGGTGTACGAAGCGGGAAGAAGAGGATGAAACAGCAGGTGCACTGGGTCTCGAGGTTACGACACGTCGATAAACTTCCGCCGCTGGAACTGAAAAGATTAGTGAGGGACCACGACCGCGAAGCTGACCGAGGAATAGAAAACCTCGCTTCGGAAGACGTGGACGACGACGAGGCGGATTCACCTCTGGGAGAAGTGACCAACCGATTAGTGCCCCCGTTCATGTTGCCGCAACTCAGCTCTTCCTCTCGCTTGTCACCAAGAACTCCAGACAAGTCGACAGTCTCCCGTGAACTGGACGGATCACCGCCTTTTAAACGCAGGAAGGTTTCTGTAATGAGCAGCCCCGTTTTCTCTTCGCCTCCGCTCGTGCCTACAACTCCCTGCCAAACTCGCGCCGGAATACCCACTCCCATAACATCACCCGTCTTCTCCAGTCCCATCTCCTCTCACACCGCCATTAAACCCACGTTAGAAGACTTCCTTCGACATTCACTTATTTGGGTCGCTCGCAACAAGCCCACAACAACGGCCTACCCAAATATCCCATCTGACAACGAACTTCATTCCCTAGAGTCCGTGTTCATCGGCTGTGGCTGGTCAAAGGATATTCAGGGGACGTCCACTAGTTCTTGGGTAAGGCAAGGCGTGATATTCGTCGAGGACTCGACTTGGCACCGATACGTTATGGACGCCATTTACCAGAGGAAGCAATCGATGACGATGTCTCCAACCCGTGGCAAGGACAAGGTTGATGGTAGTACATCCAGAAGGAAACCGATCTGGGTGTTCGATTGTAAGGTATTAGGCATGGAGACTTGGGATGCAGAAGATGCTCTATGTCGCTCAGATTGAGAGACAGAATTGTTATCAGTATCATTATCAGTATTTATTATTTATGTATGCTTCTGTGAATATGGATCGTCTGTGGTATTAGTGAGAGAGAGAACCCTGAGGAGACCTTTTGGGGAGAGGACTACAATGATTGAGGCGCGAGAGAATCGATGAGGGTGACCATGTCTATGCCATCTCAGTAACAATCTGTGATACGGGGAGAGAAACAGAGTCTTACTTTCACAAGCCTCCTTCATGCTTGCCATTCCGTCTATATGTTGGTCTTCTATCTTATCTCCCTCTTCTATATGTCGTTCTATGCTTTTCCCCACGATCGACTATTCACATATGTTACGCAATAAGTAAGATTACGCGGATACAAATACCGTTGACGCACCAGTATGTTTGCTTGCTCTTTCTGTATTTCGGTCCACTTCTTTCGTATTTGATCCTCGAGCGTGATATAATCTCCCATAAACTTGGTGTATACATCATCTCTGGGAATCGTCAGGATCAGACCACGTAGCAAGCGAGATGGCCGTGACAAATTCGAACGCGTATTAGCCGCCAACTTACATGCTTTTCGTGGCTGTAGTGACACCCTTGACGACTTCTGTTATCTGTCAAGACGGAGTCAGTGGCATATATGCGCGCCAATAGTATGATATTCCTCACCTCGTTCGATATTCTGCCTTTCGCTGTTTGCAAGAACTTCTTCTCTGCGTCTCTCTTCTTCTTGACTCGACTGGCTTCACAATGATGATTGAATGTCAACGCCTGACCAACCAAGCAACGCGAGAGCACCATATATGCGCATTTCGTGGACTCACTTTTGAGCTGCTCAATGAGAGTAAGCATATTCCTGTTCATTTCCAACGTCAATAACCGCCAACACCGCTGTAGTAAAGCCAGACACTGACTCGAGATTCGGCGCGTCACTACTATTTGACTCCTGCGATGCAGAAGGAAACTCTTCCTCTTCCACCTCTTGACTATAGTCAGATTCATTATCATCCGCCTTCGTCTGTCTGTTTCTTGCCATGACTGTTGCGGTGCGCAATGGCGAGGAAGGTAGGGGAGAGACGAGGAAGTAAGTTAAGCGCGCAATGTCGCGTCCCTGATTCAATCACACGCGTCGTGTCACAAAGCGTGATCGTGACACTCACAGTGACATCACTCTAACCCGTACCATCACCGGGATCTACTAATGTCGTTATCGTCGAGGCTAGCCTCCTCCTGCCTGGTTCGTCGGGGTGCACCCGGCTTCTCTACCAGCGCCCTCCGCGCCGCCTCCAACCGCGCCGTCGTATATACCAAAAACGGCGATCCCACCTCCGTACTCACGGCTCTCACCCACCCAAAACTCCCCTCCCCGCCCCCCTCCACCCTCAACATCAAATTCCTCCTCGCGCCAATCAACCCCGCCGATATCAACGTCGTCGAAGGCGTCTACCCCGCGAAGCCCCAGCTCACATCTTCCCTGACCCAGTCTGGTCTGGGGAGCGCCGACACACCGGTGTACGTCGGTGGGAACGAGGGTTTGGCTGAAGTGACTGAGGTAGGCAGCGGGGTAGAGGGGGTGAAGAAGGGGGACTGGGTCATCATGACTCGTCCGCAAGCGGGCACTTGGTCCTCGAACAAGAATGTTTCGCCGCGCGAGCTTCTCAAGGTCCCTCGGGAGTTGGATGGGTTCAAACTGGATGAAGTTAGCGGTGCAACTATAACTGTGCGGTATTTACTCTGTGAACTGTCGTTATGCTGTTGCTCATAAATGTATAGGTCAACCCAGCGACGGCGTATAACATGATTCACGACTTTACGACCCTCCAGGAGGGTGACTGGCTGGTCCAGAACGGTGCCAACAGTGCTGTTCGTCCTTACTCCCTGTCAGCGAAGATCGTGGGGTTCTCACACGTATTCGCCACAGGTAGGACAAGCAGTCATTCAAATAGCCGCTGCCAAAGGTATCAAGACACTCAACTTCGTCCGCAATAGGTACGTTCGTGTGATCTTTGTCCTAGTTGCCTCTGCTCACACAGATGACGCAGGGATAATTTCTCCGAGCTGAAAGCCCAATTAACAAGCCTTGGTGCTACGACCGTCCTGACATATGACGAACTTGCCGATAAGTCGCTTCGTGGAAAAATCAAGGAATGGACGGATGGGAAAGTCTGTCTTGCTTTCTAGTAGTGATCCCCCCGTTCTATATCTGACATGGCCACTGTTTAATTTGAACAGGGGATTCGCCTTGGCCTAAACTGCGTTGGTATGCACTCTTCCTCAGGTAACCGTTCGTCAATTGCTAACAGGGCGACATACCAGGCGGCAAAGATACCACATTAATGACCCAACTCCTTGGGCAAGACGGCCACTTGGTAACATACGGCGCAATGTCCAAACAGCCTCTCTCGCTCCCCACCCCAATGTTCATCTTCAAGAACCTTCAAGCGCACGGCTTCTGGCAGAGTCGATGGTACCAGCAACGCGGTCCCGCGGAACAGGGGGAATTGATGAAGAAACTAGTTCAGTTTATGAGTAAAGGGCAGGTATGTGCTCGTTATTCACTCCTTGATTTTTGTACGGCCAATCTCATAATTCTTTCGTTCCTTAGCTTAGTCCCCCTGAACACGAGATTGTTACTATTGGTGGCCATGAATCAGACGAGACGGCCACCCAAAAAGTCAGAGAAATTATGTCTAAGCTTGCCGCAGGGCGTTTTGGGAAGAAAGTCTTGTTGCGCATGGAAGAAGTATCCTCTGACTAGATAGAATGTCAGTATTATTCTTACAACCAGTGCAGAATTACAGACAGTACAGGCTTGAGTGTGTGGATAAGATGAGAATCGTCGGGGCACGTGCTGGGGCGCATCTGTTATGACGATCCTGCCTGTGTGACGTCAGTGGCCCACTCCTACAGGCCACCGAGAGTATAAATACCACGCCTTCTCAATCCATGCCCCTCCTCCCAACAATGTCGCCCAAATCACCCAAAAGACGCACGTCTAATGGCTCCACAATGTCCATGTCGTCGACGGCGAACAACCTCCCGCCCGCCCGCCAATCCAGACCACTGAAATCGGTCTCACCGCCCCTCGCGTCGGGGTCACTCCACCGATTCATCTACATCCTCGTCTTCACCACATCCCTCATCGCGGCGTACTATTCATGGCGTGTTATGCAATATAAGACGGAGGTTGGCGGGTGGTGGAATCTCGCGTTGGGCAGACGACCACCTCAATTCGAGGGTGGATATGGCAATGTGAAAAGAGGAAGGGGAAAGAATAGTGCGCCGCAAGAGCAGACTGTGGAGGATAGGATAAACGCGTTAGCAGAAGCGTTGGGCATGCCGTCGAAGGAGCTCGCGTCAGCAATCGCCGTCGCGGTCAAGGAATACGTTCCCCCAGCCAGCCTCTCGTCTGTGGCTGCCAAAGAGACCGGCCCTGCCGTCGAAGCAATGCTGAACGCAGAGCCATCGAAAACTGGCAGCACACCATCGGAAGAAACAGCTGCTGGTGTAGTCGGGGGCATGTTCAGCGGGGTGGAAAGTTTTGTTGGCATGGACGAGCCCTAAGCACCCTTGCTTTAGGCCCTTCATGGAATGCGGCCGACTATCGTAGATCCCATCGCACGAGACATGTCTGTATCGCACCCTATCTCTTGACTAAAATTTGCGAGGTCGCTAGTGCAATTTGTACCTATGACCTGTTATCACGATGAAAGGAGCGCCAATTCATTGAGAGTGATAATACACCAAGCATTCTGAGTCTCAGAAAACCGGTTTGAATGTAGATCATGCCTGAAGTCGAGGTTGCCGATAAAGTACAGTACCTGAGATAGGGGTAGGGTATTTGGCAACATATCCCGCGACCAAACAACCGCCCGAAGTGTCGTGACCGGACACGACATTCACTTCAAAGTTTACGACCTTATAATGCCGACGAAACCCCTCGTTTCGCTCCCTCTTCTTCTCTTATTCTTCTGCGCCACCGTGAATGCTCTTCACTTCTACTTGGATGCGAATGAACGGCGGTGTTTCATCGAGGAATTGCCGACAGATACTGTAGTGGAAGGTGAGTATTTATTCTCCACTATGTCCGTGAAGTATGCCGCTAATTGAATAAAATTAGGCCACTACCGCGCGCTGGAATGGAGCGAGGGCCCGCAGGTATACGTAGAGAACCCAGAGCTTGGGATAATCGTCCAAGTCGACGTATGTTATTGCCTTCTCAGCCTCACTAAAGGCTTACTCTGACACCATACTTATGTCCCCTTGCACAGGAGACCGACAGCTCGCACACCGTCGTACGCACACGAGGCCCACACGACGGGCGCTTTACATTCACCTCCCACATCGCTGGCGACCACTCCATCTGCCTTTCCACCAACTACACCTCGTGGTTCTCCCACACCCACATCCGCATGTACCTCGACATCGTCGTCGGCTCCACCAAGGCAAACGTCGAGCAGGACCGCTCCCACGTCTCCGAAATGGCCGCAAAAGTGCGCGACCTCAACCAAAAGCTCGAAGATATCAGGCGGGAGCAGCAGTACCAGCGAGAACGAGAGGCAGATTACAGGGATCTGAGCGAGTCGACCAACTCGAGGGCGGTGTGGTATAGTGTAGCGCAGATTTTGGTGATTATTGTGACGTGCGCGTGGCAACTGAGGTATTTGAGAGTAAGTCTTTCATCTCCGCCGTCAGTGTGGTTCTGACATAGTACTCGTACACTAGCGGTTCTTTGAAGACAGGAAGATGCGATGAATATTCGTCCACTCGTGGCCTGTGATTGACTATCGTATCTTTGTACCTACTTTACCAAACTCCATCTAGTCAAACCTCTTTCTCCCGCGTTACTTGAGAACGGCTTGAAATTCACCGTCAAATTTGTAAGAAACAGAAAGTAATATTTACATCGAGTTACGGGAATAACGATACATCATGAGAAATCCAAAAAATTGCATGCATACCCAAAACAAGTTCGACAAATTCGACAGGTGCGTCACAGCAGGCTTCGCAGTGTTCGTGTCCTACGCAATTCATTTCCATTGGGACAGCAGATTCTGCCACGAACTATTCAGCTCTTCGTGCGGCGTGAATAGCTCGCTTGAGCTCTGTGCTACGTGTTCAGTTTGCTGCCAGTAGGGATTGATGCGAGTGTTGTTGCTGATGGGATCTCCGCTCATACTTGCGTAGTACGCAGGGTTCGGTTGGAAATGCATCATCTCTTCCTGTTGCGCTGTATAGGTGTAGGCACCCTGCTGCTGTGGCTGCGGGTGGACGCCTTGGGGAGAGAGTGAATACGAAGTGTTAGGGCTGAAAGTGCCAAAGTTCTGGAGCGGAGCGTTATAAGGAGGCCATGACGAGTGCGTTACAAGTGGCGGCTGCTGGAAAATCGGAGAAAGTTCTGACACGGTGGGTTGGGGAGGGGGTGACGCCGGCTGGGAAGTCGGGCTTGAAGTGTGGGACGGCGATGATGGCGATGACGGGGTCCTACGGGAGATCAGCCGCGTCTTACCGCTGAGGCCAGCGAAAACATCGTTCTCCTGCTTGACCAAGGGCGAGTTCGGATGCGCCGCATTGTACGCGCGGGCCGTTAACTTTCGCAGGATCGGCTGAAAGCAAACAGAGTGAGAAATACGTACTCCAATCATTATCAAACAAGGACCCACCAAGACCTTTTGTGCCCGAGGATTGTGTTCTACCTGAGAAAAGAGATTTGAAGCCGTTTCGAGATGTGAGAGGGCAGACGGTGCCAAGGCCATTCGGGTCTTTGCAGCGATTGATCCTAGGACAATCTTGTAGCTTATGTCAGTATAAGAACTATGATAGACGTGTTTGCATTTACTTACGGTGCATGAGAACACATGCGTGAAGAGAAACCACATTCGTTCGGTGAGGATTGGGTGTTGTTGGTAGAGGCTCTGGATCAGCCCCACGAACGAGCAAGCACTGGTATACGCCGCCAAAACCGACGCTGCGTATTTGCTGCCCATCGGGTCTTCGGGACACTCTTCTAGGGCCCGAGCGAAGAATCCGCGGTGCATGTAGAATATTGCTACGTACATAGGAGTCAGCAACCATGCACGGTAGGCGGACGCTATGACGGGTAACTTACTCATCTCCTTGATCGCAAACGCGATGTAGCGTTGCATGGTTAGCTCAACTGTAGGCCTTTCCAATGCATCGCCCCCAGTGACTCCCATGAAGCCGGGCACTTGAAGAGACGGCGGGATGTAAAAATCCCTGACGGACTTGTCGAGTTCTTGGATTCTCTTATAGCTTATTGGACGAGCCCCGAACGCTTGATCCTGCACATAGCTTTGGCACTCAGATGCAAATCTGTGTTTCCAGGCGGCGACTAAATCGAGATTCGCCTCGTTAGCATCCACCCACGGGAAGTAATCATGGACATACAAGTCATTTCGACGTCGCCTTTCTCATTCCTGGTCTTCTCGAACGGCATCTTAGTGTCGATGTGACATAGAGCAAACGATGGGGGCCTTCCAAATGTCAGGCTCTACAGAAAAGGAACACCATCGGGATATTCGAGAAAATCTGAGATATGCGGAAAGATGGCACTTTACCTGCCATGAATCGTAGACATAAATTTCCCATAGGAGACATCTGCGCTTTTGGCCCTCGACGTCGTCGAGATTCCATTGGCCACCGTCGCGATCTAAAGGGAGCTAAGCCCTCGCAAACGGCCACGCTCACTGTACGGTACTCACGGAGTCCAAGCTAACCGAGTATATGAAGGTTAGTCCACGCCCCTTGAAGAGATACATCCAGGTCTGACGTACACTATGTGCCAGTTTGACTACCAATCCCATGATGGCCCATCTCGGCCCTTCGATGTGCGAGAGAAACATGTAATGGCACATGATCAGCTACACGGAAGGACGGTTAGAATACCACAGCAGTTACGAAGCTGAGTTACGTACGAGGGCCTGGATTGCAGCGATAGATTGTTGTTCGAACACCGAGTCCAACGAGAGGGCTGCACGTCCGAGTTGATAGAGTTGGGAATGCTCATTCACGTCAATCGGTTTATCTAGATCCAGAAGTGATCCGAGAGCAAGGACCATACACAGGACAGCTAGGTCATGGGAAGTCATCGGTTCCTCCGAGGATGTAGCTGCACCATACATAGGCCGATACATATGTTCATAGAAGTCACTTTCAGTGATTGGTTCATACCTATAAAATGTCAGTCCGTGGTAAACACCTTGAGGAGGAAGGCCGAAGGGAGCTGCGCACACTTACATCCAAGCTGCGTGTCTGAAATAATTCTTGCAAAATCTTTGAGCAACTTCTTGTGGAGGAAGGAGATCGTAAATGGCTCCACGAAGACTGTCCGTGGTCTTGCTGATCGGGGGTGCAAACGGAAAGGCAAAACTCAACCACGGCAGTTCGGCTGGCTTTGAGAACTCGAATACGGTCCGCTGTTCTTCTGTGTCTTCTCCATCGCTCCCAGCTTCATTCTGAATTCCAAAAGGCTTTAATGCGAACTCACACACTCACAAAGCCAAGTTTTCTGACCTGTAGCAAAAGCTGTGTTGTGGGCGTAATTAGAACGGTAAGGGCGTCTACGATTATGTGTGGCACGTACCCAAGCGTTGGCTGCAGTACCAAAAAATGTAGTGCGGCCCTTTGGGGATATGGATCTAATATCCTTAGCTGAAGTAGATGAGAATTCGAAGGGCACAACTCACAAGTGGCCCATCGCATCTACAGCGTCTGCCTGATCGACTTTCGTTGTTCGCTCAATTGGCGAGGCATCAACCTCTCGCTCTAGCGGTCGTTTTATCTGTAGAAGTTCATCACTCAGTAGCTGGTGCCGCTCAGAGCTATATCTTGAGTGGGCCTCTTGAAGCGCGTCCTCCAGCTCTCGTACGCGTTGGGCCAGTTGACCAATTTTGTCATGTAAAGCCTCAGTGTTCGCCAGGACGAATCTAATCAACGTTCTCAGCCACGATATTTCGAGGTACAAAGAGGCAAAACTAGCGTACCGGTTGCCCTTTCCTGTAGTTAGAGAGCCTAGAAAGACATGATAAGATTGATTTATGTGAAAGCCACCTGCGAATGCTCACCATCGGGACAGATTGCAGAACATCCTTTCTTGACACAGTTACTGGTGTAAAAGATCAGCTTGAGCACAAGATTGCTGAGAAGACCCTGCACCTACCTACAAGGAAAGACTCGACTGCATCTGTAGCCGAGAGCCGGTCTTAGCAAATACTACGACGACCACGGAGTACTGACTCACTTCAACTTCAACCTGATGAGGAAAATCCATGATTAAAGCGGCATCTAATAATGATTATTGTAATCAAACCTTCGACATTCGGCACATGAAAGTGCTCCGCGATTTCGTCTGCCAGTCCTCATGACCAGCGTACTTGGTTCCTCTCGAGGTGAACTTGACGAAGCCATCGTAGCAGTAATCAAACAGCTTGGGAGAGTTTTCCAGGATTAGCAGCAGGTTTCGGTTCCTCTTGTAGAATTCCCTCGGATTCTAACCCGGCATGTGCACCCTGGCCAGATTGGTCGACGATCCCAGTACAGTTATCCGTCAGATCTCCCTAACGCGGCCGGTGTTTCAGCGCCGGTAACTAAGATCAATGTTGTGCTCTATTTGCGTCGTCCTCCGATTTATTTTTCTTCGGCTCTGCTGCTTGATTCATCACCACCACAACCAACCAGTGAGTCCAAATTTCCCTGATCGTACTATGATGAGTTTATTAGATGACGAGTCTGAAGCTGGAGGGGCAGAGTTTCTCTGTCCTAACGGAACGTGACGAGTCTTTCAACAATTATACCATTCATGCATAACTGATCTTTGCCAACTTGCATCTTTTTCGCAAAGAACTTGAAACTGATCAACGTTCTCCTACCCCCTTAGGCTCCCACACATCCGTTTCTCTACTATGCCAATTGAGGAGGATTGGTCCGATTCAGATGAGGACGATAGATCAGAGGTGGAAACCCCAGTGCTGCTTGGCGTCCCTGATGGTCCCATAGACAACGCAGCGGACACCGCCGACGCCGCAGTCTCTCGTATCGGCGGACATCCTGTACGGATTATCATTCCATGTCGTATGTACGCCTGTAACTTAATTCGCTCTCAACAAGGCATTTCTCCCTGCAAGGGAACCCGCGTTTGAATCGTCCCATTGTAAAGTTTGCGATCAGCCCATGGAATTATTAGTCCAGATGTGGTGCCCGTTCGAGAATTCTCCGATGGACCGAGCGCTGTATGTGTGGGGATGCGCCCGCGCAAAGTGCCAATCAAAGGATGGTAGGTAGGTTCTTTTCCGATCATGAGGAGACAAGGGTGAACGCTCGAATTTAGCGTGCGCGCGTGGCGAGGGCTACGATACAATGAAAAGTACGCCACCAAGTTGAAAGAGAAGCTTGCCAGGAAGGAGGCGAAGGAGAAACAGAAAGCCAAGGAAGTTGCTGCAAAGCAACGGAGTGCGCTGAAGGGAAACCCGTTCTCGTTAGGTGGTGGCGGGGCTCCTGGACCATTCGGATTGGGCGATCAACTGTTTGGTGGGGCCCCCACGCCATCGGTCCCTTCTACCCCGGAAAAAGGCGATGAGAGTGATGAGAGCGATGAGGAGAGTGATGCATCAGAGTCTTCCGACGAATCACTTCTGACGGCACTAGCATCGACAACTCTCGAGGATTCACCATGGTCTTCCGCGCCTGCATACCCACCCCTCTATCTGTCTACGCTATCAGAGTACATTCCACCCCCGCCGAAGGCAAAGTTACCTTCGGGCGTTCAGGTAGACGACGAACCACCAGAAGGAAAGAAGGGGAAAGGCGACTCATTCTCTTCGGAGGCGTACGAAAACTCTCTGGACACCGATCATGTTTTCGACAGATTCAACAAACGGGTGGGATACGAGGGGAGCCAATGTATTCGGTTTGTTCATTGTCTTGTTCAAATTGCATCCCAAGGTCTAATATTCTTTAGGTACGAGTTAAATGGCAGTCCGTTGCCTTTCGCCTCCGATGCGATATTCGATCAATTATTTCCTGTTCCTCCTGCGCCACCGTTACCCGTGACCAAGGCAGCGTTCACTGTTGTCCCACCCGTCAAACGTACATACAAACCCTCTGGAATATCTCCGTGTCCACACTGTAATTCTCCGCGTATCTTCGAAGTCCAGCTCATGCCCAATCTCATCAACGTCCTAAAATCGCAATGGGAGGGCAGCGACGATGCAGCGAAGTCTAAAATGACTGATGAAGAGCGAAGGAAGGCGGTGGAAGCGGCTTTAAAAGATAAGAGTGGGGATGCTAAAAGAGGGATGGAGTGGGGAACCTGTATGGTGTTTTCTTGTGAGAAAGATTGCCGGGTTGAAGCCGGTGGAACTCATGAGGCGAAGGATGTTTGGAGAGAAGAGGCTGTATTGATACAATGGGATATGTGAGTACCCTAACAATGTAGTGTTGCGATATAGGTAGATGCATAATGAGTCGTCCGTTGTTGTAGCCTGTAGTACTTGTAATCTGTCCGTCGCCGAATCTCGCTTGACGTTTACTGGGCCGTCGAGGTTCATGGGTGATTGAGATTCTTCCAACGACGTACTGGCGGCATGGAAGCAAACATATCGTTCACGACCGACTATTGAACCCATCCAATAGCCAACCTCTGACCAGGTATGTCGTCAAATCGCATGCTCAGCCCTTCTTCTGCTAACTGCACAAGAATCTCTTTATCCACAGCATGTTCTTGGTCAACGCTTATGGTGAAATCCACGCTTAACTGCCATAAACCATGCCGAAAGATGTTATCGGGATGAAACCGAGAACGAACCATTTCACCCAGTAGCCCATCCGACGACCAAAGGCAACCATCCATAAACTGAATGCTCTCGAGATGTGGGCACAGCCCTAACCCCACCCCAACATGTTCGTCGGTTGCACCGGGGAGTGTGGGGGCTTCGGCGATAGTGAGCCTCTGAAGGAGTTTGTCGCAGACATTCCGTACAATTCTGCCAGAGATAGAGAGCCTGGTGAGAGTCTGCTGCGATTGCTCCAAGCAAGCGATTATATCGTCCTCGGAGATGTTAACCTTCTCTAGTATGAGTGTTGCGAGTGAGGTTCTTGAGCGGGCAATGAAGGAGAGGTATTGTGTCCGAGGCCAGGCGGGAATAGTGGTGCTCCCTATCGGGATGGTTATGGTAAGCTTGGTGAGGCTAGGAAGAGTGAGAGCGTCGAAAAGCTGCGGCACGGTGGGAGAGTCGGTATAGATGCGTATGTCGAGAGATATCAGAAATGGGAGTCGAACCACAGGAAGGGTTGAGCTATCGATAAAGCCATCCTTGAAAACTGCAACAGCCAAACAGGCTGTTAACGAAGTGCTTTGACTGAGGATGTCCACCAGCAACGGGAATAATATTGGGCAGTGCAACCACAGCGTCGTTAATTGGTGCCAAGGTACCTGGACACCTAGACGTGCATGCAAGGGGTGGGACCATACCCACCGCGTGAGCCGAGTGCAGGATGACAACATCCTCGAGAGGGCGTTCAGCTGTGATTGCTGGAGAGTTATACGGGCTTTTATTTCTGCATCCTCAAGCAACGACGGGGATGCGTTCCCTAGTGCATCCCAAGTCTTTTGGTCGAGATCAGCGAGGGTGAAGTCGATCTTCCGCCAGCGGCTTGCATGCTCAAGGAGAACGGGAAGAGCGATATTCTGCGAGCTCCTCAACCCATTGGATTGGCCCTGATCGGCCAATAGATTACGTTGGCAATCCATAGTGATGTCAAGGGGACGTATCCCAGAGCGAGCCAGTAAGAGCTTTATGAGATTTAGGTTGGGGACGAGACGTCCATCTGGAAGAGCTCTGATATGCAACCGATCCCATAGTTCAGGAGTAGCGTAGGAGACGTCTCGCCACAAGCGGCAGACCCCTGCGACCCGCAGGGCTTGTGTAGGGAGATGCTGTATGGAAAAGGCATGAAAGATCTTGGAAAGCAATTCTAGTGGCAGAGTGTTTATTATGTTCGGAGCTGGGTTTTCGTCGGCGGCGGATAATAAATTGTTGGAAGGTGGCTCGCCGTAAGACAGGTACGCTGCCAGTTCTGCGTCGGATTCCGAGATCATGGGCATTTCAAGCCTCATACAACGTGCCGTAGAAAATATAAACTACGAGTACAAGTAAGTATATACATGACGGATGCCATTGAAGAAGTAAAAGCTCACCTCAGTGTTGTGGGGGTCTCAATTTATTTACAATAGCTCAGGCGTCCGAGAAATGAAGATGACTTCAGATATATAGAGATATGAGCTCGCGTGTAAATGGCGGACGTTGTATTGGCGGCGATTAGAAAAGACGTGATAATGCTAATGAAGGATGGTCCAAGACAGTGCAGGTTAGCTAGCACATAGACCATGTGCCAACTTGCCTTTTTAGCAATTCTACTTTTGACTCGTCGTGGGTTTGTTGCTAGTACCCCAACGCATGCCACCTTTCCAATGGGATAGCCAACACGCCTACTCTACATTGAAACGAGCGATATTATTATCGGACGGGTATCCATATTGTAAGGATCGTAATAATTGACAGCAGTATACAGTGAAATAGATGAAGCGAAAAGACATCCCAGTGGTACACGGTCCCCAGCATAGACAATACAAATCAACGGATTGCAACTCTGCGAGAGGCTACATTATTATGCAGCCGCTACTGGACCCTTTTGACCTTGTACTCAACGACACGCGGGCAGCTTCGTAGAAGACTTCTGCTACACCCCGATTGTGCTTCGAGCTGCATTCTATAGCGATAGACATCAATGAGTTCACGTCGCTTCGGATGAGGGACATGGCATTCGACATCTACGTACCTAGATATCTTGAGGCTCGTATTCGTCTGGCAACGGCAAGCCCTTCCTCATACTCCACTGGATGTGTGCCATATCGGATCAGTCTCTCCTTCACCGCTCGGTCTTCACGAAGATCGCATTTGAGCGCTAGGGGGGTATTTTTAGTGTGCATATTGAGTAGTAGAAGGATGTGCAACATGCCTACGAGGACCAACTGCTCCCAGTTTCAGCATATCGAAAGTGGAACTTGCTAGAGAACGCACCTTTACGCCGGGACAATACTCCAGGATCTCGTCTAGCCACTGGATTATAGTGCAAGGCACGGCGGCGAGAGAAGACCGTAAGTCAAGCGGGCCATGATCAAGGCCGACACAAGGGAAACTAACCTTTGATTCGACATTCTCCAGGGATGTTGGATTGTCAACCTAGAAATGAGAATTAGAATGAGATCCGATACGCAGAGTGCATCAACAAAATAACAAAGGGTGAAATTGTCATTTGCCATCCATTCATGAATCAAAGTTGAGTGAAAGGACGTACCGAGAAACATATCATTATAACATGAGTTTCTGCATAACTCAGCGACCGTAGACGATCGAATTCTTCTTGGCCTGAGCAACTCCAAGCACTATCAGTCATTTAATGCGGCAGAAGAATACACGGGCCTCCGGGGTGATCGCAAGGAATGTGCCGTACCCGCTGTATCCCATAGACTTAGCTCGACGAGTTGGTCGTCGACTTGTATGTCGTGTACGTAGTTCTCAAACACCGTTGGTTCACTGGAGGATTGATAAACAGATGGAGTGGCAACGAAGGCACCAAAGTGGAGATTGCGAATTAGGGTATATGCCGGGGTCGCGTAGATAGGGACGCACTATACGGAAGTAAAAAAGCCTCTTGTGAAGACATTCAAGAGCGATGTCTTTCCTGTAATGTTTATTAGCACTTTATGCCGTGGTCCACATGTCTATATCACGCACCACAAGCACCGTCACCACATACCACGACCTTCTTCTGAACCTTCAACAATCGAATAGGGCAAGTCAGAATCGGTTATCAAACCACATTCTCGAGCATTGTAGAACAGAGACCAGAAGGGAATCGTTTCGCGAATATTTGGACAATGAACGTTTGTACGTTCGGGAATTGCGAGGCCTTGGTAATGTCGGTATGAAGGGACCTACCGGTCGTCTCCCAAATGAGTTCCCTCTTGATGTTCCACAGATTCCCATAGCTTGATGTCCGCGCGAATGAAAGGAGGTTGCGGCGGAATAGGCGTAGCGTGAGTGCAGCGTTGAAACCACTGAACTTAAAGTGGCAAAGGAAACACCAAGAAATGGGCACGTGATCCTCGATCAAGAAAGTGACTTTAGGGGCTTTCATTGAGAGTATCAGGTTCCTTCGAGGCGAAGGCCGACATACACTATCTGATCATGCTGTGATATACTTTAGAAAGTAAGCTCTGAAATGGCATGATCATGTATCAGATCTGCGGCTTGTGAGCGTAGCGATATTGCCACCAGCAAAGTGATTGTGAAAGACATCGAGAAGTACTCAAATCCTCTAGTTCCAACAACACATCCCGTGCAACTTTTGTAATAAACGAGATAACGAAGCAAATGCAAACATATAAACAGGCGACCGCAAAGGTTGCCCAAAGCGAGGCATGTCAAAGTCTAAGATATTCCAGCAGTTAGTTTCACCTGGTGAGTCCATATGTATGTATGATGTATATATGTAGTATGAGATGTCCATGGATGACAGTAATCATGGCATATGCGACAGCAAATCTATAAATGATAGCACGGTACCTTCAGCTCACCAAGCTTCTCTTCCCCCCTCACGACGCCGAACCGCTAAAGAAGCCAGGACCCTCCCTCAACACAGGTCCAGGCGCTCTCAAAGTCTGACCGGCCGCAGCGCCAGCAGCCCCTCCGGGCGTAAAGGTCCCTGCATTACCCATATCCTCCCTCCCACCGAGGTTCAAACTGCTCGGTGCAGCGCTCCCCCCATAGGTCGCTCCCCCATACGGACTTGCCCCAAACGAGGTGGACCTAAATCCAGAACCTCTAGGGTACATCGACTGATACTGGGGAGGCGGAGGCGGAAGAATCACAGGCTGCACAGGCATCGAGTAGCGCAGGTCGAGTTCCTCAAGCACCGTCCTGAGGTTCCGCATGAACGCGGTGCGGCGAGCCCAGCGTCCGCCCCAATCTTGCCAATTCGGACGGTCTACAAATGATGCATCATGACCCACGCTCAGCTAACCTGCTTCCGGTCCCATAAATATGCTCTACTCACGTTCTATAGCCACGATCAAATGGATTGCGTTTTGGTACTCCATTTTATCAATGTTCAGTGCGCAGCCGGACCAGTCCCTGTTGTTCGCCTGGACATACGCACTAATTTTGTTCCTCAGCTCCTCCAGTTTCTCCAGGGGTGTATCATATGATACCATCAGCTTTGTTGTCTCCCACATGGAATTGGAGCGACGCAGATTGTGGATCAGCTTCGCGGAGGCAAGGAGGGCATTTGGGGCAATGATCTCTTGACCATCAACACGCCTGAACGTGGTCGAAAATAGACCGAATTCACGGACGAAAAGAGGCTGAAAAATTGTAGCGATGAGTATATTTTTGTATTCAACGGTCAGATGGTTGGAAGATGGCAACAGGACGTACCTGATCATCAATCATAACAAGATCTCCAACATCAAAGACGTGGGTCGAGAAGATGAAGATAAGCTAAGGCACCGTAACGGTTAAATTCATCTGGCGACATGAAGACACTAAACATACCGATTCGAATAATGTCTGCGCCGAGTGACCGAAGATGAACGAGAATCCTAACACGATTGTCGCGAGCGGGACCAATGATGCCAACGTGTTCTTCCTATTGAAGATGAGAAGCGCGGCGAACAGGACGATGAGTAGCGCAATACAAAGGAGAACGGCGTCGAGTTTAGCTACAATAGAGCCGACGTCCTGGAGAAATGCGACATCGAACATTTCGTTAAGATAAGGCCCGATACTTTGGAGATTGAAAGCCTACCTTCAAACTAGCGGTCAAAGCTTTCCTCTCCCGATAAATTCTTTGAACAGCCTCCCTCATCTCCTTCTTCGTAATATCCCCATTCCCATCCTTATCAAACAGCACAAACGCAGCTTTCGCCTCTTCCTCGCTCCTGAAATATGGGATGAAATCGTCCACGACGAGATGGCTCCGTGGGGGATCGCTCTGACTCAAAGCACTGAACAGCTTCCTAGCCAACCGTCTCGCAGAGTGCAACCCGCCAATCTCGCCTTCCCGATTGAACCGTGAATTCTTTAACGCAACTTGACCAATAGCACCGCCGACTTGATCGACGATGATCGACGCCATGGCTTTCTTGCGGCGTTGCTTACGCGCGGATTTGGACATATCTTTTGGATTGGCATGCTTTTCAAAGATGGGGGAGCTCTCCAGGCTAGAAGGTCCGCTCTTTGGTTGCATGGCGAGCCCGTCCATGTTACCCAAGCTAGATGCGTTGTGCTTATGTCCCTTTTCTCCCTTACCAATCCCAAAGGAATAATGCTTCCTGGAGGTCGGAGTCGTGAATTGCGCATTCGAAAGCCGGTCGAGGGCCTTGAGTCCTGCCCTGTTCTCGCTCAATCTATCTGCAAGAGCCTTTTCGTGGAAATTGATTGCAACGAAATGCAAAAAGACCTTTTCGACAAGAATGATTATGCCTGCCGCGAAAAGTGCTTGCATCACACGGTTGACGGTCGACCAGTACGTGCCGGGTGGTTTGTAGACCTCCTGCAAGACGGAAAGCGCAATCCAGGCCCAGCTGATGTCAAGGGCGAGTTTGATCCATCCCGAGACGGCGGAAGTTAGCTAGAAGGAGTTAACGAGTTCAATGCCTAATATATACCAGAAACCACTCAATGAAAACGTACTTCAAGTTGCATCTTAATGCGCTCCAGCTGGCCGCCGAACATCCATGTGACCGCAACAATCAGTCTTGGGAGGCCGTCCACGACAAGATACGTGACACATCCAGCAGCCCATGCGATAGAGAACCACAGCGACCACAAGCGAACATGGTCATACACCACATTTTGCCTAAACTCCAAATGCACCACGATAAAGGGCGTTATGAGGATACCGGCGCCAAGTATGCTGAGTAGAATGACTCTTATCGGTCTCGCGAGCATCATGAATGCGACCCATAAAGCTCGGAAGCGTTTGGCCTTCTTCCGTTCTGCCGGATCCGGGCGAGAGAACTCGTCGTCGTTGTCCCAGTCGAACTCATCGTCCGAGTTTGTTGCCGTCGTGTCCGTATCAGAGTCGAGTGATTTTGTCTGGACATTGCGCGAGGCCTTCGACGGCGACGCTGGCTCCGAATGGGGGGCGTAGTCGCGCTCCTTCGTGAGGGGAATGTTCAGCGCTGGCAGTGATCCAGTCGCTGCCATCGTCGACGGTGATGAAGGTAGGAAGGAGAGAAGGAGATCAGAGCAAAAACAAACTCAAGAATGATTTTCGTCCGAATTTCAAGTTGTTCGTTGCTACTTTACTGACAAAATGACGTCACGAGTGGTGGATAAATCTAGAATCACAAGAAACCCCTATTCGTCTTGTTCCTCTCATTCGCATAGTATCACCACGTATAACACAACGTGCAGGATGGGATAATGTAGCGTGTAATAGGCAATTGCTACGTGAGAACTATCTTTGATAATGAATGCATAATGATATTTACATTAGACAATAAGTAGATAATGTAAGTAAGCATTATTCTCACAGTCAATATGCAAACATAACATGAAACAAACTTAATCCTTAGCCTGAGAATATCCTATTAACATAATGACATAGTCATTCCGTAGTAATTAGATATTGTGCGGGTATTGTGTTGGTAAGTATACAGAAAATATAAGTCATTGTTTATTCAATATTGATCGTCTATTAGAGTGTCCATTACACGGTCAATATCTTTTGTAGCATTTCGGAAATCATTGACTAATGTATGTGCTATTGATTCCATAGTTATTGCATATTCCCCTTGTTAATTTGTATTCAATATGTTATCTCAATGGTCAGATATCCATTGCAGATTGTATGAGATAGACTTCATGTATTCCATGCTACATTATGACTGATATCTGGGATTAATATGTATAAAATATGTGATTGTAATATATGGGAAATAGGTGATCATGGTATATGGGGAATACATGATCACAATATATGGAGAATATGTGATTGTAGTATATGGAGAATATGTGATTGTAGTATATGGGGAATACATGATCACAATATATGGAGAATACGTGATTGTAGTATACGGGGAATACGTGAATGCAGTATATGGAGAATACATGAATGTAGTATATGGGAAATACGTGAATGCAGTATACGATGAATATGTGATTGCAGTATATGGAGAATATGTGATCACAATATACAGGGAATACATGATCACAATATACGGGGAATACATGATCACAATATACAGGGAATACATGATCACAATATACGGAGAATAAGTGATTCAAGCTCAAGTGTTCTGTATTCAGGAAGCCCCTTAGGGGCTACCAGGGGCATGCTCACAATGCACATGCATGCAGATATGGACTCAGACTACAGATACATGTGGCTACTAGTATATAGATAGTCTTGTACTGTGCACAGTGACCTTAGCTCAAATATTACTTTCTTCCTCACACAAACAAATGTTCAGTGGTGTGAATTGGTGGCAAGTTGCATTACGGCCATCCTGAGGTATGGATGTATTTGGTTGCAGTGGTTGCATCAAGCACTCAGAGTACTATCAGTGTGACAAAGGTTAAGATTTTGTTCCTCGTGTAGCCAGTGTTCTAGGAGCCACCATTCTCGTTGATTGTGGTTGTGTTCATCTTTACGCTCACAAAATCTGCCTCCACAGATCATACAGGTCCCGGGAGGTTCGCAAAGTTATCCCCCTCAATCCTACTATTCACCACCAGGACCGCAAATACCCCCCACTCAGGTCCTTCTACCTCAAGGTTCGCAGTTTCCTGGGCAGTATCCACCTGGACAGTATGCGCCTGGGCAGTTCCCTCTTGAGGGGCAGCAGCCTACGGTGGTTGTGATCCTGGGGTTATGGTTGTGTTTGTCCTCGCGCTCTTGCTCTCATTCCCCTCGACATGATCAAGCTCCATTTGTTGTACAAGCCCAGCCTCCTACCACCATGCAACCTACCCCAACACCCCTCATAGTAACACAGAGCCCAAGTCACTGTAGCTGTTCATGCAGCCGTTCATGTTCGCCTCGTTCTCGTCCTGCGACATATCTACCAGAACCCAGCCAGTATGCACCAAGTCGACCACATACCGCTATGGAGTGACCACAGGACAGTGAGCGCCCAAATGCTGATCACCCTCACTGTGACAGCTCTGCCCGTAGATCTTGTTCCGTCACGGAAGTCCTTCTCGGCACTGTACATTACGTTATGTATGCACCGTACGTTACGTATGCACCGTACGTTACGTATGCACTGTACGTTACGTATGCACCGTACGTTACGTATGCACCGTACGTTACGTATGCACCGTACATTACGTATGCACCGTACGTTACGTATGCACCATACATTACGTATGCACCGTACATTACGTATGCACCGTACGTTACGTATGCACCGTACGTTACGTATGCACCGTACGTTACGTATGCACTGTACGTTACGTATGCACCGTACGTTACGTATGCACCGTACGTTACACATATGATGCATATGTTCGCTATGGTTTCATATGTACTCCTTTTGGTCATAGACGGAGGAGAGCGGAGGTGGCTGGAATCAGGGTTCACAGTGGGCGATCTGGGTGAATGATACGGCGCGAGGTTAGGAATGTTTTCTGGACCCGTGACTGGAAGGACTTATTCTGATGGAAGCAGCGAGCTGACGGTCAACGACAAAGCATATGAGGACTCTTGTTTGGATGAGCATGACAGAGACGATTCTGTGATCAGAGAGGGTGACTTAGAAGAGATGTTGGATTTTGCCAATTCTACAAGCTCTATGGGCCCTGCAGGCTCTGCGGAATCATAAGAGTCATCAGTCTTGCCCGCCCAGAGTGATGGAGAAATAGTGACAGGGGTTGCGTGCACTGAGCGGGCAATGTCCAGCGGGCTTGATGGTGTTAAGCTGCTTGAAGTTGGAGTCAATGATGATTCAATAATGCTTGATACAGACAAAAATGGCAGCAGCAGGGTTAAGGCTGATTCTTTACCGATTGGCAACGGGCCAGGCAATGAACTTTCTGTCAGCTCCATAGCACAGAAAGATATTGACAAAAAAGTAGCGAAAAGTAGGCTAAAATGTGTAGGCTCAGAGGCATTGCTTCTGTTACTTTTAGGCTTTCACAATGTAGTAAAAGTAAAAAAGGGAGCAAGTGAGATGTAAATTCCCTGATGAGGGGTCATCTTGTCCAAGTAGAGTCAACCATACCAAAAATAAGGAGACCCCTCTCATAGTCCTTGGTACAACCTTAATGTTTCCATACTCAGGTCAGGGAAAGTGCACTGCATATTTCCCCCACTCTAGGATCACATATTCCCTGTATATTGTGATCATGTATTCCCCGTATATTGTGATCATGTATTCCCTGTATATTGTGATCACATATTCTCCATATACTGCAATCACATATTCATCGTATACTGCATTCACGTATTTCCCATATACTACATTCATGTATTCTCCATATACTGCATTCACGTATTCCCCGTATACTACAATCACGTATTCTCCATATATTGTGATCATGTATTCCCCATATACTACAATCACGTATTCTCCATATATTGTGATCATGTATTCCCCATATACTACAATCACATATTCTCCATATACTACAATCACATATTCTCCATATATTGTGATCATGTATTCCCCATATACCATGATCACCTATTTCCCATATATTACAATCACATATTTTATATATATTAATCCCAGATATCAGTCATAATGTAGCATGGAATACATGAAGTCTATCTCATACAATCTGCGATGGATATCTGACCATTGAGATAACATATTGAATACAAATTAACAAGGGGAATATGCAATAACTATGGAATCAATAGCACATACATTAGTCAATGATTTCCGAAATGCTACAAAAGATATTGACCGTGTAATGGACACTCTAATAGACGATCAATATTGAATAAACAATGACTTATATTTTCTGTATACTTACCAACACAATACCCGCACAATATCTAATTACTACGGAATGACTATGTCATTATGTTAATAGGATATTCTCAGGCTAAGGATTAAGTTTGTTTCATGTTATGTTTGCATATTGACTGTGAGAATAATGCTTACTTACATTATCTACTTATTGTCTAATGTAAATATCATTATGCATTCATTATCAAAGATAGTTCTCACGTAGCAATTGCCTATTACACGCTACATTATCCCATCCTGCACGTTGTGTAATACATGGATCCTATAGTGGTATCTGTCTCAGGAAACGACTATGGCTCTAACTGTGTCACAGTGTCTGCGCCAACCCTCCAATCCCTGTCTGATTCCACCAGCTTTCGAAACGTCGACAAGCGCGTATGGGCACAAAGTGACTGGAATAATTAGGCTGACCGTATGTGCATTAGTGTTGAAAGTAGCACAGACGACATCGTATACTTTCTTAATGACTTATACTTGTCACCAATGCTGTACACCCAACGCTGCGCTAATGGTTGAGATGGACATTCAGCAGACTCAAGGCGAAATTCTCCTTTTGTAGGGCCTGGCTTCTCAGCCCTTCAAAGAAACCTGCAGCCAAGGCAAGTCCAATACCATACACCCATCGAACAGTAGACTGTCATACCAAAACTTCCCAGAGAGGGGAGCCTCTTCATTTGCGAAGGTAATGCGGCTCCTTCATTGAGTCAGGTAAACAAGATATCCTGAGACGTGTGTTTACTACTTAACATCCTGCCATTCTCTTATCAGCTTCCTCACACATCTAGACTTCGAATCGCGGTAGGGTCGTCAAGGGTAGTTGGATACATTGCTGCCCGGAGGAAAGCTAGTGATACTTCAATTTCCTTCAGACAATAGTATTTTGTACTCCGGACAATGTACGACATATCCTACGAAGTACTCTGGTAAAACGTTGATTCGTATGCTTCCTAACGAACGCCCTCCTCACCCACAGTACAAGGAAGTAAATAAGCTCGACGTCCTTCTATACTCACAAGACCAAATAACCCTTAATAGCGATTCTCACGGTTACGGTGTCCATGTACCTTGAACGTGTTGAGTGCAGTATTAGGCCCTTTCGAATTGCGTTATCAGATATTTCCTGGGCCAGTAGCGTCGGTGCTGTAAAGAGCTGATCATGCAATATACGAGCTAAACTGAAAGAAGAGTCTGCAGAATGTGTGCAGTCTGCTTGCGATGACGCCTACATAAGCTGATGCGCTAACTTCCAAATATGAGCCAAGGTTTGTAGCCGCGTTACGCTCTTCCTTTCTATCATTTTTCTCTTCTCACCACGACAGGGACACCCTCGTCCCCAGTCCTAATGTCCCTCTCTTTGTCTGCTTCTGCGACAGAAGTCAACGGCAATGGTAACGGTATCGACTCAGGCTCATCGGACTCGAAGTTCCCCCATACCAAAGCCCAGCTCTCACTGATCGCGCGGCAGAGCAAATCCCCAGACAGCTACGACAGCGACGCTGAAGGGGATGACCAGAACCGCGTCTCGTTGAATCTAGCCTCGAAAGTCGTGTTCTACCTCGACAATGAGTTGGAGGATGATCTGAAGAAGTTGCTCAAGGACAGCTTCGGGCTCGATGATGAAACGGTGCGGTTTTTTATCTTCCTCAGCGGGGCTTGCGTTGAACGTCGGCCAATGTACAGCTAGAGCAGAGTGTGCTGGACCTTATGCACAAGCATCGCGACGATGTCGCAGGTGTCCCATTCCTGTTCCTGACACCGACTCGTCGCCCTATTTCCCGGCCATCGTCTAGAGCTTCTTCGCATTCTACACGGCTCTACCCCGCAAGGCCTGATACCCCGACTTCGGCTCCGACTTCACCTCTCGCTATGGTCTTCCGTAGACCCCACACTCCCGTCACGTCGCCTCTGGCAGGTGGCACTAATGGGCAGCCGTCATCTTATATGTCAGCTCGCAGCTTGGAAGGGTATTCACCGCACTCTTCCCCAGTGCTAGCTCACGCGCAAGCTACCCAAGCACATGCTCAGTATACAGCAAGTTTACCCGCTTCGCCGCTATCATCCCCTCGATTGCTCAACGCAAAGGCCTCTGAATTCAAGCCCATTCAGCGGCCGCTGTCCGCGGCGTCATTCATCCCGGGATTCTCGCATTCTGTTCAGCGCTCGGATACACCATCACCTGATCTATGGGCACACAATTCCCCTCGCGCCACGTCGAATCTGGCTATTGCTGCTCCATTGATACCGGAGCAATCTAACAGCAGCTCATCACTCCGCTCATCCCTCCAGCCGGAAGATGACGACGACGACGTCGATTTCGACCCATTTTCGAACAAAGATATTACCCCGTTCCCCATCACTGTCTCTGATTTTGATACGCCGTGGTCAACCACCAATTCGAACGCCTCCATGTCGCCGGAAGACTACCGCTACTTCGATAATTTGGGATACCAGCATCCCTACTACACAGATATGGACACTCAGTCCCCGCCTGAAAGCAATGATCCTGACTCTGAGAACTTCATGCTCACTGACGGCATGACTCCATTCGATGTTCTTAGCTCTGTATTTGGTTCGACATTGGCCCCGTCTGAATTAGAAGATGCCCTGGCTAACAATGGCTACGACTTCGAGCGGTCGATGGCATGGCTCATTGATCGCTCCCTGCCCACGACGACCCAAGGCCATCAAGTTCGAGTGCAACAGATGGGTGGCCGAGTGACTGTAGTGTCCCGAGATGGGCAGAACGGGCAAGGTAATATACCCATTCGAGGTGGTAGGGCTGGGTACAACAACACTAGTCCTCCAGGACGCCCTGGTGCCCGATACGTCAACGGAAGGCCTGTCCAAGGTGGAAACCGCGTTTGCAGATACTTCGTAGCAGGAGAATGTCTCCGAGCCGATTGTCGTTTCAGGTGAGCTGCTTCACCCCCTCATCAGCATCCTTGATTGACACCGCACTAGCCACGACCTAGAAAGGGCTTTGTGTCGATTCTGGCTCCGTGGTACCTGTGCTAAAAACGAGTCGTGCGAGTTCCTGCACCATCTTCCCAAGGATGTGGATATCAATAGTCTCAATGCAGCCGTCGCCCGAGCACATATAGGTCCAGGGCAGGGTCCTTTAGCCCCTGCCCACGCTGCGCCTGTAGACGAATTCCCCGTTTTGAATTACGAAGGCGGCGATGGCAGAGCTCGCAGAGGTGGCGGCGGGGGCTACTACGACCCAAGTCGGACGCGCTTCTCGGCCGCAGTAAAGAAACCCGCAGCCGAATCACCAGCCGCCGTAGCAGCTCGCCGCGAAGTCATGGGTAGCAACGCCGATGCCCTCCACAATATAACAGCGATCATCGCACCTAGGCCGTCACCAAGGCTGAAGTTGCACCCACCCACCTTGCTGCCGACCCTGCCCACCGGCGAGGCTTTGAACGGGCTGTACATGTCGTACCGTTCTCGGGCGCTGCAGCTGGGTGCGGCTCGAAATGCCTGCTTGTCCCGCGCTGCCGCTGCTTGGCGACGTGGCGATGGCGCATCCGCAAAGCGGTTCAGCCGCGAGGGGCACGAATTGAACGCCAAAATGAGCACTGAGATGGCGGATGCGGCGGGTAAACTCGTTCGAGAGCGTGCGAAGACAGCAGAGCAAGCTGTGCGGGCGAGGGATGTGGCCTGGTCTGACGATCCTGGCGACCGAGCGAGCCGTGGTCGCCCGTGCGGAGGTGGTCTCGGGATTTGCCTGGGGATTGCCCGACGTGACACCGGGGATGGCAAGCTGACATCCGAGGAAAGAACAGAATGTGTGCTGGACTTGCATGGGCTGCATTCCAATGAGGCGACTGAGGTGCTGGAGCAGTTCTTGTTGTTGGTGAGTCGTGCTTCGAAACGCCCGACAGGCGGCGACACTTTGATCCTAACGTGACGTTACGTAGCTTGAACGCGAGCATTTTTACGGATTAGGTGAGTGTTTCATGTCTTGGCTACGGCGGTATGATTGACGGGGAAATATCAGCGTACATCGTCGTTGGCGAGGAAAAACATACGGGTACTCAGGATGCTGCCCGCGGGGCCTCCAGGCTGCGCCTAGCAACTGGCGTTCGCGAATGGCTTCACCGCTGGGGTTACCCTTGGAGTGAACGAGACGGGATTATAGCGGTTGATGCGCTAACACATGCGTCGGAATAGTAACTGAAAGAATAAAAGTTTATGCAAAGGTATATAAACTTCCATGAAGTTAGAGAACTAAGATTATGTATTCGTGTATGTATCAAATGGTAATTGTACAGTTTCTCCCTGTCGTTTGACCTTTGAAGTCGTCTTGACATCAAGGAAACGGAAACATACCCGTTGTAACATCGGAGGAATCAAAGTTTAGCGTGTTCCACGTGCTCCGCTGGCAGTGTGCATTTCGCCAATTTGTATGGCCATTTAGCCACGACTCCTTTTGTTCAACGACCATGACCACTCACGACGAAGACGACGCCCATCGCGCATTTCTCCCAACCGCCCGCCATTCGATTGATCTCAGCATTGATTTGGAACATCAGCTTACATATCTTGAATCGCAGCCTAACACGCCGGCGGATACCCTTTTTGCTCCCAATGCGAACCCGCAGCCAGGAGATGAACGCAAACGCGAATCCCTGGATCCCCACGTTCTCGCATCGATAATAATGCAGCTCCGGCAATCCCTGGGGAATATGACCAAAGAACGAGACGACCTTCTTGCGATCGTCAGCACAGCAAACGCGAATGAAGCGAGGCTGACCGATGCATTGCAATTGACGACAGACAAATGCACAACCATGGAAGAAGAGCTTACAGAGGCTCGCCGAAAGATTAAAGATGACGAAGACGCTATCGCCATGTTGAGATCTAAAGTGGAAGAGAGCAGGTACGTTTCCGCTACCTCGGAGCGCTCAATTACTAAATGTTACTCAAGGCGGGGCCTCATGCGCCTGCAGACCGAGTCAAGGAGGCAATCTACAGTCCTTGCAGCACCAGATATGGGGCGGGCAACTTCAACGCCACTGGCGTCCAAACGCGCATCATTCACCCCCCTTTCCCTATCATCCCCCTCCAGCTTCACGCCGCTCAAGAACGCCCACCGACGGATATCATCGGTATCCGACTCCGGAAGCCTCCTTGGTGGCGACCTGCGCAACAGCCCCCACTCACAGCAATTCCCCTTCAACGAGCCCGACCAGGGCTCGCGCAGGCAGTCGATGCACTTTGGTCGATCGCCGCCTCGCATGGAACTCATGCTCTCCTCCCCTGATGCGTCGATCATAGCCGAGGTCGAGTCTCTCCGCGCCGAGATCAAGACGCTGAAGAATGAGCTGGAGGAGGCACGTCTCGAATTGGGAGAGGCGTTCGAGGCTCGGGATGCGAGCGATACCTGCGTGAAGGCGCTTCGAGAGTTTATCGCAGAGAACAACGTAGGCACGCCAGAGCAGCCTGCAGACCTCAAACCGCCGCCAGTGCCAGCGTCTGTCGCCTGGCAAGACCCCACGTCGAAGGCAATGCCCGCGAATCAAGGGTGGGGATTCAAGCTCTGGAACACCAAGGCGACTGCTGCGGCTGCGCCCGCCCCCGCTGCTGCGCCTGCCCCTGCGCCCCCTGCGTCGGTCACGTCGCCCGCGCCATCGACAGCCGAGACCGCGTCGATCAGCCGCAAACTGGGCGGGTTCTTCTCGTCGCGCGCCAGCATTTCGTCGACAACCTCGTCGAATTTCCCCACCACCGCCAGTACGGCACTCCCGCGATTAGATACGGCGAGAACGCGCGACTCATCGGCGTCAGATGTGTCGTCGATGGCAGACTCGCTCGCTGAACCGATAAGCCCGCTTTCAAGGAGCGGGGACGCGAATGCGAATGTGCTGGTGCGTGATCTGACGAGCATAAGTCTGGGAGACGCGCAGGAAGATAGCACGCCTGCAAAGACCTTGCCAGGCGTACCTGGTATCGCAGCGTAGCGTTGCTGTTCGTTTTTTGTTCGTTCACTTTCGATATGTATATGTATTATTTTTATCCCCGAGCATGATCAACATAGCATCCTTTCGCATGTCAATGCCATACCTTATATGTGGCGGCGGTGAATCACCACCGGCGAAGCCGATCTTCAATTTGTACATCCGCTTCAACTGTTTTTCTTTCATGAAACCTAGACCTCTCTCTTGCTCTCAATGTCACTTGCATACATGCGTCCACGCTGCACGCTGCCGATATAATGAAACCTTCTACAAACCACCATTAGCTTTCATTAACTCCTCCGTGCACGGTCTTTAGTTCTTTTTGTCCTTTTAATTCCCGGTATGTGGAAAGTTCATTCAGGGTTTGAGCCGTCCCAACCGTGGATGAGAACACTTCGTTTATGGTGCGTCCTCTTACGTTCAACGTTCATCCTCGGCGAGAAGATGCATCTCACCGGGTACCGGTATTCTAGACAATAATTTGCGAACCCACTTATTTGCCGTGACCCATGTGCTACGGGTTGACGTCGAGGGTTTGAATGCTTGAATGCATGTCAGAACTTTGTCAGAATGTGAAGACGGGTTCAATTGTTACTCATGCCGCATGCGCATCTTGTGCTCGCTCGCTTCGCTCGCATAGAAGCCTGGTTGGGATTGGTCCATTGGTTTTATGGTTCATGCAACATATGGGCCGAACCTTCTGCAGAAAGTTTGCGTACGGTGCGAAGCCCCGTTCTTCCTCCTTTCTCTCTCCTCCGCGATTTTACAGCTTTTGAATTGCGACGTAGACGTCGGGATGTGCAGCGGCCTTCCTTCAACACGAGGCGGAATCGCTACTTGATTGCCATTGCTAAATGTTCCGTGTGCAGCCTACGCATACCCTTACCAACCCTGCGCGTGTTCTCATCCCACCGGGGCACGAATAACTGCGAATGTGTACTAGGAAGTATCAGTGGCACTACGTCTACCTTGTCAAGAGCTCTCACACAAACTCCTACTTCTGCTTCTCCTTCGATGGAAGCTTTGCCCGTTGGGGAAGTGCCGCGAACGGTGCAGGCGCTGCCGTTATGGGTTATGGGCCTATCCTCTAGACTCCTGTCTCTTAATTCCCAACCACCGACATCGTCCATATGCTAACGTTCAAGGTACGTTTGGTATTTTTCTGCCCTATGTTTGGCTTATGTTTTCATATCCGAGTCCTCTTCTATCCACTTAATGTACTCATTTGCACATTCGTTCACAGTTCTAGTCACTAGGCACCGTTTCGGCGTTCACGGTTCGCTGTTTCCGTAAGGCTTACGGCTGCGCTTCGGACCGATGTCACTTGCAACGATTCAGGAGACGCGGGGTGGGGGTAACTTGTAAGCTTGATCAGCGTCACGCTCTTTCCAGCATAGGTCCGTTTCCCGTTTTAACAACCTAACTTCCTTAGTACCTTTGAGTACGTTTGCAACTCACCGGTACTAGTTACCGGTTGACCACTGGGGAAGACTGGACCACGACCGCTTTCGCCATTGGGTAATGGTATGGGTAATGGATTAGGTACTGGGTCTTTGGTAAATGATGGAGGAAGGTGAGTGGTGATGGTGCCCTGACTCCTGGCACTCTTGATCCTCGTTTTCGGCCTTGTTCCTGTTCGTATTTCTATTTTTGGAGTCATCGTCACACTCGATAATATTGATGATACCTGTAGTACATTCCCAGCGGTGCAGCGAGGATCCGCACGGCGTTTACATGGCTGTTAAACAGCGTGAGTCGCTCGATAACTTGGAGGCGTTATGCCGATGTCTGATAGCAACGTTGTTATATCAGGACCTGCTATCGACGAGAAGCCTTGACGACCTAGATGTCGCTGTTTGACTCTAAATTCGAGTATGAATGGCTGAACCAACGTCGAGATCAACCCTCAAGACCTGAAGTTCTGGCTGTCTTCGGTCAAGTTAGCCCACCATGTTCTAGGATCAAACAATATTTAAGGACGGGCGGTCATCATCCGTGCTATTTGCTGTATTCTTTAACGCTGAACCCAGCCGCTGGTTCTACGCTGATCTGGAATTGCAGTGTCCTGTCCATCCGCGCAAACACTTGAGCTTCATGTAAGTTGTTTCGCATTTGTATCATCGTTTAACAGCATGCTAAGTACCTATGGCGCACTATGCGAGGCGTTAGGTGTTAAATTGCCGGCGGGTCTGCGGACTGCCTGTGTTTTGAGCCGTATTTTGTTGCTGGTCCCTAAATTGATACCTAATGGATTGACCTTGGAGGATACATAGGGTATGATGGAACGCAATAATACAGAAGGGAAGTGGGGTTCCCACCGACACTGTGGACGAAGCACGAATACTTAATCGATGGTGCTAGCACAAACTCCTAAGCCGCTAATAATCGGCTGCAACTTTTCCCGTCTTGCGGGCATATCAATACACGTGAAATTACTGCCATGGGCGACGCGACAGGTTGCAGACGACACTGACTCGAGAGAAGAGGCCCACTATGCATTACTGCTACGGAAGCAGAACATTTGGAAGGGAATCGACGACAAACAGCGTTTATTCGCCAACAAAGGGACGACAGGGTAGATTATGTACGGTAGGTGACTCTCCCTACAATAACAAAATCCTAAAAAGGACTCGGTGAGGAATTGGCCTTCGTTAGCTCCTTCCTTCAAGCAGCGTCTGATACTCCGACACTACGCAGCATCACGGATATATTTACATGCACAGTGAAGTAGTAGATGATGCATGATGGCTCAGACCTATTATTGACAGCAAGTCACACGTCACACAAGGACCCCAGCTCCTCGAGGCCAACGCCATGGCGGTAAACCGGTGAACCATTGTCCTCCAAGGAGATTGAGGCTACGCCCTCTACGCGACTGTGGTATGTATTGTCCGAGGATTGTTATTGGCTTGTGTTTTTTTATCAGGATCAGGATCAGTCATCGGTCAACTTAAGTCGCCGCTCCTCTCCGCGCAGGGATTTCTAGCTTGCATGCTTGTCTTTAGCTCGGGGGAATTATCCAAAATTTGGACTCAGGCAGAGTAACATGACGTGATGCAGAAGCAAGATAAATCGATCGTTGGGTTACTCTGGACATATTGGAAGGGATAGAAGCCCTGCACAATTTGTCAGACTTCTTACTTGCCGGAGTAATCATAATCGACTCAGCCGCCAGAGGATAGATAATGGGGGGGAGCCAACAACTTTACAGCTTAGTATTTCGAGGTTCTCCAGCTTGTGTGGATGTAGTGGCCCTGACTGGAATATAATTTGAATTTCTATGCTCGATCGATGATATAACGCCGGCGGCTTGTACTTCCTAATAAGGCATCCGATCGGTAACTGAAGGCCACCGATGAATAGGGCGTTATAGTTGTTGAAACTAGATGTTGCTGCGCCCAATGCAACGTCGTTGATGGCCTGTGCAGTAGAATGATTAGCACGAAGCAAGAAAAGAGTATACGCTGAGCAGCAGTATATGTATAACTTTTACAGAATGATGCCTAATCGGCACAGCTTAGTAGTGTACATCATTGATTGGATGCTCGAGACGTCTCTGTCGCCGTTTTGGTGACTACCGAGAACTCAACATCAAGGGGCGCCTTGCTAGCGGTTAGCCTAAGAAGTACATTGTTGTCTCTGGCATGTTTCAAATTTCAGCGTTATTGATGACCTTACAGGAAGGAAGCATAGATGTAGTTGATGGGCACCTCGACTTGTTGATGAGAAAATGACAAGCTGTGGGAGCGGTAGCAAGCAAAGAAGGGTGAGCTAGTCAACAGGCAACAGCTCGCGTCTAAGCCTGTCGAAGGGCAGGAGGCTCGAAACCTGGTCCTTTCGGAAGTAAATGATGCACCGCCACGCAACGTGCACTCGCTCCCTAATCGGGATAAACGGCCATCTCCGAACTGGACCAAGGGCTTGGGTCGCGCCCTGCGATCTTGATTTCGCCCTGAAAGCCCATCGTTCGTTAATCCACTCCTTGCTTTCTGACCACCATCATCTCATCCACATCGACTTGTAAAGGGGGCAAGCCTTGTAAACTACATGTCCTCCCTCCCTATTCCCTCACTCCCAAAATATGGGCTAGCCGGCCCTCCACCAGATGGTCAGAAGAAACGGAGAAAGGGCGCTACAAGACTCTCGTGTGCAGAATGTAGACGGTGGGCTTGTTGATAATTGTTCGTGATTTGAGATGAAAATAAACGGTGCATCAGTCTCAAGTTGCGGTGCGATCGAGCCATTCCTTGTGGCTCATGCGTGAAGCGGGGATGCGGGGCAATATGTCCAGACGTATGTCGCCCATTCTGTTTACGATTCCATTCAGGCAAGAACTTCACCCACAGGGATCCCTGACGACTGGGCAAGGGAATAGGTAATATATGGACTCTGCTTCCTTCAGAGTGCTCGCTCATTTTGTATATGACACTCTAGATTCGTTTTGGCGTCTACCCAAGAACTACATGAGAAGATTACAGAATTAGCGAATCGGGTTCGCCAGCTAGAGGATGGGCTTCGAGAGTCACACTTAAAAATCTCTCACGAGCCACACCCATTGCTGAGCGAAGAACTATTGAAAATAAAAGCACCTCTGCAACGAGAGGCACCCTCTCACAGGAGTCAGCATCATGAACCCACGAAGGAGGAAGAAAGCAATCCCGACGTTGTAGACGCTTTTGGATCGCTTTCCATCAGTCCTGTTGGTCGTACGAAATACTACGGACAAATTGCTAGCTCATGGGTGAGTCTGACCTTCGACCATCGTGTTTCACATCCTAACTAACTATCATTTATCTACATCTAGTACTTTATGAAGGCATGTTTCTCTGAGGCATGTGTACTACGCTATGTTCTCACAACTATCATCACAGAACGAAGATGACGAGCCTGAGGCGGAGAGTCACTTAACCGCCCTCCAAAGCCATCTACCTTATGAAATGCTTGAAAAGGCCGCAGCGTTTCCAATTCACCCATCACCGACAGCTCAGATCCCCATGCCGCACTTGACCTGGTATCTTCCTAGCGCAGAGCGAACTATGGAACTCAAGACTGTATACTTCAGCCATGCCGCAATGATGTACGATCTAGCTGTCAAGATGCCGCCGTTTGACAAATACTCAACCCTTGGTTTCACAGGTATAACCCAATTTCAGCCGAATCTTTCGACACAGAAATATACAGCCAGTTCTTCCTTTCAACAGATGCGTCGCCAACGGAGGAGCCTCTTCTATCTCACCGCCTAGCTCTCATGTTCATAGTCCTCGCCTTGGGCTCCCTGATGGACACGGTGAATCAGCCACCTTACAACTTTGATGCTGAGAAGTATAATCAGCTTGCTCGCGCGGCTCTCTTCAGACATCCTCTATTCGACGAGCCAACTATCACTGCCGTACAGGCGCTGGTTAGTGACTTCTCCCTGTATCCCGCTACTTGGTATTGATGCAACGTTCTTTGTTCGTAGTTCTTAATGTCTTATTACCTTTTCCTCGCTGATCGGCATGGTACAAGCTCGGGCGCACGATGGGCGATTATGGGAATAACTGTTAAACTGTCCCAGAGTGTAAGCACGCCCCGATATCAACTCCGATCCATGTTCTAAACTTCTTCTCGGCTACTAGATTGGTCTTCGTGAGTAATGCAGGGCTTGCCATTCACACTCATAATGACCCCTTCGACTGTAGACCGCGACAGTGGCCGATGGGGCGTCGATCCACAAGAGACTCAACGTCGCCGCGAATTGTTCTGGGAGTTGTACACATACGACTCTTGGCAGTGCATGACCTTCGGTCGCCCACCGTCGTTCAACCTAGCGCATGTTGATTGCAAGATGCCGTACTCCAGTGAACCTTCTGATGAGCAGAGCTGTAGGTGTTCCGCCGATTTCGCTGGTTAAGCTCGAGCGCTGACATCCGAGCAGTCCATGCTTGGAAACATAGGTTTTCCTCCGAATGCATGGCGATGTTACACGAGCAGGCCTTCGGTGCCAAAACCCCGACATATGCAACAATCCTGCAACTCGATCGTAAATTCCGCGCCTTCCCAGTTCCCCCAGTGCTGCAGGTTGCAGGGTTTGGGAGCTCGGAGTCTCGCCCCGGTGGATTCCCACAAACCGTCATGTTAATGCTTCAACGTCATATTGTCTTAGCCATCCGCGAGTCTAGTGAGTCGTATCATCTCCATTTTTCGGATCCAATTCAACTGTATAATTAGATTTATTGTATCTCCACCGAAGCTTTTTTGCACGCGCAGTCAGTGACCATCCCAAAGACCCACTTGGAAGCCCATACGGCACTTCGGTCATCGCGGCATATCGTAGCGCTGGATCACTTGTTGCTTTAATGCGGAACCTCCACACGCAACTAAAAGAGCCTAGCGAGAGAATGTGGTTCCTATGGACCCATATGTTCTCCTGTGCCGTGAGTCTATCTACTGATTTAGCTCATCTCATTCACTCGGAGATTCTCACTCCTATGTATCTGCCCGTATTATGCACCCTCCGTACCGTTCATCGCTAACGGTTGCTTCTAATTAGATTGTTCTCGGCTCAATAGTCACTCGGTGCCCTTCTATGAGCTTAGCTCCGTCTGCCTTGGTGCAACTTGACTCGGCTTGCGAGCTCTTCTCAAAGGCGGCACCTGGTTTCCGTGCTGAGAAAGTTCTGGTGCGTCATTACCATCATCATTAGTGCACAATCATCTGAGTCACGCCCCATATACCAGCGCATTATTTTGAACCTGCAAGCCAAGGCTCACGCAAGCTTGGATGACTATCGCAAAGGCAAGGGATCACCCGTCAGCCGCCACCCGACAGAACCTCTTTCCCCTGTTGAACCTGACGACGAACTCGACACTCTCGGCGGAAAGACGCGCCTGGTAGCCAAGAAGGAGCCCATGTCTCCTCCCGTACAGCCACAAGTACTAGAACGATCCCCCACATCACACAACCCCGTCGTCCCCCTTCCCCTGTCTCCATCGGCGGGAAGTGCACTGGGGCCTCAAGTCCTAGAGTACCTTCGTACGTTTGGGGACAATCCAACACGGATCCCATCCCAAGACATCATGATGGTATCCGATCCTTCCTCATCCGGCCCGTACGATGACATCTCCACATACGGCATGTCGACATTACAGGGACACTACCACAGCGAGCCGGCATCTTATCAGCAGTCCTCCCGACATACATCCCACGCAATACACGCGAATCATCCGCCCTCGCCGGTACAACTTCAACATCAGCAACATCAGCAACACCTATATCAACCTATTATCACTGACAGCAACGGGCTGCAAAACAGCGGTAGCAGTGTCAACGGGATGATGAACACCAACACCTTCCCACAGTACTTCCCTGTTTACGACTACGGCTCGGGTATCGCGGATCAGTCCCACTCTGTGAATGGCTTCTCCCCAGTCGATAAATCTGCGGGGATGATGAACGGAATGATGAATGGCCATGAAGTTAATCAGCGCCGCGCTTCTGGGTCCCCGGAACACAACCGGATGGAATCCACTTGGGATGATTTCGTGGGCAACTTCATTCGCTGAACGAGTAATAGAGAGAGAGAGCAAACAAGAAGTGTTCATTTATTTGTATCTCAGTATAGACGGTACGCCGATTTTATCCTACCTCTCGTCTGTAACCATATGTAGCTGTCTTATGTCGGTTGTTAATCTTGGTCGCTGTTATATTCCCGCTGTATAGTACCAATTCCTTTTGATAATACTCTGTATGGGCCATGCATTTTCTGTTTGTTGATCAGAATCGAGTGCTACAAATGCAGTTACACACAATAAGGCCCGCAATGTAACCTATTTTGTCTGCGAGTCAGTCCAAGAAGCGCCTTTGATCCATATCTCTCATCTGCTGATTCGAAGTCCTTGAATGCTAAAGCTCCCTCGAATCGGGAAGCGAACTACTTGAATGATGGTCAAGCGTCTATGGGCCGAGGCGCTCACGATCGCAGCGTACGCTTTAACCGGGACTGGGAACAACGAGCTGATCGATACTCGGTGTTATCTCTCCCGAGCTTCATGAGCGCAAGGATCCATGAAGCCCGCAGCGTTTGCGAACGCGTTGAAAATGGAAGAAAGCCTCGGCAATCTTTCAAAGCCGTCTCTTCACTAAAAAGATTCGTTGCTCCACAATGTTAGGGCTTCCAGCCGTACCGTATACGGGAGCTACGGTAAGTATACGTTGATCATATGGTGATTTAATATTCCACGCCGTGCGTTTACGGCTTGACCCCAATTGGTTCGACGGGACGCGACGTTGTATGTATAGTAATTCTGATGGGCTACTCAGGGAGCTAAGCGGTCGCATTACGAGAACGACAGATGTGCTGCTTGTATAGCATCAAGATTTGAATGGTATCGGGTTAAGACTGGCACGGCGAAGGGATAATGTGTCACGGGCTGCTGAAAATATACATTCAACAGCTACAGCGGAGCCTAAGTCAGAATATCAGCACGATGATACAGCAATGAGGAATAAACACTCACCCGGAATACCCAAGAGAGCAAGGCGGCACAAGTTGGGAAACTGGAGTCGGCGGCTATACCACCACTTGAGCGGATCACAGGAGTCCATGTCTTCTTGAGGCAGCCGCCGGAATTTGTCCAGCTCATAATGTGGCTTGAAATAACAACTTCTCTTCAGCATACAGGTGGACTGTTGGATTCTGACAATCGAGGCGGTACAGGGGTTACACGGGCTCACGTGACTATGTAGATAGTTTGCGCGCGTGCTTGTATTCTTTCCTTTATGCGTTTGCTGGAGTCCCAGCCAAACGCAATATATCTGCTTGCCCACAAGGAATTCGCGCGACCTCACCGGCTTATTCTAACATGGACATCGATGCTGAACGTGCTACAAAAAAACGAAAGCTTGGTACTGCAGGAACACCGAAACTATCACAGGGTGCCCCGGCCGAATCGTCGTTCGCTAATGTGCTTCAGCGATTGAAGGAGGAATCGGGGGATGCCCATGGTGCGTGTTTGCACGAGGTCTTTGTTGAGTTTGAGTACTGAGTAGAGTAGCTGCCGAGGGTGGTGCAGATTGCTGGCCCCGGCCACCAGCGCCGACGATTAACCCTCAGAAGGATTCTATAAGTGCGTGCTATGCTTGATGCTTCATTGGCGTGATCTCAAGCCAGCTATTATCAGTCTTTCAACAAATCGACGTGGAAGATGCATATGATGGTCCTACTCCTACCTTTCGGATGTATGGAACAACAGAGGTGACAGATACTGTATAACTAGGAACGACTCTTGAAGCTCATGATCGCGTCAGCATGGGCATAGCGTCTTAGCGGTGGTCACTGGCTTTCTTCCATACTTCTACGTCCCAGTGCCTCGAGGCTTTGCCGAGGATGATTTGGAGAGCTTCAAGTCATATCTCAATAGCATAATGGACGACCCAAGGACGGTGCAGCGTATAGAAATCATCAAGCGCAAGAGTTTATGGGGATATTTGGGAGACGATGTAGTGCCTTTCTTGAAATTGACGCTTATACAACCAAGGCTACTTCCGAAACTTAGAGATAAGTCTCAGGACTTACGTTCGTTGTCATATCCAGCTAACTCTGCAGCTCTCTAACACGGGTGTTTGAGCGAGGAGAATGTAACTATCAAGACCTATTCCCTGGCCCTATCGCGACATTCGAGAGTAATATTCAATTCCCCCTTCGCTTTATGATCGACGCAAAGGTGTGATAAACGAATCGGCTACTGACCGCCGTTTAACTGTTCTTGGTCTAGGTACTGGGCATGAATTGGATCGAAGTTCTGGCAGGGAAGTACAAGCTTAAGAGCGATGCCGAAAAGAAATCTCATTGTCAGATTGAATTCGAAGTGAAGTGAGTTGGCCGTTGACCTACTTTCGAGAGCTACCTAACTTAAATGTTGAATAGATACGATCAATTTATTTCGCATCCGGCTGAGGGCGAGTGGTCTAAAATTGCCCCACTTCGTATCTTGAGTTTCGATATCGAGTGTGCGGGTCGTAAAGGCATCTTCCCTGAAGCCCGTGAGGATCCCGTAATCCAGATCGCCAACATGGTTACCCGCCAAGGTAGATCAATCCACAGTTACAGTTATCGTTCGCAGCCGAGTTCTGACGCTCTAATAGGGGAGCAGAAGCCGTTCATTCGCAATGTCTTTACCCTAAATTCGTGCTCGAATATTGTGGGCTCTCAAGTTATCTCTTTTGACGATGAGCGCAAGTTGCTGGAAAGCTGGCGGGACTTCGTCCAGGAAGCTGACCCCGACGTTATAATCGGCTATAACATTGCGAATTTCGATATCCCTTATCTTATGGATCGGGCCAAGGCGCTGGATGTTAAGAGTTTTCCATTCCTTGGACGGCTAAAACGTAAGTATAATCCCCCTCCCTCTTGAGATAACTCACGCAAGTATGTCTATATCCATCAGGTATCGCTGCACAGGTCAAGGAGACCCACTTTTCGTCGAAGGCTTATGGTCAACGTGACTCTAAAGACACCCAACTGGATGGACGGCTTCAGATGGATATCCTCCAATATATGCAAAGAGAATACAAGCTTCGTAGCTACAGTTTGAATTCGGTGTGCGCCCAATTTCTTGGGGAGCAGAAAGAGGATGTGCACTACTCTGTGATTACCGAGCTACAAAACGGAACGTCGGAGTCGCGAAGACGCCTGGCTGTATATTGCTTGAAGGTATATCTACCTAGAGGCTGCTTGCTTGGCCACATCTGATTTTTGATACCAGGACGCTTACCTCCCACAACGACTGCTGGACAAGTTGATGTGTTTCGTCAACTCCATCGAAATGGCCCGCGTCACCGGCGTGCCCTTCAACTACCTGCTATCCCGTGGCCAGTCTATCAAGGTACTTTCTCAACTGTACCGAAAGGCCAACGAAGAGGGCTATGTCATTCCTTGCTACAAAGGCGAAGGTCTGTCAATGTACCATCGTTGTCCTTCAATCAAATGACAACACGTTCCTATAGGCTCTGAGGAACAATACGAGGGTGCTACCGTCATTGAGCCCAAGAAAGGGTACTATGATACTCCGATCGCGACGTTGGATTTCAGTTCCCTGTATCCATCCATCATGATGGCTCATAACCTTTGTTATACCACTGTTCTCGAGAAGGCAACGGTGGAGCGCCTGAACCTTGTCAAAGATGTCGACTATATACAAACGCCTAACAACGGTACGTCGTTCTAGCCGCTTGGCGTAGTGCTAACGTAACTGAATTTACATTCTGTTTGCTCAGATCTATTCGTGACGAAGACTCGTCGCAAGGGTCTCTTACCTACCGTCTTGGAAGACCTCATCTCCGCTCGTAAGCGTGCAAAGGCTGACTTGAAGAACGAGAAAGACCCTTTTAAACGGGCTGTGCTCGATGGCCGCCAACTTGCGCTTAAGGTAAGCCAGTCGCCTGGTGTATCGATGAAGTCCGACGTTGATAACGGCCTCGTAGATCAGCGCGAACTCCGTGTATGGATTTACAGGTGCAACGATTGGCAAGCTGCCTTGCTTAGCCATTTCGTCCAGTGTTACAGCATATGGACGTCAAATGATCGAAAAGACGAAACAGGTGGGTCCTCCGATTAGCTGGTGGGACACGGTCTGACAATCATCTAGGAAGTGGAAGCTGAGTACTGTATCAGTAACGGACACTCCCATAATGCGGAAGTCATTTACGGTGACACTGACTCTGTTATGGTCAAATTCGGGCCAGGAGACCTTAAGGAAGTCATGGCTTTGGGTACGGAAGGCCGTTACCAAGCCTTGTCCTCAGCTCATCTTTTGTAACAGGTAGTGAAGCCGCTGACCTCGTTACGGCGAAGTTTGTAAAGCCGATCAAGCTCGAATTCGAGAAAGTGTATTATCCCTATCTCCTGATCAGCAAAAAGCGCTACGCTGGCTTATACTGGACAAAACCGGAAAAATATGACAAGATGGACGCCAAGGGTATAGAGGTTTGTATTTGTTTTCTAGAATCCTCTGGTTTATAGGTAACCATATCTTCAGACCGTTCGTCGAGATAATTGCCGCCTCGTGTCCACTGTCATCGAAACATGTCTGCACAAGATGCTGATCGACAGGGACGTAAAGGGCGCAGAAGAGTAAGCGGCAGCATCTAGCAAAGCGCAGTTACTGACACCAACCTTACAGCTACACAAAGCGAACGATTGCAGACCTTTTGCAGAACAAAGTGGATATGTCTCAGCTGGTGATCACGAAAGCTCTGGCTAAAGCAGGTAAGAGGTTCGTCCTAAGAATGCACTTATCCTGGGCCAACATTGTGGTTAGATTATGCAGCGAAACAAGCCCACGTTGAATTGGCGGAGCGGATGAGGCAACGAGATGCTGGTGAGCGCAGGCCTCTTCTCGCGGTTTCAACGAGAGTTGACTTTCCATCCCCTTCAGGCTCTGCACCAGCTATTGGAGACCGTGTGGCGTATGTCATCATCAAAGGCATCAAAGGTGGCCCCCTCACCTTAGTTCTCGATGATCGTACTAACAACCTACTAGGCGCAGCGGCATACGAAAAATCTGAAGACCCGCTATACGTCTTGGAGAATAACATTCCCATCGATACTAAATACTATCTTGAAAATCAACTTTCCAAGCCTCTGATGCGTATATTCGAGCCGATCCTGGGAGACAAGGCTTCGTCGCTTCGTAAGCTTGCCTCGTCGATACTGAAGGTTGTCGATCTAAAATTCCTATTAGTGTCTGGGGATCACACTCGTACTATCCAAATCGCCACCCCTACCGTAGGGGGGCTGATGAAGTATGCCGTGAAGACAGTCACTTGTTTGGGGTGTAAAACTCCTCTACGACCTAACAACAGTGTCAAGAGTAAGTGCATGCTCCCCATGTTTTGTTTGATATACTTAGTCGCTTCCGCTCAGACGGTGCTGTGTGCAATAACTGTCGCCCTCGCGTTGGTGAATTATATCAGAAACAAGTTACTACATCGTCGCAGCTAGAAGTCCGTTTTGCTCGCCTATGGACACAGTGCCAGCGGTGTCAGGGTTCACTTCACCAGGTACGTCGCCACTATTTCATGAAATCATGCTTCCTCATCAACCATGGCATAGGATGTGCTCTGTACCAGCAAAGACTGTCCCATTTTCTATATGAGAAAGAAGGCACAGAAGGACGTGGAAGATGCTCATGCAGTCGTAGAGAGATTCGATGAAGAGCTATGGTAATTACGGGTCATCCTACTACATCTCTATCATACCCTTTATAATATTGGCACTGCACTTTATATCCGTATTTACTCGATAGTATTGGATACACTGTCGAACAAGGTTTAGAGAAACGATACTGCGTGCTTTTGGTTGTCAATCGCACCAGGGCGTCTTCATTATTGCTAATCAGTAGGATCCTATTGCTGGTATGAATATGATTTTCCCGTTCACTAACAGTACGATGAAATAGCCTGGTATACTATGCGGCATAAACACCTTCCGGAGACTTTGTACCTCTAAGAGTAGATATAGTATACAAGGTGATTGGTTGAAATTAGTTAAAGGCAGGCTCTCCCACTTGGATAGTTAACTCCTCCAACCCGCGTATACGCTTCTTAAGAAGCGTGTCTACACGCTCTACTACCCGGTCTAAGTTCATATACGTCGTTCGCTGACTCGAGTGAGGACCAGCAGGATCATACGTTGCTGCAGAGGGACTGAGCTGTATATGGATAGATCCAATCAGACTCGACGCATCTTTCGGCCAGAATCGCGCCGAAGTGTACGACGCAAGGCCTTCGACGGACGCGAGCTGTTCACAAGCTACAATGAGTATGCATCTCTCGAATAGTTGATTAGACTGACCTCCGACAACGCGTGCTGTATGTCTGTATCTCGATCTGCAACGTCAAGACACAAGACCCGGCCGGTGTCCAAAACCAACGGTATAACACTAGCAGCAATCATAATCGCGATAAACAGAGATGCGATAGGATCGAAGCCTGTCCATCCATAGAACTGGATCAGAAGTGTGGAAATAATGACTCCTACTGATCCGAGGGTATCCTACAAGATAGATATTCGTCAATGAGGTGCGATATGAGATAATTATTAGGACCTACGGCCATAACATGCAGAAATACACCTCGCATATTGTGACTGTGCCCCTCGTGCGAGTGGTCCGGGGCATGATTATGATTATTTAGATTCGGGGTATCGTTTTGGTGGTGCTTTTGGTAGTGGTCGTCCGCACCAAAGTGGTATTGAGGAGTGACGGGTGATTGATCAACCCGCCCTATGGGGGATATTGGGGAAAGCAAGCTTTCTGGAGCCGAGAGGTCGACGAGGCCTTGGAGAGGGGGCGGCCGACGCTTCTCGGAGTCGTGCCGGCGGTGGGTTTTAGATGCGTGATCGGATTGACGGGACGAATGTGTATGTGAGCGTGGCTCAGAATGCGGCTCCGAATGAGAGTGGGAGTGAGAGTGGGAGGACGTATCTGAAGGGCGCAGAAGTGCAGGCGTCGGGGAGTGGGAGTGGGAATGATCGTCATGAGTTGCGGAATGACTGTGGCCGTGACCATGGTCGTGATCATGATCATGCGCGTGGCTTGCGAGGGGGGGACAGTTGTGGTCGTGGTCATCATGCCCGTGGCTGTGGTCATGTTTGTGTTCATCATGTCCATGGTCATGACCATGAGAATGCGAGTGTGAGTGACCACCCTTTCGAAGACAATTAGTTAGTTCCTGCTCCTGATGCGCGGGAAACGACGGAGAAAACATACATGATGGTGACCACCCATGGCGAACATACCGAAAAGGTTCACAGCCAACCCAAGGGAACTGACTAAGAGTAGTTGACTAGTATTCATCTCCGGGGGATCCAAACTGACAAATTGTTGTTTACAACTCGATGCGTAGGAACTGGGTAGTACTCACAGTCGCTGAATAGCTTCGAAAACGATGAAGATGGATATGAGAATGAGGAATATGCCGTTCGCGAACCCAGACAGCGTCTCGATCCTTCCGTAGCTACGGTTGGGGGGATCACGATCAGTACATATTTGCGTCGACGAAGAAGCGTGCTCACCCATAAGTAAAGCGGACATTGGGTTCCCAGGTCGCCATGACTGACGCAAGTAGACCGACACCTATGGCCATACAATCGAAGGCCATATGTATAGCTAACGATATACGTTAGCGCTATATTTTGCCAATGGATGATCGACTATACCATCTGATATCAAACCCAGGCTATTTGTCCAAACGCCGTATAACATCTGCACCAACATGTAGCACATGTTTAACATGAGGAAATAGAATATCTTTCGCGATTCAGGGTTAGAAAGAATGGTCTTGAGGTAGGAACGAATCAAACGAGAAGTCGGAGTACGGGACGTTGGCATCAGAGCATCCTGACCAAGGGGATAAACGGCTGGGGGAAAGAACGGGAGTCAATGGAATAACGGGTAGAGGCAAATGCAGATTTTTACCATAGTACAATACCGAGGCTGTGAGTATGTCGCTCCAAGAAGGCAATCGAGAGAACGCGAGAATGCCAAAGAGAGTGGTCGATAGAGCAACGACGGGGTACGAAAAGCTGACGTAGTGGGCGGCGGAGGCTGCAAGACCGACAGCACGCGTAGTCGTTGGCGTGACAAAAAGCAGACTTATGGTCAGTAGCGGCAAAATGGCCAACGATGACAGGGGAATGACTGGCGTCGTAGGGAATCCGAGCTAGATACACCATGGAAGGGCTTGAGACACTGATAAGACAGAAGACACTAACAACTCACAAGGACAGTCCTAAATCCGTATAGAGGTAGCGCTATGAATGCAGCGCCCAATGTACTTGCATTAAGCGTCACTGTAGTCCCAAGCGACGGAGAAAGGACACTATGGGTGTGCTCAAGCGCAGTCGATACGATGGCATAAACAATGAGAGCGCCATATGGAGGCAAGAAGTGCCAGATATTCGCGAAGGAGAATTGTATGTCGCTTAAGAACGCAATGGCTAAGGTAACAATCGCGGCGAATGATTGCTTGGGCTATAAAGATGCTCAGGACTCAGTTCAAAATTATGAGAACCGCATCCTACCGTACTACCACCGAGGAGAGCCTGTGTCCAATACGGAGCGAAATGCGTTAAAATGACCACACTACATGCGCGTCAGATCAACATAATTGGGACGAATGTAGCCATACCGGATGGCAGACATCCTATACAGGGCCGTAAAGAATGATATTTGCTGAACAAAAAGCAAAAGAGAAGCCATGGCGAGCACCGAGAACTAGCCAATGTTCAGTAGAGAAACACATTCATGGAACTGGACACATACCTCTATATGTTTCCTTGCACGCATCTGGCCTGTGATCCCTTCCCAGACAAGGATTCCGAGGCCCCCGCACGCAAGTAACCTCATAACGACCCAGAACATGCCAACATCCTGCGAAAGCAGCCATTCCTTTCCCAGATATACAACGCCAGCAAGAAGCAAGTTAGAGCCCAAAACCTGGGGAAGCAAAGCCCGAGGAATGCTAGAAGAGCGTCAGTTTGCACTCTCTTCACGTTCACTGATAACTTACGAGGAAGAAAAGACTCTCGTTGGGTTCAAAGGGATCTTGCTACGTGTTCTGGCATCGGGGGCAGGCATAATCAACTAATGGGCGCTTCACAATCATTGCAGTCACGTTTCAACGTTTCGAATGTGGGAAATTCAAATATTACGATAATACTGATTTCAAACCCCTCGCGCGCGTCGCCTGATGTTTGAAGTACAATACTTCGGCAAACTTCAGTAAATCACTGTTACAACACAGTGTGGTCATTCACAGCCATTTTCGATCCTAATCGATCTGCCCGACTCATCAACAACCCGCCACAACATTCCAAAATGCGGAGGATTCAACTGCATCTTTCCATAAGCCTAGAGAAGAGCGCTGAATGGTGTTGACTTACCTTCTATTCGAGCTTCCTGCGCGGAGAAGAGCGCGCCCTGGCCCAGGGTTTAAATTTGGACTTAACCTCGCCAATCACGCACCTAGTCTAATATCCCAGACGCACGAGGCCCTCAGAATTTATGAGGCCCATACTGTTAACGCTGTCTTCTTGCTCAGTTAGACCAGAGAAGAAGAAGAACAATGTTATTGGACGTAGACTCGCTCCAGGTTGGCACTTTAAACCTGATGGCACTGCACAACACAACGTTTAGATGCCACATACCACTGCCTCGAGAGAACCCCAAGTCAGATGCCTGGATCGATGTTCATTGGGATGTGCAATCATCGGAATTTTCGACGCCTGAAGGCCCCCATGACCGTTCCGCGCAGAGGCACCCTTCTGAAAAGAAAACGAAGTTGGAAGTAGGGTAACGAACTCGACTTCTGGCGATATATGCTGTATTTGAAGCAGTATAAAGACGAGGTACTCTGGTGCAGATGATCAGTAGTCCCAGTTAACACACAAAGGACACATACCTACTACACCCCGCACACAATGCAGCTCACTCTCAAACTTGCTTCTCTCGTTACGCTTGCAGTCATGGCCATTGCCAGCCCCACCTCTGTATGATTCTGCTAGTCTTTCGACCTACCTTGAAACTAACACGCCTTCTCAACAGAGCAGGGACGTTGGGGCAAACATCGTCAGCGATGCAGAGTTGGACAACTGGCTCCGCACTACAGATGCGGACCTTACCTTCGTTGGCGGCGCCAAAAGCCCACTCGCCCAGCGCAACACTCTCATCACGAGGGTAGTTTACTGCACCCAACGAAGTGGGGCCCTCTGTGGTGGCCGCTGCTCGGTTTACGAGGGAAACAGTATATGTCTCAACGCTCCCGGCACCAATTGCCTGATGGCTACTACCAACGTCGCATTCTGCAACGCAAGTGGATGTGGAGGCACCTGTAGACTATTCAGCCACTGCGAGACGGTGCTCGATGCAAATTTCTGCTTCACCCCTGGTACTGTGTCCATCAACGTTCCATTCACCTGATTCAGGCGCGCGAGAGGGGGTGGGCCTTGAGTACTAGTTTTGTACAAGTTCAGCAGTGTCATGTAATCAGACGTTAGGCCGCCACTTACTCATTTGGTCCAGAAAATATATGGGCAATACTCGAGTAGTACACGGAGGAATCTTGAGGCATGGGTACGGACGAATGTGATGGTCCAGCCCGGCCACCGGATCGAGAGTGGGACTTTCCCGACCGCCCTCAGGTGGAATTCACCATCAAAATTACTATATCTTGACCCCACAAGCCAGGATCGACAACTGGCTCCGCACGGCGGGTGCGAACCTCACCTTCGTTGGTAGCGACGAAAAGTTGCTCATTGACCGCAACTCCCAGCTGGCGACGCAGATGTACTGCACCCGTCGTAGCGGCACCACCCACAGTGGCGAATGCACGATTTACCGAGGAATCAGTACCTGCATCAAAGCGCCTCACACGGACTATCTTTGGTCCGACTTCAACGTCGGGTACTGCGACAGTAGCAGCTGCGTAGGGAGTTGCACTCGTTCAACCCTTGCGGGACCATCCTGGGCACCGAGTCCATCAATGTGCCGCTCAACTTGTGATTTGGGGGAAAGCAGAGGTAGTAGAGCGTACTATCAAATCCACAACGTGGCGCTCAATCTGTTGATGGAGATGAAAGTTGGCCAAGATCGCAGTATTACTTCTGCAATTTGTACAAACTCAGCAGTATGCAGTGAGGATTATTGTGATACCTCACGTTCACTGTATTGCAAAGCTAAGGGCACATCTAGCCTGTTGCAGGCTGCCGCATCATGACATGATACAGAACATGCCAGCGTCAGTGGGATATACGTCTTCGGATAATCGGACAAGAGGTACACTAGAGGACTAAACTTTGGGGAGGAAGTCCCAAGGAATGTTTTAGCGCGTCATAAAACTTATGGACTCGGTGGTACTTACGAAGGGTAAAGAGATTCAGCCTCCAATGTTTTGACATCACGGCAACATCACGGACGGGAATAATCGAACTAATCGGCGCTTCTCTGGCTTCCAATTATTTTAAGCGCCTCATTACTTACTTCCCAGGTTAAATACTTACTCAACAAACACATATGTCGAATGCAATTCAATCTCAGAACCGTTTCCGTTGTTACGCTCAAAGACATGGTCATTGCTATCCCCGCCTCCGCGGCATGGTTCTACTGAATTTGCTGAGAGTATCGGCGCGGCTAATCAGAATTTCTGAAGAGTAGAGATGTAGGGGCATCCGTTGTCAGCGATGTAGAGTTCTACAAGTGGCTCCGCACTACGGATGCGGACCTCACCTTCATTGGCGCCGCCGAAAGGTCTCTCCCCGGGCGTAATACCCTCGATACAAGGGAGAGCGTCGGCAGCGGCGCCTGCACGATTTACGATAGAAATCACGCCTGTCTCAACGCTCTCGACACCGTCTGCCTTATGGATACAACCAGCGTCGCGTTCTGCGACAGAGATGGGTGTGGAGGAAGTTGCAACTCGTTCGATTCCTGCGAGACGAGGCTCGATGGGGAGGTTATGCTTCACGCCTGGCAGCAGGTCGATCAATGTGCCATTCACCCATTCACTTGATTTAAGAGAGGAGTGGTGCTGATCGAGGCCGATATTAGTCCTGCGCTCTTGTACAAGTTTAGTCTCGTGAAACTGGATGTTACGGCTGTAACTTACTATTTCGATCTGGGAGAAACATGAATACAAGGTGGTTTTAATGTTGGAGTGTAAGGCATGGCTACGGGCAAATGCGATGGCTAAGTCTGTCCAAAATATGTGAGGTGTTGTCACTGAGAGACTAGGTCCTGGACAGTGTCCTCATCAACGAAAGCACCACGCCGCCCCTGGCCACGGGGTCAAGACTAAGAATCTTGCGACTTAACCTGCGTTAGAAACCAACTTCATGACGAAACTTCTCAGTCCATCAGAACTACTATATCCTGACTTCAAGGCCAAGGAAGGCCAGGGCCCATGCAATAGGTGCGCCTCCACAATCGATCAGACTGGAAGTGAGAAAGGGCGGTCACGTAAATTACGCAGCTTGGAGCGTAACGTCGGTGTTGGCCGCATGATATAGCCAACGTTCGAGTTGATGCCAAAGCTTATGAAGGGTCCAGATCTAAGCCCATGGGTCAAACATAGTTAAATCAATGTTCATCAGAACGAGAAGACGTTTGGCGTTACAAGGTATGCTTACCCCCTAATTGTGTCCCGCGAGGGGCGCATCCCACAAAGAAGATGAATGGCAATACGAGAGCAGGCTTTCTGTAACGAAAAGTGAGTCTTTGCCATTGTCACATCGCTGCAGCTAGCAGTACAAAAGACAAGTTAACTAGCGGCGCATATGTTCAGCACTCAACTCAACACTCTTGAAACGAAACATACCACCAACGTGGTGTTCTGCGATCGTGGTGCTTGGGGAGGAGCTTGCCATAGGTCCAACACTTACGCGACGATTCTCTAAGGGGATTCTGCGCCGTCCCAGGCACAGTGCCGCTCTAAATTGGATGGCATGATGATAGGCTTGAAAAGGAAAAGTTTAGTTTGTAGTAGAGGAGACGGGATGAAGGCGAACTAAGTGTTAGATGAAGCGAATATAGGCTTTGCAGCGGAGTAGAGCTTGAATGTGTCTGTTGTCCTGCTAGGGATAACATATTGTATACAATTCTAACTTCTACCTCCACATTAATAGATATAAGGGATTATAGATACATAGGTTTACTTGTCTGATTCGTTGGGGATATAGAGTCGAGTGTCTATCAGGATCATCGAAGCAAAGTTCGAGAACGATGATGGGTGGCGGTCTCAGACGCGGAACCTCAAATAGGCCATCAGCAGCGCCGAGCATCCAGTGACTATGAGTCCGTAGTTAGCTGTCTGAAGTCTCGTACACCATTTACACTCACCGAATCCCACCAAGTATTGTAACGTCGTAGCCTTAGAAGCCTGTATCGTCGTCCTCAAATTCGCAATCTCCTGCTCTATCCTCGTATCCACTTCCTTGATCTTCAACTCTTGCCCACTACTCTCATCCCTCATCCTCCCTTTCTCCAAGTTCAAGTCCAGCCGCACGCCACCCTGTGTCTGCGTGATTTGCTCTCTCAGCCGTTGTTTGAGCTTGCCAATGTCAGCAAGGAGACGGTCATTCTCGGCCTTGAGGGTGGACAGGTCATTCTTGAGCGTGAGCTGAAGTTCCGATTTGATCTGGGCAAAGTCGACTTGTTGCGTGTAGTGGTGCTATTGCCGAGTTCACCCAAGGTAGTTCATATAAGGCGCATACAAGGCTCACCTTGTCTTGGTCGGCCTTTGTAACCATATTACTAGTCATATTACGAATACTCTCGTCGATGACCTCAGCCATAGCACTCATAATACCTTCTGCTTGAGCCCTATTCAAACCCTCCCTCTCCAGACGCTGGACGAAATGGTGGGTGTCAAAGTGGAAATCTTGTTGCATCGAGGACACCGAGAAGAGTCGACTGCCTGGCTGTTGGCAGTGTGCCCAGGAGAATCTGGCTGCATGCCTCGGGGTGTAGGCTAGAGTTGAGAACATCATTCGACGCGCCAGGAACATTTATAATGAGTGAATACGGGATGGTGGGGGTTAAGGATGAAGGAGTGTGTGGAACTCCGAGCCGGTGCATTGATTCTGGCATTGTGATCGGGCGCGAGGCACGTGGCAAGCTGAAATTTCTTTAGGCGCTCGTTTCTACTCGATACGATAATTACCATCGCTGTTCGATTTTAGCAAGAAGGACACCTTAAAACCCTATCCACCCCCGCGATATCGTGAGGAATGCAGGCAGACGACGTGATATGGTCTGTTATCAACCACCAGTTTTGCTCATATAAAGTCAAGTGCGTACCTATGCTCTCGATCTTAATACCACACCTTGCTCATCCATTTCTCCTTTGATTGGTTTAGAACAACCACCCAAAATTTCTGCAGAAACGAGTACAATGTCACCGGACTCTGTAATCGTCAGTCATGTCCGTTAGCAAACTCGCGATACGCTACTGTGAGAGAGAAAGAGGGTAAGGGGACCTAGTTTCACGGTTTTCCGTTGCTTCGTTGTTGAAGATCTGGACCGCAGGTGTTCTATACCTTTACATGAAGACGATCGAACGCGCGCACTCCCCTGCACACATGTGGGAGCGAATAAAACTCTCCAATAATTACTCCAAGGCACTGGAACAGGTAGATTGATTCCCTCTGAACATCGACGATGAATGAGCACACCGCTGATTGTCTACATGCAACTTGCAGATAGATGCAGAGCTCATCCACTGGCCGAATTTCACCATTCATAAATGCAAGCAACGAGTGACCAAAATAACACAATATCTCATCAAAATGCGTCGAATGAAACTTCGGCAACAGTGAGTCTCCCCTCCTCCCCTGCCTACTATATAATGGCTAACGACAGAGTTTCTATTGACTAGACCAAAACTCATCGGTGTCAAGAAAAAGCTTGACCGTCGCGAAGCTACCCGCGAGCGCAAAGCACTCTCCGCTGCCCACCTCGAAAGGTCGATAGAAAAGGAACTCATCGAGCGTCTCAAATCCAAGGCATACGGCGATGCCCCTCTGAACGTCAACGAGTCTGTCTGGCAAGCGGTCCTGGATATGGAGAAGAAGGGTAAAAACAGAGTCGTTACTGAAGGCGAAGAAGAGTTGTTGGACGGAGAGGAACTGGAGCTGGAGGATGACGAGACGGATGAAGAGGACGAGGAAGAGCTTGAGGCTGAGATGGAGGAAGAATGGGGGGATCGGGAGTTCGTTAGTGATATAAGCGAAGATGAGGATGAGGACGGGCTGAGCGATTTGGAGGATGTTGTGGTATGTTCCCAGCAGCCATTAGCATTCACTTTGTCACCTTGTCTCGATAGGACGGCGCTTCCGAGGACGATGATTCAGGCGAGGATGCTGAAAATGACGATGACCCAAAAGCGACCCTTGGGAAACGGAAGCAAGCACCTTCAACGAAGAAAGCCCCACCCTCAAAACGACCATCGAAAGGAAGAAGGCGTAAGTTCATTTCGCCTTGAGACTGGTATTCAATATCTGATTATATCTCGTCTTTCAGAGGGCCCCCGTGTGGAGGTCGAGTACGAACACGAAATGGAGAGTGTACCACTTACAAGATCAGTGTTGGCGAACTGGTAACCCACGGTACACCGCCCTCATCTATGTATTTTCTCGTGCTTCATCCAATTACATTACGAGCGAAAAGCGAAAGTACAGTTGAGTATTAAATATGGAAACAAAGAAAGGTAAGAAATCCAAGATAAGATCAACATTTGACCACCAAAATGAGTTGTACTAATCACTCCTTCTTTTGGTGTCGCTTTCGTTTGAGTTCTTCCATCTCTTCTCTTGTCATCCGCGTACCGAGGAGCGTGTCCCAGTGGATAAAGAAAGGCTGCGCAAAATTGGACTTGATTCCGATAGTCTACACACCATACACGCGTGTCAGCGACAGACCTGGAATAGAAGATGAGACAACCATGTACCTGGTGGTGAATATCGTGATAGTTGGCATTATTCTTCGTAATGAATTGCAATGGATCCCAGGGGAGAGTGTACCCGCAATGGTCGTCCACTGTCTTGAACGTCGACACGGTAAAGAGGAGCATAGCCTGTCGTGTGGTCATACCAGTGACATACTCTGCTAGTGCCGCGCCTAGAGTATCTAGGAGGAACCCCTCTACAGGATGATTGTAGAGGGCGCCGAAGGCATAGGGGACGTTGAGCCGGTGGTGCCACGAATGGAATTGCTTGTACATGAAGGTGTTCATGTGCATACCGCGATGGAGGAAGTATTGCCATGTATCAATGAAGAAGCTGTCCACAATGAACATTATCAGCACATCTACCAACGAGATGAAGTGGGAAACGTACATCGCGGCAAGGAACTGAGCACTCGGGATTGCCCACCAGTACACGAAATATACCAACTCTCTGCCGTTCGCCCTAAGAACCGCCTCTCCGACCTTCTCCCCTAGCACACGGTGCGCAAAGCCCGCAACCGTGGCCGCAATCTCACCCATCTTCTGCAGATGCTGATCCCACGTGCCGGACGTCGTCGGCTCGCTCAGCCACAAGATACCCAATAGCGTCTGGATAACCTGCTGAAAAAACACGGCTTTCACTACATCCAGCCGCGTCGCCCTGTTCTTCTTCTGCACTTCCGCGCTCTCATGTATCCGGTATTTCTCTAGCCATTGCCAAGTTCTAGTGTCCAGATAGTGGAAGAAGAGAGAGAGGAACCAGTAAGAGAGGACTGGTGCAGCAAGCGTGAGGGCTTCGTCCGAGTATTTGTCAATGAGCCGGGACTTGTGGGTGAAGTAGAACGGCACATCCGCTGGGATGAACGAGAACGAGCTATCCGGCCATTGAGACTGCGACGCCGTTGCGTTGGGCGTCGACAAGAACATGTCCATGGGCGACGGAGTGATGGGGTGGAGGTAAGAGGAAAGTCTCCTGACCTCAATATACTTTATTCATGAGATATTTTTCCGCCTCGACCCCTGAATCTCATCTGGACACGGTATGACACGGTCCTCGGCAAGTGCTGACAGAAACGCACATCATAAGTGATATAGTACTATGTATATTGACACCAGTCCGTAAAGTAGGTACACGGATATTCAAATAAAATAACAAAAGTTATACACTTGGGATAATTTCTACGCCAATCGATGATATGCAACATTTGATAGCAGGTGCGAGGTCCAGTATGATGATTAGATATTATGCTTCATTAAGGTTATTGAGCAGAGTCGTGAGACATCGTTTAGTCACCATATCTCCCTGACAATTCAAGTCAGCATTGCCGTACATTACAATAACTAGAAGGCCCACCTTAAGGAGGGAGCTGAAAGTTTGGTCACGGAGAGGTTCAGGGAGACACGCCCGTAAGGCCTCACGAGCCCTCATATTGTCACTGAGGCGCAAGTAGCACCTCACAACGTGCTTCAATAACCGAACTGCCTGCGTCTCGACGAGTTGGTTGACCATATTGCCGAGCACGGTGCCAACGGCGTAGAAGCGTTCATAGGTGTGACAAATGTAGTTCAAGCCCGTCTCGTCGAGGAGGATCTTCTGCACGATGAATATGGCCACGGTTTTAGAGAGCTCGGAGCCGGTTTCCATGATGCGCAGGCAGAGGGGGATGATCTCCGTCGACAATAAGAAGTGGATCACGGTATTGTTGTCATTTTGCTAGATCAAAGTCAGAACCTATGGAAATACTAGGCGGGGGCAGCTGACCTTTACAAGAGCCCCGATAACGCCGAGAGACGTTAAGCGAAGGTATTCAAACGGTCGGGTTTTGGAGGTGGTGTTCAGGAAGGGGTATAAAAAGAGGGGTATGTGCGCTGGCGTGCGAGTCAGTCTTGTCGAGCGTCTTGCAAGCGTTCATCGACTTACCGTTGAGGAATAATTGCCTCGTTTCCGAGTGCGAGGCCACGCACTGCAGCAACGCAAGGGCATTACAAACACGATTGGAAACGTGGGCCGTCAAATTGGGCGGTGACAGCATCGGATACACGGAGACTATCTCCTGCAGCAGAGCTGGCATGATTCCTGAAAGTTATCAGTTAGAGGCTACTCGACATATCATCACTTATGGAAACTCACCAAACGAATGCCATAGCACCAATGCAAGGTCATCATACTGTTCCCTCTTCTTGCTGAGCTCCAGCAAGGCGCTCTCCCTCTCGCTGGGATTCAGCAGATCAATCACCAGGGCGTAGATTTTGCCATCCTCGTGCACGGTACTGCTTGCTCGCATGGTGGTGGTATTGATAAATTGGCCCATGGGCTGGTGTGGAACTGGGTGAGCCAGCTGGGCGGGCGGAGTCTCAGAGTAGGAGATGCCTCTTGCGTACGGGTTGAACGCAGGGGCATGCTGCTGGAGAAAAGACATAGGTTTTGGGGAAACGAGCCCCGACATACCGAGGTCGTGATGAACCGAACGAAGTTGAAAGTGTGTGGGGAGGTCTCTCGTGGCCTACCGCTCAAAACGGAAATGAGTTCCTTAGTATCACGTGAACTGAACTTCATGTGGTAATCTACTTAGGGGGTGAGCTGAGGGGGTTGAGCGTTGAATTTTTAGAAGTCTCGTGCTCGAGGAAACGTTATATTATTAATTCAACAATACATAGTATGAGGATTCTATTGTGTCGCAAAATCGAGCGTGCTGCGATGTACACAGTATGGATAACTGGCCATCAGATAATCCTGGCTTGATCTACTTTCCCCGTGCTTTATGTTGTATACCTGCACTACCCGCCCCCCAACGCTTTCAGTCGCGCCTCTGCAGCTCTTGCCCGCCGTTCTCGTTCAACCTTGGCTCTCATCTCCGGGGTAAGGCCGGCTACGCCCTCCGCCGCCCCTGAACTTCCTCCCAACCTTCTCGGTCCACCAACAGACCGCACATCCTCCACCTTAGCAGCAGGCTGCACCACCACCTCCGGGGAAACAGACCGACTCTGTCCCTTCTCTCTTGCCTCGCGCTCCTTCACGCGCTCCTTCAGCCCCTTCCGTCTTTGCTTCTTCCTCTCATCCCTTTCCTCCTCCATCTGCTTGCTCAGCACACTAGGTACATGCCCCGCACCAAGCCAGTCCCATTTCTCTGGATGATCACCAGCACATCGCCTAAACACATCCCGAACGGCCCGCGTTCGCGCGAGGTCGTACGCTGTCCGTCGTGATCCCTTCGAGACCACCGCTGGTGCATCTGAAGCGTCCGAATGATCGTCGTCCTCATCATCCAAATCGCCGACCTCAATTGTAGGGTCCGCGCCGGCCTCGTCCAGCAGCCATTTGACCGTATCAGCCTGTCCCGCACGCGCCGCGACCTGAAGCAGAGTCTTATGTCTTTCTCCCGCCCACTCAGGGATGGCGGTATTGACGCCCCCCAAGCTCGAAGCTTCGCGCTCCCAGAAAGCCCTCAATGGTTCCAGCCTACCCTTGCTTACCATCTCCAGTAGTCGACCCCACTTATCGCGCAGCTGCTCCTCTTCCTTAGTGAGGACGGGGGGCTTCGGTTTATCAGGAAGAGGCTCCTTGACGACTGGTACTAGCTTGGGCTTGGGTAAGCTGTTCAGGTAAGCCTCGTCTTGTGCCCGCAGCGCATCCTCGGTCAGATGGGAGACCTTAACTCGCGTGAGCTCCAGCAAACATCGTGAGAGCTCTGATTGTGTCTGCGGTATTGTGAATAACGAGTGCAAGGGGTAGCGCTGCTAGAACATACCGGTCGACGTGTTGGGAACGGGAACGTTCTCAGGCGGTCATCGCCTTTTGCGATGACTGAGCCGTCATAATCCATGAATATCTTGCGGTTTGAAGTGCTTGCTCGTATCCATATACGCTCACATGCGCTCAGTTCCTCAGCCCAGTCTTGCAAGAGGTTCCGTATGTCCTATAACAGACTGAGCACTTCATCGGTGGATATACAATCAGAACCCTACATCTCGTAATGCTTGCTCTCCATAGCGACGTAGAAGGGCACCAGCACTTTTCGCGGGGCCTTTGGCGTTATCATTTGCTGACTGTGACCCTCCCTGTTTCCGGCGAGCTAAGGCGATGTTAACAAGATTAGTATGACGGCTGGTGAAACGTACTGGTATATCGGTGGAATGTTTTGTGCCGCAAGACTTCCGTGTCTGGCTTCGGCTTTTTGTGTTTCTTCCGCTTATTGTCGGCCTCATCTTCGTCGTCTGCCGCACGACTGACCCGGACGATAGCCCCAGCGAAATGTCCGCCAGCGACCATGAACAAAGCCCACGTCCGGCCATCCTCGTATGGTATTTGCATCTCCTTCAGTTCTAACAGATATGCAGTGGGGTCACTTTGTTGGGAAAACATGGCCCTGTATACACCGATCTGCGTGTCGGGGGGCGAATGGAACCATGTTATCGCGGTTTGTGGTGCTGCCTTCCTCTCGGTGGGAGATAGGGATCTCCCGTTGCGCTTCGCCTTGTTCGCAAGTGCATTTACGGCGTCAGAATCCGATCCCGATGAGTCGGCGGAGGACTCAGACCCTGATATCGAATCCTCAAGGCCTGCCAGCGATCCCGTGGGTTAAAACCATGATCCTTGGGATATTAGTGTACTTACTGTCGACAAGTTTGGCAAAGTCTGTCTCAGCGACAGGCTGAGCACCGTTGATCCTGAGCTTCACATTGTAGCGGTGCCAGTCCGATCGGAAGTGCTCTCTTTGCACGTCGACGTCGGTGAACGTGACTCCGAGGCATATATTGCATGCTCGGGAGCTTGTAGCGATCTGAGGTTCATGAGCAACGGTGGGCTTGGATTCTTGAGATAACTGAGATATCGGTTCCCCGAAGAGCGTTCTTGGAGTAAGGGTTTCGAGAAGAGATGTCGGTATCGAAAAAACGTGGTACTGCGACATTTGCGGCTGGCTTAGAGACTAGCTCTCCTCATCAATCTTTGCAGTCGATATAAAGGACAGTCGGCACCCGATGTGACTCTATTCGACTTCTGTATCGCCTCTGTGGTGGTGACTCAGGCGGGGAGATTATTTTGGGTTGACCTTTATCTTATCTGATAATGATTACCTTTCGCGGATGCGATACTGCCAAACATGATCGTTGCGATGCACTTGCCCCGCTCATTACCGCCACGTCCTGTACACGTCTGACCTCCGCAGCGTCCACGTCGCCAACGCAGTATATAAGACATACCCATAATACAATTGAACAACACAAATCATGGTTTCAGACGCGTTTGCAGACCGCAAGTTCAAGAAGCTAGTTCTATTCGATGTCGATGGAACGCTTTCTCTGGCGCGTCAGGTACGTTGTGGTATCCGCAGCATGCTAGAATTTTGACGATGGATGGCACAGAGTGCATCGCCAGAGATGATCGCACTCCTCCGAGACCTGCGAAAGCTCAGCGCTATCGGTTTCGTTGGAGGGTCAGATATGGTTAAGATCCTAGAACAACTAGGCTCAAATGGTAGGCACTTAGCGTATATCCTACATGCGCCTCCTCTGATAACATACCCATAGCTACTGAAGAATTCGACTATGCGTTCGCTGAGAATGGGCTTACTGCATACAAGTTTGGGAAACCACTAGAGTCCCAGTCGTTCATCAAGTTTGTGGGCGAAGAACGATACAAGAAGCTGGTTTCGTTCATTCTCCATTATATCGCCGACATGGATATTCCGATCAAGCGGTATGTGAGGATCTATTACTTGACACGAAAACGCCCTGATCCCAACCGTTCTAGAGGGACGTTTGTCGAATTCCGCAACGGGATGATTAATGTTAGCCCAATTGGCAGAAACGCGACGTACGGTCATTGAGACGTTCGATGTATAGCATGCTTACAGTGCCTACTAGCATCGCAGAACGACTCGACTTCCAAGCGTATGACAAGGTAAGAGCATATCAGTTAACATATATGCACCCAAACCAAATCCATACTAGGAACACGGCCTCCGAGAGAAATTTGTGAAGATCCTGCAAGAGAAATTCGCAGACTACGGTCTTACCTATTCCATTGGTGGTCAAATATCATTCGACGTTTTCCCCCATGGATGGGACAAAACCTACGCACTAAACCACGTTCAGGACGAAGGGTTTGAAGAGATACATTTCTTCGGCGACAAGACCTACAAGGTAGCCGTCCTCGCTTTTCTCGTTCTTCCTTAAACTGAGTATACGCGCAGGGTGGAAACGACTACGAAATCTTCTCTGATCCTCGTACAATAGGGCATACGGTCTCTAGTCCAGCAGACACCCAGCGAATACTCAAAGAAATGTTCTTCCAAAGCTAACTGAGTTGTTGACATCTCGTAGATTTGTATTTGTACAGGATCAGATCAAACAGAAACTCTTTAACCTAAAGCTGCCCTGCGTCCTTTGATATGGACCGCGTCTTCTTCAACCACACCGACTCCAAAGGACTCTCTTAGTACTCGAATTCTATCACTGTCCGTCTCGATAGTTGCGAAAACCTCAGTTCGGGTGCCGATAACCATCTTAGCCTCCTTCCCCGACAATATCAATCTTCCAAGATGCCCAGGCCAATTGATGTGGGCGTGACTACTGGTCTCCACTTGCGCTTCCACCTCTTCAGCTTCCGCGCTACCCAGGGTGAAGTATTTGACGGCCCAAACCATGTCCCAGAACAAACCCAGATAAGGTCTAGTGCAGATATCAAATGATGCCGCTTCGTAGTCGCAATCGAAAAACTCTCGGTCCGTAAAGGTGTAGAGCACCCTCCAAGGTTCCGCGCCTCCTGTATGAGACACATGGAGTTGGTACTCCAATTGAGGATGGTCCCTTCGTGAACCGTCCCGCAATTCTACCAGATTCGTATGTGAACGAGTACCTCCTTCGAGTAGCCCTTGTCAATCTTACCTAGACTACTCATGGGCAATACCTTTCGCACCAAGCGATGTCGTTCGCTTGGGGTAGCACCCAGGACGACATTATCTTCTCCATCGGACAGAAGCATAGGCCTTGCAAGTCCAGAGCCACCGAAACCCACGTCTACAAGCCATGTCTGGTTGGCGTCTCCAGGCTGAACAAACACCACCATATGGGTCAGTCCTTGGAAGTCGACGGGATCCGATGGTTCTCTGGCCATATTGACGCGAGCCGCACCTCCATATGCTCTTGACATCCAACCATTAGTCTTGAGTAGTATCTTCCCTTTTGTTATCAACGCACCTGTAACCTAGACCACGCAGCATCCCTAATAACAGACCATTAAGCCCAAAGCAATATGATCCCTTTCCATCGATAACAAGTCGTTTATATAATCCTCCAGGGCTAACGTCGACGAAGTGATCCTCTTCACTGTATCCGGCATATAGGTTAGTCTACAATGCCGTTAAGCTCTCGAGGGTGAAAAGCTCACTAGTGCATCGCGACATTTTCGAAGGGGAATGTCTGGAGATGGCGTCGAGACAACTGCCCAAGGTTGTCCAAACTAGTTTGGAACGCGCCACTCGCGATGTCCTCTGCTGTATGATTATGATCATACCCGATGCGCGACAACCATTGGATGACCTGTTCAGCTGTGTAAGGTCCGGGTAATTTCTTGATCCACGCGCCATTGGGAAGTAATCCTGCCGCCATGTATGCGAAGTTGCGACGAAAACGTCGTCGATATCCAGTGAGTCACTACGACCTGCATGATCTATGATCATCAGATGTTGTGTTCGTGTTCGTGTTCCCACCGTCGATGCATTGAAGGTACTCAGGGGATATAGGAGACTCAGGATAAAAAAAGGGGTGACACTAAATGAATTCCTTGCAGTTTGATAACGAGGTCCTTCCAGGTGACTCGTAGCGATATATGCTCCGTACGCAAGCGATATCAGCAAGCACAAGTATCTTCTCAGTCCCACAAGGGCCTGACCGCACCTTCTTCCGAAATGCAAAATACTGTTTGCTTCGTGCTGTAAATACAAGCGAGGGAATAGAAGGATTGCGAGCTACCCCGCGCAACACACGTACTTCATGCTCTTCCAAAATAGAGAGTGGGGCAATAGTCTGTTTAGGTTTCCGCGTGTGGGGCAGCTCGCCGGCGGATACCCAGCAGTTGTACGTACATCCGGTACTTTCATCCGAGATGAGTGTCAGCCGTCATGGTACCATGCTTGGTACCAAGGGACCACCATCATCCAGGACCAATGACGCCGCTGACACTCTGTCAACGGAATACCAGAAATATACGTCAGGGAGGGTAGTTAGCTTCAGAGGATACCAATCAACTGTCGATCTACCATAATTCCGGGTGGCCTCCATTGTCTAGCTAGCACAGTTAGTTTACACGTTTAGAGCTTGTAAAATGATTATTGAATATTGATATATCATTCCGGATCTTGAGGGCGCGTGTAGAGGCAGCAGCCCTTCCTCACATAATATCTGGTCAGGAGTTAAACAAGAAGCACGGTTAAAAGGTACGATGATAAGCTCGAGTAGACGTTCGGTGGGAAATGTGTAGTGGGTAGTGGTCCTTTCGGAGCGGCGAACTGGAGTCGCAGTCCATGAATTGAACCTCAAGACTACCGATGCCGTGAGCTGTGGGGCGTGAGTTGATTCGTATTCAGCGGCTCTTTTGGCAGTCCTCCGAATGCCGCTCTGGGCAATCTCGATCGAGAAGATGAAGTAAGTGTGCTACTGTACGGCACCTTCTAAGTGCGGGGAAGACGCTGTTGCGATAATGTTCATTTGAGCAACTTAATGTAAGAGTAATCGGCCGGACCTCGTTAACCAGTGTTGAGTATCGTAAGGAGAGATTATGATAGACGGCGAATGAAACCAAAATCACGTCCCTGTGATGATAATCTGTCGTCCGAGGTGTACAAGCGCGGGAGGGGTCTTGTGACGATTAAATAGAAGCGAGGTAGGGCATCCATTCAACAACAACGTAAGAGCATAGATTCGGCCGCGGTGCGAGAAACGGACACATGACTCGAGGAACAACGGCGAGAACGGTCGCGTCCAAGCGTGTACACGTACGTATGCAAGATACAATAGTCATATACAAAAGGGTGTCGAACGGCACACGGCCTATCCCAGAAATAAAGTACAAGCATGATGATCCGGAATGCGTCCAATATTTTGTGTTTTGAGTGATAAGATGTTAGGCATAGGCGAGTAGGGGGGAAATCTATCATCGCATGGTGACATTGTCAGCAAAAAGGCGCTATATATCCATATGGCGAAACGGGCGTACCATGGGTGTCGTGAGTGGAATGATAGCAATAATACAACACGATATTCGCGTTTGTGGTGGCTTATGAGGACTTCTTTTTTAGGATTTGGGACAGGTCTGGTGACGACGTGTCCTGTCGAAAAGGCACGAAGATGGGCTGTGCTGCCTGGCCGTTAGGAGACCTGGGCGTGCCCTGCTGCTGCGAGGGATTTCTCGACGGCTGCGATGGCTGATATGCTGTCGCAGGATATGATGATGTGTGCTGCGAGGGCCGAGGTGGCTCAGGCATTATGCCGGAGGTATTGGTGAAGGGATGTGTGGCGAAGGGGTCAAAGTTGTTAAGCAGCGATGAAGTAGTCATCTTGTCGAAAACGTCGAAGTCTAGTGGGTATGTTGTGGAAGAAGTGGGTATGAGCCGAGTTGTCTCAGAGTAAGGAGATAGGGAGTGCTATGCTGACCTTTATACCACAGAACACGCGCGCGAGGCGCTGGATAGGCATGCGAAGTTACATTGGCTGGAATATCCGTGGCGGATATGTGACCCGGAAGGGTAGGCACGTATCGCCCCGAGTAAGGACCAATGTTTACAAACTATCAAGCACGCAGTGGTAGCTGGTACCAAGCTGGTACGATAGACAATTTTTGGACTGATGGGGCTAGGATGTGGTGATCCCGGTACCACATGACCAGATGGTTAGTCAAAAAGAAGACGGCGGACGCATTTGCTCGGACATGGTTAATTACCTGAGCGACCCGTCAAGGTTCCAGTAATCCAGTAATCGCTGACACGGAAGAATAGAGACGCGCACCGCGGGGAAACATAGGATATTTGTATGCGGACAGTACACACGAGGGTGAACAGATAGACACGCTTTACGGAAACCGACTGATATTGCTGAACAGCATCTCCGTGTCCTGGCCAAGTACGGAAAGAGAAGAAGCAGGTATATGTTCAGCGCAGCTATCACGAGACCAACGTGGACGGAGTACGGTTCCACGCCCTGCACGGTCGGTCCGGATATGGTGAAGACGGCACGCGTTCGTGTATATGAAAAACCTGTATGTGGACGTGTCCCCCAACGTTTTGTGGTCGACGGAAGTGTGGGGGCATAGGCTTTGACATATTTCGCCGAGGTTAAGCTTCGATCAGGGGGTTACACACCTTTGAGGCCGAGCGGTACTTTTGCTCGACGTGTGACGCTGTGCCCGACAATGAGAAAATCGAATCCACTGATGAAATGATATCCGATTATACTCCAGGTCATGGTAACCACAGCGGTATGGACTAATGTGAAGGTGAAGACAATAGACGCACCATTTTGAAGGATGCTGATCACTACATGGCATATACCACGGGTACACGATGAACCATAGGCCCGCCGGACGTCCGATGATGAAAGTATGATATGAAGATGCTCGGTCGAAACCACTCATGATAGACTGCCGCAAACTTCTGGAAGCTAATCTAATGAAACATGGATCAGAATCACCCCACGTAATAGCGGACAAGGCGCGCTAGAGCTTACATGATATACACAGCCTGACCCAGAAGCTGCGCTACGATTTCAAATATCGCCCAAATCTGAGTCTCTGCAAGAAGACTTGGCTGTCAAGTTCGACTGTCAAGTTGACTCCATAGCGCATATCAACCATCGGGCTCCGGGTCGCAGAATGAGGGCTCAGCGCTGAGGTTAGTTCTCATTGATCATCAAGTGCAGCCTAGTAGTGAGCTCCAGCACGTCGAGCCTCATTGCTTAAGACCGTATGAGCGCGAGATGAAGGTTAAGATTGATCAAGATCGGGCCGTGCGCGTGACAGGCATGAAACGTGTTGAAGCTAGAGTATCGACTCGCCTTGTGTCGACCGCTACAATATTTAATCGATGGGTGCTGTTGGGTGACTGCATCAGCTCTAGACACAAAGTATAACAATACCCTCCTCACACGGCTACCATGGATATGAAAACGTACCGGTTTAAAGACTACGAGGGCGGTAACAAGGCGGCGTGTAACAGAAACAGTGCTTTGTCCTGTGCGAGCGATATCTCGAATGCTCGTTTCCCTCCAAGAGGGCCGTCAAACCGCGCCCAGTTCTAAAGTCGACCAATTCTTCCCTGCACGTTGCAAAGTCCGACGGTGAAAATACGCCCGAAGTGGGCCAAGAGTCAAGACTGAATTAAGATGCAAAGATAATCCGTGTGCTTTGAGTTTATTCAATGGAGCGCAGAGCTGGTGCTCGACATGAGGACATGGAGGCAGGAAGGAAGCGGAAATTCTGGAAAATCAGGAGATTAGATTCCGGAGAAGCGGCTTGATTTGGCAGAGATGACCCTGAAAAAAGTTTGGCCAGGAAAAATGGTGGCAGACGACTCGCGACTCTCACCAGCACCATCACCACCACTCTTTCAACAGAGTCCCATTTTTGTGGCAGTTCGCCACAAATACCTTCTTATAGAGCAATCCTGGATTTCAGATCTTCCCCATGTTCATTGACCTGCTCAAATGTCCCAGAATCGTGTTCTCGGTGCGTGAACGATCTTGCATGTTATTTTACCGACCCGGATTCCTGTCACGCGCCAACAACAAGGTATCAGGGCTACGCTGCTGGGCCCATAGCCTCTCTCAAAACCATCGATCTTATCTTTTCCATTTATACATGTTCTGCTACCCATGAACTGAGCATCGCAAGCTAAATGTCTCCCCGTTTTGTAGTTCAAAACAGACAGCAGACTTCAGCCACTATGCAGACTTCTCACCCCCATACCGTAGACGTCGCAGAAAGGTTCCTCCTGGCAGACGACGGCGACGACAACGAAATTTGCCCTGTCTGCGATGGCGAGTGCACCTGCCGCCCCCAGAGCAGTACCCCCTACCGCAATGTTCCCCCTTCTACACCTTCGTTCACGACAATCACGCCCAAGCATCCCCCTCTGAAGATCAAACTTACTGTCCCTAGTTGCATGCTAGGCAAGCGACAAATTTCTTCCTCCAAGTCAGTGACGGCCTACAGTGCCCCCGAAAACGCTGGCGAAAGCTCTTCTTCGTCTTCTCATCCCGAACAACTCGCTACCGCTCCCATTCCCGTTCCCAAACGACGGGGTCGGCCGTCGAAGGCCGTTGTCGCAGCTCGTCTCGCCGCGAAGGCTGCTGCAGAGGCACACGAGGCAACTCGCCTGCCAGTTCCATCATTATCGCAATTCTCATCACAATCTCAGCAATCAGTCAAGCGAAAGGACTCCCTGAACCGACGGAAAACAAACCCGAAATCGGCAGCCTCGAGGCTACCCTCAAAACTCAAGGGCAAGTCCACGGTCGTGAAGAAGGCAAATAAGCGAAGACGCGTGGCGGTGAGCGACTCTTCTGCTTACAGCAGCGACGAATACTCTCATTGCGAAGACGACTCCAATTCTCTTCGACTCCCAACCCTTGTACCTGCATCAGCACTATCCAGTTCATCCTCGAGCGATACCGAATCTAGCTCTCTTTCCGACTTCGATTCTGATTCATCCATAGAAGCTGAGGAAGAAACTTACATTATTTCTGAAGAAAGTAGGGCACGCGACAAGGCTCGTGTGCGCCGTGAACTTTTGGGGGATGATCAAAGAAGACGTAATGATTGGGTCATTCGCCCAAGAAAAATGAGCGTGGGTGCGAGTGACGCAGAGATGGAGGTTGATAGCGATGCCACCGAGGACGAGGAGGAGGAGGAAGAGCAAGAAGAAGAGGAAGAAGAGCCAGATGAACAAGCCCCTGGCGCCCCATTCAATGGGGTCGCCACGGGGTGGTCAGAGGGCGAAGAGTCTAGTTTCGATGCTGATCTGTTCTTTGCCAATCTCAGCAGCGACGCTGAAAGCACCGATTATTCTGCTGCCGGCGATGAAGGACCCGACGACGTCGATATCGAGGACCCGCCGTCCGACGTCGATGCCATTTCGCTTGTGCAAGCCGCTGCTGCGGGTCTTATTCCCCAACTTCGGCAAGAGCTAGACAACCTTCCCTTTGAGGTCACTCAAGGGTGGGACGGTCAGATTGTCTTTACAAATGGGCTTCAAGACGGTCATGGGATTCTGGATATCGATTTCGAAGTCAATGCGGCCCAACTCGTTGACACTAGTGCCTCGCCTAGTGCTGATGTGGACATGTCAGATAACGCTCAAGATGAAAACACCAACGGTGGGACCGACGACGGAGCGACCACCGACGAGGACTTGGTTGGCGCAGACGATCTACCCAACGAACGCGCTATGCAGCTGTTCGTCATGCCAATGAGCGTATCAGCTGTCGACCCGATGTCAACCATGAGCCCAGTTGGAAGCCCACGCCCTGTCAATCGGCGGCGATTCAGATCATCGAGCCACTGTGAATCCCCAAAGCCTGCTGACATTCTTGCCGGTAGAGTTTTCTGGGAGGATTCAGATGGTGATTGCGACGATAATCTTTTGAAAAGTCGCAGCGAAACTTCTTCGCGTGGAGCTTTCCCTCGCACGGGAACATTTCAGCATACTACGTCGGATCGCCGAGCAGTTATCGATGGTTCTAGTAACGATGTGCCGTCACCTCATCCTCGTGCTGGACGTATCGGCCGCGGCAGAGACATGACCCAGTCTCTTCACTCGTTCCATATGGTAAGCTTTATCATTCACTGCGCATACTCAATCTAAATTTCAATCCTACCCCAGTTTGATAGTCCATGGACGGCACGTTCCTTCGCTCGTACCTCTTCTGTCCCCGCTTCTGGTTCTCCCCGATCACATATGCGTAGCTTTTCATCGGATGTCCCCATGTCCTCGTCACCGGATCCGTTCCATGGGGAACCCGTGAACCTAGACGACGTTCTCGATTCATCTTACCTGGATTCGGATGGATCGGATTGCCATGGATCGACAACGTCCGTTAACGACAGTGATTCGAAGAAACATATCAGAAACCTCAAGCGGTGGGATGTAATATCCGTCGGAGCCTTTCGCCAGTCCCACTCCTCCATGAATAGCCTCGACGCCAGCTGGACCTCTGACACACCGGTCCCCACCTCGGTCCCCACCTCCCTCAGCAACGCTATGAAAATGAATCCCATCAACGAGATGCTCTGGAACAATAAGGACTCCAAGGTCGATGGGCCTTCTACCAGCACTCTCTCCACCCCTGAATCTACTTCATCCAAGCGGCGAAAGCGCGGCGATCGTACCCCCACCAACTACGTCCCCACAACCACTCCACCGCAGCAAAACCGCATTCCAACAAAAACCAGAAAAGAGCTCAGGCACGAGCATAAGCTGAAGCGCAAAAGCTTCGCTTCCACTCATCACAAACATCATCCTCAGTTCCACGCCCATGGTCATCATCCGAACATGAAATCTCGTAGCTCGAGTTCAGTGCAGCGCACGAACTTCTTTTCTTCTTCGACTTCAAGTCCAATGTAAAATCAAAGATGCATATGTATTCCGGAGATGCATCCCCCGACCACCCATCCAATCTCCCCATCGGCAACCACCCTCCCTCGGTCGGATTCAAATCTCTGTTGTGTTTCCACGTCGTAATATAAATGGTTGCTGGCTCCACATCAAGAAATGTTGTATAACAAACGGTCTTTGTCTTCTTGTGCTATCTCTATGATCTCTCTCCGTAGATTCATCATCATCGACTTACCTACAAGTCCATATACTGACCCATCAACCATCCGTCTCCTCCCTTCTTCCCTTCCCCTTCTTGTGATGCTCATGACAATGTTTCTAATGAATGACTTCGCTTTCCCCCCTGTATCCGTGGCATATAATTTCCTCCCCATCGTGCTACGGCGCGCATTTCCCTGTTTAATGATGCATACATACCATTGTTGGCTACATAGGCTTCCGTTGAATCCACAGAATTGTCGAGCAAGTGTGCTCAGGTCAGAAACTAATGCTCATATGCCCGTTCTAAGTTCGTCCAGTGCTTGAGACCTTGGTTTCGCCTCCAAGTCAGTACAAAAATGGCAGAACACCGCCCCTTCGTCACACTTCCTTGAAAAGCTCGCGCCGAAGCGTTTTTGGCCTTCGGGGATCGGCGCGCCACTACCCCAAGTCGATCAATGAACTTCTTACTTCTAGCGTCGTTCCTACTGAGGACTATGTAAGGCTTTCATATGCCATCACGCGAGATAGATATTCTATTTGGCCGAAGTCTTTGCTCGCAGGACCACAATGCACAAGAGATCGCAGAGTCCAAGAAATCTTCCAAAGTAACAGTGACGGCAACTCACGATGAAAAGATGTCTGCCCGACCTCATTTCGGAGCTAAGTACTTGGATACCAGAGTAGGCGGTAGCACCAGAACCACACTGTGTGCGAGAGAGTGATGAGCCGGTCCAGCAGGCGCGCAAATCAGAATGGGTTCCACGTATATATATTTTTTCAACTTGTATCTAGTTCGGCATCCAGCGGTTGAGTCAACCCAGAAAATGCTGCGCGATGTACCGTTATAAGCAAGCTTAACGTGCTTGAGCTTGGTCTGGACTCTGGTAAAACGCACGAGGAAAGGCTTCAGCAAGTTCACGCTTACCCCTATACCCCTGTGGCGAGCTCCTGTCTCCAGATTTCTACGGACCCGGTACCAAAGGCACACAGTGCACGTGACTACTAGCACTTTGCACCATCGACGCGACACTTCGCCAGACTTCGCGTCCGCGACACCGGACGTTCATGATCTTCGAGTCTGTGAAGTATTATTTGGCGTCCTGCCTTGCCGCTTCACGTCAACTGGAGCTGGCTACGGTTCTGGATCGCAATGGCGGGTCTCAGGTGGAATCTATTGAGGACAACTCGCTCACACATGTCATCACCAACTCTCCGCATTTCGATGGCGCACACAAAGTCAGGCAGGGGGCTGCTATTGTGGCGGTGAGCTGTGAATAACCGCAGCTTGCAGCCTATACTAAAGCCCAATAGGATAAATGGGTGGATCGCTGCATGCAGCAGGGAAAGCTCCAACCCACGTCGATATATTCCCCTGACCCGGCCATGCTCTTCTCTGGCGTCGTCGCAACCTCGACGGGAATCTCTGCCACCGACGTCGAGGTTCTCGCAGCTGGAATCACCGCGCTCGGGGGGCAATGGCGGACAGCGCTCACCCGAGACATCACACACATCTTTGCGGTACCGGGGGTAGGGGTCGCCTCAGACGACGACGCGTGCGTGCCGGAGCCGAATACCAGCAAATACCACATGGCGAAGCACGCGCAGGTGCAGGAGCTCTCGATGAAAATCCTGCTGCCACACTGGTTTGATGACGCAGTGCGCTTGGGGACGGGGTCGTTGCCCACAGAAGAGTACGAGTGGCCAGAGCCCAAGATATTGAAGCCCTCGCACACGAAAGGTCGGTCACCGTCGGGCGACTCGTGTAATTTGCTGACGTCCCCCCAGATACGGGACTGCAGATCACGAAGGACACAAAGAAGATGGAGCGAACGCCGGCATCGAAACGCGCGCTGATCCGCTCGCAGCTCTGGACGCCAGATGCCTCTACACCCATGCCTAAACCTTGTAAGTGGCTTGTTCGACGGTAAACAGATGCGACTGACCGTGACTAGCGAAGAATATATGGGGGTCGCGCAGAGTCCTTCTCTCTTACACTATCGGGCTTTCCCCAGAGCGTCAGCTGACACTAGAATCCAGCATTGAGCGAGCAGGAGGGGTGGTGGTGAGGAAACCAGAGTCGCAGATGGATCTAGACGAAGACGAGGAAGAGACGATCCTAGTTGACGAGGCAGACGTCTTGATAACTAGATATCGAGCAGGCAAGGCGTATTTCAAGGTATTTCCCATGTCTATCGCCTCGATTTACTACTGATAGCGTACAGGCCCTGACTTCGCATAAAATCATTGGGTCTCTGTCGTGGCTATTCCACGTTCACTCGTCTGCAATCCTCTCACCCCCTACTGATCAACTATTGCACTATCCTCTGCCGCGGCGGGGTATCGACGGGTTCTCTTCCCATGTTCGTTTCCCCGTCTCACAGATGTCCTATTATTGATCTAACTTTCGCGTCATTAGGAAATCTCGATCACGAATTACACGGGCGAGGCAAGGGAGTATATCAAGAAGCTGATAGAGACTATGGGGGCCACGTTCACGCCGAGCATGACCAGCCGGAACACAGTGCTCATCGCCGCATTGTATATTCATCTCCTTTCCCTCCACCCCCTTCCTCCGCTCACTTATCCGCTTTCACAGCATCTCAGGCACCAAGACCGCGAAAGCGCAATCGTGGTCGATCCCCATCGTTAACCACACGTGGCTGGAGGACTGTTTCGTGCGCTGGCGGCACCTCACGGTGGGGCTGGAGAAGTACATCGTCTTCCCCCCGAACGTGGACTTCGCGAAGATGCTGTGCGAAAGGTCGTTAGGGAAATTGCGCGAGATCGAGGGCGGGGTGCTCACGATTGCGGCGGCGGAGGGCGAGCAGGCGGTGTCGCTGGTGCATCATCTAGGCGTGGCCGGGGTAGGGCGAGGGATGGAGGTGGATATATGGGCTGGGGTTGATGAGAAGATTGATGGGGGCGCGAGGACGTTGGTCGAAGGACGCGCGGCGGATGATACGAGCCCCAAGATAGCGCGCAACAAGGAAGGGACGACGAGTCTGGTGCCGAATACGAGTCCGATGAGCAAGAAGGGCGATGGAACTGCGGCGAGACGGAGTCCTCGGAAGGCAGGCCACGCTCCCGCCGGTCCGCCGCCGGCAACCGCAACCAGCGCGCGCGACGTCATGGAGATTTCGAACGAACTCGCCCCCGAGGGAGCGACGTCTGAACCCGAACCCGAACCTCAGGCTGAACCTGAGCCTGAGTCACCTAGCCGTCGACTTTCCCGAAAGCGCAAGCGCCGATCTGACGGGCGCGACAGCCCTGAGCGGCCCCCTTCGCAGATTGAATCAGCTTCTCCACCGCGACTGAGGCAGAAGCTCGTGTCATCGCCGAAGGAGCCTGCCGTCGCCAACGGTAACGATTCTGCTGAAGACGAAGACAGCGATTCCCTTCCTGAGGTGACGACCGCGCTCGGTATCAACAAGGCGCCGAAAGACGCAGACAATGGCGACGTCGTGATGGCCGACGAAGAGCGAGAGGACTCGCCCATCCCCATGCCCCGCAAGAAATTGACACGTCGGAGTGGAGAAGGCATCGACCTCAGTCGACTCGGCATGCCCATCTCCCCCCAGAAATCCCCGAATAAGGCATCCCCGGTGGCTGCACAGGCGAGTCCTCGCGTGACGATGGCGAGCAAGATGCGGGGTTCCCCTGCAAAGGCAGCAGCGGCAGTACCCAAACTGGGGCATGAGGAAGGCGATTCGCGGGACGACGAAGTGCAAGCAACCACGAAAACGAAGCTGATGGCGAAGTTGGCGAAACCGCCGGCTTCGTCAGCAACGCGTATACGGAAAGGCAAGGCCAAGAAACGAATAGCCGAGGAGGAGGAGGAGGAGGAGGAGGGGGAAGAAGAGGAAGTGCAAGTTGTAGCGGCGCGCAGTTCTAAGGGTCGTACTTACACGGTAAAGGCCACCACCAGCCGTCGCGCACCCAAACCAGCAAGGGATGAAGGCGACAGCACTACTGAGCCCCCCGAAGCTCCGTCAAAACCCTCGCGAACAGCGAAAGCGAAAGCGAAGAAGCCGGCCTCTCCAATAGAAATCGACCCTCCAGAAAGCGACGCCGTCGAAGGAGAGACGGTGACAATACTTGAGTCACCGCAGGTGAAAACGACGAAGAAGGGCAAGCAAGCGCAGACTACTAATTGTAAGCCAGCGACAATGTTCGTTTTGACTCCATGGCTCACGCTTCGTGAAGTGCCTGTTCCGGACGCTGGGGGGTCGCGACGACTTGGTGAAGGCAAGCCGCCCGCCCCTGATGAGACCAACTTCGACGTCGACGATAGAGACGATGGTGGCAAGCCTACGAAAGTCCTCAAGCGGCCGACTCCGAAACAGAGGGACGCGGTTGTGGAGGACGACCTGGAGCGACCTGACGATACCTCGGTGATATCTGGACGCTCGAGGAGGACAGCAGCAGCCAAGGCATCCCAGGTTCTACACGATACAATCATGCCGGACGTCAACATGTATCAGAAGCATATGTCCCGGTCGCGCAAGAGTGGCTCATTGCCTAACAACTTCCTACAGGAAGATACAAGGTCAAGAGCAAGTACACCGTCGGAGCGTCCGCCAAAGGCCAAACGAAAAGTCGATCTTGATGCGGAACCACCCACTAACAGCAACAAGCCCAAGCGTGGGGCTAGCAACACCAGGTAAGTGTGCTGATACTTAATAATTAGGCAATTCCCCAGACACGTATCCTAGCCCCTCGAAACTCTCCGCAAAACGGTCAAGGAATATACGCCTAATGACTACACAAGTGACGCTATCTGATAGTGTCGTCAAGGTTTGTATTAAACAAGTAAAGTCTGTTGTATCTATTGACGACCTTGCAGCGCCTGGTCAAGCTGGGAGTGAAGATGGTTGAGAAAGCCAGTGAATGCACGCACCTGCTAGCTCCTCATCTTGTGCGAACCGAGAAATTCCTTTGTGCGATTGCAGTCAACGCCTTCATTTTGAAATCGGAATGGGCGACCGCCTCAGCGGCAGCAAACGAACTCCTTCGTATGTTTACATTCAGTTCTTTGTTTTCTTCTTACATGTCTCCTCCTTGCAGCGGAAGAAACCTACTTCCTTGAAGATGACGCTAACGAAAGGAAGTACAATGTCAAACTTGCCGACGTCCTTCTTCGTGCAAAATCCAACCAAGGACAACTCTTCGCGAAGAAGACATTTCACGTTACGCCAAAAGTCAGCATTGACCTCAAGCTTCTGAAGAACGTCATTGCGGCCAATGGCGGGCAGGTAATCCAAACTATTCACGTTCTATGTCTCCTTTGTCTCATCAATGGTCCATAGATGACAACGCAGGCGCCAACATCAAGGACATTTAACAGCGAGAATAAGTATTTGATTTCCTGTCCAGAGGATGCTTCTATATGGCGGCCGTTTGCTCAACATCGACCTGTATATACAACGGAGTTGGTGCTCTCTGGCGCACTGAAACAGGAGGTTGACTGGGATACTGATGCTTCCAAGGTTCCGGGTTCTTTCTGAATAGACGACAATCGTATTGCTATGTATCTTGGATTCTTCTCAATACTCGTTTGTATCATCTAGATTATATTTTACTTGTATGTCCCTATAAACAACGTTAACCATTCCATGCTGCGGATTCCAGTCTTCTGTTCATTGGAAGTCACTGATCCATGGATCGGATCCTTGTACGTATATATACCCCCTTAACGTCAATCTTTGTTCACGACAGGTAGATGTGAACGTCGCTGATCAAGGTTGGCGGTTGACTATGCGATGCGGCTTATCCCTGACTAGCGCCAAAAAGATAGAGAATTATAAGAAAGATCGTTCATCCGCTACGAACCGCACCTGAATCACTAAATGTTACAGTACTTTAATATACATACATAAAGAAAAGAAAGTCGTACAGTGACTTTATGCTACAACTTCCCTATATTGACCTTCACCGCCCATTCCTTCGTACCACTCTATTCCTGACGTCGTTGCCGAGATATAGCCAGCTCGGATTGTCCAGTCGCCGAATTTCTCGTTCTCGTGTCGTTCTAGGGCATACCGCTTGATCATGGGCTTGAGGATGGCAAGGATTTCGGGTTCGGTCACGGATTCTATAAAAGGGTGTCAGGGATTGGACAGGGGGGAGGGGGTCGCAAAACATGCCTCGGTAAATCTTATTCAACCTCTGGCCGTAATAACCACCACCAAGCAGCATCGAGTAAGTACCAGGTGCTTTACCGATGAAAGCAATTTCTGCAACATAAGGGCGCGCGCAACCATTGGGACAACCGGTCATACGCATGATGATAGAGTCATTGCGTAGGCCGTTCTCTTCACATATCTTCTCCAACTTGTCAACAAGTATGGGCAGGTACTAAATTAAGGAACGCAGTAAGTCGACGGTGCGCGTATAAGGCCCTATGATGCTCACCCGCTCTGACTCTGCCATAGCCAAACCACAAGTAGGGAATGCAACGCAGGCAGATGACGAAAGGCGCAGCCCTGTCTGTGATAGATTGTCCATCTTGTACTTGGCGAGGATCTCTTTGATAGCAGGAACATCTTCAGTAGGGATGTCCGAGATCAGAAGGTGTTGGTTGGTCGTCAGGCGGAAGGAGCCTCTGAGGACCTTGGCGACTTCACGAAGGCCTGTCTTGAAATCACGGCCAGGCTCATCTTGTATGCGTCCGTTTTCAATGAACATGGTAAAGTGGTGCCTGCCGTCTTCACCCCTGGACCAGCCAAAGTCGTCGACATTGCGGTCAAAGGTGTATGGTCGCGGAGGGGCTAGGGGGTACCCTAGCCGTTTCTCCACTTCTGCCTTGAACACGTCTAGGCCCATGCGGTCAATGGTGTACTTCAACCGGGCATTCTACAAGGATCGTATGAGTGCCTAAACCACTAAGATCTTGTGTGCAAATTACCTTGCGACTAAATGATAACACCAATCAGTTACATGTAAATCTGGATCAAACGGCACACGTACTCCGCACGGTTGCCATTATCGCGCTGGGTGAGCATCACGGCCTCGGCGACTTTCTTGCCCTGCTCGTAAGTGCAGAAACCAATGATATCTCCAAGGCGAGGGTAGGTCTTCTTGTTACCATGAGTGACACCCATGCCACCTCCAACTGTAACGTTAAAGCCTGCCAGTTCGCCACTCCCGTCGACAATGGCAATGAAGCCCAAATCGTTCGCAAATACATCGACATCATTGGTGGGAGGTACGGCGACGGCAACTTTGAACTGGTCCACTTCAATTAGTAATCTTGAATAAGATAGTTTGGGGAACAACGCGTACCTTCCTCGGAAGATAGAACTCCCCATAGAGAGGTTCGACGTCCTTAAGGGCCTCTCCTGCGACCAGCTTCTTGTCCAGCCATATTTCATGGTATGCCGTAGTACGCGGAACGAGATGAGCACTTATTCCCTTTGAGAACTCATATACCTGGGTATGGAGCTTCGAAAAACTCGGGATCGATGAGCAGACAACATTACTGTTGAGAAGAATGCATAAGCATGTTATAGCGGTGCTGGGTAGCTACTTACCGATTGACATCACCACACGCAGCTAAAGTATCAAGGAGGACGCGATTGATATCCTGGATGGCAGGTTTCAGATGTCTTTTGATGACGCCGTGGAACTGGAAAGTCTGTCGCGTCGTGATCTTGAACGTTCCCGATCCATGCTCATCCGCAATCTGATCCATTTGGAGCCATTGATTAGGTAGACAAACCCCACCGGGCATCCGCACGCGAATCATGAACGAGTAAGCAGGCTCAACACCTTGTGCCTGGCGCTCGTCGCGAATGTCACGATCGTCCTGTTGGTAAATACCGTGGAACTTGGTAAGTTGCGTGTCGCTAGCCGCCAATGCACCGGTAGTGGCGTCCTGGAGACCTTCAGCGATTGTACCACGTAGGTAACCCGAAGCTGCTTTGATATGCTCGTTCGTAATCGGGTCGGGCTCGATTTCAGTTACTTCAATGGAGTCAACGCCTAGAGCTTTCCAAATGCGAGGCTCCCACTCCTTGTATCCCGTCTCTGGGCCGTCTGCATCCTGATCATCACCTAGTCCAAGGTCAGCAAGGCGCTGCGCCCCAAGCTTCTCTAGGCGAGCGTCCAAATCCTTTCCCGGTTTGTTGTAGTAATGTGAATCTTCCGGGCGCGGCCAGTAGTGGCTATCTCCCATGCCAAACACTGAGTAGCGAAGCTTTGTCAAGATTTGCTCCCCTCGAGCTACAGCAGCGTTGAGTGCCTTGAAGAATGTACGAGCATTCTGTGTAGGTTCTCCTTGACCAGCCGTCGAAACGACAAAGACGACGTGCTCTTCCTTGGATAGTCCATCAAGGGATACTGAATCCACTGTATTAATGGTAGTAGACAGGCCTCGTGCAGTAGCGCGTCTTGCCAGTCGCTTTGCCTTCTTCTCCGCCGTGCCACCGTCGGATGCGTACAGAATGAGTAGAGGAGGGGCGTCAAGAGCAGTGAGCATGTCGTCAAACAGTTTCTGTGCGTGTTTCCTCCTCGCCTCCTTCACGTTCTCTCCCAAACTACTAACCAACTCCGACGCAATTTGTGGCTTGGATCGAACAAGCTGCGAGAGGTGATTTTGCCTGTCAAGGAATTGCTGTAGTTCATTCTTAATGGCGGCAGAATCGAGAGAGAAGGGTTCCTTCCCCTCCGCCTCCTTGCTAGGATTCCATCGGTACAGAGGCCAGTAACCGGCATCGACCGCGAGCTTTGTCTCCTTGAGGATATCAAGCGCTGGTGTGGATTCACTTTGATATGGGAGGTACGCTAGGACAACGCTAGGACCATTGAAGCGGTCAGCCTCCGTTATGGCTTGCAGAACATGGGAATACGAGGAATAGACGGCAACGCTAGCAACATAGACGTCGCCGTGGTTCATAGCGTACAACCCAACGTCATGCTTACGGCGATTGGGGTCGACGGTGTTGCGAGCAGAGTATGGGAGGGTGTCGAGAATGAGGATATTGATATTAAGCCCAGACGCGATAACATGGTGCAAGCCAGACGCGCCGATGTCGTAGGACCAGGCATCTGAACCGATGATCCATTTTGACGTAGCGGGAAGTAGGGACTGAAGAGCGAGGATACGGTCAACAGCCGGGTGTTTGCCTTTCGAAGACGATAGCTTTTCAACAAGCTGAGCCCCCAAAGTTCGGCTCTTCGCTTGGTCGTCTTTAGCGAGAACCCATTTACTTAGGAGAGCATGCAGATCGGTATCGAAGGCGTTGTCTTGCAAAAGCTCCTGGATGGACTCCACAAGTTCTTCGCGCTGCTGCACCTGAGCACGAATGCGACCAAGGGCGAATTCAGGGGTAGTGGCGAGGTCACCATGCGATTCTACGAGAGAAGGCGAGTTCGAAATTTCTAGTCGGTCTGCAAAGACATGGGTGAGGACTTTGGTGTAGGACAGCTCGTGTGTCGGGACGCGCGGGATCGTTGCTGAAGGGGAAGCAGGAGGGCTACCCAACACAAGTGAGGAATCGGTAGGGATTTGCTGAACTAACTTCAGTATATCGATGCGCGAAACATCGGAAGTATCCCCAAGGATCCCGGAGTAAACAGTAGGACGATGTTCACGCTGTAACTGCTGCAAACTACTGGCGACCTCCAGATAAAGTGGCGGCCATTTCATTGACCAATGCCATACATGTTCCAGAACAATGACTGTTTTGGCGGTCGAGGGGATGGAGGCTAGGATACGGCTGGGAAGTAATGGACTTATAAGTGAGACTTGAACAAACGTGACCCCTTCCACGTCCAATGGGGAGTCGACTTTTCCAACCGTGAAAATGACCGTATGGGCATCGGGTGAGCTGTGGGTCGTGAATGGCAGAGCTATTCTGTGGGTGAGTTGGTGAGTGGCGAGGGACGCAGACTCGTAGGATTTGAAATTTTCGAGCAGGGCTAGATCGTCAGTGATGGCGTGCTCTGGGGATGTTTCGCCGCTGCTAGTTTCCGGTGTGTAGATGGTGGCGGCTCGTTCGATGATTCCACCATTAGCCGGTACAGTTGCAAGCCCGTTAGACACATGGCTAGGAGCCCCGCGCTTGCCGTCCATGAGAAATGGCAACACTTCGTCCGTTGGGATCTCAATTACGGGTTCGTCGGACCGTCGGGCGTAGAAGACGTGGATAACAGCTTTATGCTCTGCTCGTGCTAAGCGAGCTGCAAGCAGAGCGTTGTCATGCGCTTGCTGCCCAGTAGTTGATACCAGGAAGAACGGGGCCGCGGAGCGAAGTAGCAGGACATCTGAGAGGTCATCGGTGACTGCAATGTTAAGGACAGTCGGTCGTGCGGAAATTTCGGGGAGATGTAACACGAGGCGGGAGACTAGTTGCGAGCTTGATGGAGCTGTGAGTGAGATAATGCTAGCGCCTGAATTGCGGACGAGAGCAGCACCGACATCTGCTCCTATAGGTAGTTGCACGATGGTCGGCTCGTGGTGCGACGATTTTGCCACTGTCGCATATGTCTCTGCAAATAGAGAATGTGATGAAGAACGGGCCTCTACAATGACATCCGAAGTCAAGTAAGTGATTCGTGCGACTGCAGCTGCTGCCATGGTCGACTTGAGCTATCACGGAGATCAGGACCGTCTCTAATAGTATATGTGATATGGCTCACCAAATTGCAGAACTGCTAGGGGACACTGTCGAGAGAAATAAAGCTAAAGCTTGCATCTTTATTGGCCTGGCAGAATTCATGACAGAAGGTCGTGACTGTGCGCATGAATTGCTGATAATTCGCCGAAAGCACCTCATAGTTTGTACTTGTTACCCTAGATCTAATCTTATCTCCGCTGCTACCCAATCAGTGGTCGTCCATTACTCCCCGATAATTGTATTGCTTGCTTCTTGTAACAAGAATATACCCAATATGGTAAAGCCACGTTTAGCGCTGGTTAGTCACACTCCCTCATAGCCACATTCTTTAGTATAATCACTATCGTTAGTCTAACCTTAGTCCCTCCTTTCTATAGTCTATATACTCTGACAGTATCTATGGTAGTCTACTATAAAGTACGAGCCCTATGTACGTTGTAGGGCAGAGTTGCATAAACAAGGACGACTTACCCCTGTCTTTGACTTGTGTGACTTCGTGTGACGCGACACTTCCCTATCCGGTTGTCTCCCGCCACATATTTTTGACAGAACCATCTCGTCCATCTCATCTCTCATTCACATCGACTCTCTCATCTTATCTCTTTCTGTCTCGTAATCTCTCTCTTCGGGCACCCCTCGGTCTGATCAACCAAGGCTATCCGACTATATCCCGTTAAGTAACTCAGTTTCTCTATTTTACTAACCTAGTATTGTTTAGGTTAATCCTATTGGAGTAATGTCTCATCCCGCGTCCTCGTCTGAGCCTCAGACGCCGTTGGCTATGCCAGCCGCCTATATCCCGGATGAGTCCCCCTTACCTCCACTAACACCCAGCGCTGATGACTCGAGCTTGAACCAGAACAGCGGGACGGGAGCTTCGTACTCCAGCGTCGCCGCTACGAATACTCGTGTCGGGTTCACCACCCCGCGAGAAACCTCTCCCCTTCGAGGGGATACTTCATTCGGCTCCCCTAAAGCCTCGAATGCCAGCTCGAATGCCGGGGTAGTCATCCATGACAACCCCGAAGAATCCAGGTCCTCTCCCGCCGAGGAACACCCTTGGATTACGGTCGGCCGTGGCGGACGCCCTCTCCGCACACCGACTCCAGAAATCTCCCCCGCTCAAGAAGCCGATATCAGGCGCGCGGAGGAATTATTGACCCAGGATCAGCGAGACGCGATCCTGAGGCGTCGCGCATCCGTACACGTTACGGACGACGATTCCATGGACACCGAATCCACGCCTAGAGATAAAGGCAAGGGCGTCGACCCGCGAGAGCGCGGCGAGCCCGTCTTACAGCTCGGTGGGCCCAATCCAGTCGTCAATACGTTTGACGCACCTACCGAAGAAGAAGTCGCTGAGCAACGTGCAGCATTGGAATTTTGGCAATCCAAGCCAAATCTCTCCTCTTCACCCAAAGCTGATAAAGCTAGTACCACCCCTAATGTTGTACTTAGTACTCATCCGAATGATATGACCCTGACCGAATTATTGAAGAATCTTAAGCTCATTCAAGACCGCTTCGACCGACTTGAATCTCAAGTTCAGAACAAGCCTCAAAGGCCCAATGAGTTTAAGCACACTACCTTCACGCCTGAAGTTTTATCTGAAGATGAACGCAAATATATTGAGCGCAAGGCCCGTGGCGACTTTACTCGTGGTAGCGCTATGGTAAATCCGATTCTACCAAGCTGGAGTCGTCGTGAACGTCGCCATGTGTCCCGACCGAATGAAGTAGTACCGCCGTCGTCAAACGTCGGTCGTATCTTCAATCGTGTAGCCCGCAATCGTAACCACGATTCCGACGGTGACCCTTCCTCTGATGGATCCGGTCCTGAGGATGGAGGGGGAAGTTTGCAATCTTCTCGTCGTAAAAAGAGGAAGGCGCCTTCAAAATTGAAGGCCGTCGCACCTACAGTGTTTACCGGTGAACCTAAGATTGATTTATTCAATCGATGGATGCGTGAGGGCTTGCATTATCTTGATGACGCGCGGGTCGAACAGCGAAAGGAAATTCGAGCACTTGCGCGCTATACCGAAGGCAAGGCACAGGCGTATTACCAGAATGTAATCGCTGACGACGAGTCGAACTGGACGCTTGACGAGTATTTCAAGGCCATTTATGATGCCTGTTTCCCGTCTAATTTCCGGGAGAAACAGCGCCGTAAGCTGGAACGTTTCTATCAAAGCGAACTATCAGTTAAAGAGTATGCTGCGCAAATGTACGACATGATAAACACCATCGGAGGGCTTGAGGCACGCCAGTGTGTCGTCCATTTGTTCCGTGGGCTGAATCCTGAGCTGGCAATCGCCTGCCGGCGCATGGGGTTGAACCCCGAGGACGCATCTTGGGATGAAGTTGTTGCGGAGGCTGAGAACGAAGAGATCGTTCTCTCGAGTATTCGCAAAGATGGTTCTCGGGGCGATAAACGTTCAAAGGACGCGGTGACCCAGTCGAGGTCGTCGGTAGCCCATAGCTCAAATAGTTCGTACAAACCTGGGAATAGTAACTTTCGTCAACGTTCGCGCAACTTCAAGAACAGTGATAGTAAACGCTCACCAGATCACAACAACCATCATTCGGACCAGTCATCTGGTAACATGTTACGGAACACTGCTTCTGGTAATCCTTCGAGTAGTAAAACCAATGGAACATCCGGAGGGCGTAGGGACATTTCGCCGCAGGAGCGTCAGAAGCTCCAGTCAGAGGGGAAATGTTTCCTGTGCAGACAGACTGGTCACATAGCACGAAATTGTCCAAAGGCTAACACCTTACCTGGCAAGGGAGGGAAGCCTCCTGGCGTCCGCGTGAATCATATTGATTTTGCAGAACACATAGTTGATGAGTATATCCCCGACGACGAAAACACAGCTCACATCGGATTAGCCGTGCTAGGATCACACGAATATGCGTCGCACGCTGAGTTCATAGAATCTTCGGACTTGGACGTCCCTGGCTTAGTTCTTGACGATAGCGATTCTTCGGATGAGATCTTGGAAGATATCACCGAGATCGGCACGCGGTGGAAGAAATTCCTGAGCGGGTGCTACACGCACGATTGGCTGGGTGACGCCTACGCAAACACGTATACCTGGGTGCTCGAAACAAGCCGCGACCTAGGTCTACCTGGGGATAATGGGTATCAGTATCCTTGGTCGGAACTTCGATTCTCGGTAGAAAGAAGGACACCCACGACCTATGAGGTAAACGACCGTATGCACAACATATGTGTAGAGGTATCCGCCGAGTTGTTACAGGATAACTCTTTCCAGTTTGGTCGGTGGTATGCACAGGTCCTCATGGATCGTGTAGCGCCGTTTTGGACCGGTATGCTGTGCGACGAATTCTATAATGCTAGGGTTCAGCCTACTGAATTCAACGCACGGATGCATCTCAAGCATAAACTCACTTGGGACGAAACGTTGATGGACAGCTCATTTACAGTCAGTGCCTGTGGCCGGAATAATGACTGTTGGTATATCTCGGAAGATGAGCTGGAAACCCACGCCGTGATAAGTGGACTGCTCCTGCGAAATGAGCATCTTCATCTGGCTTCATGGTACGCTAAGCACTCGGTGCCATGGGCTGTTAACCCAGATGACGGCCCATTTTTGCGTGAACCTGAATACGATACTGCCGACCTGTACCGTAATACGGAAGACCTTGCATCGGAACGTTGGGCGGATATGTTAGTAGACGACAGGTTCTATTCATTAGAGCCCTACCTCAAGGATCTCTCTTGCTTCCATGTATTCGACCTGGATGATGGCGACAGCAAGCTGCTGCACGAACTCTTCCTCTTTGGCGTCCAGATTGATCGTGACAAGCTACCTGCACTGCAACGAAACGCGTCAGTCGTCAAGGACAAGGAGCGCGCTGTACCATCGCCTGTAGTGGTCACTGTACAGATCAACGGAAAACCTGCGAAAGCATTGCTGGACTCCGGTTCCTTGGGCGACTTCATGTCGTCTACGTTGGCCGACCAGTTGGGAAGTAAGACGAAGGTCGCGCTTGCCAAGCCGATTCCACTGCAGCTCGCTGTGCAGGGGTCGCGAACGAAGATTAACTGGTCCTGTAAAGCGAACATTAGCTACCAGACAGTCGACGAGGAACGAGCTTTCGATGTCATCAACATCTCAAGCTATGACTTAATTCTGGGTACACCATTCATGTACCAGCATCGGGTATTGCTCGGCCTGAATCCTGCGCGCGTGGTGGTGGGCTCCAAAGAGAGTCTTCCAATGGATGGTCCTGGTGTATCACGATTGGCATCCATGTCAGTTGACTTCGATACTGCGGAAATAGTGCGCGCACGGCAAGAACTGCTTGAGTACGCCAAACCGCTGTGTAAAACAATGGATCAGACTGATCTACCTCCATTACGAGCTATTAACCACACCATACCTTTGATTGATGAGAAAAAGGTATATAAATGGCGACCGTCTCGTTGTCCGGAGCCGTTACTGGAGCAGTGGGTTGAGAAGCGGAATGCGTACTTAAAATCAGGACGTTGGCAAATCACGACGGCCGGGAATGCGGTTCCTATGTTGCATATTTATAAGCCGGGTACCAAATTGTTGCGGATCGTCGTTGACCTACGTGAACGTAATGCGAATACGGTAAAGATGTCTACGCCTATGCCGAATATTGAGGCGATACTGCGCCGAATTGCCGCCCATTTATTCCGTTCCAGCATGGATGGAAAGGATGCGTACGAACAGATTCGAATAGTCGCGGAACATGTTGCTCGCTCCGCAATGACGACACCTGACGGCACAATGGTCAGCTTGGTAATGCAGCAGGGTGATTGCAATGCGCCCGCGACGTACCAGGCACTAATGAATCATATATTCGCACCCTACATTGGCGTATTCATGGACGTTTATCTGGACGACATAATTATCTATTCAGACACACTCGAAAAGCACATTCAGCATGTAAAAACCGCTATTGACGTGCTTACGCGGGAGAAGCTGTACTTGTCCGAAAAGAAGCTTCACTTCCTTGAGAAGGAGTTGAAGGTCCTTGGCCATATTGTCGACGAATCGGGCATTCGTATGGACCCTCACAAGGTTGACGCCGTCGTAAACTGGAAGACGCCTACCAACCGAGACCTGCTTCGAGGGTTCCTAGGGGCAGTGGGCTATCTGGCAGACGACGTTGCGGGCGTACGAATTCCTATGGGTGTGTTAGCGAGATTAACCGGCGACAATACCCCATTTCGATGGACTGATACTCACCAGCGTTCGTTCGACGAGGTAAAGCTCCTCGTTGACCGTTTTCGTTCGCATAGTCGCCGTCCGTTATCCTACGCCCGGGACAGTGATCCTATCTGGTTGATAACGGATGGATCAGCTACGGGAGTGGCCGGCGTCGTGAGCCAGGGGAAGGAATGGCGGACGGCGCGTGTAGCGGCGTTCTTTTCAGCAAAGCTGAACCCAGCACAGCAGAATTATCCCGTGCATGAGATCGAGATGTTGGCTGGGCTCGAATCAATGCTACGCCATAGGGACATTTTGCAGGGTGTTCATTTTCGCTGGCTCACTGATCACAAGGGGTTGGTTCACTTGCTCAATCAGCCCAATCTCTCAGGGCGTCAGGCGCGTTGGTTGGAAAAGATGTCTGAATTTGATTTCACGCCGGTATATATTCCTGGAACTGAGAACGTTTTGTCAGACGCTCTCTCTCGTATATATGCAAACGACGCACCTGGCACTGAGCGTGCGGCCTCCGAATTCGTCAAATTTGACGAAGATTCTACGTGCAGTTTTCGCCGCAGAACTCCAGTCATCGTAGGCGACGAGGCGAGGCTAGAAAGTATGCCTCTGGAGGGCATTTCGTTGACCTTAAACGCTGTACGACGTGGCGGAGCCACGGAGTCGCGTGATTTTGCGAAACGAATGGTGGCCAGGAAGTTCGTTCTGCGAGGCCCTCGTGAACGAACGGAGGGCGGGAATAAAGAGGAAGTAAACCAAATAAACAACGGACCTACAACAATTAACAGTTTACTGGAAAAGGAAGGTGTCCCCGGTGCGGAATCAAATTTGGTTCCGGTAATTGGCGCCGACGAGGCACTGACCACCGTTAACTCCGAGTTAAGTCCACGCAATGTTCAACTCCCACCACCGTCTACTCAAGACAAAGAACCCTCGCCCACCGTCTCTATTGTGAACGTAGTGTCGCATCAACAGAAACGCGACCTTAACGTTGATTTCATGAACGAAATACGCAACAACTACATGAACGACACATTCATGGCATCAATTGTGAACACTCCGCGCCAATACAAGAATTTCACGTTAGAAAACGGTCTGCTCTACCTAGTTGAAGGCGGGAGACGGTTACTATGCATTCCGGATGCCATAATTGGTGGAAGGACGGCCAAAGAGATAGTCATAGACGAAGGTCACTCTTTATTAGCCCATCTGGGGCCGGAAAAGACACTAACCTACCTTCGTGAGTTTGTATGGTGGAGACACCTTTCCAGGGATGTCTATAGATTCTGCGAATCGTGTCGCACTTGCGCCCGCAGTAAACCATCAAACCACCGGCCCTATGGCCTTCTCCGTCCTCTGCCTATTCCGTCTCGCCCTTGGGATGCCATCGGCATCGACTTCGTAGGACCATTACCCAAGTCGGCAGATCGGAACGCATTTTACGATTCAATTACAGTCATTATTGACCTCTTGACTGCGATGGTACATTTAGTACCCAGCCGTACGACCTACGGCTCTGTTGACGTCGCCGAATTGATATTCGCAGAAGTATACAAGCACCACGGTCTTCCTCGACGAATCGTAAGTGACCGTGACCCATTATTCACGGCACGTTTCTGGCAGAAACTCCACGAACTCATTGGGACAAAACTAAATATGTCTAGCGCGTATCATCCGCAATCCGACGGTTCAACGGAACGCGCCAATAGAACTATCACGCAAATGATTCGCCAGTGTGTCAACGAGAATCAAAAGGATTGGGTGCGACGTTTACCGGCAATTGAATTTGCAATTAACTCTGCACGAACAGATTCGACAGGCTTCGCGCCATTCTTTCTGAATACAGGACGCATGCCTCGACCATTCCTGTGGGACACGCCCTCGTCGAGCGAATCCAAAGGTGTACGAGAGTTTGCCGAACATCTTCGCGAAGCCGTGATTACGGCTCATGATGCGGTACTGGCATCTCGCACGAAGCAAATCCGAGACGCCAATCGACATCGCCAACCATCCCCGTTTCAGATTGGTGACTTAGTCTACGTGTCCACGAAGAATATTTCGTTCCCTCAGGGGCTGGCACGTAAGCTAATTCCCAAATATATGGGACCCTACCGTATCAATCGCGCATTTGGTAATGATACTTTTCAGATTGAACTACCTAATCATCTCGTTGCGAGGGGTGTTCATCCCTCCTTTCATGCGTCTCTACTACGTGTACATATCCCCAATGATGACCGCTTGTTCCCTGGCCGTTCCCTTGAACACATCATTGCGTCTGCAACACCAGCTAGCACAGAATGGAACATTAGAGAAATATTGAGTCATTCTGGTGTAAGGCAGCATGCATTGTTTGAAATTCTTTGGCCTACTGGTGACAGGACCTGGCTACCATACCATAAGGTCAGTCATCTTGAAGCATTACGAAGATATTTCGAAACGTTGGGAATTTGCAACATTGAGGAACTCCCTAGGGGTTCAGGGACCCCCCCTAACGACCCCCAAATCGTACTTGGTTGCATAAAACCTGCCAGTGTTACGGATGATGGCTATTTAAGTGATGGGGAGATAGGATTAGACAGCAACCCTACTCACCCAAATAATCTATATTCTTCTAATCATCCTCACATCACTTCTATGTCTGCAGCAGAACTGGGAAGATTACACCCTATTCATACTGCTCTCACCCGAAACCCCGAAGGGTCATACTCCCTGAGAGACCTAGACTCCCGAGTTTGCTCCGCCGCCTATACCCGCGACGAGCTCATCAGCTTCGTGTCCGCCAATCGTCGCATTATCAGTGGCACCCTTACCAATCCTCTGTCCCTTCCTCCCCGCTACATCGGGTTCGCAACCCTGTATAACAAACAAGGCCAAATTACCACCAAGTTTAATTTGCCTCATGGGCATGCCTTCACGACTCGCATCGCAGGGCCAGGACTCCGATTTTTGGGACTCGTTGCTGCGCGACCCAGTATACCTCGTAAAGATCCCAGGAACCATTACCGATCCCAGACCTCGCATGGTCGGCGTGCTACGGTCCCGCCTAATTATGTGGGCCAGTCTAGACCAACGGTGGGCCAAAGTTCTAATGGACCTCGACACCCGGAGGCCGGAGAATTCATTTTAACGGCGGAACGACACGATGTGGTGACTAATCTACTCCTTGATATGGTAATGGGTAACAAGACTCCCACTACCAACTTTCCACCTGTGCGCGAGTCTCCCGCTGTCCGTCGTAGCGGCGCTTCCTTACGCCGTAGCTCAACACCATACGCACGTCCCAAGAAGGTTCGCCCTACCATTGTTCCTACCAATCCGGGCTCCAGCCCCAGTTCACGCGAGCAAAAGATCTCGGGTATCCCGGTGCCTGATGTCATTCCCAACGCGGACAAGCCACGCGAGACCATTCCCATCAATACTTGTCCCTCGCCGTCAGAGTCGGATATCGAGCTTGTCAATACCCCATCCTCGGCCTCGTCTGACCTTGCGACCATCAGTGAAGATGTGGACATGAACGATAGCCCAGACAAACCCAGTGCTTCCCCTACCTCCAAAGTTCCCACTGTGGAACTCGCAGACCTTTCCATCTCCAAGGACCCTGCTGCGGCCGACGGCGCCGCGTGAATCTGTTTCACAGATCCAGGAGGGCGTATGTAACAAGAATATACCCAATATGGTAAAGCCACGTTTAGCGCTGGTTAGTCACACTCCCTCATAGCCACATTCTTTAGTATAATCACTATCGTTAGTCTAACCTTAGTCCCTCCTTTCTATAGTCTATATACTCTGACAGTATCTATGGTAGTCTACTATAAAGTACGAGCCCTATGTACGTTGTAGGGCAGAGTTGCATAAACAAGGACGACTTACCCCTGTCTTTGACTTGTGTGACTTCGTGTGACGCGACACTTCCCTATCCGGTTGTCTCCCGCCACACTTCTACGACCGACGGAACAGGCAGGGCCTCGGACTGAACTGTGTCGTCTGCGGTCTTCGACATTCATGTCCGCCGAATGGCAGCTGCTGTCTGGCTATTGTTGTTTGGCATATGGCCCGACGCGTAGCGGTCGACTCACTCCCTGCCATAAAAACTGCGTCTAGGCCTCTGGGGTGTATGAACTTCAAGGGGACAACAATTCAATAACTCTCTCGAGGCAATATAAACTCATTTTCCGTTCTATCGACGGACCTAGGAACCCTGGCTTTTCTTGCGAGTTTATTCCTCTTAACAACCCGTTGCAGCGAGTTCTGACTTGCTGTCCAAAAGACATGATTCCTACGAACCCGAGCATGATGGCAGATCTCGGAACATGTCGTGACCCAATGCGACGGCACCCTCGGCCCTTGAGTGGGCTGCCTGGCATTACAAACAAACTTCATGTTTTAGGCACCTGGAACGTTCAACGTTCAAGTTCCGCGCTGTGTTTACTTGCCCTCGAACTTCGAAGGGAGGCTGGAGGCGAGGTTACACGTCGGATAGTGATATGTAACAATGCAGAACCAAATAGGTCTGATACCCTCTTGTCCAGGCACCATATATAGGAATGGATCTGTGTACCGTCCGCGTACTTCTCGGAAATCCTGCGACCCGAAACACAGAATGTGAGTTCAGGTCATTTTGCATTGCTAGTCTACTCTATTCTAAGCTATCTGCTCGTCGGTCCCAACCACCTCTATACTCAAATGTTGCGACTCCTTAGAAGGGTACGAGGATGGACTTCGTGCCAGGGGTCGCGCAGAAACCGCCGTCAAGTCTCTTTCCGCAGCTGTTGATGTAGTTGCAGCTTCCGTTGCATCCGCCCTTGTCGCAGAAGGCAACGTTCCTCGTCGCAGAGATGCAGGCGGTTTTGGGTGCCTTGAGGCAAGTGTTGCCACCGTTGTAGACACTGCAGGCGCCGCCGCAGACGGGACCCTTGCGGCTGCTGCAGTAAACCACTCTGGTCTTGCCAGCGCGAGCGGCAAGAGGGTTGTTTCCTTCCTCGCCGATGAAGGTGAGCTTCGCATCCGTCGTGCTGAGCCAGTGGTCCAACTCGGCGTCACTGACGATGTACGAGGCTTCGGTGTTCTATAGATCACTAGGTTAGCGTGAGGACACCCTGTAGCAGGAAAGAAGCATACCTCAGGAGCGGCGGGGCCAGCAATGGCCAGAGCGGCAAGCGCAACAACAGAAGCAATGACGAAGGAGAATTGCATTGTGATGTGATGAGTGCGCTGCAGGTATGTGACCGTGGAGTGTTTAGCTGGGTGTGCTGACCATATCCACCAGGCGATGCCTCGTATTTATACTGCTGGACGTAGCTTGGCCACTGTGTAGTTCGACTCGAATCGTCATCTCGGCAAAGCCAGACTCCTTCAAACCAAAGCCTCCCTATGCTCCGTGCGCCCGCATATCGGAGAGCAGAGAACGACCTCGTTTCAAGTAGGCGACTAGCACATGGACCCGACGCATCAGGCACGCTCGCAACCTCGGTCATGCTCACCCGCCTGGTGTCGGTACCGCGTTCAGACGAAGTGTTGATCTGCAGGAGATCCCTGCATACTCTATTATTATGAAGCCTTTTACTGCTAGATGGCCATATTTTGCATTCTATATCGTTCGCAACAATATCGCACGCAGCGAACTCAAGATTCCTGACGGCTCCTCTCAGGTTCTCTACATTAGTATATCCCGACAAACCACATGGACTTGGCTATAGAAGGGTCAAGGGTGCGACGGGTTTGACGGCCAGGGGCTGTGGTAAAAGGTATATAGCGGCTGATTTTCGGTGGAAAGAGTAGAGCCATTGGAGAACGACAGGTGGACTTGAGATGGATGTCCCTCAGTAGTGGGCGAGGCAAACATGTGGCCACGAGAACTCGAAGAACTGGGCTTCATTGACCTCAAACGGGTTTCAAGAAATACGTGCGTCGTCGGTCGATACTTTTTCATGTGCCCCTTCCCACTGAAATTGCTTTATATGGTAATTCACCAACTCTTCCCAAAATGGATGCACCAGCAAATTGATTATGGCAAGGTTACTAGCGTCAACACCACCTATATGAAAGGCACAAGGATGGACTTCGTGCCAGGCGTCGCACAGAAGTTGTTATCCAGCCTCGTCCCACACGAGTCTATGAAGTTGCAACTTCCCCCACAGCCGCCTTTGTCGCAGAACGCGACATTCGCCGTTGCCATGATGCAGTTGGTACCAGATGCCTCAATGCAGGTGTTGGTCCCCTCGAACACATCGCAGTTGCCACCGCAGACCGGCCCCTGGCGGTTAGTGCAATGGACGACTCTCACTTGGCCATCGCGTCGCAGGGGGTTCTTGCCTGACTGGCCTGTGAAGGTCAGGTTGGCATTCGTCGTTTGGAGCCAGTGGTCAAGCTCTGCTTCGCTGATAACCGAGGATGTAACACCGGGACTCTGTATAGTAGCCCGGTGAGTATATGGCTTTTGAATACTTGGTTTCTGAGTACCCTAGAGTTCACATCGGTGTCCTGTGAGATATGAATGAGTCTCCTAGATGTGCGCGAATGCTAGGAGGTACACACCTTGGGCATTGCGACTGGGCCAGCAGTCACCATCGCGGCCAGCGCGAGTACGGAGGTGAATGAGAGAGAGAATTGCATTGCTGTGAAGAGGGGAGCTTTGGGGTATGGGTCTAAAGAGGGTGTGTGTTGCTGAGAATTGGCAGCTCATTGCTCGTCTTTTATACCAAGCTCGGCCTTAATTTCAGCACCAAATTGGCCTTGCGATTAGTTATGTTCCTTGAATCCATCATGCGTTAGACAACATCTTAATGCGGTGAATAACTGATGACTTGAGTTTCATCTCGCCCGTCTTGATATTGATTTGTTGTTGTTCGCTACACTCCTCATCATGATTAACACTGCGGTCTTCGGACGCTGTTCTCATGATTTTATCATCCACCCTCGACACTGGGGCTGCTGTTGGTATTAACATACATACATGCCTCCAAGATATGAGCCACGAATAAACTGAATTTCACGCAGCTAAGACGACCACTGTCTTGCGAAGTACACTGCCCCTGTCATCTCCTATCAAGCTCATATCACTTCACATTTAATCCTGTTCAACGCTCACTTCTGTTGCCCCAAAAGATGTGAGAGGTTCGTGACTGGCGAAACAGACAGACGGCGTACAAACACGGCGAGACTCAGCGCTGATGTGGCGTGGTCCGTTCCCTGAACGCCTTTGTATGGAAGACATTGTGGTGAGGACTAAGTTACGTCTGATGACCAATAGTCCTTGCCAAACATTGAGGTAACAGTGCACCGAGGACATTGGGTGACGAGAAGCTAGCGCCCAACCGATCCATCCCAAATCAGGTGAAAAGATGATGCCCAGGGAGGGTAAAATTCCCAATATCCCAAATTGCTTGCGACTAGATGCTTCCAGCGTCAGTTTCCTTTTTACTTGCATAGGTTTGATGGTTACGCCAAGCTCTGTGACCTTCACCATTGTTCAACAATGATTAGTAGAACGTTATTTCATGTAAAACTACTTGGAGGTAAGTAGCCAATGATGCGTGTGCCAGTGTGGACACTGTCGGTTGACAGGATTGAGAAGGAGAATATAGATGAGTGCGACTGAGTTCTGTACAGAAGTACATAGCCTATACGGCCCTTTCTCATGCTACAAAATCTAATTTAAAATCATCATGTTTGGGTAGACTGGCCCAGAAAACAGTTGTGTATTTCGCAAGACAGTGGTCGTCTTAGCTGCTTGAAACTCACTTGGAGGCATATATGTATGTTGATACCAACAGCAGCCCCAGTGTCGAGGGTGAACGATGAAATCATGAGAACAGCGTCCGAAGACCGCAGTGTTAATCATGATGAGGAGTGTAGCGAACAACAACAAATCAATATCAAGACGGGCGAGATGAAACTCAGGTCATCAGTTTTTCACCGCATTAAAGTGTTGTCTAACGCATGATGGATTCAAGGAACATAACTAATCGCAAGGCCAATTTGGTGCTGAAATTAAGGCCGAGCTTGGTATAAAAGACGAGCAATGAGCTGCCAATTCTCAGCAACACACACCCTCTTTAGACCCATACCCCAAAGCTCCCCTCTTCACAGCAATGCAATTCTCTCTCTCATTCACCTCCGTACTCGCGCTGGCCGCGATGGTGACTGCTGGCCCAGTCGCAATGCCCAAGGTGTGTACCTCCTAGCATTCGCGCAGATTTAGGAGACTCATTCATATGTCACAGGACACCGATGTGAACTCTAGGGTACTCAGAAACCAAGTATTCGAAAGCCATATACTCACCTGGCTACTATACAGAGTCCCGGTGTTACATCCTCGGTTATCAGCGAAGCAGAGCTTGACCACTGGCTCCAAACGACGAATGCCAACCTGACCTTCACAGGCCAGTCAGGCAAGAACCCCCTGCGACGCGATGGCCAAGTGAGAGTCGTCCATTGCACTAACCGCCAGGGGCCGGTCTGTGGTGGCAACTGCGACGTGTTCGAGGGGACCAACACCTGCATTGAGGCATCTGGTACCAACTGCATCATGGCAACGGCGAATGTCGCGTTCTGCGACAAAGGCGGCTGCGGGGGGAGTTGCAACTTCATAGACTCGTGTGGGACGAGGCTGGATAACAACTTCTGTGCGACGCCCGGCACGAAGTCCATCCTCGTGCCTTTCATATAGATGGTGTTGACGCTAGTGACCTTGTCATAATTAATTTGTTGGTGCATCCATTTTGGGAAGAGTCAGTGACATATTATCATGACTCGATTTCTTCAGACCTCCTTTGACTTTAACGTCCGTCAGGAATAGGAATATGGGAAAGAATATCGAACCTTGAAGTCAATAATATAAGGACGCGTGTACGTATCTGGCTAGTGGGGGTTGTATTATTGTACAATCTGAGGACACAGGTGCAAGAGGTGAATTAGGCTAACGACTGATCGATGATCTATTGCGATCTAATTTCCGCAAATGCCTCCTTCAGGGCCTCGATGACGGTCGAGACATCCTGTCGTTGAGCATCGACCGCAGTAACGCCCATATGCCTACGGAACATCATTAGCAGACGAACAAACGTTTAAGCACAACCACGGTACGCACCCCAAACGGAAATACTTGTCTAGAGGGATCATGGCAGGTGTACGTCAGTAACTCTGCGTATGGCATGATGGAAGAGTAGATGGGCAGATGTCTACGTACCCTTGATGTTTGCGTGGAGCCCGCCAGCGGCCACCACACCTTTCTTCGCAAGTCGCGGCAATAGATCGGAGGCACCGACACCATCAGGGTAATACAGCTATAAAAATGCAAAGGAACGCGGTCAGACACCAATCTCGTTGTGAACATGGGAAGCGAAGCAAGCCTTGCGGCAACAAAAATAGCAACGGGAAGGAAAGGCACACGGAGGTGAGGAAGCACGGAAGGGAGAAGGAAGGGATCAAAGAAGGGTGGGGAAAGACGCGTAACGAAGCGCGTGGTGGTGTGGTCATGGGTGCGGTGGGGATATGGACGTACCGCTGTCATGCCGTTCGCAGCGTACGCGGGATCCAACGGAACTTGCTTCAAGCCTAGTTCCGCGGCAGCGTCTTTGACCTGGTTGCTTACTTGTCTATGGATCTTGAAGCGATCAGGAAGAGATGGAGATGATTTGGTGATACTTGTTAGCGAGGCGTGGTACGCGTAGATGAGGTTCACGGGTGGAGTAGCGAAGTAGGCTGCTGCGCCGGACTCGTAAGCCTTCATTATTGGTAGCCATCTGGTTGCTTAGGTTAGTAAAGGGCCGATGGCAATAAGCAAGGGAAGAAAATGGTTTTACTCACTTCTTCCAGCTAGCGTAATACGAGCTGACGGGCGTCTTGCGCGTTTCGAAAGCCTGAAGGGCAATCACTGTTGTGAGGACTCGACATCGCGCAGAACGTCAAGGTGACGACTGACTTTAATTGCCTTCTGGCTAGCGGCCAAGATACTGAGGCCAGGGGGTGTTCCAAGACCCTTTTGACTGGCCGTGAGCACTACATCGATGCCCCACGCGTCCATCTGTATTTCTTCGCTAGCAACGGAGCAGACGGCATCCATAACCACCTGTCACGGTTGAAAATACCAGCGACATGGTATAAAATACAATCTTACCAGTGTATCTGGAGAGACCTTACGCACTACCTCTGCGATAGATTTGGCATCAGAGAGTACGGCTACATCGAAGGTGAGTTATACAACAGGGTCGCAGTCCAGCTTAGGGGACCGTACCAGTCGAGGTGTCCACGTGGGTGAAGGTCAAGATCTTGTATTTCTTGCTCTGAAGCGCCTTCTCGACCTCTGACAGGCTGACAGCAGAACCAATCTCTGCTTTGAGTTGGTCGACGTTGGCCCCATATGTTGTCAGACTGTGAATCAGAGTAATGTAGGCGAGGGTGAGAGGTGAAGGAGATGTTCATACCACTCTTCGAAGCTATCTCCGAAATATCCTGTATGGAGAACCAACGCGTTTTCTCCCGCCTCAACGAGATTGGCAGCAACCTGTCAGGCGGTCAACGACCCAATATCTTTTCTTGCTTAATGGGGAACATGTCATACCTGGTCCCAACCCAATGTCCCAGACCCCGCGATCAAGAACGGCTGGGCGTCCTTGCTGAAGAGCACCTCTCTGTCTCGAGTATTAGGACCGCTGCGAAGATTTTGAGGACTCTGAATTCACCTAGTCATCCGTATACAGTCGCCGAACACTGGGATGAATTCAGCGGAGACATGGGACATGGACGGGTGCGCGTTCGCCCATAGGACCTTCGTCGTTCGTCAGTACATCCATCCCAATATATGAACCATAGACCGTACATCGTCCGTCACTTCAATGGGTCCCGGAATCCTACGGCAGCACAATAAGATCTGAAGGCGTTATGGGCGTCCGCGACACTTACACGAGCAATCTAGTGGCCCATCAGCATCACATTCCCGTCTCCAAAAACGCAAAAGGAACTCACTTATGTGGCGCCTTGTAGCCAAGTTGGTCAGCCCTGATCCCGCGATAGGCAAAATTCGGAGAGACGCACTTGTTTGAACTCCTGACGGGACGACATTGTGCGTGATAGCCTGAACTTGTTTGCGGGGAAGTGTAAACTGGAACGGAGAAGAGAAGAAGAGAAGTGAGGGCGATAGATAATGGATTGTGCAATCATATCCGATCCCAGCAGGCGTCCATGTGAATCTAATCAGAGATTTTCGAGAGCCTGTAGTCAGCTGTAGTCCCTCTCTATGTCCTCCGTGCCGACATGGGTTAACCCTGCGAGACCCCTGAGTCTTTTCGGGATTCCGTGCATCCAGCACAACACCAACGGGATCGGCACTCCGGGTATGTTGAAGCCCATAAGGTCATCGGATATGCAAATTTCTCAAGTACACATGTTCTATATACCAGTCTATGATCTATCGGAAGAACTAGCCAGCGACCGCGGTGCACCAGTCTCAACAGCGCTGAATGAACCCGTAATGCCTTTGGCGGCTCTCGCTTCCTCGACAGAGGCCTTCAGCGAACGCGCTATGGCGTCGATGTCCCCACGCTGGGGGTCTACAGCAGATGCACCCATATGTCTGGAAATTGGATGTTAGCATCGAACCGAACGAGTGGAGCGGTCAACGCACCCAATACGGAAGTATTTATCTGCCAGGTAATATATGGTTAGCGGCTGCGTCTTATCAAGCTGCTCAATTCTAACCTTTGATGTTCTTGTGCAGGCCGCCTGCGACGACGACCCCTTTCTCGGCCAGGCGGGGCAGAATGTCCGACGCGCCCATACCCTCCGGATAATAAACGGCAGTCATCCCGTTCGCAGCATGGGCGGAGTCACTAGGAACTTGCTTCAAGCCCAACTGACTCGCAATAGCCTTGACTCGTGCGCTGACCTGGCGGTGGATCCTTATCCGTTCCTCAAACGCCGGGGACGATCTGGTGATTTGACGCAACGACGCGTGGTACGCGTAGATGAGGTTAACGGGGGGTGTAGCAAAGTAAGCAGGCGTCCCGGTCTCGTACGCCCTCATGACAGGTAGCCACTTCTTCCAGCTCGCGTAATACGACGTGGGAGGTGTTTTCCGGGTCTCGAACACCTTAAATGAAGCTTGAAGTCAATCTACTTCAGTAGCACACAAAAGCGATTGACGTACCTTCATGGCCTTGGGACTTGCAACAAGAATACTCAGACCAGGTGGTGCACCAAGACCTTTCTGGCTGGCTGTCATTATCACATCTATGTCCCAGTCGTCCATCCTTATTTCTTCGCTAGCAACGGAGCACACTCCATCCAAAATGACCTGTTACATCGTCAATCACTCGGGTCCCCAGGGTTCCAAGACGCGACATACCAAAGTCTCTGGCGATATACTTCGCACTGTCGCAGCAATGCCTCGCGCATCAGACAACACACCTTCGAATGACCACCACTCAGCACCCTTACAGCGATTTCCGTCAAAAGGACTTACCAGTAGACGTGTCTACATGGGTAAATGTGACTGCTTTATACGTCTTTCGCCTCAACGCGGCGGCTAGCGCTGCCAAATCAACAGAGGCTCCAATGTCGGCTCTCAGCTCATCGACGTGGGCGCCATACGTCTCAAGACTGGAGGGCGAGAACCTCAGCTTGTAAACTCATATCAAGGACGTGGAAGGCTCACCACTCCCTGAAGCTATCGCCGAAGTACCCGCTGTGCAAGACGAGGACACTTTCACCGGGCTCGACCAAGTTCGCGGAGACCTATTATACGTACGAAACAGTCAGCGCATGTTGACGCCTCCAAGCATCCCCGACAACCAACCTGATCCCAACCGAGTGTTCCAGACCCAGCAATCAGGAAGACCTGTCCATACTTAGTGTACAGAATCTCTCTGCGAGCGTTGTCGGTACTTTTCCTGATGCTGATTGATGAGGGGGGAGGTGGGCACGCACCGAGTCATACAGATGCTCGATCCGAAGACCTGAATAAACTCTGGGGATGTGTGTCCGACGGGGGGACGTGCATTGGCTTCGAGAACCTATACCATCGTACGGATGTTAGATTGAAACTCGCTCATTGGGCCCTGGTTGAACAATCTAGCAGATCCTACCTCATTTGTGACTTCAATCGGGCCAGGAATACTATCGAATCGATTAATTCAGCACCGTCGTCTGTTGTCATGCACGTCTTAATGAAAGGGCTTACGCAAGGATCCTGGGGGTGCGTTAGTATACCATAAAGGGATGTTTGGAGTAAGCGAACTCACTTGTGTGGCGCCTGAAAAGTATCACACCAGTCGTCAGCTCGGCGACTAAAATAATGGGTCACGACCTACTAACCTGTTTGAAATCTGAAGGAGCCATAATGAACTGCTTTTACTGAACAGGGGACTGAGAGAATAGAAGGAAAAGGGAAACGAAAAGGATTGCTGTGCTGTGCTGTCATATTGAGTGCCACATATTTATCGACACGCTGGAAAATGATCAACCCCACGGGGAAATCCAACATTTCTAATAATTAGCCTAACCTGAGTGCTGGTTCTGAACGCCATTCCACGAATAAAGCGAACGTTTCCCTCATGCACACATTTTCAACACTCCGGAAAGAAAGCACGAAATCAATAGCCGCGAGAGCCGTGGCCAGTTTCGCTTAGCAACGAACGAATTGCATTCTTGCAAAGCGTTTGGATTTCAAACCTCAGTCAGGTTTCCCCGCTTGCGGCGGTAAGGTGCTAAATATAGACGCAAAGTTCCTTCCTTGCGAGCAATCCTGGCAAAAGGCTTGCGATTGTCCAGGGTATCGTATAATGATGAGCCCTGTACTATGGGCGCATGGTCCATAATAGCATCGGGAATTTTTTGCACCGTTGGGTGTGGCCCCAGCTTCCATGATACTAAACATACTCGAGGGAAAGTCTATTCGTGATGTTGGGGTGCATAGCCCCCAATTAACCAAGCAAACGGAACCTGCAACGGCCCAACTCGCCGGTATATAATTAGCATTATAGAATAAGCACCTAGACCTCGAACTACTCCAACCCGCGTCCGCTGCCATCTGCTCTCGCCGAACGTCATGCCCTCATCATCGAGTAGCGGGCTTGGAGGCATCGGTTTCGAGCACGCCATTCGTCTGTCCCCCTCCGCCAACCATGCCAACCACCGTCTTCTGCAGCTCGTTCCATTCCCCATCCCTTGGGATAGCCATGTCGCCGATGTCATAGACATACAAGCGACCATCGCTTCCTCCGAGAGCCACTCGGCGTCCCTCCTTTCCGTCCCATTTCATCTTGTTTATGGCTCTTCCGGAGCCCACCGGAGTAGACACGACAGGTACCTAACGTATAAAAGATGATCGTTACCACCCATCCCATACCACGCAATTGCAAAATAGCCGTAAAAAGGAAGACTCTAGGCGCACCTCCGTATCCACATTCAAATTCCAAAGATCAAACTTGCCAGAACCATCAACCATGCCGAAGAGCGCTGGATGTTCCGGATGCCATTTGACATCGTAAACGTAGTCATCAGCTTCGTCGAATGAATATATCGGCGATATGCTATGCGGGGTGTTTGATGACTTCGCAAGCGACTTCGCCCTCCACAGCTTCACCGTCCAGTCCACGGAACACGTCAGGAACAAGTCGGAGAAGTCAATTGGGCCTGTGAGAGGGTGGAAGTGCAGCCCCATGACTGGGCCTGAGTGCCCCTTGTAGACGTCGTATTGATTTAAGCCTGCTTTCGACCCCGCCCGGTCGTAGCGGTGCGCTTGATATACGTTGCCTTCTTCCGTTCCAACCCAGAACGTCGTCGTTTCGTTGTCGGGGAAATCCATTGTAGTAATCGCAACTTCCCCTGTCTTGCTGTGTCCTGCATGTACTAGCTCCAACGTCTCCTAGAGGTCTCTCGTCAGCAAAGCGCTTATTTACCATCAATGTTCACTAACTTGGGGTTGCGCAAGCATATCGACTAGCCAACTACAAACCATGCCATCTGTGCTGCTGCTGATCAAATTATGGGCGTTCTGCGTTCCAACCATTTGCATGGCGTATACAGGATGCGTATGACCAGCGGCAGACAGTGGGGTCTTGAGCACAGGCAGGTGCTTTGATCGGGTATCCCAAAGCAATATTTGGCCTGAGTACGTGCCTCCGAAGACGAGATTCGCGTGGAATGGCGAGAATGTAACAGACAGAACATCAGACTATGCCTGCCGTTAGATTGGCAAATAGCTCATCCAAAGAATCTGAGCAACTGACTTGTGAGTGGAAGACAAACTCAGGTCGTTCTAACATGTGCAAGTTCCATACGGCGACGATACCGTCCGGTTCGTTGAGAGCGGCAGGGTTCTTGTTATAAGACGCTACGCTGAGTTCAGGATACTAAGGACATGTTAGAGCTGTAATGCAACAGACATGAAAGCCCACCTTAGGTGACCAATCCACGTCGGTTATGGAACGATTCTTGACGTATCGCTCGTCCCAGAACTCACAAACGCGTTTGACCCGACGGCCCTCTGAGTCGTCACTAAGAAGGAAGGTGAGGTGATAATATTCAAACCAAGCGAACACACCCACCCGCCGGACTCCGTGTCGACAGTATAATCGCGGATGTAGTCGTAGTTATCGTTCAAGGCTCGCTGTAGGATCTTGGAGGAGTGTTCCACAAATTCGAGGAATTCAGGTAGCACTAGTATAGTGGCTCGCTCCTCCTCAGTCAACTCTAGTTATACAATTAGCACTGGACGAGAGAGTAGCATGGAGATACGTACCTTTGATCTCCTCCTCTATTTCCTTCTCAAGCTGGATGGATTCCGCCTCGATGTCGTTCTCCAGAGCAAGTCGCTCAGCTTCAGCATCGCGCTCGCGCTGTATCCGCTCCTGATCTTCCTCCGCTTCCTCAGTCAAAGTGCCCATCTCTACCCCCGCGGTTTGCACCTCTTTGTTATACACGACGCGTTCCTACGCACTTCAAGAACTCGATTTTTTGTCGTTAGCAGAAATCACTTACCCGCTGGGGTAGCTCGAATAGTTCTCGACTGACATCAATGAGGTCAGGCTGTATCCTGGGTGTCATGACTCTGTCGATAACATGGTCTGTGCCTGCATTTGCCGTAGGTGGCAACGATAGCCCGAGACCAATAAAGTCGCTCTGCCTACTTGCCCTCCCCGAACCAGAATTGGAGAGCGCAGATGGTCCTAGATTCGCTGTTTGCCCTAACGACGGTGTACCAGGAACAGACAGAGGAGTAAGGTCGCCACTGTCTGCGCCTTTGCTCGGAACCAACTGCGAGATCAAGTCATTGATATCCTTCGTAGATGGTGGCGGCCCAGAGGAGCTCTATGTCGATGTCCGTTAAAGGGACTCCGTAAACGAGGCAGCTACTAAGTTGCTTACAGCTTCTGAAGGAGGCCGTTGTTTATCGCGTAGTCTGTCACGTCTCTGTCGCCGTAGTTCCTCTAGCTTCTGCTTCTTTGCTTCGATTTCTAACCGACGCTGTGATATTTTGCTTGACGGTGGGCTGGGTGGAACGTCCATGTGGTAGAGCGCGTCGAAGTTTCAAGCCAATAAGCGCCCATCCTATCATCTTTCTCCATTGCACTTTACAGAGTCATCCTATGTCCCTCATCGGACAGAAAAATAAGAGGGGCGGCTTCAAAGGGGGCGCACGACGAAATGAAAACAACAGAATATACGTCAATCCCCTTCCCCTTGTGTTCACGGATCCCCCTCGAAGTCGGACGAAATCGATATTAAGCCTATTAGGCATATCTCTTGCCTCGCTCGAGAACCCCCACTGCGAGGGCATCCTCGATGTAGCGACAAATTCAGTGTGGCTTACGAACACGGCGCACTCTATGGTACTGTGGCGGAGAGGCTTCTTTGGAAAGGGTAATTTATCTCGCAGCGAACCTAGTTGGCTCGCTAGACAAATAAATATCCGTCGCACTGGGGGGAATCGTACGTTTGCCTGTTACTCAATAGCTCGCATTATAACTAACAAATAACTCAGAAATGACCTCGGAGGAGTTGACTGCTAAACGGCGCGCCGAACGACAGCAGTTCAAGCAAGATCGGGCCAAAGCGATTCAAGCTGCCTTCGCCGAGGCTGAGGTCGCTTTTGAGACCGAAGGGCGTGTCGTCAAAGTCGCACTCTCGGGTCCCTCAATCCCCTCTGCTGCAACATGGAAACCAAGCGAATCAGCAAAGCCACCCAGCATCCCCGATCAATCTACTACATCACAGGATGCGGATCATCCTGTAGATGAGGAAGAACCCCCGCTCGAAGACATGGAACATCTCCAACTAACCTTCGCGGAGGCTTGGTTCCTACTCTGGACGATGGACTGTCTGACTATTCTGGATGCTCAAACGGTAGCTTACGAGTCTCTGTTCTCCAAATTCAGATGCATAATAATAATATCATCGCTTTGGCCCCGTAGCTCGAACCAATGAGTATCCAGCAAATCTGGTCCACTTTCCAGTCTATCCACCTCAACCCTATGCTACTTCTCGATCCCAAGTCTCAACCATCCCCGAAATTGCAACTACACTTTGACAACCCGTTCCTAATTCATTACGTGGCGTACCACCACTATCGCTCACTGGGTTGGGTCGTCAAAGGTGGAATTAAGTTCTGCGTAGACTACCTGTTGTACAAACGCGGACCCGTGTTCTCTCATGCAGAGTGCGCCCATTCATTCATACTCCCCCTCACCGTCGGCCTTTCTGATGTGCATTCACTAGATTCGCCATCGTCCTTTGCCCAGTATACGAAGACGAAGACGATAAAACGACGTCCCCCTTCGAGCTCCAAAATACTTCGCCATTCTCATGGTCATGGCTGAGTACCATTAACCGGGTCAATGCAACGCTACAAAAGGTGAGTATCTCACCTTTTATCACACCATTCCCGTCCTCACCAAAGCACAGACGCTGATTTTGACGTACATTACAATCCCTGCCAAGTCCCGAATATCACCAGACGTCTTGTCGTCTCCAGCGTGCCTCTCCTACTATTCCGTCCGAGAGGTCGTGATACGACGGTTCATACCTGCCAGAATGAGAGACTAACGGGCTCTAACGGGGGGAGTTCCAAAAGAGTACAATAGTGTATCATTAATGATGGTATAATACAGTGTGCTGGCCTATAATTTTACCCAACTAAGTCGCATAGATACTCCGTCCACCCGTGCGTTGTAAGTCGTACTAACCATCTGTTATAGGCCTGAGCAAAATGAGTAGCCCGGGATGATGTCGACCATCGTGCCGACAAGGACTGGTGAATGGAAACGAAGTGGGAGGGAGAAGATCGACAGACTAGACGATACGTCTTCAAAGCGATAGCGAAAGCACAATGCTTGCGGGCAATCTATATTGCCCCTTTGATCCCGACTTTCCTGTACTTGCTTTCGAACGCTTGGCATAGCTGAGGATGCGAGGGTCTGCAATCGAGGACTTTCTGGTCATCTGGGCTATTAGGGTTGCTAAAGAAGGCAGCGGAGTGTTCGGCAAGAAAATTGCGAGCTCCATCGATCGTCTCAAACGCCAATTCATCCGTGATGAACTGCAAAGACAAAGTACGGTACCTGCCGATGGACGACCATTCAGTGTCGTCACAAGCAACGAGGAGTTGAGACGCACGATTTTGTCATCATCATCAAGGCCTTCACTCTCTCGCGATCAATGAAATGGTCCATAATATATGCGCCCATGTTCTCCGCATTCAGATACAGTTGAAAGAGAGAATGATAGTTGCCCATGGAAAGCGCTCGCTGGACTTGCAAGGCATGTCGTACAGCCTTGTCTGCTTTCTGTTTGGGCGTTAGCTGACCTACATATAGATTCAATTCTACAGCCAAGTGTCAGTCATACGATAGGCCGAAGTTGTCCGATGGAAATTTACCTGTCATGTTGAGTCCGTGGAGGAGCATCAAGATACGGTATGCTGTGAACTCTTCCACTTTGCCGGGTATGCCAAGTTCATAGAGGGTTTTCAAAGTTGCTTGGCATGCATTGTATTCTACCATGTCGTTCTGTGTGTGACAGATCTTCAGGACAAGTATTCCACAGAATTTCAACACGTACGCTTTCCAAGGCCATGCGTGCATGAATCTCATACACTTCGACTGTGAACTGGTTTTTAATCCGTTGGACCTGTGCGAGTTTCAGTTGGGGTTGCGACATGAAGAACAGTACGAACTGTGAGATCCTGGCGCAGACTCTTGAATTGGTTACATATCCAGGCATACGACACTTTTTCGCGCCATTTCTTCTTGAGCTCTAGCAGCGTCTGTTGCAATACTGGATAAGGACGAATGGATTCAGGTTTAGGTTCCTAAAGAAACTATGTGAGCGGACATGAACGCTAGGCCTGTCTCAGAGCTTACACTTGTCAGGCGTAGGTAATTCTTGAAAAGCTCCGTCGATGTGCCGACAATCGTGAATTTGTCCCAATTCGGAACATTCTGACGTTGGAACAGCAGTGAATTCGCCATCTACTCAGCATAAGGATTGAACTCACAGGATCGACTTCGGGATCGTCCACATTCATGTAGAGTGAGGCAGATCGAGAAGCTCCATTATTGGATAAATGAGAATGGTGAGAATTTGTTTGAAGAGATGTCTGACCGCCGTTTGCTAACGACTTCTGTCTTTCAATTGTATGCTCTCGAGAGAACCGCATGGCCCTCCGGTTGAGTGCTTCCGTATCGTGATATTCTGGTGCTGAGGCGGCCTTCTGGGCATGCTTCTTCGCTTTCTTAGATAGCGGCGATGCTCCTTCACCACTATTAGCGGGGTTAGCCAGGGTATTAAGATAATATATGAGGTGGCCCGCCTCTTCCGCTTGAGATTGATAATATTGGGTGGAGGAGCCGGCTGAAGACTAGGATCCGGTCAGGCTATCATGCATCATGGATAAACATTGGTGAGGGGAAACACCTTTTTAGTTGTATAGCCGCCCAGTCCGTCGTCCACAATGTCCGCGAGGCAAAATGTTCTGCAATTACCTGTCTTAGTTCGGTTTGTGCTTCGTTCCTATTTGTATCGGTCATTTGCCCTAGACATTTCGCAACCCATTCCCTGGATAAAAGCAATCTAAGAAGTTCTCCTGCAGCGGGGAAGAAGCGTACTTGAGCTGAGGCGGCCAAGATTCTGAAGACATAGTGGGAGTTGGGAGTTGGGAGTTGAGGTGGAGGTGCGGTGATGGAAGCTGCGAGGCCAGCGTTGCTCCAATTCGACCAGCGAGCGCTTAAGTGACTAGGGGCAAAGGGTAATGCTAGGGGTCGTTGCTTGAAGTATGCTTGACGTGGTGCATGAACTTACAGAAGGACGGGTGCCGCCTCTTGAGAAACAGCATACTAATACAGCTAATCTGATGATGGTGCGTGGCTATATGTGATATATAATTCTGTACTTTAAGTTCTGCGGCTAGGTTCATACTTCGCGGAGTAGTTTGCGAAGAGGCTTGGTGTTGGTATAAAAAAAGGTTTACAACGATGGTGTATATGGGGAGATTTATGGAGCCATAGAGTCAATGTAGGCGATGATACCGTAGTGCATGAACTATATCAGTACGGAGCTTTGCCCATTGGGTGCTCTGGGCCACTGTTACCTGAGAATACCGGATAATCGGGAAATTACAATTCGTGCGATAGCACTTAGAAAAATTCCCTGTGTAGTGAGAGCGATAGATGGAACGATTTCGATGCTGAGCAGGTCTTCTCAATGCGGACTGAGGTGTCGAGAGCGCTGTCAGACTAAGCGCCCCGCCCCAATCCTCATTTAGCGAAGGGGCGCATTTCCCACAATCACGTTTTCTTCCTAAATTTCCTGGACTTAAGTGAGACCCGGACACCTTGACTTTCCGTTATGACCAGTAAGTGAATGTGCTTCGTGGAATGATAGTATTTAATTTTCAACAGGACTTTCGTTGGCCCAGCAACTCGCCCAGCTAGATGATACAGCTCCTGTGGGTACGAGACTGCATACTTGACCACCCCGCATATATCTTCACAAAGCAACAGATTTTGATCCTGAAGACATCCAACATGGCTTAGATCCTGAGGATGCAGAAGAACAAGCCGACGGATCTGCTGCGCGGGAACACTACATTGAAGTAGGGTGAGTAACGTTGTTATTGCCGTCGAAATTGCCTTACATGCATATCGTTAGGGCAAGTTCTCTGCGCAAGTTGCACGACAGCATATCGGACCCTAAATACGACGGAATACGAACGTCGCGTAAACAACTTCTACAGGGCAGCGAAGATGAAGCGATGAGCGATGAGGAGTCAGAGGGTGACGAGGATGCTGCCGGCCCTGGAGACAGCGGGGGAGAAGACGATGATATGCGGTCTGAAAGCGAAGCAACATCAGTTGACGATGAAGAAAAGGAAGATTTGACAACGAAGCCGCACGCCGGATATGATCAGGAGAATATTAACATTCCAACCACGCTACAAAAAACAAGGGAAGATGATAGGCGGAAGGGGAAGGCCATCACTCGTCAGATTGTATGTCAGGACGTACGTTCAATGCATAATCCTCGCCCTTAACGATCAACAGGCTGTATGGGACTCCTTGCTCGATGCTCGCATACGTCTACAAAAGGTTGCCACCTCCTCCAACAAGCTACCAACAGTGAGCACGAAGGCTGCTGTACCTTCATTGTCTTGACATAATGATTTAGCCCGCTGATATGGTCGAAGTCATTCACGAAGATGATCAAGTCAGGACTTCGCTTCTTGGGATGCTCAATGAAGCCGCTTTGCTCTCTGAGGAACTGTTTCAGTTTCAATCGGTACATTCTGCCTCCCATGCGACTCTTATTATTTCTGAATTTTTGACCGTTAGGCCTTGATATCAAGTAATACTGACGTACAGATACCGCCACGCAAACGACGAAAAGTGGAAGCGTTAGGAACAACAGCAGACTTTGACGCTTGGCTTAAAGAGGCTACCACCGATGCAGTTGCTTCTGAATCTGCGTACGTGCCTTTGTCCAACCATATCTTTCAGCTCAGTTGCTGATAAACGCCCTAAGCGTTCACCCTTATGAGATACAAACACTAGCTAAATGGTCGTCAAAGATACAGGCAGTTGCGCCATCCGCACTCCTTCCATCGAACCGCAATGCCTTCTCTAAGAACCGGCAAAATCTGAAATCCGTAGTCCAACTGATCGACGAAACCCTGACTACTGATAGGAATAAACTCCTTGCCCGCACACAAGTTCGAAGAAGTAAAGGCGCGCGCCTCGGGACCGCCAACACCGAGCGCCAGGTACCAGAGCAGGGTGAAGAAGACGGGGAAACAATTGATAGAGAGTTGTTTGATGATAACGACTTCTATCAGCAGCTTCTTCGCGATATTATTGATGCGCGAGGTGACAATGCGGCGGGCGCAGATGACTGGATATCTATTCAGAAACAAAAGAAATCTAAAAAGAAGGTGGACACAAAAGCCAGCAAAGGCCGCAAACTAAGGTCTGTCGCCAGCGCTTATGTCTTTGTTTCATTCCTGTTGTTGACTTTGACATTGTCTTTTTTGTGCCGATGTTGTCTCCCTTTCCCTTCAATGACGCCTATCGACATGTGCGTTGCAATCTGGCGCCAAAACGAAACAGGTTTGACGTTCACGAAAAACTACAAAACTTCATGGTCCCTGTGCCTGTGGCAGGTTCTTGGCACGAAGAACAAATCGACGAGCTGTTTGCGTCGCTACTCGGTAAAGGGTTCGAGCAGGATGTTCACGCCTCCGGCGACGACGCCATGGGTGATGGTCTGGATTCTGCCATTGCCGACACGGGGGCTGGGAAAGAGCTTCAGGAACAAGCTGACGCTTCCCTGCGAGGGGGATCATTTCGAGTATTTGGATGAGATAGACGTTGCACGATGGCGATGTGAGAAGCGTCCCCTAACGTATATGTTTATGTCATGTTTTGTGCTTGATTGATTGCTGTGTGAAGGGTTCGTTGGGCGACGAACATATGGAACGGGTGAAAGAAGTCGAAGAACCTAGACTGACGTGACCTATCTTTGGGAGTTCCACGTACATTTCAGAAGCTTAATTGGATATGCAGGAACGGCAAAGGGGTAAATACATACTAGGAAGTAAAGCCAGGACATCCGTCCACTTACGGAAGTAGGGAAGAGCCGACTGTCCATACCAACAAGAGAACCAACGGTAAAACGATTGTGTATAAGTCTATGGTATCTAACTCAGTTGAATTGAGTTGGTACTATGCAGGAGAAGACAGCACGTATATAGGAAACCACTATGGAACTAGAACCTTTGTGGGGTATGGTTTAGGATAATATACTCCTCCCTCAGACCGTAGGAAGAGGGGAAGGAAAGATGAGGGGTTTGTGTAGGTGTGCAACAAAGTATATACAGGGAATCAGAGTCCAGGTCATAAAGGATTTTACGTCGTCGTAAAAGAAGTCATGAGGAACTTTGATTGTTGCCGTTAGCGGGGAATGGAATAGGCAGCAGGAGGATAAGAAGTACGGGAGTGTATACACGCCAAAAGCCCGAGAAATCAATAAAAGATGCGTAAAAGACATAGTAACGACATGAAGAACAAGTCCGATTGTCCAAGAGACAGAAACCATTTGAAACAAATTAATACGAGAAGATCATGAGCCACGGATTGAGTACAATCTACAGGTGTCATGCATCAGTCACTCGTCGGTATCGACGACGGGAAAATCAACGTACCGGGTACAAAACATGACATGCAACACTCAGGCTATTCGCATCAATCAGTCTCCTATTTGGGCGCTTAACAAGGAATCGAACTTACGCCAAGGGGAGAATCACAGCCCACGCCTCGCCAGTAACTTGCCACTCCGCCGGCACCAAATTCGTCGACAAGATCACCATCCCCGCGATGATGCACGTACACAGCGTCAGCACAAACCAGAACCGCTTCAGGATCTTCGGCACCTCCTCGAAGAAGTTCGACCGCTCCACCTCCTTCTTCGTCGCCCCCCACGTGATGTTGATTGAGAACAGGTGCGACAAGATCGCAATCGACAGATGCACAGACAGCCCCCCGAAGAAGATGAAGAAGAACGGCAACCACTTGATGTTCTCGAACAGCGATTCCAGCTGTCATGCCGTCTGTCAGCTCATTACATGGATACGACGACGACTCGACTCACAATGCTTCGGTTTCCAAGACGGTATTCCATGATCGTGAACGAGATGTTGCCTGCACCCAGGAACAGAACAAAGCACGCAAGCCACAGCTCGAACCCGCGCATGTAGAAGTTGTCGATGTGGAACTGCATCCCCAGCAGGATGTAGTTCAGCACGCCCATGCTCAGCGCAGACGCGATGCCGTCTAAAGAACAATCAGCACAGGAAGAGAGTGCGAACGGTGGATGACCAACAGTAGCTGAACATGTACGCTAGCATCGAGATCTTGTAGTGGATCGGAGCGCTCGACCACAAGAACCGCCGGATCTGCGGTGCAAACGGTCCTTTCCACGGCCACGTATAGATGGGGTTGAGCAGCAGTTCGTTACACCCGTACGAATATTTCGTCCATCTACGGATGGGGGTATATCAGCAATAGTTCGTTCCAACGGCACACGACCCACCTGTTCAACTCGTCATCTGCACTGAGACTGACGCCCTCTTTGAATCCCTTGTTGCTGTATGTCGCCCACCGCACGATGTATCCACGCAGCTGTACCCGCATGGCCATGTCAAAGTCTTCAGATACGTGCTCTTCACTCCAGTACTTCCTCTGGCCGTCCTTGTCGACGAACGCGGCCTCCTTCATTGCCGACCAGCGCAGGAATGCGTTGTGACCGACGAACGGAGCGATCTCGCCGTTGGCACACGCCATGGTGATCGACTTGTTGACGCGGCGAGTAAAGTAGGCGATGGCGTTCTCGAAGTAGTGGTTGGCGACTTGCATCGCGTCGGATTCATGCTGAATAATGGCGACTTCCTGGGAGATTGCGAGCTCACGAGCAGCGTCGCGAAGGCAGTCTTCGGGAACCTGGGTGTCGGAGTCGACTAGAAGGATGATTTCGCCCAGACGGAGAGAACGTCCACCGGCAGCCCATGCCTGACCGTTAGTCTCAGCACAGGCACGCTGTAGAGCCTTCTCTTCAAGATCTGGATCATAGGTGAAAGCAAATTGGTCGTCGAAGGGATTGGTCGTGCCAGTAGCGGGTGTAGCGGTGCCGCCGGCAGTAGGAAGAGGGGGTGGTGAGCTGGCGCGTGCTTCTTCCAAAAGCATTTCCTTAATGATCTCCTCCATGCGCTCAGCGATCTTCAAGCAGAAGTTCATGTTGCTAGCTTTCTTAAATCGACCTGCGCGCTTAAATCCGTCCTTCTCGTTTGAGTGTCCAGGACGTGAGACCCAACCGATACGATGCTTGGCATAGAAAGCTTGCCGAAGGATGCGATCTTCGTCAGAGAGAAGCTGCATACCATCGTCGCAGATGAAGATTGACGAAGTTCCGCCTTGCCTTGCGTATGTTACCATGGCTTTCTGAAGGGAGTAGACGGAGGGGGCAATCGTCTCGTTGAGCGACTCCTTGTAGACGGGCATCTGAATGGTAACATGGGGTAGAGCGTGACTGTCTGGGTTGTTTGGATCGATACGAGGAGGAGGGGGTGGGATGGCTGAGTAGTATCGCGAGTTCTCGTGGCATTGCGCGACAGGTCCGATGACTTGGGATATTGACCCAATGAGGGTGATACAAAAGAACAGCGACACGAAGAAGAACAGCGGCGCAGTAACGAGGAGTGCGAATCGTGTCGCATCCTTGTCAAGTGTATATTCAGCCAACAGTGTACCTTGGGGTCGAATGTGGGTCAGCGGCCGTTGAAAAGCACTAGTAGATGGGAATTTACTCACGAACACCGGTTCCGACGAAGAAAAAGGCTAAACCGACGGCAAGGCCATCGTATATTGGGCCGTATACACGGAGAGGACGAAGATCGCGCTTCGGGTCAATCTGCTCGTCGGCCATACCCTTCTCGGCAAGGTTTCCGTCGCTCTTCTCATTGAGGTCAAGCGGGGGAATGCCGCCTATGGAAGAGGAGGCTGCGAGGGATGGGGTATGAGAATGCCCGGCTACAACGGGCGTGCCGGGAGCCCCAGGTGTCGGGGGCAAGCCAACAGGTCCAATCCTTGGAGAAGATGACATAGACGGGGCCAGACTAGAGGGGCGCGTAGACGAGTGTCGACCCCACACCAGAGCGAGTAGACGTTGCTCAAACTCCTTGGCCGAGTCAATAATATCATCTGTTCGGTCTGACCAGACGACGAGGGCACGTTCGTCTCTCTACAGGGCAAGATTGAGAACGATTCCCCCGGAATAGAGTGTGAGGGTAACGCACCACGAACGCTGCACCTTGTCCCTTCTCGACATGCGGGAGCTCCGCAACGGTGTCGATGACCTGGATCCGAAATTCGGCGTCGATGAAGAGAGAATTTTGGTTCGGTCGGCTACCGTTGGAAATCAGCCGACTAGAATCCTGCTACGGGACAATGAGGCTTACAGAGTGAGCACCGCCGCTTGCACGGTGGCACTTCGCAGCTTGATCGCTACTTCCGGGTTGAGGCCAATAACAGCGGTCTCGAAAGCGGCGAGAGACGGGTCATTGTAGGGGAAAGTGCGAAAGGTGCTCGCGGCCTGGTCTATCCTAAGGGATACGCCAGTCGAGTGCGAGCCATTAAAGAAGGAGTAAGTCTGCGTCTGTGTGTATATGTGCTGAAGGATCGCGTCGTATGCATCTAGAGGAACGTCCGCCATGAGAAAATGAGAGAAGAGAAATGAGGGGACAGGAAGTGACTGTTAGCACGATTCCCAAGGTGTTAAAGCGAGAGACGGGATGATGGCGGCAGTGTGGGTGTCACACACACGAGGAGAAGGATTTCTTATCATCACGTCGAAAGTTCATCGGCGATTTCCACGGATTTGGTTCGAATTCGTTTGAACTCACCGTCGACTCACCTGCAAACCACTTGATCGATTTAATCTAGGCACTTGAGATCGGTGATCAGATCGAGATCGGGAAGTCGATCGTCTCTCACGCCCGGTTGCCATTAAGGTCCTTTCCGTGCGTTGCAGCGAGTAATCCTTCTTTTCGAATTCACCCCCCCTCCGACCTCAGAGATGGCAACTACGGGGGAGTCCTTTACTCGCAATTCTTCGATGACCGGGATATCGTCACTCAGCGCACCCTCCTCGTCTGCTCGTCCCCAATCGATGGGAGTTTACCGACGGCGCATACAGCAGTCAAATCTGCTGAATACCTCGTCTCTCGTCGCGGAATCAGAAGAGGCTCGCGCAAAGCACCGCAAGGACCCTTGGCAGCGTGCTAGTTACTGGATCACCATATTTTGTGCTTCCCTAGGCATCGTCGGCAGTGTACTTCTCTGCTACTTTGATCTGAAGGCGTTGCCAGATGTTGGAAATCTGTAGGTCACCTCCCCCAGCGTCTCGTCAGCCAAAGGATTGAATCATTACCAGTTGCTTGATCCTGGATGACAATTTCGACGCCCTTGACACCTCAGTCTGGCAACGCGAAGTCCAGGTAGGAGGCTTCGGAAACAACGAGTTTGATTGGACCACCGCCGATAGCGAGAATGCATTCACGGACAACGGCGTGCTGTACATAGTACCGACGCTCACGGAAGACAAGCTCGGCCGCGATGCTGTCTTTGATGGGTGAGTCAATAATCTACCATCAGACTTCTGCCGCGCCTCGCCCATCTGTTTCGGATGTCATATCTTTTTTGCATCCATCCGGCTCAGTTCGAGAGGTGGAGCAACAGAGGCTTCGTGGTGACGAGATTCGTGCATCATTACAGCATGTCTATTCGTCTAGACATTCTATTCTATTATTGTCTTGTACTCACACCCCTTGTTATCCCCTATCGTCTAGATACAATCTCACACTCCCCGACTGTACTGCTGCCAACTTCACGTCGTGCACCATTACTTCCAACGCCTCTACAGGCGCTGTTCTACCCCCAGTCCGCTCGGCACGACTCACAACCAAGCTATCCCGCAATATTCAATTCGGTCGCGTTGAAATTCGGGCGCGTATGCCAAGAGGAGACTGGTTATGGCCCGCTCTATGGATGATGCCGGTTAACGAAACCTACGGACCGTGGCCAGCGAGCGGTGAAATTGATATCATTGAGGCCCGAGGCAATTCTCCAGAAGATTACTCATTCCAGTACGCACCTGGTTCTTACTCATCATCTATTGGCTTCCATGCTTACAGAACAACAGACCCCGCAACTACGTCTCCTCTGCCCTCAACTGGGGACCCCTCGTTACTCTGAATCGCTTCTTTAAGACTCGTGGCTATGCTTTCGAGCGTCACGCCTCGTACGACAAGGACTTTCACACTTTCGTCTTGGAATGGACGCAGGACTTCATGTGGGTTTACGTCGACTCGCGAATCACTCGCACCCTAGATTTGCGATTCAACTACCCCTTCTTTGAGAGGGGTGAGTTCCCCAAGACTATCATCAACGGCACCGAGGAAATCGTTTTGAAGAACCCATGGGAAGGACGAGGCAACGCAGCTCCGTTCGATCATCCATTCTATTTGATTATGAATGTTGCTGTCGGAGGGTGAGTGTTTTCATTATGCTTTATGACTCTTCTTGCCTTCTCGTCTCCGTGATGTCGTTATGCAGTGTGGTTTCAATTTTGGACCGCGTGCAGATCTTGCTCGCGTACCTGCCTCGTTCCTTCGCGTATCTTCTTCTCCAGCTGTTCCGCCGTTCCATCAATATCCTGCGCTTGCCTTCTCGTCTCGAGACCAGCCATATCGCCATATACGTCTGCTATTCGCTTCATTCGGCTTCTCGACAGGGAAGTGGCTTCATGACGCAGTGCTGGAGCCGATATTCGGATTTTCCTGCATCATCTGTGCTTGTTCGTTATCGCCCCGCTTCCATTTTTCACTCGTCTTTCCGTCCCCTACTCTTTCCCTGCTTCGAAAGCCTTTGTTTCAGTGCCCATTCAGCGTTATCTCCTTCACCCTTCGTACGTGCGACAATGTCCGGATGCCACGTTCACACGTTCTTCCGACTTTCTCTTGGCCTCCCTATGACGGACTCTCGGTCCGATCCTTTCCGAGCACCTTCTTGGATGTGCCAACTTCCTATGCATTTATCTCTTACCGGTCATCGAGCAATTGCTTGATGCTGTGCTGGTCTGCACAGAAGGAGGCGTAAAGAGTTGACATAATTCTTCCATGGACGTATGCAGGGGTTTGCAGGGTCCTTTGTCGTCCTCGAGTCCTCGACCCTTGCGTGGGCCCTGCATCTTTTGTGCTTCCGCTGAAGGGCTTACCTCCATTTTGGAGATATGTGCACCCGGCGCTTGCACACTTAACCGTTCCAATCGCTGTGCTCTTATCGTTTGCGGCCATATCTCTTTGAGCGCCGGCCTGCCACTGCTTATCATTTTTGCTTCCGTGCTTGTTTTATATTTTGTGGCGTTGACTCTTCACAAGTCGAGGCTGTTGCACGCCTTCACCCGGTCTGTGTTGATCATCTTTGTAATGGTGGCCTTTACCACCGTATTTGCGTTACCTCCGCCGGAGGTACGGCTGATGATATCCTCATTGTCTCCGTTGTACCTTCCTTGACAGTCTTTCTATTCTGATTCTTGTGGTTGCAATGGCTCACCTGATTTGCTATGCTGACTTCATTTCCTTTGATAGAACTAATGGATGGTTCCCCGACGGAGTTGGTAACAAACCATGGTTGGATCAGTCAACTAGTGAGTGCATCTCTACTATACTGGGTTTAGCTTGCATCCTCTCCTCCATCGCTGGCGTCATACAACGATTTTGTGGTAAAACTTTATGTGATTGGCAGCTATTCATGGCTTCGGGACGTACTGACCCTCGATCAATTTATTCTCACTATTCTTATGTTCTCTCTCCAACTTGCTTCTGCACCCCACTTCCACGCGCTTTTCGCCCCTCGCACTCTCATACTGACCGATCTTTGCGCGGTCGTGTTTGTGTGCTGTCGTGTCGTCCCTCCATTCAGTCATGATGATCATCTACTCTCGGCTTGATTCCCTTTACCATGCCGTTTCCCTTTTAAGACCGCAAGTCTCTCACTCCGGTCCCATTACGCCTTGGCGGTCCATTTGCCTGGTCTGCTGACTCGCGCCTTCTCTCCGTTGTGCTGTCTCCGTTTCCCATGCTTTTATTTTTGTTAGTGTGCTCACTATCCTTTCCGCGCTTTTAGATGCCATGAAGGATTTCGCCAATGCGAAGGATAAATGGTTCCCAACCTGGCCAACAGATGTCAGGGAACGTGCATTAGCTGTGTAAGTCTTCGATTCGGCATCGTCTTCTGACTCTGTTCTATCTTGTTCTCGGTCTTTCCTCACCTTCGCTTTCGGCGCTGTTGTTCCCACCGTCTTCGTCCGGTCCGTGCTTTTGTGCGAGTGCCCTTCTTTCGCGACGTTACTTCAGCTTGACAGCTCACCTCCTTATCTGCGATATGAATTGTTCATGTTTCTCCTTGGTCCTCTGCAATGGGGTCTTGTTCTTCTTTCGCCTGTTGATTTGCATCATGTTGTGAAGAACTTCCGTTTCATCCCCGGGCTCATTTTCTCCTGTTCCCTCTAACTCAGGCTTTCGCCTCCATTCGATCTGTTCATCCTCTCCGGTCTTGTGGCGTTGATTGTGACGTACTCACGCTTTGATTTACAGGGATTACGTGAAAATGTGGCAGAAGTGCGACGCACCAGCATAGATGGCCGGCCGACTTGCCGGGCGCACGAGCTCACTAACACCCCCACCCTCGTGCCAACCCCAAAGCTATCAGCCGAACCACCTTTTCTTCAGCCACTTGTTTCTGATCCCCCCTGTCCGCGTTCGATACCCGTAGAGCATTTCTATCCCAGACATATATGACAGACCGACTCATTACCACTACGTTCTGATGGTGGCGCGGTATGGTCGGATATTCTAGGGACCGTATGCAATTTTCTTACTTTAGCTTGTTTGAGCATTATTTGGTGACATTGGCGTTGACGCGGGGGGGCACTGATGCCTTCCGCCATGTATATTTTCGGACTTTGTGTTACTCTTGTGCTTGCTGTGCTCTTTTTCGGTACTTATGTCTGGGCCTGGTCATAATTGAACAATATACTTAGATACCACGATGTCACAATATCCGCGCTTGATAACTGGGACACCTTGTGTTGTCCCTCGGCCTGGACTGGACGATCGCTCAAGGAAACCCGACTACGAGGATTCATCATGTTGTCCACAGGGTTGTCCACATGTTGACCCATGCGTAGCTATCGTACCGCTTGTCTTCACTCTTGTATTTCTTCTTACCTCTCTCCTTTGCAACGCTGTTCCCTGCTGCTCCACGTTGATCAACAGAGATCGGAAAGGACTCTTGGAAATTACCGATTGTTGATTATCGGGGATCTCGATCACAAATACGAGATGATTACCTCCGACCTCCGACGTCTTGTTTGTTCGCCGGAGACATACTACTCAATTTGGAAGTATCGTCGGTGACCGCCGCCAGCACAACTGGCTCAATTGGTATGTCAATCGAAGAAATTGTGTTGACTTGATAAGTAATGTTGGGCAAATGCGTGTGGTGACTTTGTTTCTCAATCCTTCATTCACTGCGAGTTCTAAGTCTTGAGTTTGTGTTTAGAGCGATCTTATTCCAAGTCTTATTTGCTTTGTTCTATGATTATTCAATCACCAGTGACACGGAGTCTGCAGTGACTTACTTCTATCTCAAAGTCGTTTTCAATTGTAGACCAACGTATCCTAGGGAACGCTCATGTCATTCCGCTCGTTACTCCTTACTGGTGTCTGCGTAGTCCCATGCGTTTGTGCTGGCTCTGGATCAGCCGCCTAGTACTACTTGTCACCGAATAGCATTGTATTCACCAATCAGTGCGACTTCCTCATCAAGGCTTGATCAAGGCACTGTCATTTTACATACCCAATATGCAAGAAGAAATTTGCCTATTGATTATGTCGACGGTGTCCCGGCAGAGGGTACATGCGAGTTTGCCAAGCGAGCAACGACCCTATTACCACATTCCGCGTTCCATACGTCTCGGGCATGAAGTGCCTTGAACACTATAAAGATTTCATACGTCCAAGACCTGTGCTTGTCCTCCATGGTACCAAGCGTATAATTTTCGTTACCTATTCGTTACCTATCAGAGAACTTGATGTCCTTGTCCTCACCCAAGCCGTCTTTTTTCTGCCAGAACGGTGGGGACAAGCTCAGTGCTTAAAAGCGACCAAAAACCCACTTCTTGGTTCATGCCCATGTGCCTAGTTGTAAGGCTAGTGGTAAGGGTCGTCAATGTGGTCTCCCCGCAAGCGACTCTCGCCTTCGCCCCCGAGTTGGTTCGGTTCATGACCTCCTGGTGGTAAATGTAACGGGAGGTGCGAATATGCACCACGCATCGTACTTGCGTCGTACAAAGTTCAAAGAAGGCCTCTCAATAGAGAGGCCATGCTAGTCTTCTCTTCTTCTATACTGGGCGGGATACATTAGGAAGATTTGAAGTAAAGCCAAGGAAGCATATCTGGCATGATTGATCGCTGAGTTGATCTTAGCTGAACCAGATCAGCGTTGAATATCGAGGGTCCTCGATTCTCGATTCTCCACCATTTTCTGAGGGCGATATTCGGGGACTGTATAAAGTCTACTATGGCGGCGTGGCCTCCCCTTGAGACTCTTTTCTCTTCGTCCTTTACGGATTTCTATCCTCGCGGTTTTCAGCGATGAGGACACCCTCAACAAGGCCGCAGGTGCCGCTAAACCTGCTTACTTTCGCTTCCTTGTCACTCGTTATTTCTGTACTTCTGTCCTCTGTCCCATCAGTGAGTGACATTCGAGGGGAACAAAAATGCTTATCAGTAATTCTAATGTTCGCTTCGCTTTGACAGACCGTGGCATCAGGCCTCCAACACAGAGCGCCTGTTCACGCACACGCACACCACCACAAGCATTTGAACCGCTCCAAGCATGCGGAGGATGTCATTCGCCACAAGCGCTTCAGTACACACCACGGCAAACGTGCACTCCCTGAAGGATGGGCAGAACTGGGTTGCATGTCGTGAGTTTCATCAGTCAACGCCCCGAACGCGTGCCCTTATCGCAGCGGCTTGCCCCTTCACTTTTGAGAGAGAGGTACCGTGTAGCTAACCACGTTTGTGTTTCTCAGTGATGGCCCGGGCCCTCGTACCTTCATCGGAGCCTCAGAGGCTACCGCCGATATGACACATGAATCGTGTGTTGCCTTCTGCGACAGCCGTGGTTTTATCTACGCTGGAATTGAATTCGGGAACGAGTGCTGTGCGTATATCTCTCACCGCTTTTGAGTGAGCTTTGGTTGACACAATCACACCAGATTGCGACAACTTCATACGCAATACTGGCGCACTTGTCGAGGATGGCTGCAGCATGCCGTGTGCCGGTGACGAAGAGCAGATCTGTGGCGGTCCCAATCGCATGACCGTCTTGAAGAGCGATGCCGAGCCCCCTGTCCTTGCCGAGGTTCAGACCTACAATGAGTGGACTACAGAAGGTTGTTATACGTATGTCCTGCGCGTTCTTTAAGCATATTTTATCATCTCATTCTATGGCGATAGTGACAGTATCAGTGCTCGCACCCTTCCTACAGCAGTTGGCGTCGTCAGCGGCCCTGTCACAGTCGGTCGGTGCATCGACACTTGTCAAGCTGCCGGGTTCTTCTATGCTGGTGTTGAATTTGGTGCTGGCTGCTGTACGTAAATCCTGTCGCATCGCTGGACTTGTTAACAATTCATCATTCCATCAGATTGCGGAAATGCCATTGCCAATGGTGCCCCGAGCGCTACTGGTTGCGACATGCCCTGCGCCGGAGATGTTTCTCAGCTATGTGGTGGCGCTGATCGCATCAATGTCTACAGTCGTCCAGGCGCTCCCAATCCTCCTGGGGGTGGCGAGGGTGAGGGGGAAGGAGAGGGTGAGGGAGGCGGAGAGGAAGAGCCTGCGACCCCTCAAAACGTTCCAGGATGGGCTCACCTTGGCTGCCACACGTATGCACACGCCTTTTGACCGACGACCCCATACCTGATCATCTTTCTATAAGCAGTGACACAGTCGCAGTGCGCTCCTTGACTGGTGCTAACACCGCTAGTGCTACAATGACCCCGGCAACATGTGCCGCCTTCTGCAACGATTTCGAATATGCTGGCCTTGAGTATGGTGCTGAATGCTGTAAGGCTCTGTTCCCTATTTCTCTGATTTTGGTGTTCAAAATTTCCTATGTAGTCTGCGGCAACACCCTCGGCGGAGCCTCTGCTGCTGACGGTTGCACCATGCCCTGCGCTGGCGCACCTGGCGCTATGTGCGGGGGTCCCAATCGCATGAACCTTTATCAAGTCATTCGCACTCTTCCAGTGGGATGGAGCGAAGCTGGTTGCTACACGTGAGTATTGACTTATATGAGGCGTGTTCATCTATCTCAAGGTACCCCATTGCAGTGATTCCGTCGCCGTCCGATCGCTTACGGGTGCCAACACCGCTGGTGCTGACATGACGCATATGAAGTGTGCATCCCATTGCGCCGGCCTTGGCTTCATATACGCCGGTGCTGAGTACGGTGCTGAATGCTGTGGGTATCCCTCATCGTTCTCGCATTCGTGCACTTACCGGTTGCTAAACTAGTCTGCGGAAACGAGCTTGCTGCCGGCGCTGCCGCTGATGCGGCGGACTGTAACATGCCGTGCTCCGGAGATGCTGCCCAGTTCTGCGGTGGCCCCAACCGCATGAATTTGTTCGTTAGCGATGGGACACCACTTCCCCCAGACCCAGAAGATCCTGAGGAACCACCAGAGCCAACTGGCCCTGCCGTAGAGGTTCCTGGCTATGGAGAATGGACGTCTCTGGGCTGCACAATGTAAGTCATTGTGAACATAACTCCCGGTGCTTGGTTCCCTCACACTTGGAACTTTTACAGTGATAACAATCCCGGCCGCAGCCTCCCTATCGTTATAGGCGTCCCTGGCGCCATGACTATCGAGAAGTGCTTAGATGCATGCTTCAACGCTGGATATGGCTTTGCAGGAACTGAATATGCCGCTGAGTGCTGTATGGTGCTTCATTCCTTGAATCATAGTATTTGTTACTCACTAGATTCGTATAGACTGTGGCGAAGCTCCTGCTGAAACTGCCGCTCCTGCTGCCGACGGGTGCAATATGGCCTGTGCTGGCAACGCTGAGCAACTATGTGGTGGACCCAATCGTTTGAACATGTACTCTTATGGCGGCGATGATCTCCCTCCCGTAACTCCTCCCGCGGGTCCTGGCGATCCACCGACGGAGGCACCTCCACCAGTGACTGAAGGCCTTCCCGAACCCTGGCACTACGCCGGCTGCTGGGTAGACCAAGAATTCGGCCGTATCCTCACCTTTGGTATCCCCGATGTCCCCGATCGCACCGTCGAGCAATGTGTCAATACCTGTAAAGACGCTGGCTATACCCTCGCTGGTCTGGAGTATGGTGTCCAATGCTGTTAGTTTCTTCTCCTCGTTCCTTCTCCTCACCCATGATGCTGACTCTCGCGCAGTCTGCAGCAATGAAGTCCGTTATGCAGGTCGCCTTGCAGACAACGACAATGAGTGCAATATGCCTTGTGGTGGTGACGCCGAGTAAGCCTTTATTCACTGCGACTCCATACATACACTTCTTACGCACCCTCCGAAGGCACGCTTGTGGGGCTGGTAATCGTTTGTCGATCTACTCCTCCACTGAAGAAGTTGCTGTCTATCCTGTTCCTACCGCAAAGACAGAGGGATTGCCTGGCAACTGGGAGTATCAGGGATGTTTCGCGTGAGTCTCTTGTTAGTTTCTCCACCCTCCACGTCACTTATTGGTTACAGGGAGCCCGCTTATCCTCTACCAAGGACGTACCTCCACCAGATTGTATATGAGACCGACATGACGGCAGAGGGCTGCCTCAACAGATGTGCCGAGTACGGCTATCTCTCTGCTGGCTTCGAGTTTGGTAAAGAATGCTGTGAGTCAACTTGCGCATCCGTTGGATTCTGTATACTCATGGGCGATAACCTATAGACTGCGGCGACCCCGAAGATGTTACAACACGCGCGACTCCCGCACCAGAGGTTGATTGCAACATTGCTTGTAATGCTGATCCCGCAGCCATTTGTGGCGGCCCACTACGCATTACCGTGTACAGTTGGATTGGCGGAGGAAACACTGTCTGGCATCACCCAGAAAACACCGGCCATTACGAGGTATGTAACATTGATCCCCTCCCTGCCGCAAACCCGTCATCTAATGTAATCCACAGTTCCTCATTGGCGCCCCCATGGTTGCTCTGCAGACTACGCTCGGTATCAACAACAAAGTCACTTTCCTCGAGAAGCTCGGCTCTGGCCCTGAGAACTCCACTCACGCCTACGAACTCGACTATACACTCGCTAATGACGTCGAAAAGGCATGGCGCGAGATGCATGTCCTTACCGATATCTTCTGCTCTGCTGGCTCTATCCTCCCTGATAAGGCTGGTCGTCAACTCAACGTTGGTGGATGGTCTCTTGATTCCACATTCGGCCTGCGTCTGTACTCTCCCGACGGTTCCCTCGGTGTCAACGGCACCAATGATTGGGAGGAAGATGTCACGCGTCTCAGTCTTCAGGTAAGCCTTGCCAACTTCGTCTTGGGGATTTCGTGGCTGACCATGTCCATAGCGTGGCCGTTGGTATCCTACATCCATGGTCATGTCCAATGGCAGTATTGTCGTCGTCGGTGGCCAAATCGGTGCCAATGATATCCCCGAGCCCACCCTCGAAGTCCTTCCCAAACCCGAAGGCGGCGCTACCTACCTGTACATGGATTGGCTAGAGCGCACCGACCCTTGGAATCTCTATCCCTTCATGCACGTCCTTCCTGGCGGTGGCATTTACGTTCAGTACCACAACGAGGCCATCATCCTCGATCCTGTCACCTTCGGTACCGATGTACAACTTCCAATCCTCCCTGGCGCTGTCGACAAGCCTGGAGGACGTACGTATCCTCTTGAAGGCACTGGTGTCATGTTCCCTATCCACGCACCATATACCGATCCTGTCACTATGATGTCGTGCGGTGGCTCCGACGACTTCTACGGACTGGATAACTGTGTTACTATTCAACCTGAAGTCGAAGGTTCGACATGGACAATCGAACGCATGGTTAGTGCTTACTCATAACTGATACGACTTTTATCTGATATTTTCCCCTCAGCCCTTCCGTCGCGTTATGAGCAACATGGTTGGCTTGCCCGATGGCACTTTCCTCATCGTCAACGGCGCCCGTCAAGGTCAAGCCGGCTTCGGTCTCGCCATCGAGCCGGTCCTCACTGCCCTCCTCTACGACCCCTACCAACCTCTCCACGAACGTATCTCTGTTCTAGATACTACCATCGTCGCCCGTATGTATCACTCAGAGGCCATCCTCCTCCATGACGGTCGCGTCATGATCTCCGGTTCTGATCCCCTCGATCCACGATTCCCCGAGGAGCATCGCGTCGAAGTCTACATCCCTCCCTATCTCGAGTCTGGCCTCCCGCAGCCAACGTTCACCATCGTAGACACTGATTGGGAATATGGTGTGGCGTACACTGTTGTCATCACGTCCGCTACTTCCATTAACATTCGCGCTTCCCTCATCGGCGCCGATACGAGCACCCATGGCAACAACATGGGTCAACGCACGATATTCCCTGCCATTAGCTGTGTTGGTCTGGTCTGCCAGATCACCGCTCCTCCCGACAACAAGATTTGCCCACCTGGATGGTTCCAACTATTCATTCTTGACGGTCCTACACCGTCATATTCAGTATGGGTCCGCATTGGTGGTGACCCTGCGCAGCTCGGAAACTGGCCTAATATCGAAGGCTTTGAGCTTCCTGGTCTGTAAATATGACTGTCGATTTTTTTACTGTACATAGACCCTCCTTCGGAAATGTTGCCTTCTTTCCCCCCGTTCGTTCTGTTTGTTCTGGATTTTGCTTCATTCTTTACTGTGGACTCGATAGAAATTCTACATAATGTCAGCACAAAATGAAATGATAATATGTGGTTTAGCTCTTTGGCTGCAGTATCTCCTAAAGTGAACGCGCAATTCAGGGGACTTCCATAGACGTGACTCTGGGAGCGCCTTCTTGCTTACCCCTGTTCTCTTCACACAAACGACGAACTCAGCGACGGCAATGGACACATTCGAGGACGAGAATCCCTTCGAGACGGAGGAAACGAACACTTCGGAGGCTTCTTCCACGTCCAAAGTTGACCTCTCGGAACCACCGTCGCCTGCGCATCGGCCTGCTCGACTGGCGTCGCCGCCCACTTCGCCTCAGCTTTCTCGTCCGTTTCCGTCTCCTGGGACCCGTCGACAGCCAGCTACGAACTACAAGACGGACTTCTGCTGTGCTCGCGACAGGTTCTTGCACTCTGGGGAAGAAGTGGAGATATTGGTGCGCATTCCGTTCCACTTTATTGCTGTGGAGGTCCAACCGAGACGCTGCGGAATGCTAGATCACGGATGCACTGAAGACGACCATTAATTCATCTTCCCCGTACATTGTCTATGTGATTCGAACAGGGGTACGCTTGTTTGACAGCTTAGGCATTCGTTCTGCTCATGTGCATTGAAGAATACAGAAGCGCACCATCGGTACTCCGAATTCGAGTCTTTGAGGCTGAATCTATCCAAGCTGTACCCTACTTTGATAATTCCACCGATTCCGTCGAAGCAAACCATTGGCGACTATGCGATAAAGCAAGGTAAGGCTAAAGAAGACGCAGCAATGATTGCGCGGCGGAAGCGCATGCTGCAGACGTTCTTGAACAGGATAGCAAGGCATCCTATCGTCTCAAATGAGCACGTATTCCACCGTTTTCTGGATGGCGAGGTATCATGGGTACGTCGTCGATTATATCCGTTGCTCTGGAATCTGTAACCTATCTTCAATCTCAGACCGAAGTCCTGAATTCTCCCCCACTCTCCCTTCTGCCTAAGAACATCCTGCGCGCTCCTTCTCACAACCCCACCGATCAGAATGCGTCTCCGGCTTATGCTGCGCTACCAAATCCATCTGCTGCCCATCCCCTACGGAAGCCTGATCAACGATTCTTGGATTCCGAAGCCTTCACATCCAAGTTCGCAAATCACGTAAGTGGTCCCATGGAAAAGGTTACTCGCCGGACGATCAAGCGGTGGTCAGGTAAGCGACCTTCTTGTTCTCTCGGTCCACCATCACTAAGGTCTCTATGGTGGAGATTATGCACAAGACCACGCAGATCTCGGCGCCGCATTGAACGGAGCTAGTCTGAATGAAAGCGGCCCTCTTGCTGCTGCTGTTGAGAAGACTGGTCAGGCGGTCGACGCAACCTACATGTCGACGACGAAATTGGTACGCTATTTTTAGATGTCTCGTGGCCGAGCGCTGAAATATCCACGACCATAGCTACAAGAGTTGGAGATGAATTGGGCGGAGCCAATGCATGAGTACTCGCAATTTGCTTCCATTATAAAGAAGCTGCTTGCCTATCGACACCAAAAACACGTTCAATATGAAATGACGCAGGATGCTCTCGAGGCAAAACGCGAGCATCTAGAGGAGTTGGACAAAAGTGAAAGAGAAGCCCAGCGCCTTGCGGAAGCCTTGGGTCGAGGCAGAGCCAACGGCTATGGTTCGCCGACCGTACCCCATTCTGAGACACAAGCGACAGAGGGTGAAACTATTCGAGATGAAGTCGAAGGACCAAACGCCGACGCACATGACGGAGAAGTTCATGTCGGGAGTCCCGGCGAAACCACTTCTCCCTCGTCGTCATATTTACCACCTCATCCTGGCCCTAACCCTGCGCGAAGGAAGACACGCGCGCCTGGGATGGGATTGCTTAACGCCTTGAACTACACCCTGCACGGTATGATGGACGTTGACCCAGAGACCGCCCGAAGAAATTCAATAACCAAGACGCGGGAGACGATATCGCAAGTACGTACACGCTTTCAATGGAGCTATAGCTCAATATTGATATTCTGTCCTTGGTTATAGCTCGAAGATGCGTTGCATCTCTCGGCGCAGGACCTGAAATACTCAAGCTCCACGATTCAGGCTGATCTTGACCGTTTCCAACGCCAGAAAGTCGCAGACTTACGAGAGATGGCGATTAGTATGGCGCGAAGCCATAGGGATTGGTGCAGGAAGGTGAGTATTCTCCCCTCGTTCCTTCCACCAGCCGGAATCATTTTATTCCGCTGCGATTCGGTTTCAATACTCATCTTATCTTTTACGTCTACGCGGCCAGAACTTGGAAGCTTGGGAAGAGGCAAAGAAAGAAATTGAAGCTATCCCTGACCACCCCAACAAGTTGCCGCAGCAAGAACCAGCCCATGGAGCTCCAACTCTTCCTTCAAACGGGGTTAGGAGAGATTCCACTGCCACGGTCAACGGCCGATGAAGCCTCGTCCTTCCCGTCGGGACAAATATATGAAAGTTTGGTGGGACAATTAGATACAGGACGCATAGTTATTATATTTCTTTCGTTGTTTCGCATCTTGGATTTGTTTTGTTTGCCACCGTCGGAGTACCGCCTAAGACTACCTGAATAGGAACAACCTCGAATCTAAATGAGCCCTTTAACAGCTTTCGCCGACATCTCCAAGGATAGCGCACTGCTCTCTCTAAATAGCACAACTACCTTTTCGCATGTAGGACCCATTGTCCTTATTTTGGTGGGCTTGATAGGCTCTGGAAAGGTACGACGATTGTCTCGACTTCTGCTGGACAAGGACATCTGTGAATTACTCCTGAAATCCAGTCCACCTTTGCACAAGCTTTGCAGCAGTGTTACCCGCGCTTCCACAGATGCAATCAGGATGACTTAGGAGATAGGCGTCAGGTAGAAAGTTTAGCTCGCGGCTGTCTCCAGCAGGGTTTGAATGTCTGTATCGACCGCACAAACTTCAACGAGTCGTGAGTACACGGACACCCAAAGCTGTTGTGTATCTCAGATGCGCCATGACTGATGACGGTATATTCTAGTCAGCGAGCGTACTGGATCACCATCGCCCGCGAATTTCCCGGCACAAGCGTTTGGGTTATTGTTTTCGACACACCCTATGAAGTAAGTTGGGCGGCATGTTCCATTTCATCAGTTGTCCTTTAGGGGTTCTGATATCGTGGCTGTTTGCAGGAATGCGAGAGGAGACTTGGTCTGAGTCAGAGCCACCCCTTGTCTCCCATTGAAAACAACCTAACCCAACATTGAACGCACTGTGCAGGGACGGGGCATCCCACTATAACATCCCCTGAGCAAGGGTTATCCATTCTTGCTCACTTTGCGTCAGACTACAGGCCCCCAGCTCCTCACGAAGGCTACGATCGCATCATTTCTTTGAAGGCTTCGGACCAGCTGGCCGGTGTTTATACCCACTCAGACGTAACAAGTATCCTCCAAAGGTTGCAGGATTCACCGCCAGTGACCCGGCCAATCGGTGGGGTTCATACCGCCTTTCGAGGTCGGGGATACACGCGATATCGCGGCCAAAGAGGATCCTATCGTGGCGCAGGGCAAAACGGCAGAGCTCGACCTTGGTAATGAATGACAGTACAGCATACCCCATACGCACTCTGTAATCGCCTGACCCATTAAGAGGTACGATCTTCTAGATGTAATGATGACAGTGATGATTCTTGCTACCGCAGCGCACGGTCGCCGGACCCCAGGCCTTGTAGCGCCACTCCATGCAGCACGCGTTTCCGCGGGCGATGAGGATGCAAACAATTAGAGCAGGTTCTTTTTCCCATTTAACTTCCCCAATACAGCCCCAACTCAGATGCAGCGACCAGGCGGAGCCCCGACCGTCATGACGAGCCAGAACTAGAGTCGGAGTCTGGTTCTTTCGCCGCCTGCATCCTCTTCCCCAGAATCTTTGCGCTAACCTTGAGTTCCCGAGTCGGTCAGCGCTAGCAGGAGCTTAACGACAAGGTTTAAACCTACATTGCGGATGTGCATCGAAGCGCGTTCTACGCCATGTTTCTTGCTATGTTCGTAGTATTCCACCGCTTCTTCTAGGTGGCCGGCTGTCGCAATGATTGATGATCCATGAGAATGGAACAATAAAGATGACGCAACATGAACTGGTACTGACTGGCTTCGAGAACAGCAGCTAAGTTGAAGGCAATTTCAGGGTCCTCCGGAGAAAGTGAGGAGGCGATACTGTTCCCCGCAGTGCGTTAACGTTTGTCATACCCCGGAATGCTGGAAGTGATAGATACCGCAGGTGGTGTAATGCAAGGTCCGGTCTCGCCACAGGTGACACTATGTAGGCACTGGCCAGATCTGACAGCGTGATAATTTTGCTAAATGTGAAGAAATTGCTTCCGTGCACTAACTGGTATGGGCATCGGGGCTGGACGGCTGGAGCGCTATTGATTCTTTCCATGCAGCTATGGCCTCGTCGAATTCCTCTGAGTAAATTTATTCAGCTCTACGAAGCAAACCAGTAGATAATGAATCGTACTAAGATGGTAATGTGTGACCCCCAAATTGAATAGGGAGCTCGCATTCCGCTTGATTTCTGTGCTACGCCGGTAGAGTTCTTTGGCAGCTTCTACATCACCTTCTTCCAATTTCGTAGTCCCCTGCTCAAGACAGCGCAATGCCTCTGCCTCGGCAGGATCCGAAGCTGTAGAGTGCGGGGTTACAGAAGTAGCCCATCCTATCGCAAGACCATGGTTTCGTGAGCCAAAGCTCTATTCTGCAAGTCCGAAACTCACTTCTGGCTGATCGAAAAGTGTCCAAGTCCCTGGTCCTGGATACGACCGGGCCAAGACATTCTCTACGAGGATGGACGCGCGCAATCCGAAGGAAGTTTCCAGGAAACGGCCGTAGCCAGCGTAACATTTGGCCAGAAATATTGAAAAGCTACCAGTCAAGCGGCGCAAGTGAAGGAGATATTCGCAACCAGGTCACGTGCGGGGCACACACACCGCCGCGCCATTTGAAAATTTGACCAAGTCACCTTCGCTACTGACCACCACCACCGACCACAATGTCCTCGCAACCATCGCAGTCTGCCCAAGACGGCAGCTCCTCGTCTCAGGACCCCGCGTTGTTGCTCAAATCTACGAACTTTTCCCGCCCGGAAGGTTCTGCTGCTCCCCAAGATGCTGTAACTGCCTCAGACCTTCTCATGGCCGCTTACGACCCCGCGCGGCTGCATCCTTTGGCCCAACTCGGGGACAAACTTGACTACCTGCTTCTTGATGACGATAAGACAACAGATCTTCCTGGCGCCGGTACTGCAATTCCTTCCCGAGGTTGGAGTGATGACCTTTGCTACGGAACGGGTACAATGTATCTTAGTGGTGCGTATAGATCTCTTTCACATTGCCTCTTTTGCTTTTGCGAGTGTGCTTTTTTGCTCGGTTCCGGCCTTGTTTTTCCTCCTGCCAATCTCTCTCACCTTATCTTAATCTTTTGGAAAAAACCTCCATTCTTATTGTTTTCTTTCCGTCACATGTTGATGTTTTTTATCCTAGGTTTGGCCCTTGGCGGCGTATGGGGAATAAGGGAAGGTGCTCGAAGGCCTCTGGCCGTCACAAATACGCGGTTACGAATCAACAGTGTGCTCAATTCCGTTACCAGGAGAGGCACATTCATTGGAAACTCGGCAGGTGTTCTCGGTCCGTCTGCGTTCATATCTCCAATATATTTCTGTCCTGACGCGCCTTTAATGATAGCTCTTGTGTACAATGCGGTCAACTCTTCTATTGACGCGGCACGGGGAAAACATGATATAATTGGTAGTATGGGAGCGGGCGGCATCACAGGCGCTTTGTACAAGTCAACGGGTGCGAACTCTCTCCACGTTGTAATGTAATGATGATTGTTGATACCTTTGCCATTTATAGCTGGAGTTCGACCTGCGATGGCAGCAGCTGCCTTCATGTCAGGCGTGGCAGGAATATGGAGTTACGTCAAAAAGAGCGTTTGATCCATTTAAACCCTCTTTCTGTAGTTTATGTTCTTCTTAATCCCCTATTTCGGTTCTGGTGTCGGGGCATATCCTGTGAGCCATCTATATAGAATCCACAGGAAGGACTGACATTCCGTATACTTCGAGCATTTAGTACCCGTTCCTTTGGCTACTACGGGCGTGTCCTATGTCAGGGACCCCGATCTCGGCTGAAAAGCAAAACTTTACTTCTATCTATTACACCACTGCTTTCGCTCAAATGGAATTGGATAACACCCCTTGTCCCAGTTGCATAAATAATGCGTCCCCCTCCGCGATATTTTACCAAAATTCCTCGCAGCGAAGGTTTGACAACTCTCTGATGTCTGTTGCTACCCTCTTTGCTGGTGTCTGTCGACCGCTGTCGAGCTCCCCGCAAGAGGCCGAGGGAGTCCTTCTATCTAGAGGTTCCCTACATCTGGAGCCTGAGTATCCATCTGAACTAACCTTCAGTAGACCGTCGGCTAGCAGTTGTCGGGGCAACGCTAAGGTAAGATTTTGCGGCCCATACGGTATCGGTCTGACCTGCATATCCTAGCATCACCTGCGTCCCACTTGTATCCAGTCGGACCCGCACCTTACTTTGTCAGTCTCCGAGATCTATCTTCTCTTTTGTTGACCCAATGAAGACTTGCCAGCCAACCTGTACCCTCTACAAAAACAAGAACACCATCTCTACAATCATCACCTAGCCTCAGTCAACATTCTGTCTCAAACAGTGGGGACTCCTCCCCGCAGACTTCTGCCACTTCGCTGTATTTTTCATCAGCCGGTACTCGTTCCAGCCGAAGCACGCCTTCGAGCCGGGATTCCTATTCTCCGCCCCACTACAGAAGACATCCCCTCATTCAGGTTTCCTCCTTACTCGCGGACTCTAACACTCGGTAAGCGTTTATATCATGTCAATGTTATACCCGGTGGTAATTAAGCCTTGACAGGTCATATCACCTTGAGGTGGTCCAACACCCCCAAAAAACTGCAGACTTCGGTTCAGCGAGTCTTTCTCGCCTTCCGTTGACTCCGCCCATCGTTGTTCAATTAATTGTCACGGACCCTTCCGGGAATTCCATCATCCCGTATGTGCCTTTGGAGACGGTAGTGATCATAATACTTACGAATTTTTTATTCTGCAGGGAAGTAGAACTACCTTTCCTGATCGCGCATCTATCCCTTCTGAGCGCAGACGGGCAGAGGCAGTTGGATATGGGTTCCGCGCCAGGTGGAGATCTGTCTCCACCTATTCTGTACGGCAATCTGGTGTCATCCGTGCATCAACTAGAAGACCTTCAAGGTAACATGGGAATGTATTTCTTATTCCCCGATGTCAGCATACGTTATCGCGGCCAATTTCGCCTGCGCGTCAATCTGATGAGACTGTACGCGTGAGTCTGTGTTCCTCTCTATGATTCATTCTCAACTGCTTGGCCTAGTATGGATCAAACTGGTCGGATGAATATAACTCCCGAAGGAAGCGTTCTTGCGGATGCAATCACTGGGCCTTTCGACGTCGTCGCCTACAATGAATATAGCGCTGTCCGTGAGTTCGATTTCCGCAATTGACTAGACACTTAATTGGGTTGATCAATGACACACCTTCGTATAGCCCCCACGCGTCTCACTCAATGGCTACTTCGCCAAGGGGCACGATTGTCGACCCACATGTCTAATCCTAATCCTTAGCGCCTCAGCCCTCTGTCTACACAACCTGGACCGGATATTACTGGATATTGAACTGGATATTGATATTTTCTGTTTTCTTCTCTATAGGCTGCTTGGGTAGATCCTTGTTTATTCGTTCTTTTGTATGTATTGTTTATGGCCGTCCACTGGGCTCGGTATTATTGTATTCTACTCCAAGCTTTGAACATTGCTTTGCCTCATGTTCTGCCAGATGGTTGCCGTGATGTTACGGACTGATTGACACAAAAAATATCTATCAAAGGCCTTAGGCTAAGCGGAGAGAGAATCCATTACGATAATACTGTGACTTTTCCATCGGCATATCCAATATAAGGTTCTCAGTGCATTACAAGCTCAGCTAAGTTCAGTCACCTCGCTGTGTGAGCCCATTGCTCGGTATGCTGAGCCTAGGGAGTCGTTGCAAAGAAGTACCTACTCAGCCTCACTGAGCTTCCAAGACCCCAAGTTATGGAAGCTTGGCCTTCCGGCCGAGAGTAGCTGACTAAGCTTACTGCGGTCATGCGGAAAGGTGGGATAACGCCGGGGATCGCAAAGCACTCACCCTCTTCCTTGTACCACTACCTTCTCTCGTCTCAGACCATGTCCGCCAAAGATTACTACAACAGCGGGGCTCCCCAACAGCAGTATTACCCACCTCCTGGTGCGCTCACTGTTCGGCTTGTCTGAGGAAATTTTGGCAGCTAACCCTCATTCCGTTAGGTGGTGACCAAGGAGGGTATTACCCGCAGCAGCCCCAGCAGGCTTATCAGCAAGGATATGGTGGTGGAGGCTACGGTGGCCCCCCTCCCCAAGGATATGGAGGCCCAGGTTATCAGGCCCAACCCCCTCCTCAGACGGTCATTATGTAGGTTCCTCCTTGGCATCATACATGTCGGATTATCTGACCACTTTCTCCGCAGTCAGCAACAACCTGAGAAAGGCGGCGGTGCCTCCACTGGTTGTATGGCATGCCTAGCTGGTTGCTTGTGCTGCTGTTGCGCTGAGGGTGCGTCCTACCATCGCGTGTGCAGTGCAATGCGAAACTAACCTGTGCTCTGGTATCTAGAAATCTGTGATTGCATCTTCTGATTCTGAGAATTTTTGTTGCCCTCATGTCCTGCCATGATGCCTCGTGGGAGGCCGAACGACCTTTTATGCATACCACTTTTTGATTTACGTCCGGCTAATATGTAGCCTCTAATTCTACATATATTCTGTATGTGAACGTGAACCTTCGGATATTGAGCGGACTCCGTCTGAATGCCTCGTTCCATCACCGTGCATCAGGCTGGGCTATTTGCGTCGTGTAGCCTGCACTGAGAAAGAAATTGGCATAGCCAAGTGGGCGCCAAGCCAATTGCCTTATTTGAGTGCCAGAAGTACGAACAGGGAAAGAGCACGTGCCTCGAAATAGCGGGGCAGTGATTGGCCGCACAACTCCGGTTCATCCCGCCCAAATAATTGTAACGAGCGTGACCCGTCACTCTCTTTCCTCCGTTTTCAAAATATTGCATTCGAAATGCTCTCGAGGCTGTCGGCGGCAGGCCTCAAACCAGCTGCTTTGTTGCGCTCGGTGAAGAACTCGAACATCGCATCAGCTTCCAGGTCCTCGGTGAGCTGGTTTGCGTTTGAACATAGGGAAAGCCAAATAACATTGGAACTACAAGGCTCGCTTTGCTTCGGGTTCAGCATCCGCAGGTGCTGCTGAGGTATGTACAGTCCTCGTATTATTGGTTAGTGAACCAGGTTTGATAGCTTGCGCAGTCCGCCTTCTACTCGCGGACCGCCCTTGTGTCGGCCTCACTTCTGACCGCCGGGTCGATTGCCTGGTACACTCATCTATTTGGCTCCCTACCCTTCATCGGCGAAGTGCACGCAAGTCATCTCAGCGACGAAGGTCTACATCCAACTGCGTACCCATGGCCGCACAATGGTCTGCTGGATACCTTCGACCACGCTAGGTACGTCCGACCTAACCCCTTCTTCCGACCATTGCCGAGACGCGTTGTTAACGATGTATCAGCATACGACGAGGATACCAAGTGTACCGCGAGGTGTGCGCAGCATGCCACTCGCTAGATCGCATTGCATGGCGCAACTTAGTTGGTGTCTCGCACACCGCTGACGAGGCTCGCGCATTGGCGGAAGAAGTTGAATATGAAGACGGTCCGAATGACCAGGGCGAGATGTTTCAACGCCCAGGAAAACTTGCTGATTACATGCCGCGACCATATCCGAACGAAGAAGCTGCGCGTGCCGGTAATGCTGGTGCAATGCCCCCTGACCTCAGTTTGATCATCAAAGCTCGCCATGGTGGTGCAGTACGTCTTTAATTTCTTCTAACCCGTGCAATGTACTGATAGCGTACTAGGACTACGTATTCTCTCTACTCACCGGTTACATTGATCCCCCCGCTGGCGTCGAAATCCGTGAAGGCATGAACTACAATCCGTACTTCCCCGGCGGAGCTATTTCCATGGCTCGGGTCCTGTTTGACGGCCTGGTTGAGTACGATGATGGTCAGTGCAATCACGGTGCTGTTGTTAGCATCCGGTGTTAACATTGACTTTCCACGTACAGGCACCCCTGCAACAACGTCCCAAATGGCCAAGGATGTCGTGACATTCTTGAACTGGGCTGCAGAGCCAGAGCACGACGAGCGAAAGAAGTACGGCATCAAGGCCGTGATACTGTTCTCCACTCTTTGGGCTATCAGCATTTACGTTAAGCGCTACAAGTGGGCACCTCTCAAGAACAGGAAAATTTGTAAGTTCTTGCGTCTTCCCCAGCACGTCCATGTCTCATCCAATACCCCAGTCTACAACCCACCCGGCAACAAACTGCACTAGATGGAAGTAGATGGGTATTATCACGAGTCCGTCGACTTATATAGCTCGATAATAATGCAGATCCTTTCTGTTTCCTATAATTGTTCGTGGGACCCGGTACATATGTCCGTGAGACCGGCGTGATTGTGTCATGTCGAAGTCACGCGTCTGTGTCACACTTCGTAGTAGGAATGTCTTTTCGCGATTCGACTGTTGCAATCATTGAGACCGGCCGAACCGTTGTTCGGGCAGGATTAGGACTTCATGATTTACTAAGGCCACCCTCTGTCGTACGCGAATATTGCTCCGTACCGTCTCTCTCTTACGCAACATCTAGGAATTCCAAGCGCGCGTGGGTTTGCGCAAGAATGGTTCAGAGCCGACCCTCGTGAGCCCGAATGGCAAGCAAAAGCTCTCGAAATCCGTATCGATATTGCCACAATATGCTAGTACGGCGCTAGTCCACGATTACCTAGTAGGGAGTCAGCTCGACGAAGCCCTTGCTGCTGGACAGGACATTGCCGTTTCGTGGCCATTCGCAGATGGGACTGTTCGAGACTGGGTGCAGGCAGAAGCTCTATGGTAACGTTAGACTCGACCCTCTTGCCTTGGCGTACTTAACCCGAAGATTGAACAGGAAATACGCTTTATTCAATCAACTCCAGCTACGGCGAACGCAAAATGAATCCCCTGTGTTGCTGTCTATGTTCTCCGGGTTGTCAAGAAGCGATTACGAAAGGACGTGTCAGTTGTTTTTCGAGCGACTCAATGTGGCTGGGTTCTGCCTAGTCGAACGACCTATGGCGCAGATATACAGCTCGAACACCATTACTGGGGTGGTCGTCGATATCGGTCACGAAAAGACTGATGTAACGCCAGTGCTAGACGGACTCATCATTCACAACGCGCGCACGACCTCCACGCTCGGTGTCCGTGATTGTCAGGCATACCTCGCCAACCTTTTACGTACCAATCAAACCGTCATGAACGCGTTCTCGCCCCCAGAATCGCCCCTCGAGCCAGAAGCCTTGAACAACCTGCTGCTGGACCTCGTGAAACAGATAATGGAAGACGGGTACGTCAAGGTCCCTTCGGACGGAGAGACAGCTGTCGTAGAAGATGAGGGCATCACGGACATCGCTGCCATCGTGGTGGCTGGGAAGGAAAAGGCGGTGATTGAGAGTGGAATGAAGAAGAAGGCCAATGCAAAGGCATCGGCGGCGGAACAGGCCAGGGCTCGCGAAATCGAGGCACTGGATTTGATTACAGTTACTTTCCGTGAGAAGGAGGTGACCTTGGGGAAGGAGAGGCATCGATTCTGCGAGCCGCTGTTCGACCCATCACTCTTGCAAGGGCTCCCCTCGTATCATCAATGTGCCCGTGGGTCTGATATCTTATCGCTGCAAGAAGTCGTAGGCAAGTCAGTTGCCTTGGTCGAATTCGACCAACGACAGTACGTGTGGCAAGGACTATTTGTCACAGGCGACGTTACGCGACACGTCAAGGGTGCGTATCTCAACGGTCTCACCATACAGCTAGCTCATTCTATTCTGTTCTTTAGGCATTGGTGTGGCGTTGCAATCTCGTTTAGCACCATATCTCTTGGCCAATTCGGACATACAGACGGACGTTCAAGCAAGGGTCATCCGGTTGACGAATGTACCAGAGTATTACCCCGAATATAGGGATACTGGGAATGGGTACGCTGCATTTTTAGGTGCAAGCATTGTGGCAAAGGTAGCCGTCCAATCCACCCTTGACATCGATTTCGCTCACGGTTTCACAGCTTTGCTTCAACGACTCGAGTAGCAAAAATTATGTATCAAAAACAGATTACATTAACAAAGGCCCTCACGCAGTGATAGAAATGGCGCCGACACTGTTGTAACTTTCGAGTCACAATACTTTATACGGCAAACATCTGGCGTTCAATGATAATCATATGGCTTGATATCGGGAGACCATGTACAATGAATGAGCTTTGCATGAAATATCGACTACGACTTTTTGGACAACTAAGCGGCCTCCCCACCAGCGAAGTTGAGGAGATCTGAGTCTCCTGGGTCCGTGATGGTCATAACACTGCGACAACTATCAGTGTCGATATATACGGGCGGAAAAGTCCAAAACTCACCCGACACGGAAGAGCTTTCCGGCAGCAGTGCCAAGCGCGACATTGGTGCCCGAGAAGTGGTGCACAGTCGTTTTTGAAAGCATGGCATAATATTCGATTTCAGATTTGCGCAGAGGGGGGCAGTTAGCGGCAATGAGAATGAGTTTGGCTACACATCAAGTCAGTTTAAGGGACCTTCTCAGCCTCGCGCTCCAGCCCCTGGGGAGACCATAAAGAGATATGCTCACCTTTGCCGTTGCGCATTTGCTTGAGCGCGGATTTGTACCCCAGGCTGTATTTGCCCGATTTCACGACAAGGGCAAGACGGGCGGCGATAGACTCGCTGGACTTTGCGGCCTTGGACTTCTTGGTGGGGGCCATTGATGATGAGCGTCGGGGTCGGTGGTCGGTGGTGGTGTCGGTTGTCGATGAGTTGAATCTAAACTTTTCCTGGTCTGTGTACAAGGCAATATAAGGTTGAAGCTCAGACACGGCAATTTCCATTCCATAATTAATAAGCGCTCAATTACTTCCGTGTATCACTGGCAACTTGGTACTGGCAACATCATACATTATGGGTCATGAAACAGGCAGAGGGACTAATGTGTGGTTGATGAACTGGACGACACGGTCGGGTGGACCGAGGCCTATGCAAATAGACTTTGTTCACTTGGTATAATGCACCAAATACCAGAATCACTGTGGTTTTGTACTTCCTTGGGTACAAATCTGCATGTAGGATGCGAAGCGAAGATAGGTGCGAAGATAATGTCTGACACTCAGTGCACCCAAGCCTTAGGAATTTGAGCCCATGCAAAGCCCTTGGATTTGGTGTCAAGGGTGGGGTCCTGGGTAAGCTAGGATACGGCAAAATCAACAGAAGCTGACACTGATCATTTACCGCCACTGAACTCTACACGTGCGCACCGGCGTACGCAAGTTTGCAAGAACCCAATTCAGCAGCTGTGCACCTCTTACTATGTGTCACATTTATTTATTATGTGCTTAGAGAAGGATGATAATGAAGCTGAAGCAGGAGGGCAGATTATTTTTGGTTTCAAGTAGCCAAACTGCAATGAACTTTAAATGCACCAGAACCTTTGAAGCAGCCTCCGCATCTTGTATTATCGAAATTCAAAGACTGATTAGGCCAACCGTGATTGTGGGAAATGCGCCCTTTTCCTAAATAAGGAAACGGCGGGAGCAGGACGCAAACCTTTAGAACCCAAGCGGTCAATGTATCCCACAATGTCGCTGTTACCACTGAGGGCCTTAACCTACAAATCTCGTAAAATTCCAAGTAGTTTGTGTAAGGGCAACCTCAAGATGGCCAACAGCGCAGGCCTAGCAGAGGGAGAATCCAAAGATATGAATAAGACTAACTACAATACATGAGAGGGCTGCTCACCTAGCAGAGGGAGAATCCAAAGAGAACAGGATAAGGATTCTCCATGCTAGGAAGCAAAGTATATACTGTAGTAGCGTGAGAGGAATGCAGGATAACTGTACAGTACACCAGCCACAGGTCCGAACGAATATCACAAGGTATGAGGAAACATGTGATAATGAAGTGGAAGGGGAATGTACAGGAGTCGTGCCAGCGACCTGGGGAAGTAAGAGCAAAGAGAAATGAAGCGGGGAAGGAGGACAGAGGTAATCTGGACGAGCCCCAAAGTGTATAGACAAGTCCCAGCGAGTCTGAAGTGTCTGAAGTGTCTGAGCAAGTCTGAGCAAGTCCGAAGTGTCCGAAGTGCGGGAAGACTTTGGAGTCACCGGACGTGACTTGGATGCAAAGGAAGTGGGCAGAAAGGAAGTGGAAAGGAAAGGGAACAAAAGGATGTATGTAAGAGTCTGTGGGACGAAGGAAAAGAGAAAGGAACGAGGAGGAAAGCAGAGGGACAGGGGAATAGCAGAAAATAGGAGTGTCCCCTTACAGCATTGGTCAAGGCTCAGGATGACATGAAGCGCTACTATGATCAGTGTCGGACTCCTGCTCCGGAGTACCAACCAAGTGACAAGGTCTGGCTGGACTCGTCGGACATCAACCTTGCCCAACCCTCCCGGAAACTTGGACACGCACCACGCGGTCCTTACAAGGTCGTCCAGAAGGTTGGCAAGGCAGTGTACCGGCTCCAGCTCCCTCTGGGCTTATCCTGTCTCCATCCTGTCTTCCTGTTATGGTTCAACGTTTCTTTTCTTTTTCAACTATCTCTCCTTATCTTATCAGGCACGTGATGTATTACTCAAGCATAGTTACTTACGATATGCTACTTACATCATCCGGGCCATCTTACTAACAGTCTCAGTCAGCGCCTCACCGCTACTGCATGGGCGCAGTCAACAAGCGTCATACCTCATGCAGCTGAGCTAACCGTTCCATGGAAAGACGGTAGGATACAGCATGTAGATAGACATGAGGATGTAGCATGTATAGTAGTATATAAGTACCCTAATAAACACCCAGAGACATTAACTCGTTCTCTTGGGATCACCACTAGTATTAGTGCCTAAGTCAGTGTCTTCGTATTCGCTTCTCACCTCGTTACTCTCAAATCTACTACTTCTCACTCTGATTCTTGTTGGGTCTGTGTACACTCTTGTAGTGTATTAGTGTCGCCCTAACACTTCCCCATGGTCAAACTCTCTCCCTTCACTCCGGACCCCATCCCAAGTAGATGCCCTGTCGCTCCACCACCTCCGCAGCTCGTTGACAGAGAAGAGGAGCATGAGGTAGAAGAGGTCTGGAATAGCAGACGGTTGTAAATGTATTGACCACCTTTTCCCCTATCCCCTGACTACGCGATCACATGATATGGCTTTCCCTATATAACGCGCATACCTTACTTACAGTACGCTATCTTCCGTACCCCCATCATCTCTCATTTGCAATACACACACGCTGATCCTCTCATCTCGTTTTCCACTTGAGTGTTCGCACCTCTGGTGCGCTTCCACTTTTTTTTTGAGAACGGTCAGGCCCTGGCCTTTACTGTTTATTAAGGAATTCCTTGCCAGGACGTAACGACCCTGAGACCCCAGGCTTCGCCCCAGTTTTCCCATTGGCTCCCATACCTTCCCACACGCCCACGACTTCCCGCAACAATCCCTGCCTTACCTCGTTTCCCCGTTATCCTGCAAACTGCCTTCCAGGTCATCCCCGTCCATCCCAGTGTCTCTGACAACGCGCAGTCAAAGCTCGACTTCACGCCCTGCATCAAACAATAGCGCTCGCCGCTCTAGGACCAGATCTGCGCCTGTCTCACCGCCTACTATCAAACGTGCCCGCTTCCGAGTGGTTTTGTCTACACCTTCCACCAAACTCTTACTTGACCAGGCGCATATAGTCACCGCTGGGGCAACAGCTGAGCCCAGTCACCCTGAAAATTGCCGCCCTCCTCAAATTCCTTCGCCGTTTCAACCGCTATCTATCATGGGTGTCCGTGCAAAGATAGAGCAGTCTGCTCCCAACTGCCCACCTACAATGGGTGAAGGCGATGTCGACGCCGCCCTACTTTGGGATTGGTTCGTGAAATGCGAAAATTACTTGCGCCACAAGAATACGGCGCCGGCCGACATGGTGAAGACAGTCGCGCACGGCATGGGTGGTGTTCACGCTATCAGATGGCTTGCCGCCTGCGGTCCTTCTCTTCACAAGATGGATTGGGACACATATAAAGAACAGATGAGAAGTATTTTTCTTCCCGCTGATTGGGAATACACTACTAGGATGTCTATCCTCCGCATGAAGCAGGGTTTGAGGCCCTTTATCGACTATGCCTTGGACGTCATGGGCAAGAACAATCTGTTGGCTGGTACCGACTCATTCATGAACAACGACTTCATCCGCGATGCCATCGAAGCTGGTATGGAAGCCGATTTGGCTGTAGAATGCCACCGAGAGAATACGAATAGTGTTGTGGCCTTCAAGGGTTGGATGGATGAAGTCAAGCGCTTGGACGAGAAGCGACGACAGCGCTTGGAGGAGATTGTGAAGGAGTTCGCTCGGCTGAGCGTCAAGCCCAACGCCGGGGGCGGTTCGGGAACGAATCGTGCGCCCTTGAAGACCTTCGCGGCGGCTAAACCTTCTAATGCTGTGTCACATTCTTCTTCCTCTACATTTGTTCCTATTCCTAAGCTGCTTGACGAAGAGCGTAAACTTCTACAGAATAACGGTGGTTGTTTCAAGTGCCGCAGATTTTGGACGAACCACATTGGCCCTCAATGCCCAAACCCACCGATCAATGGCGCCACATACAAGACAATCACGTCCATGCCCCCCCGCCCTGCTGGATATGTTTCGCGCGCATCTAGTGGAGGTAGAGTTGCCGTGGTTGTAGAGTTGGACAGCATCACTGGAATTGCCGAAGGGGAACTAATCAACCTCAACGGAAGTGCTGCCGGAGACGACGCGAGCATCGTCGGGAATGTCGCAGCTGTTTTGCCCAACCTACAATCATCGGTCATCGACATGGGCTCACCGGGCTATTTGGACGATGAGTGCGCCCCGTTTTCTTGCTCTAACCTGTTCTGGTCTTGCCATCTGGCATCCCTTTCCCTTGCCTCCTCGCCTGTGTTGGTTAAAGGACTAATTGATGACGGCTCATCCGTAGTACTTATTAAGGAAGCCATTGTCAAGCGTCTACAACTCCCGATCCTCACTGCCTCAAGTCCTTTTCAATGCAAGGGTGCCTTCTCCAGCGACGGACGCGCTCTCTCTCTTTCCTCTTTTGTTAAAATTCAACCTGTATCTCCCGACGGTGTGTTCTCCTCTCGGCCTCTTCGTGCCTTCATTTCGCCTTCGCTTGTTACGGACTTAATTCTCGGACTACCTTTCTTACGGTCGAACTCCCTTGTTGTTGATCATGGCGCAAACTCGTGTATCGTTAAAGTGGACAATGAATGTTCATATGACATACTTCATTCCTCCACCTCCGTGCCTTCTAAGCCCACACCCCTCTGGTGTTCGTCCTACCTGCGGGCAAGTGAGATCCGAGCTGCACGACACAGGAATCGACCAGCCGTGGCCGACACTTTGTTGGGCCCCGAGATGACAGCGCGGCTCAAGGGTAGGTTCGCTGCCCACCCCGCGCGTGGCCAACGAGGGGAAGAGGACAGTAATATTGTTGCTGCAATTCGGAGCCGTATTGAGGACTTGAATGCGGTGGAGACTTACCAGGAACAGCTGAAACGTATGGACACAGAGATGAAGAAGAAGTATGGCGATTTATTTCCAGACGACATCCCTCCAGTCCACCATCTCCCTGACACGACCTACCACCGTTTTATCCTCAAGGACGCTCATAAGATTGTGCGGAAGCGCGAGTACGCTTGCCGTCGCAAGTGGCAAGATGCGTGGCGGACCCTCCTCAAAGGCTACATCGCCGCTGGGCGTATGCGTCCCTCTGACTCTGAGTATTCCAGTCCCGCCTTCCTGGTCCCAAAAGCCGACCCTACCGCGATGCCTCAGTGGGTGAACGACTATAGGGAGTTAAACAATAACACAGTCGCCGACAAATTCCCTCTGCCTCGCATCGCCAACATACTTGCTGACTATGGTCGGGGTAAGATCTGGGGAAAATTAGATATGACTAACGCCTTCTTCCGAACGAAGGTACACCCAGATCATATCAAGTATACTGCCGTCCGGACACCTTTCGGTCTCTACGAGTGGGTGGTCATGCCCCAGGGGTGCCGGAACGCGCCTTCGACACACCAACGGCGAATGGTTGCTGCTTTGCGACCATGGATAGAAAAAATTTGCCACGTCTATCTCAACGACATAATCATCTGGAGTGCGACACTCGTGGAACACATCTGCAACGTTGAGACGATTTTGCAGGCCTTGCGCGAGGCGAGTTTGTTTTGTTCTCTGAAGAAAACCTCCTTGTTTTGCACTTCCATAGATTTCCTGGGACACCATATATCAGCTGATGGCATCCAGGCCGACGCCTCTAAGGCCGCGAAGATCTCTGCCTGGCCCACGCCGAAGACGCCCTTGGACGTGCGTCAATTTTTGGGCCTGGTCCGGTACCTATCTGCTTTCCTGCCACGTCTCGCCGAGCTCACGGCGATCCTCACGCCGTTGACAAACAAGGTTGGTGCTGGTGAGGATTTGGTTTGGCGAACGGAGCATCAGCAGGCTTTCGACAGCATTAAGGACCTAGTTGCCTCCAGGGACTGTTTGACGGTGATCAACCACGAGAACCCCGGGAAGAACAAGATTTCCGTGACGACGGATGCTAGCAACTTGGGGACGGGTGCTGTCCTGTCTTTCGGCCCTGACTGGAAGTCTGCACGCCCGGTGGCTTTCAAGTCGAAGCAGCTGTCTGCGGCGGAGAAGAATTGGCCTACACACGACAAGGAGCTCTTGGCCATAGTCTGCGCCTTGCACAAGTGGCGCAACGACCTTCTCGGCGCCGAGTTCGAGGTGTTCACGGATCATTGCACTCTGGAGTTCTTTACAAAGCAACGCGATCTCTCAAAGAAACAGCTGCGTTGGCAGGAGTTCCTTGCAGATTTCAACTTCACCATTCGATACATCAAGGGCGAGGACAACACAGTCGCTGATGCGCTGTCGAGGCAATTCTCGGATGAGCCAGCCGTCGTCGCGCCAGTCCTCCAAGTTTCTACTGATAAGGAATTGCTAGACGCGATCAAGGTCGGCTACCACAACAACGCCTGGTGCCAGAAGTTGCTCGCCGACGGAATCAAAGTCGCTGGCATTAGCAAGTGTTATGGCTTGCTATACGCAGCTGATAGGTTGATCGTTCCTCGCATTACTCATGTACGTGAAGCTATCTTCTGCCTCGCTCACGATTCTTTAGGCCATTTCGGCGCTACAAAGAGCTACAAAGTGATTCACGACTCGTTTTACTGGCCAAATATGTGTCGCGACCTCGAAAACGCGTACATTCCCGCGTGCGTGGAGTGTCAACAGAACAAGGCCACGACGTCTAAGCCGGCCGGCCCCCTGCACTCGCTGCCTGTCCCCGATGGCCGTTTCCAGTGTGTCGCCTTAGACTTTGTGGGTCCATTGCCCGAGGACGAAGGCTTTGACTATCTCCTGACCATCACAGATCGTTTGGGGGCGGATATCTGTCTCATTCCATGCAAGAAAAATGTAACGGCAGAGCGCGTGGCAGTGCTCTTCTTTGACAACTGGTATTGCGAGAACGGTTTGCCAACAGAGATTGTCAGCGACCGAGACAAGCTTTTTGTTTCGCGTTTCTGGGTGGCCTTACATCAGCTGACTGGGGTCAAGTTAAAGATGTCGAGTGCCTTTCACCCTCAGACCAACGGGTCAAGTGAGCGTACGAATAAGACCGCTATCCAGTGCCTCCGCTTCTTCGTCGATCAACAACAAACGGGCTGGGTGAAGGCTCTGGCGAAGGTTCGCTTCTCGATGATGAACACCGTTAACGCGTCTACCGGCTTCACTCCTTTCCAACTGCGGCTCGGCTTGTCACCCAGGTTGATTCTGCCTATCGTCGACGTCAAGAACGGGTCATCCTTCGTCGAGACTACGGCAAGGGACATGATATCAAACGTTCAGAAGATAGTGGATGAGGCTAAAGATAGTCTACTCGCAGCTAAGGTTTTGCAGACTATCCAGGCTAATACTAATAGACGCCCCGAGCCCTCTTTTAGTGTTGGCGACCAGGTGTACTTGTCGATGTCCAACCGCAGGAAGGAATACATGCACTCGGGCGATGACCGCGTCGCTAAATTCATGCCGAGGTTTGACGGGCTGTATAAGATAGTTGCTTGCCACCCCGAGAAGTCCACTTACACTCTTGACATGCCCAATTCCCCTAACGTTTTCCCCACTTTCCATTCTAGCCAGCTGTGTGCTTGTCTTCCAAACAATGGTAACCTGTTCCCGTCCCGTGAATTGGAGCGACCCGACTCCATCACGACGGAATCGGGTGATGATGAATGGTTCATGGAGAAGATTGTGGACGAGAAGCATGGACGCAGAGGTCAGGAATTCTTGGTGAAATATCGGGGCTATGGGGACGAAGAAAATTGATGGTTGCCAAGGCGAGATGTCAAGGAGCTGGAGGCCTTGGACGTTTGGTTGGAGGAAAAGGCAAAGACGAAGACTACAACACGCAGATCAACAAGGAAGTCTTGGTCGTTCGCGGCCGGTATTTTGGACGCGGTCTTTGACCTGGTTGACGGACGATATTCGACGGGATCTAGTCATGACGAAGATGATTCGCCGGACTCTGACCTCGCGGGGGAAACTCTTCTTCAGAGGGTGGTCAAGTGTAAATGTATTTACCACCTTTTCCCCTATCCCCTGACTACGCGATCACATGATATGGCTTTCCCTATATAACGCGCATACCTTACTTACAGTACGCTACCTTCCGTACCCCCATCATCTCTCATTTGCAATACACACACGCTGATCCTCTCATCTCGTTTTCCACTTGAGTGTTCGCACCTCTGGTGCGCTTCCACAATGTAGTCGAAGCTGAGGATGCGGAAGTGAATGAAATGGATTTTATATGTGATCGAAAAAGGAAAGGGGTTGACTATATGTAGAAAGGAGACTAGCGCCTGTGCGCTTTAACCGTTGAGTATGATCCAACTTCAACATGTTACAGTATACTCGCTAGTTTTAGAATCTCCAAGTATACACGCCTGATTTCCATGACTATTAAATTGCTATCATGTGCGCCGATGAAACTGCAACTGCCTCATCCCCTCAACCACGAAAATCAAACGAAAATCCACAATAATGGTAGACAAAAATCAATGAGCCTTGATGGTGTTTGCGAGATGAGTTTGTGACTCGTATGATTGCGTAGTATGGGCTTCACAGTGGCAGAAACATTAGTTACGGTCTACAACTTAGGCAGTTATGCCGCGAAGCTCACTGATCTCCGTTGTTTGGTGGTTCCTTATGTCGTTGTGCCCTGCTTGGCCACCAATCGCCGATTGCCCTATCGGCCCATAGTAATTATCCCCACCCGCGCCGTGCGCGACGGAGCTGATGTGATTGTTGGTGACGTTAATGACGAAGTTGACGGGCTTGGCTTGAGGTGGCGGTGATCGCTCAGAGTCACCTTCAACACAGTCAGCTTGTGTCAGCTTGAGTACAGACGGCCCTAAAGTCGTCCCACCCACCGGACTGAGAAGTTATTCGTTCCGCCATTTGGATAAACTGTTGTAGCATCATCTCTACTCCAACATCTGCTGATTCTTGTACGTGGGCAGCTGGTCCAGCCGTATGGTTTCCCCTAAGAGTAGAACAAGTTAGCGGCGTAGAATGAACATATCACTTTCACCCTACTTTTGGACCAGACTAGTACCGTGCGGGGGTTGCTGTGCTCTTGCCTCACAGGTAGTCGCATTTGAAGGCTCATTGGGGGGTCGTGGAGGTAAACTTTCTCCTCCTCCCAGATTTGCTAGCAGCCTTACTGCGTTGATATCCTGATCTGTTGTTCGTGGGTCTGGGACTAGATCAACGTGCTTCCTAGCATTAAGGGACAACATCAGCAATTTAAGGGGGGGAGCCGTGACAGTAATCTTACTCCAGCAATAAACTGCTTGAGAGCTCCTGCGTGGCATTCGCCGAGCTAAGTGGCAAGTCTTCACGCAGGGGAGCTGGCGCAGGCTCCATGCCCACACTCAGCGCTCGGACAATGGATGCCGTTTGTGACTCAGCCACCCGAATGGTCTGCCTGCAAAAGGAATGGAAACATCAGAATTCTAGATGCCTCCGCTGTGAAAGAGATCATACTCCGGGACTACACGGTGAGCAGGTGTCTCCGAGGCTTTCGTCAGATCCCCTTCATCATGGGGTAGAGGAATTAAATCAGGGGGCAGCGCCTCGAGTGGCGAGGGTTTAGCGACGACGGCGATGTCCCGTCCTGCGTCCCGCGTATTGACGTTCGTGCTGGTAAATCTCCCAGAAGGATGAGACCGTCAACCGCGACATAGATATATCAAGGAAGCTAACTTACTCCTGAATCTCGCAATACGTAGACTCCTGCACGATCTCAACCTCCGTGCGGACCCATGCCTCTTTATCCGACGCTTCAGGTCTAGCCCTCTCGTCCTTGGGGACGAGAGGGGAGGTCGGTACCGCTCTGTTCTCCTGCTCTCTCATCTGTTCAACGTTTGATGCCTCTCCCGTGACAGGAAAATGAGGTAGTCCAACGTCTCCAAGTGGCCTGTCTTTGCTGACGGCCTGCTCATCAATATTTATTTCAATGATCTTGTTATCGAGTGTCCTATAGAGCAGTCAGGGGTGACAAACAATTCGTGAGGGAAGTAACGCCACCTTTGGAACAAAAAGGACTCCTGGTTACCCTCTTCTAGGGTGGCCGACTGAACCTTCCCTTTCCCTTCATCGAGGGGCTTTACGAGATTTTCATCACCAGTTATGGCGGGGTTTACTTTGGCGACGGGGGAAGATACCACTTGAATGGTATCAAGCTCCCTGGTTGACTGCGGCGAAGCCAGCATACGGCCTGGGCTACTGGGGGTCGAGGATGAGTCATATATCATTTCTTCCATATTGCCATTCTCTATGGGCACTTCACGCCCACTATCTGGATCATCTGGAACGCCAGAGAGCGACAAGTGGAAGCTTGTAACGGAGGTTGAGGCGGACGTTAGAAGCCTCATTTGAGCGGCACCTCTATGTCCAGCTATGGTGCCAACATTGGTCAAACTCAAGGATGCTTCCGGCCGGGGCGCCTGGTTAGCGCCCGCTGGCTCAGCGAAGGGAGGCAAGGAAGTGTTAGCCTATCGAGATAGTCTGAGCACGACTGGACGTGGTGAAGGAGACGGTACATACATAGAAATCATCGTCTCCTGAGGATTTTGCAGAGAAGAATGATGCATTATCGTCGTCAGAGTCGTCCTTGCTTCGCGAGCTAGATGAGAACAACGAAGATGAAAGTAAGAACCTATCCCACTGAGCAACGAGCCACCTCACTGTATCTCTGCCTGTTGATCGAGGCGGTTCCCCGTAAATGAAAGAACTGCAGAGGGCACTGACAAAGTCCCATTATCTTTCACTGAAATCGCGTCGCCCACGGTACCCTGGGCGGGCTCATTAGGCGTAGATTCAGCAGGGGCCAATTTTTTCCCCCGGAAGGCGGCGAACACTTTCTTCAGCATTCTAAGTTTCTTCGGTGCCTGAGTCTCTTGTGACTGGGAAGTTGCTTCCTGGTTGACGAGATCCGAAGAGCTACTGTGGGCCGATTTTTCTCGATGTTCACTTTCTGACGTCGTTCGTTTCATGGCGCGAGGATCGTCGCTCCTTATTTTATTAGATTGAAATAGATCTTGACGGCCAGGTAGCCTGAGGTCAGCAGTCGCCGCCCCCTCCAGGGGGTAGCGTCCTGGGCTTGTAGTGCTGTCAGAGGCAATTTTTGGCACTGTCGGCTGGGAAAGCGACTTCGCAGGGGATGCATCTGGCGTATACGTAGTTAACAAAACTAGCTCGCCCACGTGAGGGCCATCAAGAGCTAAATCATTTTCAAAATCAGCAGTTGGCCAGACCGAGAGCATTGGACGGATAACCCACTGATTGAGCGAGAGCGGCGGTGACTATCATTGAAATCGGCGTTAGACTGGGCTGGGAGAGAAGTTTTGCGCTCGCGGTCTGGAGAAGCATGTCGGGGTGTTTGCCCAGATGATGCGAACATTCTGCTACGACCGCCTGACCAGATGAAGTGAATGGCTGAGTCCTTCTGGGACGTAAACTACGATCCCACCTTCATTAAGCCCCTTATTTTGGATATCCTCGCTCATTTCCGCAAGAAAGCACGAAGAGAGTCACGTCGGGGGGGATGAACAAAAGGAGGCGATATCGATCAAGAGGGTCGAGAAGAGAGGAAAGGAAAGGGCTATTGGAGGATCCCATAGGGTCTGGATTTAAGTACACAGCCTGTTGAATCCATAACGCCCAGGCGGTGATAATCAACCCGAGTAATGTTTGGAGAAACCGATGCGTGAGTATTCATACACCATGTTAGCTATCTTGAGAGTGTGCTGGTAAGGGGGAGTATACCTAGAAGGTAACTTAAACGCTCAAAAGCATCTGAGGAGGCCCCATGACGCGAGTTCTTGACAGACCTCATCCACATCGTATAGCTTTGTGAACCTGAAAGACGGTCAAAGAATGTCGCTATAGGTCGCCATTCATTAAGGACGGTCCAAACTTTCCGGGTGCTGAATTGCCCCGATCGGTCCATGAAGGGGCGGGCCCCGGGCCACTTGCGCAGGAATATCGTAGGTGAGAAGACATCACGCATGGAAGGAGAATGCAATGCGACAGGGGAGACTATGATAACAGTGGTCATCAGCATATGGTAATACAACAAGAAGAACAGCAATGGATAAATAGGCGTAAAAAATTTGTCCCATTTCGGTCCGCGTTGACGTTACCTCAAGCCTTCAATCCACCTGCATGGTATAACAATCCCATTATCTTGAACTAAACGTCTGGTAAGTGAGGCGATGCCAAGATATCACGCTATGCACGGCGCACCTTCTCCTCCTCACTATCTGCGTACATAGACCACGGACCCTCACCGTCGCTGAACTCCACAGCGAATGAGAAAGGAATAGCCTTCAGCTCGTCGAAGCCTTCATCCCATTCTCTCAGTGCCTGAGCTCGACCACGAAGCACAGTTTCGTCAGACTTGTTATTCATATCCTAAAAGGAAAACACCGATCAGCTATGGTCCATATGGTCCGGATTGAGAACGAACTTTTGGATCGCGATAGAATGCGACGGAATTCTGAGAGAACTTGTAATACCGGCGCTTCCAGGTCAAGGAATCAGCAGTTTGAAGAGTAATCCAGCCAGTAACTATATTCTCGTCAATATTCGAGTTATCTCGCACTCGTTTCTCAACCATCTTGATCCGTTGCCACTTCGCGTCCCACTCCCGTCGCTTCGTTTCGGACTGTCTTCGAGCGGCCTCTTCCGCCATGATTGCTTGCTCCAATCGCCATTGTTCCAATCGACGATGCTCCTCAAGTCGTCTCTCTTTCTCCAACCTCCTCTTCTCCTCCATAGCAAGCCGCCGCTTTTCTTCCGCTATCCTCTCCAGTTCGAGTTTCTGCTGCTTAACAGCCCGAATACGCCGCATCTCTTCCTCCATCTCCCGTCGTTTCCTTTCCTCCTCTTCGCGTTCCAAGCGCCTTGCCTCTTCTCTCTGTCGCGCTCGACGAGCCTGTATCTCGGCCTCCTCGGACCTGGCCCTCTCCATCTCTATTGCTTTCATTCGTTGCGCTTCCCGCCGTTGCTTCAACAGCTCCGACGGGTCTTTGACCGTGACTTTGGCAGCCCACTTCGATGGCAAGGATTGTGTAGGAATGAACGTAGATTGTTGGTGCTCGTTACCATGTGGATAGATGCCAAACTCAGATAGCGAGTTAACGCGTTCCCTGTGAAAGGTCGCTCCCGTCGGTGATGGCAACGCCTGCGTTGACATGAATCGGGTATGTGTGTAAGGATATGAATAGACGCCAGCGTCTTTAGGCGGAGGTGGCGGGGGAGGGTCGTTGCCCACCGGCGAAGAGTCCATGCTCCCATGTCTCTTCCCTCGCCCCAGGAACCTGGAGATCTTGCCAGCGGTCTTCGCGATGGGTGAAGCTGGAGGCGACCGCACCGATTCATCTGTAGAAGTACTGGGGGAGTCAGGCATATCGTAGGGAAGTTGATTTCTGTCCGTGCTCCAGGCAGAGGACTCGGAGGGGCTACGAGCGGTTTGGATGATGGTGGGGGTGTCTACGTGTGTGAGCGCTTGGATAATCGCATGCTGGGTGAGGTTTCCGAGATTGTCTATTGTCAGCGTCGTTTGCCGCGCCTTGAGTGGAAGAACAATGAGTCGCCACCGAACAAAGGAACAATGGGCCACGCACCGTGAACACGGTGCCAAGGCGACGAGAGTGCACAAGGATTCTTGCTGAGTATCGACACCACTGCTGAGTCCTCAACGAGGTGGGTTCAAGGTGGTGGCGACTCACCGCGCTGGACAGCTGGTATGGTGAGCGGGAGGTAATTTATCAATAAATACCCTGGCTTTCCACGAATATCTTCCCGGTAAAAAGCTATAAAGGCCTGGGTAGAGTCCCCAATACTTTGCTTCAGCTCGGTGAGGCCATTGGAGCCTTGGGCTTGAAGTACGAGTTGGTCTCCGGGAAGAGCCTGGATCGTCCACGAACAATTCGAAATTACAGATATCAGATATATCAACTCCAAATTTCCGCAATGCACTCACGTCTAATGGATGGGCTAGCAGTAGCCTTGATTGTTGCAAGCTCAGTAAAACTTGGACAATTCCAGGAACCTGCGAGGCGCACCAGTTTTCTTCCCCACGAAGAATGGCTGCGTATGCCAGAAGACTAGATGATTCCGCGACTCCAGAAAAGTCCATTTAGAATAAGAATAATATACAAGATGAAGGATGAGAGCACAAGAAGAAAGTGTGGTATGTTTGAGCTAAAAAGGTCATATACCTACATCAAGCAGTCTGATGCTCCCATCATGTCACATCCCAATCATAGAACTCGTTTCAATGCATAATGATCTCGTAACATCATGATATGGGGTCTATCTACGGCTTCGCCTTCGCTCCATCTATGGCAGCCTTGCCATCCACCTGTTCGTCAAAGTGGTACATCGGAAGATCCAAGAATACCGTCTGCTTAGTCCACTTGGGAAGGCGCTTGTAGATCACAGGTGGCATCGGGATCAGAATGGATGTTTGGTCCACGTATCGTTTGTAGTGCCTCCATGCGTTCGAGTGAGAACCATCAGCATCTGGTCCATTGGCGAGGAGATAGTATTTTTTGGCCTGAGGCTTCTCGGCAGTGGGTACGCCAGATGCGAACATCAATAATCTGGAAGATGATATTAGCGATGGGAAGATGGCAAGGTACATAGGACCCACAAGAATGTGAATAGAGGAGACACGACGGCACCATATTGAGCAGCTCGCCTCGAAGAGGACAAGTCGCCATTGGTGGTGGGCGACAAGCAAAGGATCCAAATACCCCACCAGCATAACATTCTGTCATGGAGAGTCTATTAACTCGATTGTATAGCAGGATCCTCAAATTCACTTACTCTCCGAAGTAGGGAGGGTGTCGAGACCAACCCCACAACCCTGTCTATTCTCGTGGGTGAGCTTTTGAGCTTTAGATAATTGTACCAACTACACGCGGACTCACCGAGATCGGCCTATCTTTAGGCGAAGAGCTAGACATCTTGTACCTAAACTACGATGTAGGTGTAAGTAACCATGAGCCTAGTCGCACAAGAGGCTAGATACCTTTTGAATATCTGCCGTGGTTTCAATCAGCAGGCCAATTGCCCAGAGGACAATCCCCGCAATGTCACGACCAGTTCCGAAAGCAGGATCATCGCCCCCGCCGTCATAATAGTCAGATATGGCGGGGGAGTTGAGGATGGTCAGTGGCAAGGACACGGTCCATACCTGTGAATCGCATTTCAGCACATATATCGAGGGCCCAGATGAACCATACTAACCCAAACGATTTGACCTAAAAAGATGCATTAGCTAGGAGAGATGGTATGTAAGATGCAGATGGCCTACCGATCCAAAAGGCGAGAAACTTAAAGAAGTGAGATCGAATGTCGTCAAAGCGAGTATCACTACCCGTCTTCAGGACTCGGTACAGCAAGAAACCTTATGAAGGGTCAGTTTCTGTCCACGACTATGTTTGGCCGCGTACCGGCGATCCTTATAGCCCAGACCATCACAAAAATGCTGGCGACGATGTTCCGTATAGTGAACATATTGCACATCATCATTGTGAACAGCGCTGAATGCAGAGTAAATATCATCTCCCGCCCAGCAATCACACTGAGACTCGCCTAGGAGGAAGAAGTTGGAACCTGTATTTATATTTGTTAAGCCAGCGAATCTTACTCAAGTAGCAACACTAACCTCCCGTAAAATCCGTAATCTTGTCGAACTGGAAAGTCCAGGCAATAGCGAATCCTAAAAGCTGGTACCCAGTGGTGAACAGCGCGGTAATTCCAAGGTAAAACGGGTCAAGCACGTATACGGGTGCCATGGTGGTAGGTGAATGAGATGAACTTTGTAAACTCCATCAACGTTTTAACCGTTTATGTATTGTTTCGAAGGACGATCACAGCAATGCATCGGATTGATGTCATTGTGTGCTTGGCGGAAAGCTGCGGCGAAGCATGGCTATTCGAACGCGTGACTGAGGGGCCTCCTGACACTGAATGGTAGGTGTGAAACACGAAGAAATCAGATGTATTCTGTCCTACAAACGGGTCAGAGGTGGGACTTAGTAACCGTCCTTCCGTCTCTCAGTGCAACTAAATCCCAGATCCATTGGTTGATGAATCCTCGGCCTTTTAACTCCTGGACGGACAGATATTTTGCGCCTCTGATCTTGCCCAAGCAAGTCTGTAAGAGAATGATTAAGCAAAAGGAAAGTAGTTCAAGGGATGATGTGTACACGGTCACCGCATTGGCAGTCAAATGGTTGGTCCATGTCCCACTCTGTGCTTGGATAAAAGAAAGTAACTGAAGCAATCCCCTGAGTCAATTTCGCGGAATCAAAAATTTAGAACGCATACGGATGTCCCCTTCGCTGATATCTTGAAGGGCGCGAAGGTGCCATCGTGCAGGGTCTTTGGACGAGAGATCAAACGCGACTGTGGGGTTACACGAGTGGTTCACTAGTGGACGACGAGTTATTGTGAGCTAGTCCTCTCAGCTGCGTGATTTCTCCGCATACCGTAGACAAGGTCTGAATTGAGCTCGATGTTGTCCTCGCGGGCCGGGCCGCATTGAACAGATGTATACGCGCGCTGAGGAGCAGGAGTCAAGCCCCTTAACGGGACAAGAATTTGGCCTGCCTTGAACGACTGTGGGGAAGTAGATCAGATTGCAATCTGGGAAGACAAAATACCGAATACCAACCGCCGTTGCCCGCAAGCATGAGTTGTACTGTCCGTCACGGCTAAATTCGACAATACATATATCTGGATGAGAAGGGACATAGTTTTCTTGGGTTGGCTTCATGGTGAGGAGGTCGAGCGATGATTATCATATCCGCTTGGTGTAACCGTTCTATATACCATCTCTCGAGATCCCTCCGCCGGGGGCCCGTGATTAATCGATTGCCCTCGTTCGGCATTATGGCGCAAGTTGGGGGTGATTGTTAACAGAAAAATAATACGGAAAGTTTAGGCTGTGTTCGTACGCAGACAAATGCCGAATTTGAATGCCTCTTGAGATGTTAAGGTTGATGTCGGAAGACCGCTAGGAGAATAAGGAAGCGTAAGGAGTACTTACGTCCTTCCACCCGAATTGCACCGTCTTCAATGCTCTGACGAGCATAACAGAATGCTATCGGATCAGAAATTCCAGTCTCCTTCGCCGAAGGGGCTTCAGTACTTTCCGTTAACCACTTCCTTTAACTGAGCTTGAAATTTTGAAAGATGGTTAACCGTTTAGGAGACAGTGTCGCGGTGGCAAGCTTGCAAACAATGCACAATAGATCCGCCACCTGGTTCCCCGTCTTAATTATTTTGATTTGTTATCCTACTTCCTCCCCCTCTGACCTATGAGAGACGTCACTTGGACCCGTTGGGTATTCACTTCCAGGTTTCCACGAGAAAAACTACGGACTCGAGTAGAAATTCGCTTCGATAGTGCCAAAACGGTTGCTTCCTTGCGGTGAAAGGTTTGAGGCTCGAGAAAGTTCGACGCGTTGCGTTCGAATTCTCTACGCTCTGTGACTCACTTGCACTCTGGGAGTGTCTGTACCATCCACTTTGAGGCAGTCGTAGCGCCGGCGGGTCCCTAGCTTGGATCCATATAAGTACATGCCGCCCCGCCAGAGTTATGTCACACTAGCCTACTCTATATACGAGATGATGACCTCTTAGTAGTTCGAAGCAAAAGAATCTGAAGACGCGACGTGACGGAGTCACGTGTGGTCAGCGTCACAACATCGAGTCACACTCCTGGCCGTACAATGCATGTTCCACACACGCCACCAGCATGGACGAGGACGAATTCGTAGAAACATCAGATCCCGAAGAGTTGGAGTTGTGTTTTGCGGCATTGAAGCGCTTTCATTCCCCAGACGACTGTGCTAGCCCGCCGAAGCGCACTAAAGTGAGCGAAGTCCCGTCATAACGCCTGGTGTCGCTGACCAGTACAAGTTGTATCACGCCCCCATTTCTGCCTCAGAGCCATCAAGTCAGAATTCTTTTGCTTTCAACACTTGGTCTGAAGCGCAGCTCGTCGTTGCTGATTCACAGGAGAACGCTCTGCCCGATCCTCAACAACGCGAGGAAATCTTGCCTGATGTCAACTCAGCCTCACCGGAGTCACCTGCCACCGATTCCAGCTCGTTTCAACCTGCGAAAGTGGAGGGTTTACCCCAACACATATCGCCTACACGCCTTGACCGCAATAATCACACCGGACTATCATTATCTGACGTCCCTACAAGTCTTGTGCTCACTCCTTGTTCGGGAACTTCTCCAGGAAGCAGTGGTTCTCACGTGCCAGACTATGCACCGGAACAACAAGAGCCTGAACAAATGGAGGCATGTATCGCAAGGTCACTTGCATCATCTCAGAGCCCGCAGTTAGCTTATAGCTCACTCCCCCCTCTGGTGCTATATTCCGAATCTTTGGATTCAGACTTACAAGATGTACCTGTAAGTCGAGAAAATACTCCTGGTACGGAGACAAGTGGATTCCAAAGCAGCTTAGCACTTCCCTCTACTTCCCCTTCTCCGTTTCCTACATCCCAGGCAAGCGAAAACATGATGCCAGCGCTTTTCCCAGAGGATTCCTTACCCGATCAACGTTTGACACCTCTTTCACCTGGTAAACTTTCCAGTGCCCCTGCGTCCGTCCGACCATCCCCCGAGCTTCGGCAACTATCTATTCTGAGTTCACCACCAGAGAACAACAACGACCTCGAGACGAACATCGAGCATGATGCTTTGTTCGCGATCGACCGTAGATATTCACTACGGACGCGCCAGGCCAAGCAGATACGACCCTACGCCTATGATAAGTTGTCTTACAAGCAACAGCTCCGAGGGAATCCCGATGCTATAGTGAAGGTGGTTAGCCCTCGTCATCATCGTAGGCACTCACGGTCTCGTTCCGTAGAGGGCGGTTCAGATCCTAACACCCAAGACGACGAATGGCAACTAGGCGACTCCGCGTCACAATGGATGGATGGACACAAAGGATCTCTGTCGCCTCGTGCGAATCCGCATCCGTCGCGTTATCCTGGGTTTTTACCAGAGATGCCCGATGACGATGAGGATACTCGAGAGCTTGATAAAGAAGCGAAGCGGCTGCTCAGAATGCGCAAGGCCGGGGAGAGGCGTGAGAGGGAGGAGGCAAAGCTAAGAGACGGGATTAAAGGACGTCGTATGAAGAGATTTCCGGTTGACGTCTCCGTATCTGACGATGAAGCTGTTCCAGCTCTACCTGGCCCCTCGCAGCCGGTGGGTTCTACACTTTGCTTCCGTATTACGGTCTTCTCATCGGCTGTAAAACAAGACGCACCAACTATATGATCGAACAACGTCCAAACCTCGATCCCCTAGTGCAATCGCGTCGCTGGACCTCCCCAATTCTCCACATCGCGCCCCTCGAAGCCCGTCATCGGTTGGGAGCCCCGCCGTACCACCCACTAGATCTGACTACGATGCCGACTACCTCAACGACGCCCCCCTCGACTTCCCAATGGAATTCGACGATGGGATCATCCGCAACTCCCGCGATTCGCCTATCATTGTAGGCGACGACGACGGTCCCGATCGGAACGCCGATCCCGAGTCCCCGCCTCGGTCTGACTCCGAGAGTCATCACGAAGCCCAGCCTCGTGGAAAGTTCCGCCTTTTGCGCAGGATGATGCCTGAGGTGTTGGCGCGGAAGTACGAAACTATGGGCAAGCCGTCCACCTCCAAAGTCTCTCGACGTTCAAAGTCTTTTGGTGATGACGATGATGACGGCGACAGCGACAGTGGACCTATCCTCCCTGGGCAGAGCCGACGGCACATCACCCATGGTGCTAGAGAAATCATAGAGATAAAGGGAGACACAGAGAGTTCCGACGATGCTCAAGGTTCGGGCGACGACTCTGACCAATCATCCCTATCCGAAGCGAAAGAATATCGCTCGACGCGCCCTCCAAAGTATGAAACTGCCCACGACGAACACGAAGTCCTTTCTATCTCAAGTGCAGACGAAGACGAGGCAGAGGTGGTTGGCGATGAGGTTATTCGTGCATGTCTAGATGGATCAAATCGCGCGGGCTTCAGAAAGAGCGATGGAAAATCAGAGAGCCTTATTGACTGGATGCTTAACAGACAACGCCCTGCTGGTCGAAAGCCCAAGCGAAAACGTCGGAAGCGTGCAAGACTGGAGTTCTCAACCTCAGGAACTAAAGGCAAATCGCTAAGACAGTCAACCTTATTCGAAAACTTCCAATCTGGTGAGGCGTCCTCTAGCAGTCAGCCTTCGGCTTCAGGCTTCAGACCTAGAGACTGCGCTCCAACGGGAAGACACAGAGTGAAGCCAGTCAACAACTATGAATTGTCTCATATTAGGGTGACAACGAGTCGATCTGGGGATACAGTGTCTCATCAATTGAAGAAGCAAATGAAGGAGAAGGCCGACCGTAGGAAGAGGAGAGGTTTGACGTATACGTTTACCGAGGAGGGGACCCGGGTGACATCCGGTCGACGGAACTCTAATATTGTTACAATCGACATCGAAGACGAGGGTTTTCGTAAAGCGATCGCTCATCGTTGGGAACCTCCGAAACCAGGGCATCCTTTCCAGCCACACCGCATAGTTAAAGCTCACCGACGAAGTACTCTGCCAGTCCCCGAGTACACAGAAGAAGATACGCCTGATGCTGCCCGTGCTCTGGCATACAAGCCTGCCAGATCGCGACGCCGACGTATTGAAGCCGATTTCGGCTTGTACCCCTTGCCATCTGGTCGCTCATTTACCCAACAGTCGCACATAGGGAAGGGGCGGCTTTACGAATTAACAAATGTTCTGTTCGACGGCGCAGAACCTCCCCCTCTACCCAATTACTCTTCGAACGGATTCGACATCGGACCAGATCACTCGGTAGACCAGTTTGTTGGCGTCTTCCGGCGGCTTTGTGATTCATTGCTCGAAGCTGTGGTTGGGTTACCAGAAGACGGGGATAACTTTGACCGTTGGCAAGGCATCATGCACGTAGCGTGCCAAGCAATCTCCTGGTACCGCGTTCGTTCAAACGATGGCAGTCTTTCTTTGAGAAATACAGTCGATACTTGCGTGGCAAGGTTAGCCGACGGCATCAACGACGCAGCTTTGTCGAAGAAAGACTTGGACTCGATGACGTTCGCGGTCTGCTGGTTCGCTATCGAATCATTAGCTCGCGCCGGCCCCTTCCCCGGCTTCAACGAAGCTCCTCCAAATACGTTTCAGTGCGCTTTGTCCCTCCTCGTGCGGCATCTCCTTCGATACGGCTTAGAAGATACCATGAAACCAGTCATGGACCTCGATCGAGAGCTGGACGGAGAACATCGCCTTCCGTGTTACGCTGCTGAATTATGGGTCCATCTGATACATTTGGCGCCCTTGGATTCTTCAGGACAGCCTGCACCGAACCACTTCATATGGGGGTTTATCAGTGATGCCATTCCCGAGATCGTCGCCAATATGTCCAACGTCGATTCAAGCGAAACAATCTGGCAAGTCGTGTTTAGCATATGCGCTCTGTCTCACTTCACCTCTCATGGAATGGCCGTCTCGGCATCTCGACTTCCCGCATACTGGGAACTAGTATCTTTGGCTCTAAAGCAAGTGAAGCTAATAACCGATCTGACTGTGGAGCAAGCACTTTCCCAATCTAGTCTACGTAAGCGCGACGAGTATATCGGTATCATGATTTTGCGATGTCATATTCTTGTCCATCGATGGAACTGGAACCTGGACCGCGCATCAAGCGTCTTAACGCAGATTGCTGAAATCTTTCGCAGTCGCAAATATGCCGACTTAGCACATGAGCGTAGCGGCTTCCCCAGTTTTATGGTCAACAATGATTGGTCTCTCCTCGGCAACGACCAACATGAAGATACAGCTTTCGTCATCTTCCTCAAATGCTTGGTGCGAGGAAGCAAACCAAATCTCGAGGACGGCACCCGCAAGTTGACACCGATGGTTAAGAAATTAATATCCTTGACCGTACCTGTGGGAAGACTTCCTTCAGACAGGGACAGTTTTCTGTCAGAGCGGGAACGGACCATGTTACGGAATAGGTACTGTGCCGCCGCTGTGGCCCTCTACCTTGAGCCCGCAAACGCTTCCTTGAGGATCTCGCAAGCTCGAGCCTACGTAAACGTTAAAACCGTTGACCACGACACTCAAATCATCACCATTCGGGCAGCGATGTACTTCGGCCTACTATTGATGAAGCTTCGTCTACCTCTGGTTGACTGGTGGTCCTGGATTGAAGATATCATGAAGGATCTCCTCCTGGAGTACGAGGCCGCCCAGGCTCGACTATCCGATGATGCTCATCTCGCTCGCGATCGCCTTGTCGTTTCCATTGCAGTTCTTGTTGCGGCCATGAACAAGATAGTGGAATTCTTTCTCGCCGGAATCCAAGAATATCCAGACCCTCTAGTGCTGGGTAAGAACATTCATCACTCACAAGGGAACAGTACTAATCGTATTACCGCAGCCCGGGTTGTACCCCTGACTCGAGGTAGCCTGATCGCGGACCAAGATCTGATTGCTGATCGCTTTCGGAGGCTCCTACTTTCGTTTCTGGAAGCCCGAGATGCTGTAATGCCTGCACCACAACGCCCCGTCCTCGTCACGATAGAAAGTCAGGAGAGTCAGGACGAATATGGAGGGTTCGACCTTGATGTCGAGGACCCTGAGTTTCTGGCAGCGATGGGAGAAGGGGAACAAACAAACCAGTTGCGAGACCACCAAGCCAAAGAAAAAGTTGCAAGTGAAGTAATTCTCTCCGCTTCTGACGTAGACATTCTCATGTTCACCAGAGACTAGATTGTACATTCTCACATAGGTCCTGCCATATATCGACATATGTGCAGATTCTTCTCGAAGCTTGATGGCACTCACACAGCGCAGAGAGATTACGATGGGCTCTGCCTGTGGATAGATTGTTGGATTGGATTTGCCAATGTCGTCATTCAAAGTCGCAAAGTCGAGGGACGGGGAATCGTCAGTGGTTCGATGTCTATTCCTCGAGTTGACTTGACTTCATTATCCTAGCCGTGGAGCTCTTACTTGGACCGTCGCGCAGACTCATGGGGTAGAATTAAAGCAATTTATCTCCGTCGATGGATTGATATGCGAGTGATGTTGAAGCTCCTGAAGACGGATCCTATGGAATACACAGTCAGTTCATCTATGCTGAAGTCTTAGCTTTTCTGATATCTCTTCACAGACCAACAAGGCTCGCTGTATAGCCATTCTCTTTGAATGTTTCGCTGCATCCAGGGTCAAAGGCGAGGATGAATACATCATAGTGCTCTTCTCCTTCGAAGGCTCTACGCACGACCTACTCAGAGACGTGTCACTCGATATGTCCGAAACCGGAGGCACTAACCTATCTCCCCTACAATTTGTAGAATCCCGTAATGACATGTTCGCGTGTAAGTCCGTTCTATCAGGTTTTGAAGCTCCAATTTCTAAGCCTTCAAGCAGCCATTGTCTCCAGTCTCAACGTGCGCTTAAACCGGGAGGCCGCTGGGGAAGTTGATCTACACGCAAACAACCAACACTATATTGGGTGCCTCATATCGATGTTTCAAGCCATGGAGGCTGAACTGCAGGTAGGACCTTATTTCGTTGTCTAATAGATGTACTCACATGAGTCAAGGCCTTGACGGATGACCAGGAACGTCAAACGTATCGTGCTTGGTGCTCTAATGTCAGCAACTCTGTTGAGCGTTGCTCTCAAATACGAGCCGAGCCGCGGTTGGCGTACTGGCTAAACTGGTGCCGTAACTTAGCAACATAGTATTTACGATTTACAAAACGATGATCTGTGTATTTTCTTGTACGAGGGTTATGAGCTGTATGCTCCAGTGGAACGCATGTGTAAACTATCTTCACGAAACCTCATTGCCTATCCTCATGTCCGTCTTCTCGTCTACCGTTTAAAAAGGGGGTGGATAGGGCCCGCAGGAGACCTTGGTGTCCGATGATCGAGTGTTTTGGGCTTGGATCGCTGTGTTCGTTTGCAATGCTACAAAGCCCTTTACTAGGACTACGGTGTAAATCATGGCAACTTGCGCCCCTTCTTAAGAGTACTCGTGGGCTAGTCACGGTCAGGCGGCGGACACCCCTCGTAGCTGGTGCTGTTCCCCAAGGAGAAGGGTCTGCGATAGACGTCGATGAGGCTAGTTTGTTGGTGACAGCGTAGTCAGCTTCCGAAGAAGTTGTGCGCGCCCTAGTATGAGATTCGTGAACTGAGGCCATGAGATCATGAAGGCTAAGGCTGCCACTGGTACAATATTCCTCGACATGCTGTGGGGTTCGAGTGGTCGTGGAAATCTCGAGTGTGTCTTTATTCGTCAGAGGATCATATTCTGGCGTAGAAATAGCGCCCTGAGAAGGTGGCGAAGCGTCCTGAGCCCATGTGGACGTTGTGATAGGTTGCATTGCGTCTGTCGAACAGTCCACAGAAGGAGATCCATTGTGTATGTTGTGGGAACCATCTTTTACCGTGTCAACCTCGTTGGCGTGGGTTAATCTCGGTTTGTCGACAATTGGGATGGTGCTGCGATCCACACCGTCGTCGTTGTTATCGTTTCTCTGATAGTCTCGTCCTGGGCGCGCCCCCTCATCAGATCCGGCCAGAACTCTAGGAACGATCGAAGGCTCCGACGTAGGTTGGTACAGTTCAGTATATATCACGAAATCCGGAAGGGCGCGAGAAGTCGACGAGGCAGGCATTGTGCCATCCTCAAGAATGTCGTTGTCTGGCTCTATGGTAAGCAGGCATCGGATATAATCATACATTTCTTCCAGGCGGGCCGCCTCAGCCATCATCGGGCTTGGATCATGCTGGACAGAATTAGCAAGATAGCCGTCTTGAACTTCCATATATGGCGCCCGAGACGCGACCTGTCCTTGCTCGAGCATCCTTGACAGGCTTGGTATTCCATGAATTTCGCAGGCAAAGGGCTCTTCCCCTTCATCCAGTGAGGGATGTGGGTCTGAATCGCTTAGACTTCCGTCTCCATCATAACTAGAATCCCCCGCTTCAACCGATTCGTCGCGAGATTCAGTTTCATCTTCCTGTAGCCCAGTATTTGCGGGGGATCGGTCAATCGTATCGGAGGAATTAAATGCTCCAGGAGGATGTAACGCTGATCCGGTCTCGTCCCCCTCGGGATATGCCTCGGTTACTGTCGTTGGTAAATCAGTACAGTCGGAAGAGGAGAAAGCGCCAGGAGGGTAGAGCGATAGCCCAGTGTGGTCCTCTTCAGGTAGCGGCTCCGTTGCTATTGCTGGTAGATAGTTGGCGGATGCAGAAACGAAAGCGCCAGGAGGGTACATCGTTGTCCCATATCCAGACGTTTCGGTTACAGATGAGGGGTCATCTACTGCAGGTAGCTCAATGTCATGATCACTGGAAGCGCCAGGAGGATATGGCGGTGGGACGGGTGTGCCAGAGGCCGTCGACGGCGCAGTAGAGCTGGAGTAGGTTTCAAACGCGATACCTTCGAAATGTGAGCGGGCCTTCTCAGGATACGAAGGCGTTCCGCTGTATGCGCTATCAAAGATTTTAGTTTTGTTGTGAGCTTCGCTCCTTCGGCTGAGATTGTGGCGGAGATTATCTAGAGCCACAGGAACATCGATGTCGGATTCGCCATTGAGACTCGGAGACATGTCAAAGTACAAGCTGGGAGCTTGAGAGAGCGGATACGGGGCCAGAAGGGAGGAAACAAATCCGTCGATCATAACTTCGTCTAGAGCATGCCGATATTGACAAGGAAATTCGAGCTCCCCTTCTTGTGTGCCGTCAATGGGTATAGCGGCACCGGTCATGGCCATGCATGTGAGAGGATCACACTGAACCTGATCCTGCGTGTCACATTGCATTCGCCTGGAAGTTCTGCAGATGTCTGCAAGCAAATCAAGCGCAAACATAGTTACCAACTTGAACGTTGTAGCTATAGGCGCAAATGAGCCTTGCTTTGGCCTGAGATTGTCGTCTTGGTACAAAGTTAGAATAAAAGAGTACAAGAGACGCAAGTCACTCACAGTCTAAGGACTCGTAAAGCAGCATTTTGAGAAGTGCTCCCAGTATAAAACAGATGTGAGACTCCCGAATCAAACGGATTAGCGATATTTCAAGCGGACTCTATCCAATAGTTAGCCTACTATTTGGACGTAAGCATATACGGAGCATATACGCAATCAAAATCGAATAAAAACACCATGAACAGGAGTAGATTGGCTTTCAAGTCGAAGGGGTCCTAGATTTTTGTAAACGCTCACAGACAATTATAAGGTGGATTGTAAGAGGCTTACGCGTGTTTCTTCCGGGCGAGGGTGAAATATCCACCTATATGCGCTTGGCCACAACGCAAGCCTCGCGATGATGCCAACCAGGACAGCATTCCCGTTCAACGGACTACGACCGAGGCACAAACCGGAGACGAATCGAACGGTAGCAAGAGTATTGAAGCCTTTGTACGCTGCGAGTCTCGCTACGAGGGTGGCGGAGGTGGGTGTCGCGGAGGGAGGCATGTTCTTAGACGTAAACAGAGTTGCTGGCGTGAGAAACTAGGGTCCTCATCAAAATGAGGTTGTTTGGCAAGCACCTTGGCTCCAAGTAGCGGCGCGTCACGAGTAACGGGTAACGCGTCGCGCAACGCGCCAGTCACGTGGAACAATCAACTCTTTATTGTCAACCGTCTCTCCTAACCTCCCTTTACCCCACATACCATGGCGCGCAAAGCAAGAATAGCGCAGCAATCACAATCGCTATATGCAGATGACACGGACTCAGATAGTCCCGAGCAAGAGACCCCCTCGCGTCGCCATTTGAAGAAGCGGATTAGCGAGGCTTTCATAGCAGGAGCTGAGGGCAGCTTTTCGCTGGATGCATCAGGATCGAGGACCGCTGGCAGAGCTGTCAACATCAACGATGATGCGGCCGAGAAGCGTAGACGCAGGAAGAGTGCAAAGCTCACCGCGGCTATGACTGAAAACGCATTGGCGGGACCCTCATCAGAGAACGACCCAGAATCGCGTGCAGCAAAGCAGAAAGCACAATTGGCATCTGTTGCGCTACCTCAAGTCCCTGATGTTCAGATCAATATTACCAGCGCAAATTACGAGGAGTGGATGAAAATGGCAACAGATAATGTACGCCGTTCACATTAACGATGGAGCACTCGCTCTGTCATTCTGCAACCCAAACGGTTCAGAACTTCCGTGACGAGTACAATGCCTTACACACACTAATCATGGTCTTTTCCAGAAAATCAACGCCGCCAACTCGTGGAATTTCGCGTTAATTGACTACTTCCATGATATGTCTCTATTGCGCAACAACGACGACAACTCGATCAATTTCCAGCGCGCGTCGTGTACACTCGACGGCTGTGTTAAAATATGGACAAGTCGCGTCGATAGTGTCGGAACGGAAACCGGAAAGCTCCTGAGTAATCTTGCTAACGAAGGCGGAGAAGACGACGATGAAGGTGACAATGATGGGGAAGGGCCCGATGGTGAACCATCGCAGAAGAAGAAGAAGTCCCACAGATCAGAAGCGACATTGGTCAAAAATCCCCAGCAATTGAAAAGCAAGAAACTCGACTTGGAATTCAATGTAGATCCTCTGTTCCGGAAAACCTGTGCCGATTTCGATGAGGGAGGCGCGCAGGGTCTCCTCATGAACCATCTGAGCTTGGGTTTAGGAAACGAGGGAGCCTTGCGTGTTATTTTCGACGCCAGCGATTCCATGGGTGTCGAAGAAAAGGAGTCAACTGAGGAGCCTGAAGATTCAATCGACCTTAGTGACCTTCGAGGTAAGCTCTGTATGATGACATAACTTTCAGAGTCGTATTAAGTGAGGCTGTTAGCATTCGTCCCTGATCTCTCATTCCTGGACTCGAAGGAAATCGCGCATTCTCTCGAAGGATTCGCCTTTTCTAAATCCACCGACTTCGGCGAAACGTCCTTCTTTCAAGACGATTTGGCGGACGATGATGACGATAATGACAATTTCGACGTCGGCGGTGCCACATTTGACGATCCCGGTGCCATGGACATAGACGGTGGTGACGGCCCTCCTCCTGCGGAAGACTTCTTTGTTGGTGACCAGGCCGTCCGTGACGATTTCTACGCGCCTGTGGGGGGTGGAGACGACTACGGCGCCGATAATGCTTCAAATGGCTCTGTCGCTCCGGATGGTGAAGCAGGCGGGGCAGCTCCTTTCGTTCCGTTCGACCCAAGGAGGGCTCCTAACCAACGGGACCTGGTCATGGCGATGACGGACGCTGACGCGGAAGGTGGTATGATGGACTACTTCGACCAGAACTTCAACAAGAATTGGGCGGGACCCGAACACTGGAAAATGCGTAAAGTTGTCCGCCGGAGTACGTTGCTTCCCGTCACTCTTCACATAGTATCGAGCTAATGGTTTAATCACGCGTAGCCGAGAATGATCCAAGCACCAAAGGCACCAAGGGGAAGCGAGAGAAGAAGGAAGCCTTCAAGATTGACTTCTTCGCCCCACCCGAGAAGAGCGTTGAAGAGATCACGAAGGAACTCTTTGCTCCAGTCACTCGCGGAGCCGGTATTAACCTTCCAGGTACGGGACCCAAGAAGGGGAAGAAGAAGGTTCAAGATGCCCCGAAGCGCGACGATCATCGCTTACCCGATGATATGCACTTCTCAAGCAGGCAACTTGTCACGTTGTTCCTGAAGCCCAAGTTCTCAGTACGTTCCTGACACTATTTTATGCGGCTGATACTCATCCGGCGCGCCATCCTTAGCTGAAGATGCGTGGCCATAAGGTCCGGTTCAATGACAATGGTGATGGCGAAGTAGATCAGAACTTCTGGGCTCAGGCTGCAGCAAACGAAGTTGGAGGCGACGCTAACGATGGTATGTGCCGCCGGATAAGACCGCTGTACACACCACTGATTTTTGCTTCAGGGAACCAACCTATTCCATTCAATACGCAGTTCTTCGCCGACGATGACGACGATGGGCCTGGCTTCAACGACGACTTTGACGGGCCCGGCATTGGAAGCTTCCCTGGTATTGATGGCGTTGACGGCGATGGCGAACATGACCTCCTTGCCGCTACCCAAGGCACAAGTCGCCGTGTCAAACCCGAATTTGTCAAGTACGCAAAGAGGGCCAAGCGTGTTGACGTCCGGAAGTTGAAGGACAATATATGGAAAGGCTTGAACATAGTCGTACCTTCCAAAGGGGAAGACGAAGATGAACCAATGGTAAGTGTCATTTCCGCCGTCATCATTTCAGCCCTCTTATGCGAATTTCTTTGCAGGAGGACACAGATGACCCGTCGACGAAGCCCACAGATCCTGATGATGCCCGTCAATTCAGCGAAGTTATAACTGGGCTCCAGAAGTCATACCCGAGGGATAAGATGCAAGAGATTAGCACGAGCTTTTGCTTTATATGTTTGCTCCACTTGGCAAACGAACAAGGACTTCGCCTCGAGTCGACTACTGAACCTCTCGCTCGCGAACTCGAGGAAGACGGCGATGATCTAACTGCTAAACGGCGAGTTGGAGAGATATGGGATCTCAAGGTATGGATTTCTTCCCCCTGGGTCACAACGTCGCTGATAGCACTTCTTCAGATATACCGAGATCCAACCGCCACACAAGACGCGTAGCCTTGACCTTGTCCTACTTCTTGCTATATTTATCTATCTTATATATTGACCTACTGTGTGCTCCACCTTTTGGCTTTGTAGACTCGTCGTCTGCGTGTATATATGATATCCACACTGGTCTCGCTATTCTACATTATTGAACTGTAAAGCAAAGTATCCTATTCCATATGTACTCGCCGGTGTATCGCTTGTGTTGTTCATATTACGACGATGGGCGTACTCAAAACCCGCGTATTCATGAGACATTTCAAATTTTTGGGGCTGTTGTAGGTGAAGACTTCTAGGGAGAGGGATACATAGAAAGTATTGATACATGTTGGGTGATCTATAGCTACAAGCGGGAATTCGTGGATACAATTTGTTATCGAGGTAAGTCGGAGTGCTTATCGGGAATGTGGGCGGGAAGAGCGATATGTGGTGGAGGGTAAATCAATGCACTGCAGCCCATGCGCTCCACATGGATTCGTATCGCTTCTGTGTGCGCATACTGAGTTCGAGGTATTCAGAGAACGCCTGTTGGGGTAACTCCAACATGCCCTGATCGGGTTGACGGAAGACATCGGTCGTGGGGAAGATGGTGAGAACGTCTGACGACTGGATACGTGCGGTTGGCACATCGGTCGCGAGGAACACTCTATCGCCGAAGAGCGTGTAGGTATCCACCTCCAACCAGCGATCAAATTTATTGTGCGTTCGTTTGGCTAGATCAAAGAATCAGCAACCTGACCAGCATGACAGGTATCGTAGTGAGATGCTTACCTTGCACAATCATAACCTTGCGCTGTACAATAGCTACTGCGAGTTCGCCGGTGTGCATCATATTGATATAGCGCTGATTGAGAACGAAAGGGCGATACAGAGGCTGGCGCTCGTGTGTCAAGGTGATGTGGGTCCTAATGCAAAGTGTTCTGCATCGCCCCCATTTATATGGGGAGCTGCTATTGTTCTTTGCAGGCCGTTCGGGAGCAAACTTTGAATGATTGAGCCTGAGTGATTGTAGGTCCGCACCAGAGACACAATAAGGAGGGGATTTGTTCCTCTACCAATGCGGCGAATCCCTTCTGCAGAGTTGTGCCAAACCTGGAGTAGTACAAGCTAACGGCCAAATTGAGACGTAGGATCTGCGAGAACAATAGACTGACTATCTTTAACCCAGCACCACGTGGTACGCCGCTGAGTGCAAACCGCTGTAAAGCTTTGAAGTCAGTTTTGGAAGTACTTCCTGGCCAAAGGGCCTCAGAGATGGCGTAAATAACAAGGAAAAGCAGGTTGCCAAAGGTCGCCAGTAGTACGACGGTAAAATTTTCCAATATTCCTTCGCAAATGTCCGGGTTGAGGGTGATCTTTCGGCCGACAGGGGCTGCCAGCGGTTCCAAGTTACGTCGGTCGCACGAACACTATGGGCTGCTGAGAACATGGAGTCATTGCAGCGAACTCAAAATCAATGATCATATCTGTCAGTCACGCAGATGGGGATACGTGGTGGCTCGGGGGCGTACTTCCTGAAACGGTTGACAGATTTCTGTCCAGGGGCTAGGAAATATATTTCGGGCTCACGACCCTCCACAGTGTCTCCAGAGCTACACCTGTGCCATGCCATTCGTCACAGATTTTAATCCTGTGGTGTCATGTATTTTTGATACTTGTTCCTAGACTATACTCAGCAAATTTTACCCCAACCTCCCCATCACGTCGACATCAGAGAAGTATACTTTTACATCCACCCCCCGTTTCCATCCTTTGTCACCCCATTACCACGCCCAAGCTTCCGAAGCAGACGCTGCGGCGTCCTGATCTTTGGTCCTTTTCGAAGAGCACAACTTGTCCGATTCAGGCCTGAGCTAGTACGACCGTCAACGGCATGTTCTGGACACATCTCTCGTGGAGAGAAATTAAGCCAATTTTTGTTCCGTGTATGACACGATGCACGCCAGAATACTGGTATGCTTTGATAGGAGTATGCTGGCGCTTACAGACCAGGACAATGCCGCCGAAATTTCAACCTGGTTTCGATCATTGGGACCCTTGTGCTTCTCCCGTCTCTCCCTGTGTTGCAATGTCCGGTGTGTGTCCAGCGCCCGAGCTCCATTTGGCTCACCGTGAAGGGCCCGACGCCACCTCCGAGGATATCATAAGCGAATCTTCAATCGCTTGCCTCCGATCGCTGGTCAATAAACTTTCAAAGCCCCAGCAGTACGTGTATCCTAATCAATCTTGTATTCGCTGGGTCGGAGATATACTAACAATAACTAATTGGGTAGCTACACTGCAATACATTACCAAACATACATATAGACGGGAGTTCATCGCAGGGGACGGGGTATACAGGGTTTCCGGGGAAGAGGAGGATGTCCGTACTCGTCGTGCGATTGCTATAGCTGAACAATGAATCACGATTTAATGTCATATATTTTAGTGACCACGCTTGACTCTAAGTTGGGGCTGCCAGCTGCCCATCGAGACATGATGGATACTGACAAGCACCAGGTCTTCGAACTTAATCCGGGAGGTAGGCGCGCTGCCCACCCTCCACCGTTCGTCCGCCTCGTCTTCCAGGGTCTCATTCTGTCGATCCTATGATACGCAACCCAATATCAACCCCAGATCCGGTATCTGATGGGAAACAAACGCGACCAACCTCAATAAATCGCTTCACACATTTAGCTACGTTCTTCGCCAATTTTGCCCGTGTGATTGGTCCAGGAGGGCTCCGAAAATCTTTAGTCGGGATCTGGCGACTCCATTGGCGATAGCCAGGCCACTATGGGAACATCAATCAACTCGTTGGCCTTGGTGCCCGAAGAATATGATGATAATTTCTTACCTCGAGGCGGATGGACACGCTAGGGCCTCTGCCCTCAAAGACAGTCTCGTCACGACCGCGGAGCTTTCTCACTCTGGAATGCAAGGCATCCGACAAAGAGATCCCGCACACGCCATGCTCCATGTAGAAATACATAGGGCCCTCTAATTTGACGTCCTCTACGTATCGGCGGCGATCGCTGTTGGTATGGGGGCGATACATCTGTTGCGGTACCATCGCTCCCCAGTCATGAGCTGAGGGGAGAGAGTGAGCCTCTTTGAAAAACTGTATTTGCTCGCGATGGGAGTAGCGCTCTCGGTCATCCTAGATGAGAGGGAAAATGAGTCATATGAGGCGAAAGTTGAAGCTGCAAAGTCACGTACCGCGCTCTGTTGAGATGGCGGAAACGGCGATGAAGAGTGATGAGGTGAGTTGGGCCCCGAACTGCCGTAAGGAGTTTGGGGGGACGCGAGTGGCGGCGTGGGGGGTTGCGGGATCACAGGCAGCCCATAGGGTTGGGTAGAATACCCAAGACTAAACGGCGTCGGCGGAGTTTGGCTACGAGACGACAATGGCGGCATCACAGATGCCGCGTTATAGTGTTCGCCCGGACAGTCAGGAGGTAAGGTGAAGATGCTCGCTGGAGGAGTGGCAGGGTATACAGCATCCGAATGAGAGGGTAACGAGGAGAGTGAATGGGCGGTCTGATAATATGGCTCAAGGCCTGCTGTATCAATTCGGATGTTGTTGTGTTGATGTAGATTGTTGCCTCGGTTAGAGCAACTGCCCCACATGCTATCAAGCGTGGGGTACACGTATGGATCGTAGGGCTCTAAACCTTGTGAGAGGGAGACTTCGAGTGGCTCAAAGTGGCCCTCAGCACTTGCGGGCGACGAATGAGGCAGCTAGATCGTTGTGAGCGACGACTGAGAAAGATAAGTTGCGACGTACAAGCAGGGGGCTCACAAAGCAGGCGGTGTGCTCTTGGGTGTGCCACTCTGAATGATCCTTGTTGAATGCCATGGGTGATTGGACGAACTCGTCTGTAGACCTAGACATGCGGTCAGGCATATAAGGGCGGTAGAGGAGTGACGAAGCTTACAAGGAATGATCTTCTGTAGTCATCATGTGTGTTGGGGACTATAACGCAGATGGATACAGCTTTTATACTGCTTTCGAGTTGTTGGGTTACGCGTGCCGAAAGGAGCCGCAGATAGGAATGCTGTAAAGGGAAGGTGCGCCACGTTCCTGTTCAGCATCCATCCAGATCAAAAGTATTAATCCTTTTTGCAATCTGGATCTTGAGTAAATTTATCACCTATCGAGAATCGGTCTATAGCATGGCAGAATGGAAAGCATCTGCTTTACCGTGTTGATTCCGGGGAACTTGGCAGGTAGGCCAGTAGGGGGATACGAGTCATACCGAACCGTGACATTGCCAATTCGGACGAGGCTGCGCGTTCCAATTCCCCATCTCTGAAGGGGATGGGAAAAGAACGGGGAATGCCATCTGGCAGTCTGTCGGGTGCACAGCATATTGTCGATGATGATGCGCTTCCCGTCAATTCAACGAGTGAATCACTATCGCAGGTGTACCGTTTCCTTCACCAAGCGCAACCGGAGCTGCCAGTAGCACTACGGAACACCAGTCAATGATCTAATTGTTCTAATCAAGGCTTCCCACAGAACTGACCACGGGCAGTAGAACCCCGCGCAGCAATTGTCGTCGAAAAGAACGGTGAGCTGTGCGGGTGATGCGTTGATTAAGGTGAGCGCTGGAGTACAGCTTCGGAGATCCTGAGCAACCTTGTGAGCACTTTGGGATTGATTCCGTTGCTTGGGCGCTAAACAGATCATCGCGGTGCAGTCACGTGATGAGGCGGCGCCATGAAGGGGGGGTCGTGAACGTTGAACATCAACTCATCCCGAACCACAAAAATGTCATCGTTGGCCGGTGCACTGATCCCGCCTCCGCAGCACAACTACTTTCCTCCACCACAGGACTCAGGGGACGAAGAAGACGACCAAAATGACGTCGAAATGCACCCGACCGCGGAAACGGAGGAGGCAGAGCAGGACGCCGAGATGGCAGACTTATTTGGCAACGACAATGATGTGGAGGAAGTGAGACACAGCGAGTATGTCGCATCATACACTACACCCCTTTGGGTCCTCATTCTATGACAGGGGTGCAGCTTCTCCGTCAACCTCTGCCCAGGAATCAGACCGCCTTCCAACTCCGGAAAGAGAGCACCGACGGGCTCTAGAGTATGATGAGGATGATGAAATACCTGCGGAACTTGCTGTAGAGGTCAAGGAGGCGAACGTCGCGTTTCCCAATATCCCGGTCCCCAAAAGTTCTGAAGGAGAGGTGAGTCACCTACAATTCAATTTCCGTTGTCATTCTTTTACCATGTCCTTAGAACTGGGTTATTCGTATGCCCACATTTGTCCAAGTAGATTCAAAGCCTTATCATCCAGATACGTACATGGGTCCGGAGCACGAAGATGAAGAGCTACAGCAAACGGAGAACATGCGTGAGAGAAGTATGACCATTAAACTGAAAGTAGAAAACACTGTAAGGTGGCGCTGGATAAAGGATGAAAATGGACAGGATGTGAGTGTGGCTGCTGTGCTTGGGAAATCTAAGAATTCTAAACCACTTCAACAGCGAAAACAGTCTAATAGCCGTGTGATACGATGGTCGGACGGTTCACTGAGCCTCCGTCTCGGCAAGGAGCTCTTTGACATACACCAGAGCCTTGACAACTCTGGCGCAGCACCGCGACAGGCGTTTGGCAGTTCCCAGCCTTCCCAATCCCAATCCCAATCCCAATCTCAGTCTACGGGTGCCAAATCGCAAGGGCTTACATATCTCGTCGCCCAGCACAAACGCGCGCAGGTGCTACAGTCAGAGGCCGTCATCACTGGCTATATGACCTTGCGCCCAACTGGTATGCAATCGGAAACACACAAGATGCTCGTGCGCGCGGTGGGTCAGAAGCATAATAAAGTTGCTCGGCTCCGCCTTGTCGCGGACCCAGCTCGAGATCCTGAACGAGAAGTCCAGGAACTGATGAAACAAAATGCAAAGAAGTCGAAGCGGAAATCAGACTATGATGATGGACTGGGAAGTGGGAGGAAACGGCGGTACTCGCGAAAGCGGGGTTCTCCGTCATGGAGCGACGACGAGGCAGAGATGGGACACACTTATGCACTGTCGGATGACGACGACGACGAAGGTGCGGGCGGCCGTGGGTCAGGCAGCCGTAAGGGCAAAGCGAAGGAGGCAGAGAACAACGAAAAGGGCGATTATCAAGAAGACGGGTTCGTCGTCGCCGACGAGGACGACGATGATTCTGACGGCGGTGCGAAACGCCGCCGCCGTGATGATACGATGGAGGACGACCCGTTAGAAAAAATGGAGGCCCAACTTGAGAAGCAGCAGGAAAAGAGGCGTCAAAATAAAGACAACGACGGCGATGATACCCCGGACGAGGACGGGGGCGCCATGGATGTGGAAAGCGAGGAGGAAGAGGACGAACACAAAGTTAGACGGGTCTCTCGGCGAAAAGCCGTCAACATCGCAGAGGAGGAGGACGAAGAGGAGTGATGGTGATCAGATTCGATTTCTGCTTTCGATGTAACACTATCTCTACGCGTACGACATCCCTTACGAAATGATTGTCCGGGTTCTCATCGGCGTACAGCGCCAGGAACGTCCTGGAGAACTCCGTCCTCCCCCCAGGTCCCCATGGGTTTGATCCCATCAACAAGTTGCTGGTTTTCTGGATTGTTTTCGAGTAAATTATGCAGTGTGAATATCGCATGTTCCCGTAAATCTGACATTAAAAGAAGTAAAAAAAGATCAGTTCCATGAACTGGCACATCAGATCAAAAAGCTCACATGGGTTGCGCTCATCTACCACGCACAAATTCATAACGACTTCGATGCCGCCACACTTCCTGACACGATCCTGGACGGATCTAGTGGAATGACAGAGAATACCCAGCAATCGAACGAGATCTCGCTTAAGGTATGAGAAACCTTGGGCCTGGTGAGTCCCTGATGAAGCCACGTTCGCCGCAGCCGTGGGCGAGGGCGAGGACTCATTTCGGGAAACGGGTCTCCCAAAATTTATTCGAGGAAGGAATTTATCGAGAAGTCGTAAAGTTTCTAAAGGGAGTTCGTGAAGCCGAAGCCGAAGCGAACCCAGGAATCAAGGCGCCACTTACCAATTAGGGTCTCTACAAGCCCGTTATCTGCGTATCGGGTCTCATTGAAATATTCTCGAAACGTAGCGAATGACCGTGCAGAGCGCAAGGTGGAGCTGGATGCCGCCTTCTCCTGCTCTTCAATGGGGCTCAGCTCGCGCTCCTCGGGTTCCAGCGTGATCGTGCTGATGCACTGGGTGATGAGAACCAACGCTTCACAAACCTTGGGCAACATCACATCCAATTCGATTGGTGGAGCCTCTCCCGTATTTTCGGATGGCGATTGGGCTATCTGGCGGTCATGACCCTCTGGTAAAGCGTCTGGAACTTTTGATGGTTTCTCACCGATTGTACTGGGGTTGCCATCGCGTTGGACTTCCTCTCCAAGGAATCGCTTGATGGCGTGCTGCGTATAGACGGCTTTTGTGAAGAAACCCTTTGATAGCATCGGACAAAGTTTCCGGTTTATTTTGCGCATTGCTGGCGTCGACACTATCGCCGTCGCCGTGACGGATTGGAGGTAGGAGTCGACAAGCTTTAGTAGCGTTGTTTGATGTGGCGTAGCGATCTCGTCGTCACTAGGAGGCATCAACTGGCTGAAAACAATACCAAAGGCGGTGTAGCGTACACTAATAGTCGAGAATATAGTTCAGGGACCAGCCCTGCCGTGGTAAGTTGGAGAAATATGTCATATCTATAAAGAGTATATTAGCGAAGGCCACTGATGAGAATCGGAAGAAACGATGTACCCGACATCGAAGGCCCTAGCACCATCGCTGTCTTCGTGTGCCTCGTACAGCCTGGACATACCATCAAGAAGGGACACGCATATACGGCATCCAATAGAAGTTTTGCAGAGCATCTTCCTGGTGACACCGCGTGTCTAAAGATTAATTGAATATATTTTTCGAAAAGCCACATACGCCCTGGCTTTGTTCTCGTATACGCAGTTTAGGATGAGAACCATGACGGCAAGAACGGTCCCTTCGTCTGGGGAAGCCAAAAGTCGACTATGCCACAAACGGTCAGGAATCGGACGCGTATCGAATCCGGGTTACACACATCAGGACGACCTGGTCTTCCGGTAGATTCAAATAAATATTCCACAGCTTTGTCATGAGTTCATTATTGGCCGTTACGATATTTGACAGCGTCTGTGTGAGCATCCTCGTTACAGGAAAGCCTAGAAGAGATCCGTGTCAATAATAGCAACCTCCGTGGACTGAGGTACTCACTTTCTGAGTCCTGGTTGGCTGTCCAAGAGGAATGGTAATGCAACAACCGTCTAATTTCCACCTCGTTCTCGCTGGAACCTACATGTCAATCGGCCTGCCGTGGAGCGTTCAGGGAGTAACTCACAAAGCCAAATTCTGATTACTGGGAACATCGGCGACGAGATTCCTGGTGAATTTAGCCAAACTCGTGCAAAGAATTCTAAGGTCCTGTTGTTTGCGCTTCTCATTTCCCTGCTCGTCCTCCCCTTCCTCCTCATCTCCGTCCCAGAACGTTAGTTGAGCGCGAGCGAGATCCCGCCATAGTTTTCGTAGACTAGGCCATATAGACGGTTGATTTGAGCCTAGTGAACACCTACTTTGAGCATCAGATTTGCTAACCCGGAGGTCAAGCAGCTGGCCCGCTTACCGTCGCTCTCGGCTGCGTGCCAGCTCCTTCGAAATTACATCCAAAGTCCTCGTCAGGGTTACAATGTGATCCTTGATGTTGACATCAAATTCCTTGCAGGCGTCGCAGAGCCGCGAAGAATCTGAATTTGTATCCGAGCCGTTCGTGAGGGATAACTCTGTGTTCATCGTCGTGGTCGTCGCAGTGATAGAGCCACTCGGCGCGTATCAGAGGTATCAAAGCACCGTCGCGCCGCTGTCACGCGTGTGACCACCGACGTTTACCGGCGTTCACCACCCCCCTCACAATGAGCGCCGACCTCAATATTTCTCTCCGACCGCACGTCGTCGACGCGCTACGGCCTCTTCGCGACGTGCTCCCACAAGACCTACAAACCCAATTACACCCATTCCTCATAGAACCCACGCCTCCGACAATTCCGTATAGCATTCTTTCCAGAATCTCTCAGTGGTCGCGGTCTGACTCAGGACGCTCCGCTCTACAGCATGTTGATCGCGACGCCGCCGACTATACCATGATCTCCCTTCTCGCAGGTGCCACGACATCCCCGGAGAAGAACTTCGGTCCATATACTCCACCCAAGGAACCACATATCATAGCAAACGAACAGAAACTCGAACGACGCGCCATCACGGCGATAGTGAATGGCCTTGTGAGCATATTTGCTACTGGAATGGCCGTGTGGTGGGCATCAGACCGAACAGGATTCCGGGATGAATGGGTGCGTGGTTGACAAGTTCTTCTATCCGTGGCGTACTGATCCTTACCTTCAGCGGGTGCTTCTCTCATTTGCCGCAGCAACCATTGTGGCGTGCTCAGAAGTAGCGCTATACATCATTTGGCAGGCTAGATTACGCAAAGCCAAATCACCCAAGGACGGGGCTCCCCGAGCCTTCAAGAAGGATCGAACGGAAACGAACCCAGAGATCACCACAGCTGGCGCCTCTAATGCTATTCAACCCAGAGCTGTTGAGCTGAGAGAGAGAGTTGCACGGTTGTCGCAGCCACAGGATTAGGAAGGGAGCGGCTGTTAATATGATGGGTCAGTGATGTATCTTAATTTCTACAGCAACATGGGGTAGTTCTGCTCGCGGCCATGGGGCTCACTGGCGCAATTTGCTCAGACGCTGAATTACGTTGTATCTCCACCGACACCCAACAACGACAGCATTGCTCTCCCACCCAACGAAATCTCCCATCGGTCGGATTGAAATGCAAGACTCATTACAACAGCACTTGGCCAAACGTCTACACAGAGGTTCTTTTCAACGTCTATTGGGTGCCGACAGGTCTCTGACTCAGATTAAGCTCAAACTATTCTTATCGGCTTGGTACTAGGAATGTATCTGTAGTATCCGTGTGAGGAGAGAAAGATACCATCCGGTTAACCCCCAGATTTCGATTCTGCCTTCTTGTCCACACCCTACTTCGTCTACAAACTCACCGTCACCATGTTCCACCTTTTCAGCCTCCACCAGGTCGGATACATCTACGGCCCAGTAGGGCCATCCACCTCGGAACTTGGAGGCTTTCAATCGCACGGGGGATGCGAGGGCTTGCAAGGGGAGGTGGAATACGGATGCAACTTCTTCTAGCGATCTATGCTTCCATACATCTTCTAGGTCGATGGATGAAAGGGGAGTGTCCAGCGTTCCCTTTTCGTTGATCTGGTGGCCATGCACGAAGGCCTGCAGTGCACTTTATTTAGGAGTTCAGTCCCAGAGTACGAGATCAGGACTTACGACATATGGCCACACACGCATGTTACCTCGTAGATTCACTTCTGTTGGACCTAACTCCCCAAGCACCTCTACTCGATTTGGAGATATCCCCAGCTCTTCTCTAGTTTCTCTAAGTGCACCAGCGAGAAAAGACTTATCGGTCTAAGAATACGTCAGTTCCTGGATTCGCCAGGGTCTGAAAAACTCCTACAGAGTCTATTCTCCCACCGGGGAAGCTAGAAGCAGTCACCAAACGACCGTGTAAACAGGATGATCATCATCGTGGCAGCGACTGATCGCCTACTCACCTTATTTCGCCAGAGTGCGACCGTAGCGTCTTCCCCCTCACTTCAAAGAGTATTCCGGGCACGTCGTTGACATTGCAGAAGGGAATTAGGACGGCCGCATCCCTTGACGGGCTCGCCGACGAATCTGCTAAGATACCGGGTTTGTTCAGTGCCGAGTCGCGGATTACATTTCGGAGCGAAATGAGAGTTCGTTTAGTGAACGGTTTGCTTAAGGAGAGAAACGGATGGGGGGCGAGTGAGCACATTGGACGAAGTGCATGATACGCTATCGTTCTCGGTTGCGTTTCGGTCGAGGCTTCGAGCGGGCGATGGGCTATGTTTAGCTCGGAGTTTGACCCCAAGGTGTATGACAAACATGGCACCACGTATCTCGACAGGGGACTTGTAAACCAACCGTAAAAGCCTTTTACAGAATTGAGATTGTCCAGTACAACATTATGAATCTTACGGTACTTTTGTGAAATATCTAGTACACCCTTTACCCATCTATCTCCATTGCAGCGTTGTCACCTGATGCTGTTTTAATACCGGATGCCTTACCGTTGATAGCGCGCCGTACGACCGTGTCCCACATCGTGTCGTTGATATGTTTTGCTTTCCCAAGCTGCTCCTTGAGTAACTTGATTTCAGCCTCGAGGTCTGCCACCTTTTGCACGGGAACTCCGGGTACACTCGAGGGGGTTGTTGGTTGAACGAAGAACGCATGGTCTCGTAGCAGTTCCTCATGCGTGTATTCCGAAGGCCCGGATTGTGGAGTCTGCATGATAAGATTGGGGAGTGAGTGAACCGGAAGACAAAGAGAGTGAACGGCCTACCAAGTCATGAGTTGGCAGTAAAATCGAGGCTTCGTGTGCGTTTCTCGCCTTCGCATCCCGGGTCCTCTGGAATGGAGACACAGGCTTCACAGGAACGACGTCCCGAATATCATTAATCGACGCGGCACCGATCAAATCGAGGGGCTTGAGCATCGTCGCGAGGTGATTTACAGCACTTCCGATGTGCGAGTTGATAGCTCGTACAAGCTGGTGAGACGCAATATCATACACATTAATGTGGCCAGTGGCAGTCCCAGCGAGCAGTAGCGACGAAGTCAGGGATATGGCGAGACAGGACAGAGGCTGACTGATGTTCAGGATATGAGATAGGGGTTAGCGGTGGGTTTGAGTTCTTACTTCACGGAAATGAGTCGCGACTCGTCTTCCACGCGGATTATACCGGTCAAACCGGCGCCCCCGATGGCCTCGGCGGTTGACGCTCGAAACAGATTCATTTGGTGTATCGAGCCGTCTTCAGAGCCAGCGAAAAACACGCGTTCCGTGATGTCCCAGGCAAGGCAAGAGATAGGTTGCGGGAATTGGAATGTGGTAAGAAGGGATTTGGACGCGACATCCCACAGCTGGAGACATCAGGATCGACATCTAATGGGAGAGAATGGCAACGCACTTTGACAGAGTGGTCTTTTGATGAGGTGAGGACTCTACACGTGGGGAAGAGGCCCACGCCGCAGATAATATCCGTGACTGGGAGCGTATGATCCGAGAAGGTGCAATACGGCAATGGAAGTTCATTTTGGTGATCGTCATGTAGCAATCTGACGGTTAGATATCAGCATCGCTCGCCACCGGGCAGAAACATAACACGCGGCCGCAAAATTGACCTCGACACGGACCAAACGCTGACCCCAGAATCTTCGCTGCCAGAGATAAGTGCAGCGCTATCGTGGGTGAATTTCAGCACGGTTACGCGACGATAGTGGGCGTCCCATGCGTTGTACAGTATTCCTGAAGCCACCTGAGTCCTTCGTCATAATTCATTTCCCAAGTACAATAACTTGTTCTCACCTCCCACAGATACACACGACCTTGAGCGGTTGCACCCGCACAGAATTCGCCTCGAGGGTCTATCGCAAGGCAAGAAAGTTTTTCCGGTAGTACTATCTTGAGTGCTAATTGGTCCTAGAGTCGCGTTCATTTGAGATCAGCTGCCCGGGTGATTTACCATACCTTTTGGAAATTGTAAACGTTCAATATGGACTTGTCCTGCTGAGCAACAAGCATGAAACCTCCCTGTCCGTTCCCAGACTCCACAACCGCGGTACAGTGTCTCGCTGCATTTGTCTGTTTGAACGACGCCAGCGATGTTCCTGTTTGTATATTGTGTAGAGCAAGGGTCCCCTGTCCAGAAGAAGATGCGGTCGCCGCGAATATGACTTCCTGGAGATGCATCAATGCCTGAACCTTCACCACCGGCTGCGTCGAGGTCGATTTCGTTAGATTCAGCTGTGAGAGTAACTGTCCTCCGATTCGGAGGTTTGCAAAATTAGCAATCACGTGCTGCTGTAATTACTTCTCAGGGGCTAGCGGCTTAAATACTGGCGCTCTCAGCCTGCTGTGCACCACATGCCCAGAACTTTCCGCGATCCTAGGATACCTTGTATTCTACCTTGAAGAACCTTTGCAAATTCCCCGATTCCAAGGTTGAATCCACACCCCAATGGCTTCAAACTTGTACGAAACACTGGGGGTTGCCCGAAATGCCTCACCAGAACAAAGTACGTCCTCGAGCAGTGCGGTGTTGATGAAAGCGGTTGCTGACATGTGGCTTGCGCTAGTTCGTAAGGCTTACAGGAAGATGGCCTTGCAGACCCACCCTGATCGACTCTCGCCTAACGCCACACTGGACGACAAAGCAGCATCAGAGGAACGGTTCAGACAGGTGAGCAAGCCATCATTTTGGGGTTTGGGGACGCGCAATGACTAAACATCAATGCCTGTAGGTCAACAACGCCTATGAAGTGCTCATAGACGAAGAGACCCGCAAGGTGGGTCCGACTCCTTTGGCCTTGTTTCAGTAGACTGACTTTGCCTAGGTTTATGATCGTGAAGGTGTTTGGCCGCCCCCCGAGCCGGAATACGAGGAAATACCCCGTAGGAGTGGTCCAAGACGCCACTCATCCCAGCATCACTTCAGGACGTCGCCAATGGGCGCCTTCCCCGGTCCCTTTGACGGGCCCTTCTTCCCCCGACCTTTCGGCTTCACCGACCCCTTCGTACTCTTTGAGTCCGTCTTCGGCGACCTGCGGCACGAATTCGGCATGCCACATGACTCAAATCCTTACGAGCACAGATATGAACCCGATAATCCTTTCGAACGGATGAACAGAATGCATAGGCACGTTATGTCGCAGATGGACATGTTCTCTGGGTTCATGGGGCCCCAATCATTTGGCATGCCGGACAACAACTCGAGATGGGCTTCAGAGAGCCATGTGGTCTCAAGTGTAAATGGTGTTATGCAGAGCGTACACAAACGACGAGATTGGGAGGTGTGTTGTATATTGTCTTACGCTTGTCTGCGCGCTCGTGCTTATTGTTCTTCAAAGGGGAACGTCCATGTTACGCGAACCCTCCCTGATGGAAGGGAAACATACACTATTAACGGAATAGAACAACCTTCACAAAACCTGACCTACGACCGTGATCAACACTCGGCCCCTCCCCAAGTTACTCATATCCAGTCCACCGGGGGCAGCCACTACCCGCAGAACAATTCACTGTACCCTAGCCACCGCGACGCCCATGGCATTCATCGACGTCACTCCCATTCCCATTCCCACTCGCACTCACCCTCACACTTGTCAAGACACCGTGACCACCACCCCTCTGATTCACGTACGTACTATCTCGTCATCTATGAAACATATCTAATCCATCTGCAATGCTAACAGATCCCGTCATCCCAGGTATCTATCCGGATCCTGCAAGTGAGTATCATGAGTTTTATGCAATTCATATCGATTTACTTCCTATTGTTGTAGATGCCCCAGTAATCCCCGGGCCGTACGATAGACCGCCAAATGAAGACCATGTTCACCGGAAGAGATGGTGGCGTGGTCACTAGTAATTAACTAGTTCCGATGGAGCCTCTTTCTCGACGCGTATCTCCGGACGCTTCTTCTATTTTGTCTCCTTGCCTTCTCCTTACCAGGAATGTACTTATCCACCCGGTAAACCATTTTGTAGGTATAGAAGATCAATCTTGATATCGATCGCTTTGTATTCTCCTCGTCGTAACTGGTAACTCCAAGTCGTCGCTTTCATACCTACCTTGTAACGAGGTGCCAATTGTACATCCTAGGCTTCTTTCTTGCTTTCTTACATACTGTAACACGATAATGATGTCTGTTTCCGCCTATCGAATTTCGCCCAAACTCCGCATAGGATGCGTTCTAATTCGAGAGGCTATTTGGTCTATCATATATCATATACATCGATGCCAGAATCCATATAGACGAACAAACGAACAAACTAAGTAATGAGACTAACTGCCTTTCTTCTTTCCTTTCTTCTTCTTCGCAGCGGTCGTCTGAGCCTCTACAGGGGGTAACTCAATACTTCCCCCTGCTGCCTCAGCAACAGTCTCATCCCCGTTCTCTATCTTCGTCCTCGCTTCCAAAAAGAACATGACGTCCCTTACCTGGTCTTCCAATTCCTTGATCTTCTGACCATAGCCTTCCCTCTCTGCGTTAGCCTGCGCTACCTTCTCCTTCATAGTGCTAAGATTCTTCAACAAGCCCTCGCTGACTGTCCGCTCTTCGCGCAATTCCTTCTCCAAGCGTCGCGCAAGGGCAGCCATCTTATCAGCTTTGCCATCAGCTTTCTGCTTCTCACGTAACACCGCTTCCATCCGCTCGTCCTCCTCTCGCTTCCTCGCCTCTTGTTCTTCTTGCCACCTACGCCGCTCGTCGTCCATCTGCTTCTGGATTGATTCCAACATCGGCTTGAGTTGATTAACTTCACTCGTAACCTCGGATATTCGCTCTTCGTAGTATTCCCGCTGAGAATCTAGCTGTGAGGTTAAAAGGTACGAGTACTCAATCCCGATGGCTTCGATTTTCTCTGCGCTGAGCGCATCTGCTGCACTAGGTCCGAGTCCGCCTTCCCGAGGGCTGGCGCCCATAGAGGCAGAGGCACTCGGTAATTCGACGAGCTTGCCATCTGCTTTATTCTGAATTAGCCGATGCACGTACCCATCTCCCGCATAGTCCCATACACGTTGCGTCTCTAGCTCAAGCGCGTACAGATGGGTAGTTTCCTGATAGTGTGCCTGCGCGTGAGCCTGGCCATACCGCCCGCAACCAATGTTTCCGCAGATGAGACATATCCAGAGGTTGGTGGTTGATGGGCAAGAAGAACATGTGGACAATACGGGCGTAGATAGATTGTTGAAGGGGATAGAGCGAGATGTGCGCGTAGATGACGACGTAGGATGCGACGAGCGCAAATTCTGGGAGTAGCGGCAGACGGGGCAACTGAAACAGGCGTCAAGACAAGTTTACACTTAGGAGCTGAGAATGACAAACCGACTATCGCCCCACTTGCTAAGACACATGCAGTGGAATGTATGGGAACATGGAACAGTGATGAGGCCTGTTACCGCAGCGTCCATTCTCTCGAGACAAACGGGGCAGGTAGGTAGTTCGTAACTTTGTCCCAGAGTGGAAGCAAAGCGTGTTTCATCTTTCGCAATATTGACCGATAGCACGCGGACTACGTTACAGGTCTCCGGCTGCGCGAAACAAAATCAATGTTCGCCTCCGGAATGCAGTAGGATAACACACTTCCATGGAGGTAAAGGGTTTGCCGTTGTACGCTTCAATGAAGTCCGCAGCATGATCAGGGTTGCGAAAATTCAGGAGGGCTACGGAGCGGTTGGGCATGGAATCCCTTTAATGATCATCAGCATAAAGTGAATGTAGCATCCGTAAAAGCTCACCGGATGATCCGTAGTTGTGCAATACCCTCTTCCGCAGGAGCTACGAACGTCAAGAAGTCTGACGGTGTCATCCAAGCTGGTACAGCCAGTACAGCCAGGACGACATCCGTTGTGCTTGCTTGTTCCGCAACTTCAGTATCTTCAGGTGAAGATGCTCCATCGCGAAATACATGAACCACGCCTTGTGGCAGATTCGTTGACCCGGATTTAGTGTTTGTGTGAGGAACGAATGTAGCTGTTGCAGGCCCTTCTCATCCACGCCGCGACCGCACAGCATGAGACATTGCCCCGTTCATTGAGCATACCGCCATACCTCGAGAAGACGACCGTTCGCGTTCCTTTCCAACGTGAAGGTGTGAGGCCATGCTCATAGTCTCGAAATCAACCCAATCGATTCGGATAGGGCCAAACCTATAATCCTTTCCCTTGTAGCTGTTGACCGCGTTTCTTCGGTTCGTGGGTTTTGGGGGCTGCACAGGTAGAGTCTGGAAGAGAGAAAAGGGAATAAACTCTGGCGCTGTAGATGGCGACGATGCTTCAAATGTCGGGCAAAGAGATATCAGGATGTGATATCCTCGCATAATATAGCGGTCGTCGCGGTCGACGATTTCGTTGGTGCCTGTGTCCTTGAAATACGGACGAGCGCTAAGCGCTAAGCGCCTGGCTCCCTCCCCTAATAATAGAACTCATCGGTACTATTCGTCGCATCTGCTAGGAGTGCCTTCGAATTCAGCGGTTTACATTATCTGGGTCAATATCCGGCCAATGCCATCCATAACACACAAAGTCGTCAATTTAGAGATAAGAGTAGGTCTCGAAGCCATCGTTGTCCATATTCCTTCTTTAAATGACACCTCCTAGGATCGACTCAGACTGTCCCTTCCTCATCCCGCTTCTCCACCTCTGCCTCGTAATTCGTATAGAAGAATCGTTTATCCGGTTCGGCGCTGCGTTTCTCCATCTCCGCCTCGTAATGCGTGTAGAAGAATCGCTTTTCTGGTGAAGCGTCTCGCTTCTCTACCTCTGCATCGTAATGCGTGTAGAAGAACCTCTTCTCGGGCTCAGCGTCGCGTTTCTCGACTTCTACCGCATAATCCGTATAGAAGAACCGTTTGGCTTCTCGCCCTATTGTTGCGGCTCTCGTTAGCTCGTCTTTGACGAAGCGCACAATGAAACCAACTCACCCTCCTCCGCAACGGGCAAGGCAGCAGCAAAGGTGCTTCCGAACAGGATGGCGAAGGCGAGCAATTGCTTAGAAAACATGGCTGGTAGGTCGTGTCGAGTCTTGGGAGGAGAATGGATTCATCGAGCAACGAATCCCTGGTTAAATACTCTGCTAGGTGCCATATGTTGAAAGGAGAATAGCGCGTTCTTCGGTTTCGAAGCGAAAGACACATCGCGAAGACGTCACTCCGCCGGTGGCTTTCTTGGATTTTGGATTCCGTTCAACCGCTGACATACTTCTTCGCTTCGTAGCCAGAAGGAGCACGACAATATGTCCATGCAGGTGTGAGTGCATGCACCTAGTCCCACCATATTGCGAGCGAGAGATCTAGGAAGCAGTATCAAAATATCACTCCACTGGGTGCAAGCACAAAATTAATACTTCCCATGTCAGACAATATGTCGGCAGACATGGAACTTTGGAAGTTGTTTGGAATCGTTCCTTCGTCATATTCGCATCGGAGCTTCATCTCGGCCGTCTTGGATTAACATACGCCAAGCGAGTAGTAAGTAATTGGCACCCACGAAGCATCGAACCGTATATCGATAACCGACCCGCTTGTTTTCATGACAGCCATAAATCGCGATAAATAACGCACTGGAGGGCTAACGCAAGGGTCAGCAGTCACCAAGTCTTTACACCTTCGCCGAGTAGTAATCTCACCAAGATTCACAAGGTTCCCAAGTTTCATGCCTGTCCGTTGACACGGGTAGTGGAGTCTTCGAACCCAGACTCCGGACTCCGCACCTACGAAGCGATGTCGCTCCCGAATACTTGAGAAGCCAAAACAGCAAATCACTATTACCTTTTTAGGCAACTCGAATTTCGTGGCATGAGTCGGTAGAGGTCCTTGAAGTGTCTTCTGGACTCTTCACGGTTGGAAATGGCTACGGCGGTGGGGCAGATTTCCTTGGGATCGGTTGTCACCAGTTGCCAGTAATTAGTTACATGCATTTAACAAATCTAGATAAACTCCTACACAGATGGATGCAGTATAAATAAGGATGGCGTTACAGTCCCTCAAAGAAAGACAGGTCCTGAGCACTCAACGATTGGTGCTTTTGAGGCAAGGACAACACCGACGAGGAGGCCGAGTTCTGGCCGCTTGTCGAGGTCGCTGACGCCAGCGAGCTAAATGCGGAATCCAGGAGGATCGGGGAAGCAGGCTGGATTGCCTGTGCCGATGACGCCAAGACTGGGATGCTGCTTTGCGAAGGAAAAATGCTACTGCGAGGCGAGAGACTCCCATTACTCAAAGAACTATGGTTGAAGCTTGAGGACAAGGCAGGAGATGATAGCGAAGGAGGCACAGTCGTAATACCCCCTTGTTTCAATGGCTCTACCTTTGGTGGCCCATTAGGGGGAGGAGCGAGCGGTGAGGGTGTAGGCGAGCGTGGAGCAGGCCAAACACCAAGCTTTGTGGACGCTATGTCCATCAGGCCCATCGTGCGTGAGTGGTCCCTTCCTCCAGGTAGCTTGCCCAACTGTTGACTGAGGGGTGGGGAATTGGCTAAGGAAGAGATCCCCGACGAGAGTGCCGACGGTGTTTGCGAAACCCTCAGAGGGGAGGCGGGTCGAGATGATTGTCCAATCAATGAGCTGGGTTTTGCAGGTGGCTTAGGGGGCGAAGGCGTGCGTAGAGTAGGTGAAGAAACGAAGTCATCGAAGTCGTCATCTAGTCCTCCTAGGGGTTTGCTTCTAGTCGAAGCTGAGAAGAGGTTCTGATGAGAGTGCGCCGAAGAAAAGGACGTGTCGTAGGAGGGGATTGAGGAAGCAGATGACAAGGGTTTTATCGGTGTTGAAGCGAACGAAGTTGTAGGGACGGATGAATAGAAATCCGAGAATTCGTCATCGTCGTCCAACCCAGAGGGAGGGAATGGTCCCTGAGATGGGGCTTCTTTGTGTTGTCCCTGTGCCTGGGGTATTACCGGAGGCGTTGCTGAGCGAGATGATGGCGGAGGAATCATAAAAGGTGAAGCAGATCGTTGAGATGACCCCGGTGGAGGAGGTAGGTTGAATACATTGTTCAAACTGCTCGAGGAGGTTTTTGACATGACAGCCACTATAGGTGGACGCTTTGAATTGAGTTGTGGTTTGCGTGTTGTGGTAGAATGGGGAATCAGCGGTGGAGGATAGTCTTTCGGTGGTAAATGAGGAGACGGCGGGGCGGGGGATAGGGTGGTAGTGGATGGAGCATCAAGCAGTTGGAAGTCAAGGTCAAAGGTACTCGTTGTCTGGACAGTCTGAGAAGGTGCTGTAGACGCAGCGTCCACGAATGGCTGGTCCAAGAAAGATAGATCACTAGTAGGTTGCGCTGGCTTGATGATGCTGAGCGGTTTTGGGGTCGGCGGTGCTTTAGGCGGTGGTGACAATGCAGGAGGCAACTTGATAGGAGGGGCGGTCTTGCGTAAGATTTTCCGTACCGGGTCTTTACCCAGCATGTTAACGTCAAGGAGGTTCAGATCCTGATCGCCTAACCCAAGTAGGCTGTGGCTGTGATCAGACGATAAAGTTGGGACATCACCAAGGAATTCCAGGTCATTGTTGCTTAATGCCAGTGAAGGAGGGGAAATTGGCTCAGGAGAAAGCGCGGAAGGCTTAAAACGCGAGAAACGATTGAAGAACCGTGATACGGCCGACGGAGTAGGGGGATCTTTCGATTCTAGAGTTCCTAAAGACTGTGATGAACCAGCGTCGCCGGTAGGGGCTGCTTCCGTGAGAGCCGGAGGAATTGGTAGAGTGGTAGAAGCGGGAGTGGATGCTGTAGTAGCGTCAGCATCTGAAGGCTTGACGTCTGGGGGATTACCAGTATCGCCAACACTAGGGATTGTTTTCCCTGATTCACTGTCTACGCTGGAACGCGAACCAGAGGTACTTGCGCGGTGCTTGTCTGTTTCGTCCATCGAGACTTTCGGAGTTGGCTGCGTCGAGTTAGAGGTAGTGACGTTGGTAGAACTCCTCCGATTCCAAAACCAGCCGCCTTTAGGCGATTTATGCTGCGTTTTCACCCCATTCCTGGAACTGAGCTCCTTAGCCCATGCTTCCTCTAAATCTTCCCGTTCATCAGCTCCAAGGACCCTCCAACCCAAACCACCATTAACGAAATCTGCATCCTGCTTCGTGATGCTCGCCTCATTGTCAGAGTGGGACCCTGGCGACTGCGAGCGCAAAGAAGCTTCCCATTCTCCATTCCCCTTGCTGGCGACAAATAAAGCCATGGGACTCCGTTGGCTGATTGGCAAACGACGGGTCAACTTGAGGGCGCTGAGAAGTTCCTTACTCGTGGTTGTACTCGCGAAGGGGACGCGAGCAGGCAGGGTTAAAGCGGGCATAAGACGTGTAGTGGCCAGCACACTAGAGGCGGGATGGTAAAATCGGATAGAACAAGGCGAGAAAGTGACACGTACAGATCTTCTGAAAGGTCTTCCATGGATCTATATTCTCTTGCATATGCAGCGGATTTATTAGCTGCGTCCGGCGCATTCGGAGGCCATAACTCTTCGGCAAGTTGACTTACTTGCTGGAGGATTGACGCGAGGAGTTCCGGAGGCTGAAGGCGTTTAGCGTATTGTTCATGAACCTAATTACGCCCAGGTGCTCACTATTTGGCGGTCCCGCAAGGCTTTCAACCGCTTGGCCTCTGCCCACTCGTCTACCACCTCCTCCCGCTCTCCACTACTAGTGTCCGGGGCTGGTTCCGCCCCATCATCCCAAGACGGGGTTCCCCATTCATCTGAGTCCTGAGTTGGAAATATAGGTGCTGATGGCGTCCAAGGGAGGGCCGAGCGAGTCTCTTCGTCGTCGGCGCCGGATTCGAAAGAACCAAACCCATCAACGTCGTCATTAGTGTCCTGCCCTGCATGACGATCATGTACGACGTCGGATGATACATGCGGGAGGTCATCATTAGTTTCTGATTGTGTTACAGTTTCTTCGTCAGATTCATCAGGCAGTGGTTCCGCCTCTATGTCAGGTTGTTGGGCGTCAGGCGATGGTGCTCCGAGGGGAATATCATCGTACAGAGATGGGTTCCATCCTCCAGAAGAAACAGGGTCTACCGACCACGAGGAGGCATGGTCATTGCCAGACCACGCAACATCGACTACGCCTAACTGAGGTTCCGCTGCGGCCGTCCAGGAAGGCGACTGACCCAGGTCATCTTCGTGATCATGGAGAGACGTAGACAGCGTGGACGAGGACCACTTCTCCGGCGGCTTTGGCGATGCTGAATCCCCGCCCCACGCATTGGCCCAAGGATCCTCCATGTCAGAAGGGAGTTTACTCTCCAGGCCGTGAATTGAAAGCAACGGTTCGGCAAGTGATCACGTGTACAGTATTAGTCACGTGGAGAGCAGTGTGAAACAAGCTCGCTCGGACTTGTATCGTGCTTCCCTTCATCTTCCTGCTAGTTTTGTCTTCACCTTGATGGATTTCTCGCTGGGCGAACGTAGTATTCTCGAGTGGGATGAGGACGATGTGCACGCTTTCTTTACTTCACTCGGCTTTCCTCAATACGAGAGTCAACTCAAAGGTCGGACTTATTCTCCACTGAGACGCTCGCTGCATAGTAATTATTCCTATGCCACAGAACACAACATCTCGGGAGATGTACTCTGCATGCTTGACTCCGAGGGCCTCAAATCAGTCGGTGTTACTACTATAGGACAGAGACTGGCCATCTTGAAGGCCGTTTGGCAACTCAAAATCACCCATAATATACCAATCGAGGAAGACCACTATGTGCCACCATGTCAGTTCTGCTCATCTATTCGTTTCGATTCATGCTCATTGGTGTACATCACAACTTTCCATCGCTTCTTTTCACTCTGCATCGTCACGACAGCCGAAGCCCAAGAACGAGCCCAGGGAATGACCGTAGAGAAGCTGTATGGCGCAGTTGACGAGCAAGGTGAGTTGCCTAGGACTCAGTTGCTTATTATGACGCTTCAACACCTGCCCGTTCCTTACAGCCACCAGGATACAGTATCTTGAAGAAGACAATCGCCACTTACAGTCAAACCTCCAAGTTCTCATGGATGAATTGAATACTCTTCGCACTTCTATATCCAACTTTACGACTTCATTAAACCTCGCACCTCACGCCAACAGCAACTCGAATAGCGACAGTAGTCCTATACGGCGACAACCCTCCTTCAAGTGGGCCAACTTCATTAAGCCGCAGCGCTCGCCTACGAAACTAGACACCATTGCTTCCTCTTCAACAGCCAAGTTGGATAGCATCGACTCACCCCACCCATCTCCACAAGGATTTGACAGCGACCTGTCTTATGCGCAGACTCAGCCCCCGCCGCAACCGCCAAGTCAACCATCAGTGCAACCACTTCAACCACTTCGTCCACAACCTACACACCAATCGTCACTCCCCTATGGCTCCGCCCCGTTGGCTGAGGCAGCCCCGAATCATCCTGGTATGTAATAACATATCCAAGTAATCTCCCAACCATTGATCCAGCTGTCCTAAGTTTCCGCGTCAGCCATAAATGCTAACGTCACGTCGCCTTGTACGTCTATAGCTCACTTTCGCTTGTTGTCTCAACTCATGATCTCCCTCTCTAGCCACTACCTCTATTGCTACATCAAACCATACACCGCCTCCAGCGAATGGGGCCTCATCGGCTACAGCGACACTGCAGAAGCCGCACAGGCAAGAGAACCCAGACCTACAGAAACCTCACCGCCAAGACAGTTATGACAATCTTCGTGGTATGTTGCATGGCCCCTCTCTATATTTCGCCCCCTGATCCCTTTTCAGAGGGCAATAAAGGTGACAAAGATAACCTCAAGAGTTTCAAGGTTTCTTTGGAGGACCCAACTTGGAAAGTTCTACCAGCGGCTCTCAAAAAGTATAAGATCAACAACGATAATTGGCAGAACTATGCTATGTTCATTTGCTACGGTAATCCAGGTAAGCGGCCCACATCCACCTATTGGTAGGGTGCAGCCAACGTCAACTTTGTAGGAAACCGTATCGAGCGATGTCTATCATATGATGAGAAGCCACTCCTGCTGTTCCAAAAGCTGAAGGACGCCAAGAAGAATCCTGTTTTCATGCTTAAACACATCAAGGATATCCGTTCTCCCATCGCCGTCGCTCAGCAGAAGCTTGCCGCTCGCAAGGCAGGATCAATAGCGTCCAACAATGGGAATGCCACCGATCCTTCAGCTGAGACACCGGTAGCTACGTCACACGCCCAAGTCGCTTCGAATGGTGGTAGCAATGGAACGAAACACGGATCAGATCGTTCAGCCCGCCCATCGGCGCTCACATTGCCAGACTATCAAGGAGGTCCAGGCCCTGGGACTGGAACTGGCAGCGCGCGCGCGCCTTCGAGTGGGCTCCTGACTACAGGTCTTAGCCCCCAACCTGGATGGCCGTCGGAGAATAGCATGCTTTCTCCAGGAGTTGTCGATGGTAAATCTATCGGGTCGTCAGGCTTGGACGAAAGCCACATGAGCCAGTCAAGCGTAGGCTCTAATATGACTGGCACGACGCTAGTCAATAGTGTTGGCGGGCATGGATCCCACGGTAGCCATGGATCTTCCTCCTCCATCAGTACCGCTCGGGAGATTCCAGCTTCAACAGGTATCTCTTATGCAGTGGCTATATATCCTTACATGGCGGAGCAGGATGATGAGTTCGATGTTGTTGTGTACGTTCTACTTGCCTTTATCCCCTAAATCTGTTAACAATGGAATCTCTAACGCAGGGGAGATACCTTTGTTATTCTGTCTCGAGCCCGTGGGTGGTGGGTCGTCCAGCGCGATCCTACAGGCTCTGGAATCGTCGACACCGAGATATCCAAGCAAGGATGGGTACCCGCCGGGTGCCTACTCGAGACCAATGTTCCCGTGGCGTCTGCAATAGCTGAAGCGACAGCATCGAAGACAAATGGTTTGCTAACCTCATCATCGACGGCTAGTAGCAGTTCTGGTTCTCCACCAATTACCCCAGCAGGCAAGACACCCATTCTGCCCCTGAGCATCATCTCGACGAGTTTCCCTGGTATCGCATTGATGGACTACAAGAAGAAGGGAGACGAGGAGCTAGATCTTGCAAAGGATGACGCCTTGAGAGTCTTCAAGCGATATAATCATTGGTCATACGTATGTCTCCCGATGTGACTTTGTCCTCATGGAAACTTACTGTCTTTCTCTAGGCTGTCAAAGAAGAGAGCGGCGACCGCGGTTGGGTGCCAGTGCGTATCTTCGCGCTTCCTTACTTGTCTCTAACTAAATACGTCGTTCACTTTTAGTCGTGGTTCATCGGGAAGGTCTCCACAGCCCCCGCTACTCCGAATACGAGTGGGCCTAATAACCCCATGACCATTGATGATGGAATCAGCCAGCCACAAGTATCCCCCATGTCGTCAGCATTCCCATCCGTGCAGTCAAAAACTGCTGCCGTCGTATAATGTTATATATCTCGGACTTGGTTCATAGACGCGTGGATTCGCTTTCTTTTTCGTTCCCTTCTTATCCATCATATTCGCTGTCGTATTGCCCAGTCATTCCTTATAACAAATCTGTATTTCATCCATCATTTCTCTGATATTTACGCCTCTTTTCGACACTACTACATATCACTCGACGTCGCTCCTTCTGTACATCAACATGCCCATTCGTACCCTTCACCTTTGCTTGACTGCAGTTTCTCGCGTTGCGCTATATTCCACCTACACCTAAATGCTTGGGACGAGGTCATGATCTGGATATCCTGTTAATATTCTGTATTTGTATAATACATGATTGCCGCCGGGTAATACGGCGCCAGCGTGTCAAATCATAAACTCCAAATCTTCCCTCAGTACATTGTTTCGTTCACACTCTTTTTTTCTTCTCCACCCAACTTTTTGAGGCCATGCTTGGCTTCTACGAACTTCAATTGACATGTCTGGCCGTATTCTGCGCAGTCGCTCTCTTCATTGACCACCGCACGTCACGACGACAAGGCCCTAAAGATACCCCGGAATCCAGGCTTGAGAATGGCAAACTCGGTTCCGCTGCAGGGTTCGCTGCGCTTGCCAGACAGTACCTGGCGGTCTACGCTATTGTAATGGGCGAGTACTGTTATCTATCGCTAACAAATAATCTGAGCGAACCTGTGCGACCCGCGTTGGTCTCTTCTCGATAGGTGCCGACTGGCTGCAGGGGCCGTATGTTTACTCGCTCTACAGAGAGCAGTATAAATTCCCTGAGCGACTCGTCGCAGTCCTTTTCGTGACCGGCTTTGTTTCTGCAGGGCTCACAGCGCCTCTCATAGGTGTCTGGGCTGATCAACAGTACGTGGCCATCAATGTCGCTTCATGGCTGTCATTCTGATGGCCTGGCATCGGCCAGTGGACGGAAACGGATATGCATGGCGTTTTGTATCACGTACACTTTGGCCTGCTTGTGTATTCTCGTCCCATGGCTCCCTGTCCTCCTCATCGGCCGCGTTCTGGGTGGAATATCCACGTCAATCCTCTTCTCCGCGTTTGAGTCGTGGTTAATCTCGGCTTCTACCTCCCAAGGTCTCCCCCAGCAGGACCTTTCCACTATCCTCGGACGTGCGACACTCCTGAACGGACTGGTCGCCACTGGTGCTGGTGTGGTAAGCAATCAACTCGTCGCTACAACCTCGTCATTCGCATCGCCCTTCATTGCGAGTGGCGGCCTCCTTATCCTCGGTTGGACCGTCATTCGCTCCCTCTGGACAGAGAACTACGGAAGCGGAGGCGGCACGAACGATACCACGGACATATTTCAGATGAAGAGACTTGGTCAAGCGCTGCACATCGTTCGATCTGGTGCGTGGAAATGATTGGGTTGTTTTCTACCCTAACCTCCTAGTAAAGATCCATTCCTCCTTGCCCTCGGCCTGACACAGACGTGCTTCGAGGGGTCGATGTATCTGTTCGTCTTCCTGTGGGTGCCTTCGCTTCAAGAAGCCTCAGCCACATTCCCCGCTGTTGCACTTCCATTGGGCTACATATTCTCCGCTTTCATGATCTCCATGATGCTCGGGTCACTGCTTTACACGGTCATATCGTCGCGCTCGCAACCACAATCCGGGTCAGACTCGTCGTTGGTGCTTCACGCGAAGTTGAGCAGTCTCGTGTGCGCTGTAAGCGCGCTGGCACTTGCAACGAGCGTCCGGTCGAAGGACGAACATGTGCGATTCTGGGCGTTTTGCGCGTTCGAGGCGTGCGTCGGGATGTACTATCCCGTGCAAGGCATGCTGCGTGGATCCCTTATTTCCAACGAGCACCGAGCCACTGTGAGTATTTCGTACTTTCGTTGATCAACACTCATTCCCTCCGTACTCCACAGCTATCATCGCTGTTCCGGGTGCCTTTGAATGTATTTGTGGTAATCTCGCTGCTGACGGGCGTGTCGTCGGCGCGATATGCTGTTCTTTCAGCTAGCGCCATCATGCTGGCAGTCTCGGCGGTGACAACGGCGCTTGTGATCGTCAATCGCGCCGACGGGATCACTGCCGATGAGAACCCTCGTACTGCCTGAGTCGTCGTTCATACCCCCTAAAACGTATTTTATCATCTGTGAGCTTTCACTATTAACTTGGATGTATCTTTGCTTTGGACCGGAACGTAGAGCATCTTATCAGATAAGAATTTGACCTCGGCGTCTAAACAGGTAAACAGTTCGCCGCACGCCCACTAGTCCCAGTCCAGTTGTCATTGCGCTGTCCGTCGCGGCCATGCCAGCAGTGCTACGGCGCATAAGTAGCACCACGGATGCTTCCCTTTCGCCCGAGAGGACTTCACTGCCAACTCTCTTCCACCAAGGGTAGCCACCATGTTCCACTTGTTGCGCATGGCCCTGGTTATCTGTCTGCTGGTCTGTTTGGCCCGGGCACAGGATCCACCGTGTTTGAAGAGCTGTGATGTGGATGGCGTGATGAAGATGTGTTCAGTGTGAGTCCCCGTGTTGCCCTTCCTTGTTACAGTATTTTAATGGCCGTTGGGGAAATAGTTCCGGTGGCCAGAGCGTCCCGTGTTATTGCCAGGTCAAACCCGATCGAGCAAAATTCTTTGCGTGCCTAAAGAAATCATGTACGGAGAAGCCCAACATGGCAGAGGACTTTATGAAGCAGCGTTGCTCAGTGAGCACCATTTGAGCCTGCTCGTCAGGATTGACTAACAAACTGTATTAGCATTCGAGGGTGAAGGTACACCACCATCGTAGGCTGTCGCTGCATTGACCACCCAAGCCGAACTCGTGGTCGGTGCCGTCTCCCTTGCATCACCTCCCGGTACCCGGGTGGTGGTACACTATTCGCCGGCCCGGCTGATTTCCTGGGAACACCAGCCTTCGACGGCACCCGCGACCTCGCACGGATGTCTAAACGCACCCACCGAAGAGGCGGGACATTTTAAGCCGTTCCTTCTAATCACACGTTTGTCCGATGGATAGATAGATTGCCAAATGTATACCCTGTGTAATTGTAGAACGCGGATGGAGAGTTCTCACTGGTGGAAATCGATACGTGTCGTATACTTGCTTTGTGCTAGCCACCACGAGTCTACGACCTCTTTCATTGAGGATTTAACGCAGCTAAGCCTTGGCGACTACACCAAGCGCAGTCAGTTGGTGAGTAAGCCCCTGATACGCATCCACGTGACTTACCACGTCCGCGATTGGCTGGTGTCTCCGCGATTTTTCAGCTTTCCTTTCCTCCGTTACCACCGCCCACCACCCAGGCTTTGGGTCTTCGCCTTCCCCCATCGACCCCCCAGTTCTCATGGCAGAGGAGATTGACTATGAGGCTCTGTCCCCCAATGCTGGACTCGGCGTAGGTCTCATCGTATTCCATACAAAGCAGTGCTAACAGACTCTTTGGTTCCGAATGTTCAGATAAACATGCTTGCAGGCGCCTTCGTGAGCTTTGGTTTGGTTCAATGCATGATACTGATCAGTTAACAATGTTTGAAATACAGGCTGGCATCTCGGAGCATGCCGTCATGTACCCGGTCGATAGCATTAAAGTTAGTATATTTCCAGAGAGCTCATTCGCGTCGCGTCGTTTCTGAAGCATGGGAACCAGACACGTATGCAAGTATTTGCTACATCGCCAGCGGCGGTATACACTGGTATTGGCAACGCTTTCACACGGATTTCGTCGACCGAGGGAATGAGAGCGCTATGGCGGGGCGTATCGTCCGTGATATTGGGCGCTGGACCTGCTCATGCAGTACAATTCGGGACACTGGAGGCGGTCAAGGAACTCGCTGGTGGGAATGCTGCGGGAAATCAATGGGTGGCGACGTGTATGTGCTCGTTCGATCGTATCCGGAGACTGACCTAATTGGTATGAAGCACTGGCGGGTGCTTCGGCTGCCATTACCAGCGATGCTTTAATGAACCCATTCGATGGTGAGCTCGTCGTGTTTTCTTGATCCGTGTGACAGTTACCGAATAGTCCAGTCATCAAGCAGCGTATGCAGGTCCACAAGTCGGAATTCCGGTCGGTGTTCGCCTGCGCGCGTACGGTCTTCATGAAAGAGGGAATAACCGCCTTCTACGTATCGTATCCCACGACGCTCATGATCACAATCCCCTCTAACGCCGTCCAATTCACCGTGTACGACCACCTTAAAAAATGGATAAATCCGCGTGGGGAGTATTCACCCACTACACATATGATCGCTGGTGCAGTATCAGGGGGTGTTGCTGCAGCTGTGACAACACCGCTTGACGTCGCTAAGACGATTCTCCAGACACGGGGGACGGCGCGGGAAACCGAGCTTCGGAACGTGAGGGGGCTGGCGGATGCCTTCCGCGTTATATGGCGGCGGGATGGGATAAAGGGATTCGGGAGGGGACTGACACCTCGGGTGCTCACACATATGCCCAGCAATGCACTATGTTGGCTCTCTTATGAGTTTTTCAGTAGGCGATTCTTTGGGGCTGGACTCTGGAAATGGACTGACCGACTGTTCTAGAGGTGGCCATCCGGGAAGCATAATGCGATTCGATCGACAACCGACAAAAACGTTGGGGTTCGGTTCTGCTGCCTTTATATTTTCAGCTCAGCGTCTATACACTACATTTCATTTTCTACAGAATATTGCGCAATATATATCCTGGATCTCACCCCTCATTTACCAATACGTCGTGCGAGGTGCTCCGAGAACCGACCGCCCGAAATGAGCAAAGCTAGACATGTTGCTAACTCGACGACATCTACTCCATGTCGATGCTGAAATTCGGATCTGTAATGCGTCAATTCAATGGGGGTCAGTGGAGGTAACGAACGTGCCAGATCCTCCATGGTCGTGACCATGTGCCTCCCTAAAATGTGCGTGCCCACATGGACTGAACGGGCGAACATAGGACACGGGTCCACTCTTTCTTGTTTCCGTCTCCGTGTGCTCGCTTGCAGATGAGGACCTCGAAGGTCACGGACAGAAGAGGGGCCAGGCTGTGTGTCTATGAACCATTTCAGCTACTCAGGAATTCTATTCTACGCTTCTACGTGAGAGGTAAATGCTGGCGGTGCCCATCGTTGCCCCTTGGCATCCCCTGTTGGCACTCCTGTGTGTTCCCTGGTCGGTGAGTCGAAAGTTTAAGTGGCAGGCTGTACCTAATACTGCACGCGAATGCTATACTTCGTGCGCGCTGTTGCCCAATCATGTAGTGCTTCTTTGATTGTCGATGTCGCCATAGTCAGAGGTCAGTATTTGTGCGTGTTTGGCCAACGGTGCTCAGATTTTGATTGAGTCGAGGAGACGGGCGCTTCGTTGATTGCTGGCCTCTAGCAGGCCATTCTGACCATCTTCCTCCTCGAATTTCTTCCTTTTATGCTCTCATGTCATTTTTTGGTTTTGAACAAAACGATCTAGAAAAGGAAAAGGCCAACTTTCTGAGAGGTCGTGTCCACGAACCCGAAGATATCGCCGTATATACTTGGGGCGAGGAAAGCTACGATGGGCTCGGGGATGCTCTTCTCGAAGGCGGTGATGACCTGAATAATGAGACTTTTGGTGACGCTGGTGTCGTCGGTGAGCACGCCCACAATGCCTGTCTTGGACCACGGTCACACAATGTCTAGGAAAGGACTTTGATTTCTCCAATGCCGCCCTTCCTGATGACTTGGGCCATCCGACAAGCCAGTCTGGCCATCCTTCTGAATTCGCCAGGGAGCCGGCTCCATCTAAATTCGGTGCATTACAAGGACAGCAGCAGCAGCGAAGTCAGTACCAAGATCCAAAGCCCAAATCCGCAACATCCTCCGTGAGGTCTAGTCAAAACGGTAGGTCCATGTTGATCCAATTAAAGTAGAGCAAGTACCCATGACTACTTAGCCGCTCGTTCAACGCCACCGTCTCTGGAAGCTATCTGGAACGATACTTCCCCGTTCTCTGTTCTCCCTGGACGCACCGGTAGTAGTAATGGCGCTGGCCGCTTGGGCACGGATCCATCTAGGATGGGGCTGTCTACTTCTCCGCGTCCCCCTTCAGCATTTAACGGCAACCACGCCCAAAGCAATCCAACCGCCCCCAGCAAATTCTCGCCCTTCGATAATGGTCACGAAGAACCTCTGGCTATACACCAACCTCTTGGTCACGGAGGACATGGTGTTCGAACTTTGCAAGAAATCGAGGCCGAGATGCGTCTTGCTGCCCAGCGTCAGCAACTCCAGCAACAGAAGGAGCAACAGCTCGTCCGCCAGCGCCAGTTGATAGAACAGGAACAACTTCGCATCCAGCAGCAGGAGCAGGAGCAGGAACTACTCGTTCGTCAACGCCTTCAACTTCAGCAAGAACAGCAGCAGCAGTTGCAGTTACAGCAACTTCAGCGGCTTCAGCAGCAACAGTACCTCCAGGAACGGGCGCATCAGCATCAACGTACTCCCCCTCCTCGAATGCTCCCGGTGTCCCAGTCGCCTCGGTTCCATGACGCTCAACAACGTCAACTATTGCTCCTTCAGCAGCAACAGGAACAGCAGCAACAACAGCGACTACTTGAACTGCAGGAGCGCTTACGTATTGAGGACCTGGACCGGCAACTCCGTGCTACGCAAATCTCCCAACTCAACCAAGGGCCTACTGCTCATCGACGCACCCCGTCAGGACCCACCATCGCAGAGTACCAAACCGCCATTCTGCAGCAACAACTCCAGCAGCAACAGCAAAACTACCGCCGTCAGCATTCTCAGTCGCCTGCCTTGCGTGATGTGGCCGATTACGGGAATGTTCCGCTGGGTCAAGGCCTGAACTACTTACCCCAGAGCATCCAGTTGCAGCAGAGATTGTTATCTGAGCTAGCGCAAGCCGAGTTCTTGAGGGACATGCATGGCGGTGCGCCGGTCGATCAGGAAGCTTTGCGAACAGAAGCCTTGCGGAAGATCGTCGAAGCCGAGCAAATGGAAGAGAAGAGAAGGCGGAAAGCTATGAAGATCGCCCGTATGGTATGTCTCCTGCTTCGCATCACTAGCGCTCACTCACTCCCTCACAACACATATTCACTAACCCTCTTCTCGTTCATGTAGTCCAAATACAACGATCTGATGACACAATCGGACAAGGACTTCATCACTCGTATTCAGGTCTCACAGCTAGTCACTCAAGATCCCTATGCTGAGGACTTCTACGCCCAAGTGTACGGCGCCATCCTACGGTCAAAGATGGGATTGCAGCCGCACGATGAGCGGGTGCTGAAGTTCGGCTCTGGCGGAGGTGTGGGCCTGGGACTCGCGCAACAGAAGGGTAACAATCGACGGCCGAACGCTATGCAACGAATGGAGCAACAAGTCGAGCGGATTGTGAGCAATGCACGTAAGAGGGAAGAAGAGAAAGGCGTGCACTGTGAGCTTGTTGGCAGTCAAAGATGGGTTGCGCTTACCTTGTTATCGGAATAGCTCTCCAGAGTCTGCAGGGCGCTCTGGGCAAGACCTCTGGACGAAGCTACAAAGCGGCTCCGCGTCAATTGTTGCAAGTCGACTCTTCGCCGACCCTAGGCAACACGCATGCGCATATATCGAAGCAAGACTCCAATGACCATGCCCAGCAGGCCAAACGGCTCGGACAGGAAGCTTTAGGACATGCAGCGGATGTGAGGCTTTTATCTGTAGTCATTCAGCGGGATCTGTGGCTTATCGCACCTTTTTCAGAGCTCCGGTGTTACTCGCAGGGAGCCATTGGCCCACAGGGAAGTTCTGTCCATGCTTGAACATCTGTACGACCTCGTTCTGCAAGCTGAGCAACTGCGGAGAGATCAGCCTCTTCCGGACGAACAAGAGGAGTTGGCCGACTGGTGCGCATATAGTTGGCCCTATGTTTCACCGTTTCAACATTACTTTTTTAAGGGAGTACGAGTACAAGCTTGTTGGTGAGCACCTATGGGAAGGTCTTAAGGTTATGGTTCCTCTCGAAACTAGGTTTGTCGCTCTTCTATTTGCGCCCCGCCCTTAATTGATTTTGCTACTCAGCGACCCCCACCCATTCATATCCCTCCTGATGCCCGTAAAAGGAAAGAAGCTCCTGCCACGCCTATGCCGCCACCTCGCCGACGAACAGATCTACACCCTCCTTACTCTCCTTGTTGCGTGCTTCAACCAACTCGACGTCGTCAAGGATGCTCCAATCCTGGACACTCTGGAGGACACCCCCGAGCGCGCCGAAGTTGATCGTCAGACACAGGCCTTCCTGACCGGCGGCGTCATCCAGAGCATCTTGCCTGTGATGTCAAAGGCACCACTCCGTATCGTCACTGGGCTTCTGGGATTACTTCTTGATAGGACCGATATAGCGGCGATCACTCAGACGAAGGTTAGTCGCCTATATTTGATCGAATATCAACGTGGTCTGACATGCTTTCTAGCCTGGTTTGGCTCTCTTGACACTGTTGTTGAGCCGTGTCGAGGTCATCAAGCAGAACACCGCCAATTCTCTGGAAATGCTCGAGGTGGAGGAAGAGCGCCCATCTCCTGAAGAAGCTCATCAATGGTGAGCGCATCCAGATTTTCTGGGAAAGAATCCCCCTGATCGCTCGGCTCGGAATTAGGACCCTCATGTTCGACCATCTCTTCCAACTCCTGACACCACATCTTCTCGCTTTGTTCTCATCTACTCGTCTCGCCCCTCTTCTCCCTCAAGGTACCCAAATTGGTATCGCTATGGATGAACTCGATCAGCAAACGTGGCAGTTCCTTGCTGCCCTGGCATTACACGCGTCCCCTGAACAGCACCAAGTCCTTGTAGCCAGTCTCCGCGAGAAGATCCTCCACAACGTTGTCAGCATCAACAAGGGCTGGGTGACTGACGAGGAAGAAACCCGCCTGAAACTCGCAAACGTCAACATTTTCCTGAATGCCATCGGTCTAGACAGCTCTCAAATAACACTCTAAAACCTCGGGCTCCCATTTTCAAGTACAGATCCAACATTCGACGTTCGTAATCTAGTAGTAGTAATACATGTTCCTCTCTGTTGTTCATGATCTAGCTACATGCTCTGCATTTCCTTCGTAAACAGGCTGCTCTCACAAGGATATCACAGAACCTAGTCGCCAGGATGGTATAATATAAGCGTCGCACATTAGGTCCCGCGCGTCGTACGGAGTAGTTGGGGGTAGAGGGCAAAAGGTGATTTCATTTCGTCGCTCCAGTCCTTCGTCGATGATGTCCTCCAATGTCGTTATCGAGCCGGTGAGGTTCAACACAGGCAGAGTTGACCAAGCTGGTAATGTTTCGCCTGGAAGCTTGAGTAGTTCGCCTTTAGGCCGCCCAGCAGAAAGTGGCATCAATGGCAATAGGAATAGTTCGAGTTTTTCCCTGGTCCGAGCCTTCACATGAGAGCCAACCTCGACGTGGTTCGTTGAAAGAGACAAGAAGTCTTCGAAGTTAGGATAAAGCATGACATAACCTCGAAGGTAGACAAGTTCGATGAAGAATTTCTTCCACGATTTCTTCCATCTGTTCGATCTGACGTTTGGAACGATGTTTTGCTCGAGATTGATGTATACTTCAGCTAGTCTCGCAGAGAGATAGCTGTGGAATTCCCGCCAGTGCTCTGGGAAATACACTGCCCCCCAGCTGCAGGGAATCTGTGATAGATAGGGAATGGAAGGATCTGGGTGGCCATGGCGGGAGAAGAGCTTTCGTGCGTCGAATGGTTGTCGACCTTGAGGCCTGAGCTCGATGTTCTTCGGTTGATAGAGACTGATTCCGAAGAGCTGCGGTGAACGGTTGCGCTTGTCGCCGTACCGATATCGCAGGACCGTCATTTTGACCCAGGCGTAGAATAGAGGCGAGAGCTCAACGTCGTCTTCGAGTAAGAGACCATAGGAGTCATTAGATGAAGGATACCAGGATTCTACAACAGATGGGAGCAGACCGCCCGATTTGACTCTATGATGGACGAAGACAGGACCGTGAGGCCAGGTGTAGTGGTGCACGAGATGTTGTGTTTCGTAGTCCAGGGATTGGTCGATATTGAACCTCAAGTTAAGTGTGTCGCCGAAGAACCGAGCGCTCGAGAGCGAAGTGATCAGGCGACGAAGAGATTTCGGCCTGTCCTTAGTTATCACGCTCACGTCGACCTGCGGGTGGTGCCAGTCTACATGCAATTGTTGAGTTTCGTAGGTTAGCAATTGAAAGGCAACCATCTACTCTTTAATTCTAAGAATGATAGACTGGCCATCCAGGATGTGTAGGTTAGATCTTCGCGAGGTAATTGAATATGTGTCGCGAGGGGAAACTGTCGTTTGATCGTTGCTTTAAGGAATAAGGCCTCACTTGGCCCCATATCCGAGGTGATAATAACCTCCGTAGCAATGGGACCCAAATCGTGGTCATCAACGAGAATGTCTGGTAAAGCCGAAAACGAGGAGCGCGTATATGGAAGGATACAGGTGTCCTGTTGAAAGAAGTCCGCCGCTGAATGAGTGCCCAACCCGTACAGAAGAATCTTCATCAGATACCCTTGTTTGAGGAAGCCGCATGCAACGGGAGCCAATTCTCGGAGGTCTTGGACAGTGGGAAGAACGAGATACATTTGGCCTGATGGCGCGGAAGGATGGTCGATGGATTGGGCCAGTCGAGCCTCACTGCCGATATCTGGGCCCTTCTCACCCATGGGGCAGATCGAATTGGCATCCAGGGGGAGCAAGGGGTCTAGGGGAATTTGACCTAATGTATCATTGAACGACCTCTTTCTGTAGTCTTGTCCGCGGCACCAGTCTTCTTCTGCGTTGATAACGACTCCACCTTGTGCGTGAGCGTCCGCGGCAGAGACGGACCTACCGAAGTCTTTCCATACGGCCGAATGGCTCAGAGAAGATATTGAGTGCGGGAGTGACGAAGGGGTAACAAACGGCGGAACGAGGTATGAAGCATACAAGGGTTGAGGTGATGGCGGAATGCAGTGGATTCCGTGTGGGTGGTCGACCACGCCGCGAGGTCCTGTAGGAAGTGGTACGTCCAGTGGGTTCAATAGTTGGTCCTTAGCGTATTCGCTGAATCCATCCAGGCCTTGTTCATCTAGAATGAGCGCCCATTTCGTCTTCACTTGGCCTGCCATGCGGATACTGTCAATGGCGAGGTTTTCGATGTAGCTACTAAAGGGCGGGTGTAGTGAGATCACTGGGTAGTCGTGTCCATCCAGTGAGGCGACAAGACGGCGCAAGATAGGTTTCGCTTGGGTAACCAGAGCCTCGGGGCATACCAGCCAAATGTCCTGTAGTCGTGTCGTTCGTGTAAGAAAGTACCGCAATTTCTTCTCCATGGTCGGGAACGATGCCTCGGTAACGGGTAATATGACAGTCAACGAGTGCGGCGGTATCACTACAGGCTCGCCGATACGGGCAACGGAGTAGGTGTGTCCAAGAGAAGTCTGTTCCCTCTCGGCGACGACTTCCTTGTGGCTCGAGGCGATGTCCTCCAAGGATGCGCCAGCCTCAGACTCCGGGGGGTGTCGCCAAAGAGCAATGAGGAGAACCACCGCGATTATAAGAGTCATTCCAGGACCCATCGTGAGCTGCATTATAGTCGCCCAAGAAATCGACCCGGATGAGCCGGAACGCGGCACTTTCGTTACTTTTCGCGGGGGTGGCATAAACGAAGAGGAAAGGGTAGTGCCGTGGGAATATCCCGACATCCGCATAAGGACTTGCCCGACCGGCGCTAATCTTCTTGACGGCGTGCCACATTGTTGAAGCTTGTTGATTCATGCCCGTGAGTCCTGAGTCGCGTGTATTTCCATTTCACGCGTACATCATTGACACCCAAAGTCACAGATCTTCGAGGGCGACGGCCGCCCTCTGGCTTTTCACTTGGACGCCTCAATCAGGAAAGGAGCGCGTCAAAAACTAGAAGCGGATATTAAGGTTAGTAAATCACGTACGTGCCTTCGTCCGACGCGCTCACGGGGTCCAGGAGCATGGGGGAACCGTTGTCGAGCGGCTTAGCGATGCGGACTTTAGTATCGTGGATGAGAAACATCTGCGCGGTGGACGAACACTGCTGAGCCTCGGTCAAGCTTATGGACTGACATTCCCCAACCTACGCTTCCGAGGACTTAATTTCGTCCAAGCATGCATCAGGCAAGGTGCTATATTCACGCCTGTTGTCATAAGGAAAGCAATGGGAGGCGTACCACCAAGAGAACAGTAAGTTGCCGCTAACTAACTTCACGCGTTTGCTGAAATATTTGACGCGTAGGCGAGGCCGCAGGGAATTTACACCCAGGGACGACGAACACCTCGCGGAATACCTCGCTACCGTGGTGCCCGATCCTGCGTCTGGCGGACGAACCGGAAATGCTATTTACAGCAAGCTATGTGTAAGCTATCCCCGTGCACAATGCGCCGACCCCCTTCTGACCCCCAACAGAGTAATCCTGAGATTCCGTGGGCAGGAAACCATCCTTGGGAGAGCTGGCGGACCCGTTATAAGAACAAACGGCAATGGTTCGACAGCAAAGTTGCTGACATTGTCAGGGCGCGACCTGCTAATCCGGAAGCACTCCATATACAAGACCGCCGATTGAACCGCCGACCCTACAACGACGCTTACCATCTTCGCGAGGAGGAAGAAGAGCGCACAGATGAGGAAGCAGATCCTCGAGCTTCCCTGAGCCCGTCGTTTCGCCCAAGCCCTGTAGATACTCAGAAAGCAGAGGCCAACCTTGGAAAACGCGCTCGGCGTCCTCGAGGTAGCACACAATCAGAGCATATATCTCAGCAAGAATCCGCCACTCTCGGCAAACGGGCCCGTCGTCATACCGGAGGCGATGAATCCCCATTGAAGCGGGCGAGAATCCAAGAAGACAGGGACGATGAAGTTCGTGCATCCCAGGATGCTATCAGTCTCAATGCCCCGGCCAGTGACGACATTGAGTACGCTCAGATAACGACTGTTATAGACATGAACTAAATATCGGCGTTTAAGGTACTTCTTTGACGACGCCTTGCGCGACTTCCATCCCGAACCTGGGCCATCGAACACGCAGCGTACGTTGGTGGACTATAGCTTCCCTCCAGTAGAAACCCTCGATCCCGAATCTCCACCCAGAAGTTCCCAGACTGCGACTGCCCCTAGACTACCACGAACGTCTCAACAAACACTCGTAGGATCATCTCCCCGCCTGCAACCATCGAGGAAAGGAAAGGAAAGGCGGATCCACTTTGACTCGGACTCAGAGGACGATAGCGATTTTGATATGTTTGGCGACCGAATTTCACCTGTCCGCGAAGCTCAGGCAGCGAACCCGAACGCAACTCCAAGTCCACCGAAGGAAAGACCTCGTGACCACGAATCGCAACCACCACCTTCGGAAGAGCCCGACTACTCCGACAACGAGTCTACGGACGATTTATTTGACCAGACCGGATACGATATGACCCACGAAGCTCATAATCCTGTTGTCGAGACGCAAGACGAAGAACCAGTTATTGAGAATTCAGATGCCGGATCAGTGGGTGATCCATTCGACCAAACCGGCCATGATATGTCTCACAAATCTCAAACCCCTGTTGCCAAGATACAAGACGAGGAACCGGATATTCAAGATCCAAATGACGGGTTCGTGGATGATCAATTCGACCAAACCGGGTACGATATGTTGGACGAGTCTCAATACCCGACTGTTGAAACGCAAGAGGACGAAGAAGATATTGAAGCTTTGCTATTGGCCGATCCAGCTAACTCTAGCACGAGGTCTAATATCACCCGATCTGAAAACGTGTCTGCTGCGTCGCAACGGGAATCCTCTATTGAACACTCTGATGACGAGCAATCGTTGGATACAGACGATAGACAGATTGACGCCATTCATAAGGTCTCTCGCTCATTGTCTACCCCTTCGCGCCACTCGTCGTTTGGCCCGAATGACCGTGACTCCCCCGAGCAAAGCCAATCAGGTTCAGACCTTGACTCAGATGATGCTCAAACAAGAGACACGATCAAGGGGTCAGTTCTGCCAGCTTCTCCCGCCATCAGTGCGACCTCATCGGTTGGAATGTCTCCTATAGCTGACACCAAGATTCTCCCTGCAACGCCGGGCGTCCTCAGTCATCCCAGTCTCGGATCTTCGACAAGGAACCGCAACGGACCACGGCCTATGGAGCGGGATCTCGGGTCACCACCCTCTGATGATTCCGACGAGGATGTCGTACCTAGTCCAGGTATCCGAGCTCGTTTGCGTTCCGCGAAGACGCAGCCAGTAGTTAATCCCAAAACTCCGAAGCGGGCTGCAGCACTTTCGGACTCTAGCGTCGATAATACTATCCCTTCTCCGTTTACAAAGGCATGGCAGGTAAAGCAGGAGCTTGATAGAGCAGCCAAGCAGCGACCTTATGAACCACCGCCGGGGACTAGGGCTGCCCGTGTTCGCTCCGAGCGGAGACTTTAGCAAATATCTATACTCATTACAATAATTCTCCGTCCTACTGCCGGCTGGCTACCAGATACAGATATGTTCACAATGTTAACAACCTTTCAGACGGATGATTCTATTGCTCTAAGGATTACAACAAAGGTCATGAATTACAGGAGAGCGAGGTATCGCAGAGCATTCAGACAGGAAGGTATCGACATCAGCCAACGTTCGAGTATTTCTTGTTCACTACCTCCAAGAAGTCCAATATGGTGCTGGAACTCCACGCCTGGGTATTGCAGGAATCAGAGCAATATTCACCGTTGGCGTTGGTCAACTCAGGAAGCCCAGCCCATGGGTCGTTTTGAACGTGGTTTCTTGGTTGCAAAAGAATCCGGTGCAGGTGGTGAAGAGTCGTCTGTGGGTCCTACGGACCGTGAACAAAATGTGGTAACGAACGTAGGACAGGACTCACAGAGGCACCCGATCCTACTCGGGTATCGAAGTGCAAGTACGCTTGCAAGAAATAACCTAGGGGCCAACCCCACTCAGGGCCCTGTCCACAAGTCAACTTTCAATATCTAGAATAACTCGACGCCAATTTAGTACTTACGTTGTGGTAGTTTAGTCCCTTCGCGATGGATGGATCAGTGGAGTCATTTGAGTTGTCATAAACAGGACGGTATTGCATATCCGCTGGATCCAGCGTCTTCATCCCCAGTGGACCGCGGAGAACCTTGTCCGCGATCTGTAGAGAACCGAGAGCATGCTTGTCGTGGAATAGCTCAGGGGCCACTGTCATTGCAATAGGGAAATTGCAACGAAGCTGATAGTCAGACCATTCACGCCCAGCTCCCGAACCGTAAACGTCTTTGTAGATACCCCGTCGATTGACAAGGTTGGTGTTGATGTTATAATTGACGTCGTCCTTGGGGTCTTCAGGGACGTAGTAGCATTTTTCGAAGGAGTGCTGAATCAAATCAGCCCATTGCTGATAAGTGACGAGCTGCTGCTCTCCGTTGACTGCAGATGTGTTAGTCGTAGTTGCGGGTGCAGGTGCGGCACTCACTAGTTGCGTTCACCCCTTTGAACGGGAATTTCCCTTTAGCTGAAAGCTCCGCCAACCATCTTAGCGTGCTTTTCAGTAGTCCAGTGATTTCGATGGGAGCACCGTCTCTGGGGGTACCGGGCACACCCTTCGTCCCTGCCCGCTCTGATTCACCCATCTTATCCATCCACGTCCCGCAATTGTGAGCATTCCCGCCTAGGATAAGCCCAGTCTCCCAGTCTACTCGGATGTCGATATCGAATCCTTCTCCTTTCATCTGCATGTCGAGGTTCGGACCGGCGTTGTATTCCCTGAAACTGATCCCCTCAGCGTGCCTCTGAAGAATTTCCTGGACAATTTCGGCGATGGAACTAGAATAAGCGTATGCACGCTGATCGTCCCAAGCGACCCAAGTATCATCCTTGGGGAAACGACGCTTCACTTGTTGCGTTAAGATCGACAACCCGTCTGGTGCCATTGTCGCATAGTCTTGGATATTCTGCACCATCCACCAAGGAGAATCCCTCGAATTATACCTTCGAGTAATCCAGTGAGTTGAAGTAAGACACAGTTGAAAGAGTGATGGCTTACCGAGGGTTCCGTACGGAATCCAGGAGATTAGGTATCAAGCCATGCTTTAATGTGGATGCGAAGGCAAGGATATGCCTCTTCGCCCCCTCGAAGTTTCCTGTGGTCAAGAACAAACCCCGCAACGAGATAAACACATCTCTCCCCCAACATCTAGCCCAGCCAGCCGCGAAGTGAGGCAAACCCGCAGCTAAAGATGGCGTAGGTTTGGAGGGGTCAAGGGACGCTGATTTGACTAAACCATGCATCTGAACAGAGCACAGAGCGAGATTGTGGGTGAAGTCGTGCCCTGAGAGCACGAACTCGGACGACTGCTCGATGACAGCTCGGCGTGCAGCTTTGTACGCGGTGGATACCACGAGGGCAAAGTATTTCGGCCTCATGAAATTCGGAACGCTTGATTTAATGCGGTCGAAGCGTTCTTTGAACCACTCTGCTGGTTGCTTGAGGTTAGGTAAATCATCTAATTGCCTAAGTGGTTGGCGTCAGCGAAGGCCGATGGTGTAGCAAGAAAACTTACCTGAGCAACCTGTTGACAATATAATCCAACGCCCACGAACCGTCCCTCAAATGACCGCAAAGTGGATGCCCTAGGTCGTTATACTGCATGATATGTCGCAAGGGATGCATCCATCCCTGTAATCCGCAGTAAACCAATTTCCCTAATCCGGGGACATCGTACGTTCCAAATTCACCCTGCGTCGCGTCTCTCTCTTCACCATCCGCACGATGCAATACGACGTTCAGGTCGACTAAATCCAATGTCCCGAATGCCTTCTGAGCATCGGATGCGCAGAAAGCTTCAAGGGACGCGTCGTATTCCTGTAACTGCGTTTCGAAAACCATGATACTTCCTGGAGGGAAATATTCGGGAACTGCGATTTCGGAGTACGGTCCCTCAGCATCGATGTGCTGAGGAACGACGACCGTAGGCATCTCTGTAAGCGAAGCTGGAAGACCGTGCAATGTCTTGGCGTCTATTGGCACTTCATAGGAGGATATCTCGAGTGTAGAGCCCAGGATGAATTTGGCTCTCGTGCGTCGCAAGCGTACGGGTGTTACTAAAATTCTACGTTCACTGGGGCCAGTCGACAGAGAAAATGGCACTAACGGTATCCTCGATCCTTCGAGCCCTTAGAGAACGCAGTATGCGCCACTAGGAGGTAACCCCTTTGGGTGGACGGCTGGACGCGGTGAAGCACGATGTACTGCGCGAGGTGAATCGAAACATCATCGAAACATGACGAGAATGACGTACGTCGTTTTCTTGATGTACATGGCCCTCTTCGAAGCCATCCAAAACCATCTCAAGGTGCAGTTCGTTTAGGGTCCTCTTGATCTTGCTGATCCCACTTCCATCTCCTACTCCTGGAACTTCGTAAAGCCTCTTTTCGCCCACCAGGTTCAAGAGCTTGGGATAAAGGTCGTCAAAGCCTTTGACGGACCCTATTGCGCTGTAAGAAAAGGTAACAAGAGCGCCAGTTGAGAGGGCATCTTCTGCTGAACGCTTATCTAACGGGGATTCGTTGTCATGAGTCAGATCATAAAGCAATGCATGTGGCATAGATCCGTTGAGAGGCGTTACGGTGCATTGTCGAACTGGACCCTTCCCGGTGGGTGGTGGTAACTCCTCTGCAGTCGTCATGCAGGCACCATCCATGGATCCTAGTTTCACAGTTAGGCAGATAGCGCTACTTCAGAGCAGTACGTACCGATTGGTTTGCCAACGCCGTGCCTATATAACAATCTCGACAGCTCTTTGGGATCCCAGCCATTCCCGCTCTCCCGAATCAAACTGTTGATACCTAGACTCTTGACGAACAACAAGTCCATTTCTTCGCTTCCGGTGAAGAGCTCCGCACAGACGTACAGATCTGGGTTCACTACCCGCGCGGCGTCGAGCATATAGACGCCAACTTGTAGAGGGGTAGAATGACAATTGTCGATGCGAAAGCCATTGAAAGTCGATGCCAAGGAAGTAACATAGCTAGACATATACTCCCAAAGCCACGGGTTTGATGAGGGGCCATCGCCGTAACGGAGTTTGACGCAGTCGCCCCAGACGATAACCTCTCGTCGTAGATAGGCCTTGGATGGTAAGAGCGCAAAGTTTTGGAGAGGATCTGCGTTCCAAATCCACCCATTGTTTGCGAGAGAGTATTTCAAGGGATCCGCATCCGAATGAGGCGACAACCGGGTGAAATAGCTTTCAACGAGTGGCGAACTACGCGAAAAACCATCAGTCATCGTAAATCAATCCACAGGTAAGCATAGACTAACTCGCGAGAGATAGCGCCAAGCTTGGGGCCATGTTCGTCCAGTCGCGTGTATTTGAGCCTATTCTTGATACCTTCAAGTGCGGCCTTCGTATCGTCTTCCCATTCCTCATACAGGGGGACATTTAGGACATCAATCACCCTCGCCCACGCTTCAGCCAACGCCTCTACGTCCGTTATGTCAACAAATGCAGCTTGCACGAAACCGGCAGCAACAGGCCCAGGGACATTAACTTTGAATCGGCCAGAGAATAAGCCTAGGCCGTCAATCTTGCTGGAATCCCGCAATGCTTTCGCAAGGTCCACGACGTTCTTCCCAGCTACATCTACTCCGTCCCACGTAACGATGTCACCCGATTCAAGGGCGCCTTTGATGGACGCTTTTGTTGCTGAGACATCTAGGACGTAATATTGCCACAAGTTAAGTGACTTCATTTCGTCCGCGAAGGCATTGGCCAATGTATCGACGTCCTGTTGAGAGCCGATTGAGGTTGGCAAGCCTTTTGCTGCCAGCGATGCAGAGAATTCAACGATAGCAGTATCTAATTCAAGGGCGGGCTCCAGGTGAGGAGAGTTATGTGGGCTAAAGCCTTGAATTGACGCGTTAGATAGAAATGAAATAGAATATGGTATCACGCACCAGCTTCCGGATGTTCTGGGAGCCAGGGGCTATCATCCGCGGTATGGTTGAGAACGACGTCCGTGAGACTGAGGAGCCCGTATTCATCTCTGGCGGTTTTCAGCGCTTTCTCTACGATGTTCTTACCACCATCTTCGACCACTTTGCCGCCGAACATAGATGGGTCATATTTGGTTTGATCACGAATCGAGTAAGGGCTGTCGCTATGGCCTCTTTCTTGCAGAGGAGTGTAGTGGAGCATGGTGTAACCCCGATCCTTTGCTTCGGCGAAGTGTTTGTTCCAGTCGGAAATGGGTCCCATCCATTTTGATACAACGGTGAGAATAGCCAAGCCATCCAGCGGCAAGTTGGCAGAATCGCTTTGAAGGATCGCTCCGGACGAGGGAGGGAGAGGCTTGAGATCGTCAGACAGAATCGGGCTGCGTTTCTTTATCCGGAGGATCGGGTCGATATTGAAGTATCCCCTCCTACCGGTTACCCGCTCACCCTGCTTCTCACCGTCGTACTCTACCCAGAACACGAAGGCGCCGGCTTGCGATATCGGAAGATCTATTTGTACAGGTTTGGAGAAGTTTGTGGGTAATCTGGCGAAGGCAGCAGGAGATTAGTGCATATATGCGAGATATATGGATCTATACAACTCACTTCTTCTCAGCGAACCTATCCCTGCTAAATTTACCACCGTTTAACGGAAAGTTCGTCTTGAAAACGCCGTTTTTAGAGGCAGGAGTGCCAGCATCAATAGACACTCGAAGGATGTATGGCGTGTATGCTGGCGGCAAGCGAATGTACTAAGACCAGCTCAGTGATGCACGTGTATACGGAACCTTAATGAATGCACCGATCTATCTTTGTGAGGACCGCCATCTACATCAAGGCGGAGCTCGTAAACGCGGATCGGAGGCTCTCCCTGGCTAACCTCTGACTGAAAGAACTCCAAGCCCTCATCAGCGGGCGTCTTGGGCGTGATTGGGCTTATAGCCGTGGATGATGTCGGCGATGCCGACGAGGACGTCGAGCGAGTCCCTTTGGCGCTGCCGGTCTTCGAAAGCGGGATCGTAACGGTGGGCTTGGATTTTCCTCTGCGAAGTTTGGGCATGGTGATAGTGGGAGGAAGGAAAGTCGGGGACGCGTCGTTGAAACAGTCAAGCCCTCTTTATATGCCCGTGGAATATGAACATGTCGTCAGGTCACATGATAAAACATACGCGTCATGGCTACTCAATGCTCTATATCAGGCAATTGACTTCCCTTTTCTGGTCATTTCACGCTTATTGTGCGAGGCGAAACGTTTCTGAAGTTTTGATGAAACTCGTAGTGCAGGCGACAAGCGCACGGACCAGTGCATAACCATGCCATTTCAACATGCCCGGACTGAAACAAGATCAGTAAATACGCGCAACAATCAAACATCAATTGCAAAACGGTGGGCGGTTAGTAGACGGAGGTCAAGGAGGCGGGACCACTAGAGATACAAATTCAAGATATTACATCTCGGTATGAAGGACCGGAGCGGACAAAAAAGATTGGTATCCACAAGATATGTTCATGTATTTGGAATGTAACATACATATTCACATTTTGAGTCGGCTTCATGTTTGTGCCTTTGGATCATGCTTTCAGAATTGTGCTTTCGGGATTATGCTTTCGGGATTATGCTTTCGGGGTTATGCTTTTGGGATTATGGTCACGCCTATATGGGAGTCTTGAAAAGGAATGGCTCATGCCAAATCTGTTCAAGTGATCAGTACGTCGTAACACGTTTTCCTTTCTGCTCAACGATAGTGACATTGACGACAGCGGATTGTTCCGCTCAACCTGTACAGTTATTGCTTGGTGGCTTGCTCAGTGAGGGGTTCACCTTGTAGATGCCCCCCTTCTACACACTTGGCAATGTCTTCGGTCCCTCATCCCTGCACAATATGTCGGTGTCAAGGATTCATAAGTGCGGTAAGATCTATTCACATCATAAATTGAAAAGGGTTTGAATCTGATATATATCTAATATCTAGTCTCCGGGCGCCAGGATTTGTGCCTGTCAGCACTCTGTGACGAGCCATGCCCTTTCAGCAGTCCCAATGCTCCCCAGTCGCAGGTGTCGTGAAGCCACATCAGAATTCACCTCTGTGAGCTAGCTGTAATGTCTCTCATCGAGTCTGTTTTACTGATTTTGAACATATAATACAAGGCCAATGAAGGACCAACAGCGTCCTGCAGTCACTGTGGCGAGCCTTATTATCAGCATACACCAATCCCGTCGTCCATTCCCCTTCCTTTAGCCTCCACGGCTCCCCCACTCAGCTCACAGCGTATCATGGGACCTGGAATATCATTATTTCCAGCTTGGACACCACCTACTTCCTCGAATCAAGGCTCCACCAATGACCGACGGCAAGAGGCAGCCATCAGGCACCGCCCACCTTCCTCCTCGCAGATTCCACCATCATCATCACGACAAGGGGTTGCAACCTCTCCCTTTGCACCTTTACCTGTGACGACTCTACCTACTAGTAATAATCGTCGTCGTCAGTCAAGCTCTGCATTACATTCTACAGGACGTGCGGGGAGACAAGGTCGGGAAGCAGGGCGCCAAGACTTTCGCTTTCAGATTGTCATTCATCCTGAACCAGTACGTCCTACGGTTCATACATTGAAGTTGCGAGATACTACCTAGTCTTTATAGACTGAAGGTTCCTATGAGACATCCTCTGGAGGTCTATTCACAACCCTACGTGCTCCAGTGCCTCAGAAAATGGACGACTTCATTGCGAACGCTGTCTCTCTTTCTCTCTCCTTTGAGATCAACTACTCTGGCAACAAATGCGACACCATTGTGAATTATATCAACACTGCCCTAGTAAACCATATGGAAATACACCGTTTGTCTGCCTCTACTTCCCCGATTTTGACATCCAGTCCAACAAGACCTGGCCCTAATCCAAATCCAACGCCAAACAAGCCATACTGGCATTTTCTGAACGCTTACAAAAAGCCCAGAAGTCATTTGGGGCCCATTCTTCGTCAAACTATTCCTGCAAGCTGTCAAATCAATACCACGATCGCTAACCTTCAAAAGCATTGTAACAAATGGAGCATGTACACGCCTGTGGGGGCTTCAGATAGCATCCCAGTTGTCTTCATTGGTAATCATCAATAACATTTCTGCATCTATCGTTTATTCACCTTCCTTTTAGCACCAATAGATCATGTCATTGTCGGGCCAATTCCAGATTTTCCGGTCCCAGGCATAATACACGCCTGCCTGGCTGTCAGATTATGGTCTGGCTTTATGACTCCTCGCCTCAATGAGCGACATCTTGGTGCCTTTGGCTGCTATGAGGATAGATGCGTGCTAGAGGAGCCTGAAGTAAGTGAAGTTAGAATAATCAGCTGCTGATCCAATGTCTAATAATCACTTAACTAGCCTGAAGACTCTCTAGACGACATACGTGATCTACAGCTACCACCACTGCAACTTGCCTCCCCCCATTCCCCGCCGCCGCTTCTTTTCTCAGACAACACTAGCAACCCCAGTCCAGTTACCTTAAACGAACAGTTTCCTCTTGGGTTTCCTCCCATCAAGTACGAAGATGTTTATCCTTATGGTGTCCAATGGAGGGAAGAGATATCGAGTATGACAAACAGCAATGCCGAAGATGATGAAACTATTCGTATTCGAAGTTCCGACGCTGCCTCGGCCGCAGAAGCTTTTTTCCTCAAACTCCTGAGTTTGTTAGGTGGCGACTCAACACCTCCCCCTGCCGAGGTAGAGCTCGAGAATGTTTCCCTGGATAATCTCCCAAATTACCCCTACGACGTCTGGATGTATGTTATTATTTGATTCTTGCTTGTTCGTTTCACTTACTATCATCTTCTTAGCGGTGCGGGAGTTGGAGCAGGGCCAATGAAATCGTTCTGGCAAGCTCTCCTTCAATATATGATTAACGAAAACCGTCAACATTGGTATGAAAATCAAGAAGGCTTCTATTCTATTATATCAGACGAACTTGTTGAACCAGAGCCATCTGACCTAGCTATGTTTGCTACTTATGGACTTGTGATTCGGTTGACTCTTCTCTTTGATTTTCCTTTACTTCCTATTTCACCATTTCTCCTTTCGTACTTAGTTACTTCCTTCACTAACAGTGTTCATTTTCCTTTCATTCACGCTCTTGCTCCATCAACTTTCACTCGTCTGGACACCTGGCCCTCCCTTACACACCATTCACGCTCAGTTACATTTACTGAAGGCGATATCACTCTTGGGACTGACCCATTCAACCTTATTATAGAATTTCTTCCAGAGAGTGCGCCACCCATGGTAAGCTTGGAATCTTTTCTAAAACACTTCTAATATATGTATTATTCTAGGCTTCTCTGATTTACCGATGGAGCGGGTTTTCTGTTACATCGCAAGGCTTAAAGATCGCAGCACGCATCATATTTGGGAGCTTTGCTGTTATGGCCACCACAAAACCGCAGATTTATACACATGTTCTACAGGGCCTCGATGGCTCTCATGCTCTGCTCCGTCGCCTAAATTGGAGTTCATTAACAGACGTAAGTCCATTTTTGTTGTTTTACACCACTGTACTTATTCTTTCCAGACCTTTCATGACGCTGGTACTGCAGAGAAGATCATTGCAGCTATTGGCATGGGACGCCGAGTCACCTCTCCAGACATAGTCATTGATCTACTTCGACCTCAACCTTCAAATACAGTTTTAGGTCTTAGCGTGGATGAAGAAGGCTGGATGGCCCATCTCAAGCGTTATCTTCGAGGAAGTGGGTATCCACGGGCCGACTCTATCGTTGTCAATGAGGACAAGAGAACCATTGATAGCCGAGATAATACCTTAAGGAGCCGACTTCTACTTAAATGTGTAACGGGTAGTGAGTATGTTGACATCAATCGTTCTGCTATTCATGTAAGTCTCACATCCTACTGATTTCATGAAGCTAACAAGCCTCAGATCACGTTTCGGAGCGCTTTTGATGATACTAATAACATATCAGCCCGACTCGCAGCTCTATCTGTAAGTCTTCTTTTACTTCTTTCTTTTTTTCAACCACTAACTTCATCCCAGGGTGGCTCTATTCATGTTTGCACGTCCGAGATTGAGATTTTGATGAATCAGGCTATGACTCTCAGAACTGGGGCACCCCCTCTAGCCGATCTCTCTATTACAACTGAGTTTGATGCCTGGATCCATTCTCTTATTGACGCTCCTGATACGTATAATAATGCTTAAATACATTACGCAGACACCACTACCACATACTATATTCCACTACACACTAGATACATTACAATGAATAAATAATACAAGACAATTTTGACGTGTTCATTCAACCCAAGGTCTATTCAAATTGTGAGTTATTAAACACTAGTAGAACTAGAAATAATCACCTTTGTCCATGTTATAACGTCGTCAATCAACTTCTCAGAAAGCATCAAGGGAATTGGAGACGACTGAGTATGACACTCGAAGTCATCCCAAGACATCTGGCTGCCCTTAAGCACTTTTGTCCATCTTGTCACCTTGCAAAGGATATGTTCAACCGCAATGGCTGAGCAGTCAGAGGCCATGCCTAAAGTATTCTTGCCGTCCTCTCCAATATGCGTAAGCAAGTGGTTGTGAACCATAGCAAATGCAGCAACCGCCTCGGTGATATTACTGATTTTGAAGCCAAGTTCATTGAGTCCTCGGTAAGCACCAAGGCCAGTATGGTTGAAGATCCACGAGCCCATAGTGATAATGTCTGGAGGGTCTACGATTCCAGCAAAGGCAAGACTATTTGCACATTGCAACATGGTTAGAGTGTCTGACTTGAAGCCGTCAACCATGAACGACCTCAAGAAATGAGTGCATTCCAACCAGCTATGCCGAGGCCCTGTATACTGGGACGGATCCTGGTTGTAGAGAGATCCAAGGAAATCTTTCCAGCGTGATCGTATGTCATCAGAGAAAAGCGTTGAAATTTTCGAGTCCATCGCCTCTTTCTCGGTAACTCCTTCAACTTGGTAAGAGAAGAGCGAGAGCTGTGAGCTTGGTTGGCCCCAAACTCTGGTGTTTGTGACCAGAATAGGTTTTCTGGCATGAGAAAGAGCTTTGTTATGCGTAAGACCTTGATCGAACTTGGAGAGAAGTGAATCTGATGAGATTGAGAAGAAGGGAAATATCATGTTTAGGAATTCCTTTGTTCCGTTGCCTTGACCTGTGCTGAACCAAGCAAAGAGGTTGGATAACCCATGGCTTGTGACGAGCAACAAAGGGCTAAGATGTTTATGAAAGAGCTCTGCTGATTGTGAAAATTGACGAATTGGATCAAAGTGATCTTGGTCATTGGGTACTGGTCGTATCGACGTTGGATCATGACCAGTGAGAATGCAATGTAGTATTTCTTCTTCATAGGGCTGGTTCAAGCGGTAGTTCAGAGCTTCTCTGAGGATTAATGCGATAGGTTTGAGCATAGCCGAGTCGTGACTTGGAATAAGACATTCAGAGGATACTTGTCCCCATACTGGCTGAAGTATTCTTGGAGTTCGTCCTGTTGTGGTACGTCTTGAACCAGTCGCTCCTTGTGCATGGGATTCATGACCTGTTGATAATAGATCTTTGTATATGATCTGATAGATCTCGTCTGCGAGTGTTTTGGAAGTTTCATTTTCTGCTAGTGTCACCTTGAGAATGCTTGCCATAGGTGCTAGAAGCTCACGAGCATTATTGATGGATTGGGTAGAGAAAATCCGTGCACGGTTGTTGTTCTTTCCAGCGTTACCAAAGACGACCCAGGGAGTACGGAGGAACCAGTCAATTTCAGAGGAGTAGAATATGCTTTCACTCCCAAAGCATTCCACTAAGCGTGTTAGAACAGCACCTCGACAGATGGCTCTAGCAATCCAGTCTGTCTTCCGTTTTGTTGAGCTAGTTCCTACAAGAATTGGATCCATCGCCTTGACATGAGGCTCGATGTAGAATGCAGCCCAAAGGTCGACAAGGATAATGGTACACGCCTTGGTGAGGCTCGTATTTTCATGAGTAACTCGATGTGGGGCGATCGTCGGTAAATCCAAGAACTTTGGCAATCGTCTTTGTGAGCCTTCTTGTGTTAGTCCATATCTTTCGAAATCAGCTGCCTCTATTCTTGATGGAATATCTGGTTCAGATATTGGCGTGACCCCTACAAAGATCTTCAATACTAGTAGGATGTTTAGAAAAACAAAGACGTTACCTGTACGCTTCTCCCTTCTTTTCTCTTTTGGGTCCTTGTGCTGGAAGTATTTCCGAACATAGCGTATAACCAGATCGACCAGTGATGCCACTTGTGGATATAATTCTTGGAAGTCTCCAGAGCTGCCCTTAAGGACATCTGAGACCATATATGTCGCAATACGCGGCCCAGATGATGAAAACCAATCATAGACTATGAGCAATGTCCTGCAGATGTCGGCTTTCTGGGCTCTTCCTAGAATCGTCAAGATCCGAAGATTTTCTGTTGCTTCTGGTAGACTTGCTCCAACGGTAGAGAATTGAGAAAAGATCGTTAGAAGAGATTGACCTGGAGTCGCATGTATGTTTTGATATGCTTCTCGGTATATTGCATTCTGCGCAGCACGACCCGTAATAGATTGGCGGACAGTCTTCAAGGTTTGCCCAAGGACAGAGTCATTGACTCTGGGATAAACACCTTCTTCAGCCTGATGCTCCGCCCGTATGCTTTCAAGTTCTTTGCGAAGTCGTTCAGAATCAAAAAGGGATTTTAATCGGCTTATCGTCTCAAATGAATACACCCCTTGGGTATATCCTTCGACAGCCTCTATCCCATGTTCTTCATTATAGCTCGCCAACATTTCCTTGCAATTTCTGAGGAATCAAGCTCAGTTTCTGTTATTCTGGAGTACAGAGCATAACTTACTCTAGCTCGTGTATAGAACACCAGCAATTATGTCTTGAATCATAGTCTTTCCACTTGATAAGCCACTGGGGTCCTTCATTGAACTGGCAAGTATATTATATTTAGAGAAGAATTATGTTCGGTGAGATGAAAAACACACCTGTAATCTGTAACTAAGAATCTCCTCGACTTCATACTCAGGCCCACTCTGCCCTTGCTCTGTTGGAACTTCCATATTGGTTTCGACTGGACTTGTGGTTGTTCGATGTGGACGCTTGGCAAGAGGCATGGAGGTGATTCTGGTTGAGACTGCTTTTCTCTTGCCTTTGTCTATGCCTGTGAATCGTCAGGAAATAGTAAACCAACACTTGTATATAACTTACTTCTTGGATTTTGTGAACTCTGTTCCTCACTTTGCTGAATAGGGTGACAAAGAGCCGTTGGCTGAGGTACACCAGGTAAACCCTGCAGCTTATCATTCAAGCCCATTGTAGCCGCCAGTCTTTTCTTGTATTCTGATTTGTGAATGGGTATGAGTATACGATTGCATATTCCGGTGTACCACTGATAATATGCACGCATCTGAACCAGCCAATCCCGGTTATGAATGGGGTGATACCCATCTGGATTAGGAAGCAATCTTGTTCGAGTTTTGCCGTTCATGTAGAAGATATTAGCCAGAATGTGATTTGGGTCGAGATCGAGAGTCAGGCCACAGAGTTGAAGAGTATTCCAAAAGTTGTAGAAAGCCTCACGTCCTAGGCGATTTGCAAAAACCTCTACACCCCCAAGGATGTATTCGCCGTGAGTTGCGAAAGTTCGTTGAGAGATTTTGTGAGGGAGAGTGGCGTTGGCATTGCCAAAGTGAGTTGACGGAGTTACAGCCATATTGGTAAACCGGTCGGTGGCAGCTCGAGAAGGATAGCAGACATATACGACCCGGTTTGTTGAATCAGTGGAATCATATAAATGAGCGACCTCTTGTATATATGATTCCCACTTTGAAGGGTGGCAGTAAGGCGGTCCGCCACAGTGCATGTCTTGGCCTTTCATAAATAGCACAACAATGAGGTAGTCCCCATGGCGTACGAACAGACCTGATCTGCCTAGAGTGAATGTACCAGGATCGACACCTAGTACATGTCAGTCAAGAACATAATAAACATGTGGAGAAACTTACCGAGGGGGATACGCAACAACATTACAATCATACTCCATCGCAGTGGGCAATCGTTAAAATCTGTGTGCCAGGAACCCTGGGCGCCAATTGCCTCCTTGAAGCTACAACCTTGTGAAGTTACGTTCATCTGAAGGCTGGTTGGTCCAGGATCGAGTCCGCCAAAGGAGAATGTGTTATTATCGATGGAGTCGAATTCCACGAGATCATACTCCATCTTTGAGACGCTCTTTGGAAAGAGTATCCGCCAAGTGTCATGCAAGAGACGTAATACTGGACCAATAGTGTTTTTCGCCATCATGGTGTCATTTTGAGCAGCAGGGAGAAAGCATCCTGACCCTTCGCCATCTCCGACAGTGGAGGCAAGGCTATATGATCCGTCATAGCAGTTTGCTACAGCAGGTCCAGAGCGGGCATTACGCTTGAGATTGGGAAGGCTATAAATCGGTTTGATCTCTGGAAGTCCTTGAGTTTCGTCACCCTTTCTTCCGAAAGTACGAACATATATCTCCTCCAAGAATGCCAAGGCTTGAAGCCCGTCTTTGCCATATTCCCTCAGAGAGTCGGGAGTATGTAGACATCCAATGGTGACAACCATCTCCGAGTCGGGCATTTCATATGTGAAAGGTACTCCAGGTACCATGCGAACCATGCCAGGCAGAGGATCATATTGAACAGTGCCATCATCAAAGATCCTGGGAATAACTTGGGGTACAGAATCGACACTCAGCATGCGTGCCTTCAGGATGTCCTTCTGGCTCTCTAGAAAGGGTGTTCCATACCGATAGCCACGAGTAAAGCGATCATCAGCTTTGAGATGATACTCTTGGGCCTGAGGATAAGAGCGCTTAGGGTTTGGATTCTGCAATGGTGGTGGAGGGATAAGGATTTTCTCCACTGGCTCGTCAACTCGGACGTCGGATGCTGGCCAATGCCAGCATGTATCCGCAAAAACGGGACTTTCAAAGGCTGTTAAGAAATCCTTCGGTCTTCCATACAAAGCCAAAGATGGCGGTGAAACTAAGGATCTGTCAAGTTCTTTGTCAAAACAAGACAGGAACTGAAACTTGCCTCTTTCTGTTGCTGAAGCGAACATTGTGTGAGGGCCAGAAAGAACAGTTATCGAAGAAACACCTGGTATAACAGTTAGGCCTCACCGCTACTTGCAGGAAAACACATGGCTGTGGGAGTTCAAGTCCATTTGTGGATCAAGTAAACAAACGATGTCATTGATGGTCGAGTTTCAGTAACGAGCCAAAACAACTTCGTTATGAAAACTCGACCACCCCTATTTCATACAACGTAAGTCCCTTCCTTCTACGGCCTTCGTTTTCGTTTCGCATCCCATACACCCCTCTATGCATGCAGACTCGAAAAAAGTCCTATTCAGGGCGCCGTCGTCCTCTTCGTCATATTTCTCTTCGTCGATGTCGCGTTCGCTTTCGCTCCCAGGACAGCGCCGTCGCGTCACACCCTGCTTGTTTGCTTGCTGTAATGTGAAATGTGGAATGTGTGACGTGCGACGTGTGATGTAAATCGAGCATCGAGCACCTCGTTGACACCAGAGACCACCCATCACGGAGCGGACGCGGACACGGAGTTGTCAGGCCTGCAAGTGTTCGAGGTTTCGAGTGTTTGAGTGTTCAAGTATCCGAGTTTTCGAGCTTTCACTATTTCTTAGGGTCGAAATTTCGAGCGAGTATCCGAGTTTTGGAGTGGTCGAGTGTTCGTGTATCGAAGTATCCAAGTGTTCGAGGTTTCGAGGTTTCGGGCGTGCGAGCTTTCGAGGTTTCGGGTGGTCGAGCGTCCGAGTTTTCAGTGCTTCGAGCTTTCGGTGCTTCGAGCACCACGTTGACAGAGTTTTCGAGTGTTCGAGATTTCGAGGTTTCATTCGTCGCCATCCCAGCCAGCGCGGCGTGGCGTGTCGTGTCGTGTCTTGTTTACTGACGGCGCCATCTACATCTATCTCTTATCAGCGCCCCAGATGCGTAGTGGGAGCCCCGTTCGTCGACAACGGCATTGCTTCCTCGCTCATGGTCCCATTGAGGCTCTGCAGCTCCGTCCCCGTCTCACGGCTCTTTTGGAGCTCGCCCTGGAGCCGGTTGAGGATGTGCTTGAACGTAAGGAGGCTCTTCCCCGGCGCTCGCATGCTTCCACCCATTCCACTCATGCCAATTCCCGGCTGTATGCCCGACGAGGTCCGCCGTGGTGGTCCGCTGCCGTTGTTAGCGCCGAAGTTGAAGGATGTGTTGTTGATAGTGGACGAGGATGGGCCAGGTTGGAGTGAGGGGGGAGCGCCGTGAGGTTGCATGGCCTGTTGATGGTGTTGCTGCTGTTGATGCGGTTCGGAGAGGTGGGCAATCTGCAAATCTTGCTCGTTGAATATGCAGAAAACCCTGGCGGCGACCTTGTAGTGGAGGATCTTGAGGGCTGTGGGCTGTGTTCGCAGCGTGCATAGGAGTTGGTTGGTAGGTGGTTTGGTGAAGGGCCGTGGGGTACGTTATGAACCGTGTTCACGGCAAGCTTAGGGGCGAGACGTCGTGGGGCGCATTCGAGTAGTCGGTAGACTGCGTAGGTAGGAGTCAGTGACCAAGGATTGCGTCTAAGTGATCAAATGCGTCAGTGGCGAGCGTGGCGAGCGAATAGAGTGCTCACCGATGTAGTACCTGAGTTTGGACTGTCGACGACACATGAAGGGTAACTGACCTGTTCATACTCCCTTCTCATCGCTGCTTCCAATACACCAGCCGTCCGTTGCGCACAGCGTCCCCCCATGGTCATGGGGTGGAGCGGAGACTAGAGAGGTGCCGTCGGTTGAGGGCAAAGGCTGAGAAGGCGGCGCAATGCGCCACGACGCCACACCGCCAGTAGGTTCTGAAGGCGTGCACGCGAATAGAATAATGAGAAGGGGGTTGGAGGATGGGCGGAAAGACGAATAATGGCAGAGAAGAGAGGCGCCACGGCCGTACGCCACCGAGGGCGACGCGGGAGGGAGAAATTGGGATACAAGACGATAAAAGGGAACAACGATGATCGATGATACGTGATACATAATGCAAAAGAGAGAGATGGGAGGAGTTACGACATTATGACGACGAGTGGCGGCGCCGCTGATAGACGTTGGAGAACATAACATAGAGGCGAGAACATAGAGAAGGACGCAACGCTGCGCCGCCACTAATAGGCACCTTGAAGCCCGAACCCCGGATGCAAAACATATTGAATGCACGATAGACCACTACGCACGGTGCATAATGCATAATGAAGAAGGTTACGGCACTCGTGGACGACATGAGACGACACCACACGCCGCTGATAGACACTGCAGAACGCAGAGCACCGAGAACATAGAGCGGGAAGAAGAAGGAGGGGGAGGCAGAACGAGAAGATTCAAGACCACGGAACGAGAAGTGCGCCACTGATGCTGGTAGACCCACCCAATGGCGACCCATGCCGGATTTGCCGCGAGCAGATACGAGATGGCATTGGCACGGTAGACGGGAAATGACATGGGGATCAACGAAAAAGAGGTTCGAGAAAACGAAGAGGGTGGTGGTGGGCCGCTGCCAAGGCCAGCGGTCTCGAGGACATAGACGGCAAATGGCAAACGAAAGACTGTAACATGACGCATGTCGCATGATGCTCGGGGGCGACAGGACACCACGACGAAGGACACCACGACAATGGCAGTACGACGTAGGCCGTCGAACGATCGTCGACTGTCGAGGACGAGACAGTAGAACGGGCGCGGACGAAGGGGGTGTTGATCAACGTCGGTGGTTGGTGGTTGGTGGTTGGTGGCTGTGGCGACGGGAGGGGTGGGAGACAGGGGAGTTGGCGGAAGTCGATATGCGAAACTGCAGAGATCGTAGCGAGAATTGTTGCTTTGACATAGCGGCAACGTTCCAAGCGTGGATGTCCCTCAAAAGGTCGGCGTTGTGCATAGTCTCGAGCATTTGTATCCGGCACGGTATTGTGTTCTACACGCTGTTCAATGGAGAGAAGCAGTAAACAGCGCCAACAACATACAGGCGAAGGGAGGGAGTGCGGGAGCGCGAGCCTGAGAACAGGGAGACGGCAGTGCGAAGGCTCGAGAGGGAGATGATGGCCAGGCGGGGACGTTCAAGGACCATGAATACGAGGGAGGGATACGCCGACTCCGTGGCGATAACAAGTCCTGGCGACGATGGAGACGGTTGTACGCACACGAGGCATCAACATTTGCAAACATAGTGCACGATGGGGATGTGCATCGACTCCATAACAAGAGCCACACCTGGCAATGACCCAATCAATCGAGACAACACGGCGCAACCCAACACAAGACACGGAAATCAACTTCGTGGCTGGAAGAGGCTAAGCATCAGCAGACGGCGCTGTATCAAGATGCGAGGGACGTGTGCGCGTGTGCGTGTGTCTGAGTCGGAACGTTTGCGTTTGCGTGTTTGTGTTCGTATTTGTATCCATATTCGCGGTTGCGGTTGCGATTGCGCTTATCGTCGCCCCTGCGTGCGAGGCTTGGTATCCGGCTTCCGCGTCTCGTCGTTGCGTTTACGATGCCGCTTGTTGGCGGTGGTATTGTCATTCCTCGCCGCAAGGGAGGTGGGGATATCATTGTGGCACTGGAGGGGACACACTATCAGCGAGTGATGCGCGATGTTAGAAGTGAGTGCGTACGCACCTTCGTCTACTCTCTCGTTTATCCTCCCTCCCCGCCCGTTCTGTGTCCTCCCATTATCTTTTCGCGCCCTGAAGCCTGCCAACGCAAGCTCATACATCGACGACTCAACGTACGTAGCGTCGACGGTCCGAGTTTCTTCCCCAGCCTCGAGTGGCGATTCAGCGCATATAGCAGCCCATTGTTTGGCGCGAGAGTCGACTGACAAGAATTTTTTTGGAGGGTTTTCTGAGGTGGCGGGTATGTTGGTTGGGGTGAAGAGCGGAGGGTGGAGTGGGTTGAGCGTGTTCGCGAATCTGAGTGATCGCGCGGTGAGTTGGGGGAGGGAGCTGACTCGGGGGGCTCACCTACAACACCATGGCCGTCCATCCATCTGGCTTTGGGTAGAATCGAGAACGCGAGTACGTGACTGCTCGGTTTCCTGGGTGTCGTCTTCCTTGTTTGCGTCAAGGGGCTGGGAGGTGGTGCCAAGGTCATGCCACTTTTCAGGTTGATGGGATTCGACATTGGTGTTCTCCGTTCGCGATACCTTTGCCGACTTGACTTGGATGCTGGGGCCGACGACGAGATGAAATAGTGACTGTAAAAGTGAGAGTGAGTTACGATGATCGATGCATTCGAGTTCAGATAGGAGTGACTCAGGGGAGATTGATCAAGGATCAAGTGAAATGTGAAGGTTAGTATTCCATCGCTTCACCTATGATGTCCATTCCGTTGGAAAATCTACGGACGGCATATGCAGAGCTGTGTCAGACAGTGACCACGGCAATTCAGACACAGTCAGGAAATGTTGCTGCTCTGGATTGCTGCAAACAGTTGTGTCTCCGATTTCTAGGAGAAATACAACAAGTAAGTGGTCTCCGGGGAGGCTAAGAGGTGATCTATAGTGACCATCTCTGCAGGTGTCTACAGCATTGGATGTGGAGACTCGAGTCTCAATTCAAACGAGTATCGATCTAATGATCAGCACACTTGAAGACGCTGCCTTAACATCCAACGACGTACCAGATATTGCACCCCAGTCACTTGGAACCCGCAGTAGTGGTGGTCGACGGGGAAGGCCAGCAGTTGAGATTGACCGAGAAGTTTTGGCGACCATCTCTTCTGGTAGACGAACTCGACAAGAAGTGGCGGACATGTTCCATTGTAGTGCTCGCACAATCCGCCGGTTGCTGGTCTCGTATGGGCTCTCTGAGCCTGGCCCACCAGTATACTCCGATGTTGTGGATCTTGACGGTACCATCAGACGTGTTTACAGTGCAGGGAAGAGTAGTGATCTTTCCCAGCTTACTGATGAAGAACTCGATGGAATCATGCTGCAAATCTACAACCAATTCCCAACCTTTGGACGGCGCATGATTGATGGCTACTTGATGCAACTTGGCAAACGTGTACCTCGTCAAAGAATTTTGGACTCCTACAACAGAGTTATTGGTCCTCCACAAGGTGTCTTTGCTCCACAACGACTTCACCGAAGAGCATATTCAGTGCCAGGACCCAACTCGCTCTGGCATCATGATGGCCAGCACGGTGAGAAATGCCAGATGATCAGCACATCATATTTGATTGAGTACAATATGGCAGGTCTCATTCAGTGGAAATTCGTCATTCATGGATTTGTTGACGGTTTCTCTCGCTTTGTGGTTGGCATCCGAGTTCACACAAATAATGAAGCCTCAAGTGTGGCGGATTTGTTTGAAGATATTGTTGAGACATTTGGATACCCAAGTCGTGTCCGTGGTGATCATGGTTTGGAGAATTTATTTGTGGCGGCAATAATGGAGGAGGTGAGAGGCTTGGGAAGAGGTTCATATATATGGGGAAAGTAGGTTGAAATATTTTACTGCTATGTTTTTAACATTTACGCTGCTTTCAGAAGTGTCCACAACATACGCATCGAGCGTTTGTGGGTGGATGTCACTCGTGGATTTGGAAAGAAATGGAAGGACTTTTTCCATCATCTTGAAATCCACGATGGACTTGACCACAACAATAACGCTCACATTTGGCTTCTACATTACTTATTCCTCTCGGCACTCAACCATGATGCTGCTATGTGGGCAGAAGCATGGAACAATCACAGCTTATCACTTCGAGGACAACCGAATCGCACGCCAAGGGAGTTGTACACAGAGGGAATGCTTACACGAGGAGTGCGTGGCTTGGTACCAGCAAGCTCAGGCGAGGTGGGGCCTCTAGATCAGGAGGAAGAAGAGGTGGTTTCAACAGATGAAGAATATGCAGCCTATGGTGTTGACTGGGATGACATCTCGAACGAACGACTTCGTGAACATCACAACACCCACAATTCTGACCACCATGGAACATCAAACCCATTTGTCTCTGATCTACCAGATCATATGCCTCACGTCAAAGTGACCGATGCAAGATGCCCATTTTCTGAAGATCAACTTGAAGCACTGAACACCTTTGTTCAAAACTTGCCAATGATCAATGTTGCTGACATGAACTCCAGGAGGCTCGTTTGGATTACCACACTCGAGTGGGCTGAGTCCCTCAATTTCAGTGAGGCTCATGATTAGTCGATCTAGGATGCATACTTCAGAAATGCAACAAGGAGTTGTATTATAATATAAATCTTGATTATTGTTTTTTGTGTGGGATTGAAGTTAAGCTTGAGTTCAGCAGTGTTTTGATTCAGAAGCAAAAGTCCTCCATGTTCCAAAACCGCACCTCAACTTCCAAAGCATAACCCCTGTCCCGAAGGGATAACCTCAACTTCCGAAAGCACAACCTCCGTGTCCCGAAAGCTCACCTCAACTTCCGAAGCATAACCCCTGTCCCGAAGGGATAACCTCCGAAGCATATGCTCCGTGTCCCGAAAGCACAACCCAGCCTCCGAAAGCACAACCTCCGTGTCCCGAAAGCACAACCTCAACATCCAAAGCACAATTCCTGAAGCATTACCTCTGGTCTGAAAGCATGCCCTCCTCCCTTTACCCTTGAAAACAAAGTTCCCTGTTTCCCAACACATATAATCCGTGTAAAGCTGTATATATTCACATACACAGCAAGCTACCTACAGGCCGCAACGATCAGAGGCCCAGTAGGTTTTTGTCCGGTGGCGGCCTTAAAATCTCGGGGCGCCTAAGATTCATTCAGTATTTGCCGTCTCTTGTTAGAACTGGGGCATGTTGGCACATATTTGTAAGCGCGGCGCACACGAAGGGTGAGTGGGACGTGAGTGGGACCACATGCCCTGAGCATTGAAGCATTGGAGGAATATTCTATTAGATGTGTAAACTTGTATCGACCTTTGCGGTACTCGTCACTGGCCGAAGCGCCGCGAGCATCACCTCTTGATGCCTATCTCGTGATTGATGCACCTTGCGCTGCGATAGTCTTTGTGTACCAAGCCATAGGAAGCATGAGTTGCATTAAACGTAAGTCTGTGCTTAGTGTGATACCTTCTTATGAGTCTATACTATCCCAGAGTTACACTCCTTCTTACTCGCATGGTTTAGAGAGGCCTCGGCTGCGTCAAAGGCGTAGATAGCGGACTTAGAGGCTTGATTTTATAGATAGGAAATGAAAGTGGTACATAATTTATTCCGGGACTCCACGTTCGTCTACGCGATCACGCCCATAGACCCCAATTTACCACCCTAAGGTGCAGACGAGACCCCACCGATCAAGTTCTGATAGAACTATACTAGAGTGCCCTCATGCTTACTGTCTGGTTGAGCTGGTGTCACTTCGGTGTTTGCCTGACCTGCGCATGGTCGAGACAGCCTCAGCGCGATGCTGACTTCTCACCGCTAGTCATACTGCCTGAATCGTCCAGGCTGGAATTCGGATAAAAGGACGATGAGAGCACCAACAATCGACAGGCAACTGCTTTCGACTCCATCGCAGAAATAACCTACAGCCAATATGAAGTTCTCCTTCGCCATCCTCGCTGCAGCCGTTATGGCCGTCCAGGCCTCTGCTCTCCCAGCCGCCGATGCTGAAAAGGTCAGCTATATTTTACGACACCGCACCGAGATGCATCGCTAACACTTATGACATTATAGATGGATAAGCCACCCGCCATCCAACCTGTGCAGGCTGCCGCCGCTCAGTTGGAATCCCACCCAGTGCGGTGCCCCAAGGCCCTACCCGTCGAGTTCCTTCGCTCTTACCACGCCGCAAACACCGACCACTTCTACACCACCGATGTCAACGAGATGAACACCGCCGCCACTACCTACGGCTATAACCGCGAGGGCAACGCCGGCCGCGTCTACACCGGCAAGACCAGGGAGACCACGCCCCTCTTCCGCGTCTACAGCGACTACTGGAAGGATCACTTCTACACTACCAACCCCCAGGAGCGTGACAGCTACGTCTGGAAGTACAAGTACACCGACGAGGGTGTTGCCGGACACGTCTTCCGATCCAGAGTCTGTGGCAGTATCCCCCTCTACAGGTTGTATCACACCGGCGTCATCGACCACTTCTACACCACCAACGCCGCCGAGGTCGGCACCGCCCAGGCTCTGGGCTACTACAACGAGGGCATTGTTGGCTTCGTCATGCCTTAAAGTGAGTGCGTGAATGCTTTGGATGAGCCATGTCGTAACAATTTGGTCCTAGTGAATGCAGGGAGTTGAAGTGGAGTAGTCCCGTAGTCGTGGACTTAGCCCTGGTCATAGATATTATGTATTCCCTTTGTTATTGACACGTTTGCTACACATGCTTGATGTTTCGTAAAGCTTCTTTGACCGTACTGCGTTCGCCCAGCAGCGCGAACATTTGCCACCGTTGATCTCTTACCTCCCGATCCTTGAGGACTGCTGGCTCGTCATCGTCCACATACCCGGACCCGTCATCAAGCGCAAGTCGGGAGGCGGCTGCAGAGTTGTTTGGAAGAATCGACGGCGAGATCGTGAATAGCGTCTCAAAGTCTGACAGCGTCAGGGTATGAGACCGATTACGATGAATTGACGGCTGGATGGATGATATAGAACTCGAAGTCGAGGAAAGCGTCAACGCATGCGAGATCAGCTTCTTGATATGTGTCTCGTACGCGATGTTCACGAGCGACGCAACTAGGCGTGATGGCTGTCCAAGGTTGTTTTGCGCGCAAACTAGATTGACCTTGTCTGTTATGTGTTGCAGAGTTGGCGCCCTGGTGATGGAAAGTAGGTGTAACGGTAAGCGACTTCCAGGGGGATCTACCGAACACGATCAGAAGTGCCGAATTATAGGCTAGACAGCCCACCTCCACGTTCCGAGAGGAGAGTTACACCTCGCTCCCGAGCTATTTCATCCGTTTCGGCGCGCGGACGAGGGGGGTCTATTGGAGGGGGCAGGGCCGGTAGGTTCTTCAACCTATCTCGTTCCCGTTTCCCTACAGATATCGTCCATTTCTTAAGTCTAGATGACCTGAGTGAACCGTCGTCCTCGTCGTCTGGCCCTTGATAAGGTAGCACTCGCTGCCGTTTACGAGGAGGCGGTTTGGGAACATCGGGGGGTGGGGAAGGGGGCCGTTTATAGTATGTCGTAGCGTCGAATAGCGAAATTATCATGGCGTTGTGAAGTTGAACTGCGTATGTCGGCGTAAGGCAGAGAATCAGATGATCCAGACGTACTGAGATTTGGTGCGTTGAGAATGTGGTGAACGCCATCCTCAAACTCGGTTCGGGAGATCTTTCCTGCTACAAACTGTTGAAGCGTTTCAAAGTACTCATTGGACTTTGATCCAAGACTGGCAACGAGCTGGCCCTTGATGGTGGATGTGGAGGACAAAGACATTATAGAGAAGTTGTGAACTCGTCCGAAACTCTCATTAGACTCTACTGACCGTGAGAAACTCATCATGTGACATACTGATGATAGTACTGACATGTCACTTGAATAAGCGAGCAGAGTCCCTTTCTACATCGTATTGGCAGCTAGCTCGGTATATCAGCCCAGCAGCGTCGACGCCATAAGAAATACACGAATGGAACGTCCACGAACCTCGAAGCCTCGCGGCGTCTGTAAATACTACTCCCAACCCCGTGGTTGTTTTGCTGGAAAGAGTTGCAAGTTCCTCCATGGCGATCCAGGGACAGAGCAGTTAACGCCATATGACAAGGCAAAGGTCTGCAAATTCTACCAACAAGGTGCGCAATACAATGGTCCTGCAATCATATGCACCCTAATATTCCGTTGGTCCAGGTTACTGTAAGAGGGGGGACGAATGCTGGTTTCGCCACGTAAAGGCCGGTCGCAGTGTTGGCGAGAGCTTCTCCATTGCTGGACCGAGCTCGCTGGAATCCGACGATGGCTTTGAGGACCTCTGTAGCATCTGTTTTGACAAACCCACAACGTACGGCTTACTTGGCAAGTTATCAACATGATCGGGATTCAATATGCCGTACTCATTCATTGACATTCGCACAGGCGGGTGTAGTCACATCTTCTGCATCAAAGTGCGTCTGGCTTTTCTGAGTCACACTCTGATTTCCTCACTTCTCTATGTAGTGTATCCGCCAGTGGCGCGACACCTCTGACAACGCCCCTGACAATATTGGTTCCGACGTTAGAAAGAAATGTCCCATGTGCCGAGCACCTTCTCAATTCATCACACCAACATCCGAATTTGTTCTACATGGTACACCGGAGAAAGACCGCGTGATCGCAGCCTACAAGGATAGCATGAAGAAGGTCAAATGTCGGTACTTTGAAGCAAGTATTGGCAACTCTCGCGGACGACCGGGTTGTCCTTTCGGGAAAGATTGCTTCTACCTCCACCAGAACGCTGATGGGACCCCCTACGTCTTCACAGAAGGAATACCAACGTCGTTCAGAGTCAGTCCCTCCGAATCACTCGCGATGCCTATTTTGACGTAGCTCCCAACAGAGGTTTCATTCTCAGAGATCAACGCCTCTCGCATCGCAGGTGGACTATATTGCCCAATCTTTGGGCCTAATTCAGCACATCTTTGATCACCCAATGGGAAACCTCGGTCTCAGCCTCGAAGTAATTCGTACAGGTCTCGGACAAGTGGGCGCAGCTCTGGATAGAATGGCTCCCACACCTGGGGCAGCTCCACTTGAACTCAGTCACCGGAGTCGAGGGGGCACAACGGACGATGGTAATGATCGTAGAGAAGGCGCAGCCGAAATGGGCAGAGATGACTTGGAGAGAATGGTCGGCCTTTCTTCGTCACTTAGCAAACTATTGATTGAACTGCGCTACAGACTGGCCGACTACTTGACACGATCAATTCTATTAGAATGCGTGCCGGCCGGGAGGTTCATCCTGAGTCCGATGATGACAGTGATGATCGTGACGACCCAATATCTCTGTGGCCCACCGACATGCCGGCGCTTGTCCCTTACGAACAGACTGAACAGGCGGAAGAAGATGCTGAAGCCACTCGGGCTATTTTTGCGGAGTGGCATCAGCCTCATGTAGGATCAACGCCATTTCGCGCGCCGGATGTCGCTTCAATTCCCGTTGCAGGGGATGTAAATGTTCGTGAGCGCATCGACGTTACGGGTAGCGGCGTTTCCACATCACCTCCCATTGATACGAATGGTTCGGCTTGGAGTCGACTAGTGTTTGATCATCACGAAGGCTCCAGGCCTAGATGGCTTCCAGGTCCTACCTTCCGGGCAGGAAGAGAGCGGGCTGGTGGAAACGATAATATGAGCGATGACTCCATGCCCGATTTACTTGAGCTATCAGACAGTGAGGATGGCACGGAGTCGAGCGACGACGAAACCCAAGCACCCTGCCATCCACCCCTTCCATCCTCAGAACTTGAGAATCACCCACTCGAGCCCGCTGCAGACTCTCCTTCGTCCTCATCGACCACCCCTGAACCTACCTCTGACGACAAATCGATGACATCGCCAGAGTTCACTACGGACGGACGAGGGCGAGTAATTGCTGCTAGCTCGCCCTCAGCAGAAAGCACATCTTCAATCATACCCTCCGATCAAATCAAGCCAAGCTAGCCTGCGTCACTTCCAAACACGCCACACAATTCCCCCATACATGTACCCATAGAGTGTATACTTAATAGTTAGTGAAAATATCAAATGATGTATTTATACACTTTCTGTCGGCCTAGACAGATGATTCTAAAATGCCTCTCCGCCAGCGCCGCCGCACGTCTGACGCTTCCTCGTCTAAATACGCTCACGAATTCTTTGCTGTATAAGGGTACTCACTATTCGGACAGAGGCATTACTATTACTATGACAATATACACATTTACAAAGCTACAACGGGCACTTAGAGGGCAACAACTAAAATACAGATCCTGGTGACCCCACTGATTGTTTGGTGAAGTCTAATTTTCGTGCAATGGAGCGGCCGCCTTGGTCGGGACCGGTCAGCTTGCGCTTTAACCGATTCGATGGCGCGGCCTTGGCCTCTGAGTTACCGTCAACATCATCTAGAGGTTTCGACGCTAGCTGAGCTGAAGTCGTGCATTTGGGGAGCTTGGACGGGTGTGAAGGATTCGGTAGCGCGAAGAAATATGCGTGGTGCAGTGCGTCGCGTGCGGATATCCGCTTTCGCGGTTCGTATGTCAAGCATTTCGAGAGGAGGTTCAGCGCGTCGGCCGAAGCAGCCGTGAACAGGTCACGAAGGGGCGTCTTGGGGAATTGGCCTACGGGAACGTAGTCGGGGAGTTTCGTGTGGCCTACCCAGTCTTCTTCGGTTGGTGTGCCGAGAGCGCGGAAGATAGTCTTGAGTTGATCCATATCGCTTTCACCGGGGAGGTAGGGCGTGCGTAACATAAGCTCTGCGAAGATACATCCAACGGACCAGATGTCCACAGCAGAGCTGTAGTATCTGCACCCAAAGAGGAGCTCTGGCGGCCGATACCAACTATCAACTGCGTGAGCGCGCGCACGCACGAAGGACAATGAAACCCACCGTGTAATAACTTGGCATGTCATTTTATAGCCCGGGTCTGCGAAGTCGCGCGCGAGACCAAAATCTGCTATCTTGAGCAGACCGGTAGAGGAGATCAACAAGTTATTCGGTTTCAAATCCTATACAATAAATTAATCAGACGAAACTGTGGACGTCGGTCCTTGACACGCACCCGGTGAAGGATCCAATTTCTATGACAGAATTCGAGACCCCGGAATGTCATGGCCATCCAACTCTTGATGTCGGCGGGTAGAAAAACCAGCGTCCGGTCCTTTATGACCATTTCCAGATCTGAGTCAAGGAATTCAAGGACGAGATTGAGATTCGTTTTCGAAGAGTAGACATCCAGTAACTAGCTTCTCGTTCAAGTCAAGAACCTAATGCAAAGCACAGTAAGCGTACCTCTATGATATTCTGGTGCTTCAACTCTCGCAAGAATTTCACTTCACGAATGGCGGACATGTCAAGACCATCTTTAAGTTGGCCGACCTTGATCTTCTTGACCGCAACCTGGCGTCCCGTTTCAACCTCGCGACCTGAAAGCCGGTCAGAAAGGCGTCCTACATACTCTTTGCAGAAGTAAACTAACCGCGGTACACCACCGCATACATCCCCTCGCCAACCTTGCCTACCTTCGCCCTTAGGAACGCCTTCAGCGACGAGATCACAGAAAGCCCCCATGAAGATTCGGACTTACCATTTCTTTTGCCTCTGCGCATTGGCCTTTTCAACCACGTCCATGTTATGAGCTACAAGTGATGCAAAGCGTTTGCCGCATGTAGTGTTCCAAAACAGCTTGCTGGATTCTGGGATAACCTGAGTCTGGAGATGACCCTGAGAAGTGATAGCTCCCTTTTTGGGAGTATAGTCACGTGATAGACACGATCACACTGGGCCAAACTCCGAGCTTCTGTTCCGTGTTCGACTTCTGCTCTTGCGCCGGCGCTGGCATATTGAGATCTCATTTCGCTCCTTCTTCTCGTGCCAGTTCAAATCATTTGACTCGCGATGGGGGACAAATCCCGCCCACTATCAACATTGTACGACATATTGAAAATCCAGGAAACAGCAACAACCGAAGATAGTGAGTTACTCATTTATTAGTCGTGGAGTGCTCGCTAATATGGCGCGTGTAGTTCGTAAAGCTTATAAACGACGCGCGCTGCAAACTCACCCTGATAAGCTTGGACCGACTGCTTCAGTTAGGGAGAAGGAGATGGCAGAATCGGAATTTCGCCTCGTGACTCAGGCATTTCAAGTACTGTCTGATGCTCAGCGAAGGAAGGTGCGGTGGAAGAATAATGCCCTCTCCTTGCGTAAGTGGTGCTGATGAGGTCTCGTTAAGCGTTATGATAGCTATCTGAGGCCGCCTCCGAAACCTACGTACCCAAGGTCTCAGTCTGCACCATCCTCATCTAAGGACGACTGGGACGCATCTACCCAACGACAGACAAAGCTGAAGCGTGACAGGGCAGAATGGGCCAAGAAGGTGGCTCGCGAACATGAGGAACGAATGCAGAATCTGCATAGTCGGCCTTCAATGCCAACCAGTCCCCCAGTGGTGCCTGTAGAACCCCAAATAGACAATCCGTTGGTTCGGAAATTCTTCGAGGACCTGAGGGCCCGGAATCCTGAATGGGTGCAGAGGGAAAGGGAAATTAGGCAGGTGCGGTATCTCCTATCGGCGTCATGAACAGAACTTCAACAACTAAGACTCATCTAGCGGCAAGCCGAAAGGACGCGGTTTGTGCCAAGATATTCTACCACGGGATGATGGTATCCTCTGTTCGTTGTTAAATTTCGCTTTCTGCTGTGTCGGACTGTTGTACCATAGTGTAACCTGCCCAGCTTATTGTCTAACCAGTTATCGATCCTTGCACCGTCCGTAGATGACCTTGAATATTAAACGTATGCTTCACTCGACCCCCAACCCCGCCAATCTACTCTTCGCTATCTTCCCAACGTCCACTATCGCCCTCTCGAGTTCGGACAACCAATCCCCGCCCTCGACTTCTACAGGATCGAGGCTCTCGATGCTGGGATAAGTCGGCGATAAACTGTGCTCGAACCCCAACTTGTCCTCCATTTCCTCCACAATTGCAGCACGCGACCGCCCATTCACAAATGTGATGTACCGCAGGCCTGGATACTTCTTCTCGTAGCAGGCGTTAAGGTGGCCCAGACGAGCCAACACTTCTGGAGGGGTCGAGTTGATCGTCTGCGTTGCCCCTTGCTCCTTGGCGCTGAGATTAGAGAGATTCCGGGTTTCCCCAATGCGAGGATGACCCGCGATGAATTCCGCCTTCTCCTTCACATCCAACGCAGGGATGACTTGGAAGGTCACATCTATCAGTTCCGCATACGAGGCGAACGGTGCCCTATAAGGCAACAGTTTGCGGATTTCCGGGACGACGCGGTCAAGGAGGGCAGACGATGGTTCGAGGAGAAGCGAGAGAGTGACAGCGATAGGAGAACTAGAAGATCCGTCATCTTCATTGATCGTGGACAACAACGGCAAGGCGGTCATTCTGCGACTATAATTATCAGGAAGTTGGGAAGATGAATTGGTGGCTGTAACTCTGATCGTGTGGACGGACCGCCGCGGCCCTTGAAAGGATTCTCCGATAACTTTCCTTCTCATTGAGGTCTGACGAATGCCTCCCACACGTATCCAGACGTTCAGTTATGGCCACCACCCAACCCGTACAATTTCGATGGGGTATCATATCCACAGGCAAAATTGCAGAATGTTTCGTTAAGGTGAGCTCCAGTATCGCGTGCTTGTAGCACCAGGCTAACCATGATCTCATCGACTTGAAGGATCTTCTGGTTGATCCAAAGACGTATGTCCGCGCTTCATTAACCAGAGATAGCTTATCTGAGTGAGGCCAGACGAGGCGTAGAGGATGTAGTGCACAAAGTCGCCGCTGTGGGCTCACGAACTGTCGACAAAGCGAAAGAATTCATCGCTACGGTCGCCGGTGGTGATGAAACTATCAAAGCATACGGCTCTTATGCAGAAGTTTACGCTGATAAGGTGAAGGAACCGTGTAGCTCACTCTCATTCTAATGCTCGGTGCTCACGCGCTTCTCAGGACGTAGATGCCGTTTATATCGGTACACCGCACACGTACCACTACGAGAATGCCTTGGACGCCATCAAAGCAAAGAAGAACGTACTTTGCGAAAAGCCCGTGTCCTGCAACTCTGCGGAGCTACGTTCACTGATAGCTGCTGCCAAGGAGAATAACGTCTTCTTCATGGAGGCTTTATGGACGAGATTCCATCCGCTGGCTTTAGAAGTCAAGAAGGTAATAGACGAGGGTACTCTTGGGAAACCCATTGTGGTCCACGCCGATCTATCTGGAAACTTCGACATTGATAGTACGCACTTTCGCTTTATCTGACCTCGTAAAGCACTGATGATCGGAACAGATATCCCAACAACTCACAGGATATTAGACCCTAGCCTGGGTGGTGGAGCTTTGCTGGACCTGTACGTGGTGAATTCTCAACCGATTTACCTGCAGATGCTGATATCGCACGTACCTCATCTTTAGCGGACCCTATCCTTTGGTCTGGGTGAGTTGACGGTGCCTTTGAATATTTACCGTGGTGGATTGATATGTGGTCTCCTTTGTCAGGCCATCATCGCTCTTTATGAACACTCGGCGAACAATCATGTCAAGCCCGCTGTATCCGGCGCAATGCTCAAGACTCCGATCACTGGTGTCGACGCCAGCACCGCATTCGTCCTCACTTTCTCCCCACCTTCAGACGGGACATCCTCTCTCTACGCCCAAGCGATCCTAAGCTGCAGCATCACCCTCAACGCTCCAGACCCGGGCGTCACAATTCGCTTCGAGAAGGGTACCATCAAGATCGCGCCTCCCATTTACTGCCCAAAGCAGTTCGCCGTTCAGTACTTCGGGGGGAACGGCAAGCTCGTGAGGGAGGAAACCAAGGTATTCGAGTATGTAGGCGTCGGATGGCATTTTGAAGCAGACGAGGTTGCGAGGTGCATTCGGGCAGGGAAACTGGAGAGCGATCTTTGGGGACATGAAAAGAGCCTCCTGGAGATGAGCATCTTTGACGAGCTGAGGAAGCAAGGAGCATACGAATTCCCCCCTGGGGTCGAGAAGGTGTCAGACTAATTTATGCAACGGATGCTGAAATATGCAAGTAGGGAAGCAAAGCTTTCAAGCATTGGTAGTATGTAAGTAAGGATATGCTAGAATGTAGGCAAGCGCAGTGTAAGGAAATTGAAATGCAATGTAGTAATACAAATGTAAAAGTTCACAACAATAACTAAAGTCGCAACCGGAGAAATGGCAAGTGCTGAAACTATGTCGAGGCGTAACAGGCCCACTGCACTGGGCGCGAGTTAACTCTGAAGGTCACGGAGAAAACAAGAGAAAGGGCAGCTAACTACAACATATCACCGCGGGGTCTCGCAAACTGTACACTTGTCAAGGGCCGTCGCGGGATTGGGCAGCATGCATGTGTTGCAAGTCCACCCGCCTCCCGCCTTCGGCGCAGCAGGCTTCATCCCTGCTGCAGCCCAGTCAAATCCTTGCGACGTCGTCGTCGTGCTAGGAGTGGGAACACTAGGAGTAGCAGGTGTCGCTGTCGCTTTCTGCTTCCCAAACACAAACTCGAACTTTGGCAACTTCTCAATGGGCACACTCCTCGCATAGTCCATGGCTGCAACGTCCGTTCCAGATGACGACCTCCGGGGAACCTTGAACGTAAACGCAGGAAGCGACGTCGCAGGCATAGCAAGCGCCGCGGCTTTGGGATCGTCTAATGGTGGAGCGGCCTTCGCCGGGGCCTGCTCACTGCGAGACGGGAACCCGAGTCCTAGGCCGAACGCACTCTTCGTTGGGGACTTGAGAGGCTCCGACGCTGGGGGCGGCACCTGGGCGGGAGATAACTTGGGAGTAGGGGGGACGTCGTTGTCACCTTTCGAAGCATCGTCTGCGCTGCCATCCGGTTGATAGCTATGTCGCAGCTTCGATGGCTCTCTCGGGATACTCGATGCCTTGGGTATGCCAAACAAAGGCATCGCCATCGTTGACCTAGATGCAGGAGCGGCTGTGCTTGCCGGTGTTTCCAATATCGAGCCGGTTGACGTAGACGATTCATTGGACGACATCTCGGTATCATCGACGGACTCGACTCGTATTATGGGCGGAGGAGCAGCAGCCTGGGGAGTCGAGCGTACTCCTAAGAAACCCACAGGCTCATCTTTGCGGCGTTTTGACGATCTATCGTCCATATCAACGTCGTCATCACCACTGGTTTCTGGTGTATCGTTCTTAGCAGCGGGTTTACCGAATGTCGGTCTCGAACGTTTGCTACCCTAGAACACAGGTCTCAGCTAATGCTCGGCGCGAACAATGAGAAGTCATACCTTGGGCAACGTGGCCTCAATGATAGCCTGAGGGGAATACTCGGACAGAGGCTTCTCCGTCTTCGAAATTTCTGGTTTGTTATCCGTTTGTTCTGCGTCACGCCCTGGAGGCGCCGTGGGCTTCCCTGTTGCTCGTGCCCGCTTCGGCTTAGGCCTCGACGAGGGAGTCGGTTTCACGGGGCTTGCGGTCTGGTATGGATTGCTGACGTCGGGTCTCTTTGGCGGCGTTACTTCTTTGATGAGCTCTGTCATGAAGTTTGCAGCCATAGTTTGCCGCTGAGGTTGCTCAGATGATGATCCAGCTTGAGGGGGAGAACCGTCGGCTTGCTGGCCCCAAGTCTGCCGCAAAGGAGAGGGAATGACAGGCGTTGTGGGCTTTTGTGGGATTCTGAGGCGAGATGGCGTCGCGCCGTTGGTCTTGCTGTGAGCTTGATTCGAGCTTCCATTAGTAGTAGGCGAGGGACTAAGGGGGCTATTCAGTGATGGGAATGGACATGCTTGAGCAGCGCGGGTAGGCGAAGGGGCAGGGGCACCAGCACGAGGTGGGGGTGAAGGTGTCTTAGCGTGAACTGGATGTCCGTTGGACAAGCTAACACCACTGGGAGATGCGCTTGAACTTGCAGCATCTTCTCCTAGCCGTCTTCGTTTGGTATCCATTCTTGGAACTGGAGGTTGGTCGGGCGAAGAAGTCCCTAGTTTGAGGCGGTCGGGAGTAGACCGGGAGGGCCCAAAGGCAGGTGAATGATATCGGTTACGTGAGCGTTTAGCGCTTCCAGCTCCTTCCCAGCGGTAAACGCCGTTTGGGTTCTTGGTCAGAACTTTACGAGGAGTAGCAGAAGCCATAGAAGGCAATGATGAACTCTGAGCCAGTGGCGATGCGGACCTCCCTGCCGGCGTGCTGGTGAAGCGAAATGGCTCGGAGCTGTCGGCTTTATCGTGGGTTGAGTGAAGCCCATGTGAGAGGCGGGAGTTGCTACTTACAAGGTTTACTGTTCTCAATGAGCGAGACAAGACCTTGGACTTCGACCTCACTAAGCCGTTTACCTCGGTGCTCCGTAAGAAAAGTAGACACGGTCTCTAAGTTCTTGGCTGGCGATGGGGAAACCCGAAAAGGATATGATGCGCTAGCACGCGAAGGTGTCGGGGTAGTGGGCGCAGGATGGGAAGGATGTGGCGCTGAAAAGGCGTTCTGGAGGCCGGGACTTCGACCAATACTGAGGTGCTCCTCCATCTAACCAGTGAATGAGCCTCGTTGACGTGGATGACAGACTAGTCACACACCTGCTTCCCCCGGCTGGTGAGTGTCTGCGGGGCAGCATCTGAGACCTCCCCGGCAGAGAACGACTCGTCCTCTACGCTCGACGATGAATCAGACTCCGTATCTTCTTGAGTTTGTCTGGCTCTCAACGGATTCAAGTAATTCAGAAATCCAAATAGACTCCATGACTGTTTCTTGTGGTGAGCTTGAAGCAAGTGGTCAGCTTAAGAATGCTCACCGATTTCTTGGCTGCTGGTCTGGCATACGGCGAAGAAATCGCGCTACGTTGGTGGCGTCGCTTGTTCGTTGATCTGACAGCACTCATTCTGGCAGACGCGACCAAGGCTTGAAGATGAAGGTGGAGGTCAAAGTGTGAGTAGAGTCAAGGAAATCTTGGAGGCGTTGTACTCCGCTTCAGGGCAGGTTCTCAGGATAGACGCCCGTGTGGCATTGTCCGATTCCTCCACAAACCGCCGTGGTCACTCGTCCACCATAAACAAAGAGCGATCTCGGGAAGCTATGCCACAGAAAGTCGTGGACACGCCATATCCTCCTATAGATGCAGACCCGCACGCCTCGAGGGTTCTGCGGTACATGCGACCGTCAGACTATGCAGTTTGGGCCGCCGCAACCGCCGCGTTTCCTTCAGCTTTGTACTTCTGGGGTATGTTGTCTGATAGAGAAAGTATTCTCGTCGTGACGAAGAAGTCTCTTGTTTCAGATATGGCAGACCCCTCGCGCGTCAAGATGACTTCTGCCTACCGGCTAGGTGGGACCATGGGCTTCATTGGAGGGTTCTTGTTGGCCTACCAGAGATCCAGTTGTAAGCACATTCATTTCCTCGTGGCATGATGATTTGCTTAGTGTGTTAACCTGCAGTGCGCTTCTGGGGCTGGACGGAGAACAAGCGCGAGGAGGATATGGATATTGCAGAACTTAGACAGCTTGCCAAGGAAGGGAAGCCGCTATACGGCGAATCCCATCAACCTGAGTGGGTACAAGCTTCGGCGTACAGGAATTCGGTTTTCTCGCAACTCAAATTCGGTGAGGATTGATTTCCCCACCTTCGCATTCAGTAACTTGACAACTGTGTCTTCCAGCTGCGTTCCCTATGTACGTTCTTGACACCCTGTACCACCACTGTCACTGCTGACCTAAAGTTATAGGTTCAACCTAGTCCACCATCCATTCCACGGCTCCAATACTGAGAAGTATAAACAAGAGTCGGAGGATACTAAAGAGGAATCGTGATATCCTAGACAGGCTGCTGCCACGTTTCTCCTCAGTGTTGTTATATTCATCACTTTCACAGCGCGCTTAGATGTCTAATATATACTTCAACGCACGTTCGTCAGGGCAAGGCCGTCCTGAGTTTTCACTCATGTTTCCAGCCTTGGTCGCCGCTTACATTGTATCTAGCATCCAAGCAAATACACTATCGTTGCCCAAGGTCTTAGTATGCCGGGATTATCACCAGTCCGAACATCAACATTTGAAAGGGACCCCATTCGTCGATTGCAACTTCAATATGGATAATTTACCTGGCTCACGAAGCAGGTAACAACTGGCCAGCACTTGGTATACATATGTTATAAATCAGGAGAGAGAAGCGCGATCTTGTGCTGCCAATTTGTCGTGCCCCTCGATGTCTCTGCGAAGAATGAGATGACGATATAGACGACCAAGGTTGTTGCTCGACTTACGTTGCTTCCCATGGATAGTCGAGCCTGCGCAGGAGTCAGTTGCTTTGTTATTACTCTACTCTCTATAATACTCACCATAGATCATCGACTTCCTCTCCAGTGTAGTACCTAGGTTTTGTTAGTCAAGCCTTTCCTGAGTCAGACAATGTAAAGGGACGAACGGAGTTCCCTCTGGAAGCTCAGCTAATTTGGGTTTCTTCTTGTTATGTACCACGAAGACTCCGAATTTAGTCGCGGCGCGGAGGGCTTCGCGCTCAGACTCGGGGCGTTTGGCGAGCTCTACCTCTACGTCTTTCTTCAACTCGGAAAGAGCGTAGCTTCAAAGACATCATCATGAAGGGGTCCTCATCCAGACTCGCGATCAACTCACTGGAGAGTTTTACGAGTGTCATCGACCTCGTCCTAATCCCCCTTTCTCAACTTTTGTCTGGTCCAATTCGTTAACGAAGGACTTACGACAATCAGATTGTGCTTTCCGACCAGCAATTTGCCAGAATCAGGACCACTACCCAAGAGATTTCAGATAGGTCGCCAATACGAGATAGATACGACGTACAGCCACTGCGTGCGGATGACTTCGTTGCCAATCTGTTCTGCCGACGTGCCCTCAACTGGCTCATACAGCGATAGACCGATGGCTTGTATTTGTAAGGCCTTCTTGTCCGTTTGCTCCCGCAGGAAAGTACGCTAACAGCCCCCGCGCGATCAGTTCATGTGATCGGCTTCGTGAGGACAGTATTATTACCATTACGCGTGCAGGAAAGAAGCCTCTGCAAAGCCGATTATTTGAGTACAACATCATGGGGAATGTGGGGGGAAAGCTCACCCTCCGCCTATTGTTCCGAAGAAGGATGTCAGTAATCTACCGAGTAAACGAATAGACAAAATCATACCAATGGCTACCAGGAGATCTGGGTTGAACTCCGCACCGATGCTTGGGGTTGCTTTTCTGATGAGGTTGTGGATGTCATTGTAGGTGACTCTCCAGTGTTGTACCTCGTCTGCCATGGCGGATTGAAAGGGAAAGGAGTGTAACTGGTGGCAGATTTATTATTTATAAAGGGGACGATAATCCCCTGATAATCGCATTGCACATGGATCTTATCGTACCAGCGCTTACCTCCTGAAAATATCGCGGCATGGCGAGTCAACCACCAGGCATGGAGTTCTGTTATTTGCGATTGGAAAGTCGTACTCACATATAATATCGTAGATGGACCGTCTGGTTCTGCTACTGGGTCAAAGGCGATCGCCAGCCTTGCTAAGAAACAAAACGATGTAACCAGGCAGGGTACCCAAAAGCTCAAATTTACGCCTTTGAAGCGCAAGAAAACAGAGTGCGTTACCAAGTTCTGAGTTCTTAGCATCGGTCACTGAAACTACACGTCCGAAAGGCCTACTGAAGTTAAGCCCGTATGTTATCTTACTACGCATTCAGCGATCAAAGAAGTGACCAATGCTTCAAGGAACCAGTCGCGAATGCTGCAGTTCCTGCTGAGCAGACAAGGGGACGTGGCCGCGGAAGAGGGGAGGGGCGTGGAAGAGGTGAAGGACGTGGAAGAGGCAGGGGGAGAGGTGCTCCTCCTCCCGTTGAAATGACCGCTAGCGGTCCATTCGCGATGGGCCCGACAATGGCTGGGACAAGTGGGTTCCGACGCGCTGCCCCATCCCAGGCAACAGTCGCCGTACCTACAACGGCCTCTAGAAACTCAGCTCTCGGAGTTGGTTTATCACGAACCACCGCTCCTTCCCTAAAACGCGAACTAGTGGATGCCGACGTCAAGAAGGACGACGACGAAGTCTACTCTGAACCGGACGAGGGTGTGGAGATAGTGGATATGGATGATGTGCATCAGATGGATTGGATGGCTCCGGAGAGTTTGCGTAGGTTCAAGGCAGCTACCAAAAAGAAACATGTTAAGCAAGAAGAAGATATAAAGGGGAAAGGCAAAGGTAAACACATAGCTTTGATACGCTCTCATTCACTGAATTTGTGAGAACTATAGCTAAGGAAACTGCCATGGACGTCGATACCCCACCAATGGCCGCTGAGGTAGACCTCGCCAATGCCTTAGATCTCAGCGAAAGTGAAGAAGAGGAAGAAATGGAGGACCTCGTTGAGGACTTTGCTCGCGCTTCCACCGCTGACGACGTAGCTCGCCGTTTCTTGTGTTCCGTCTCAACATTTACTGATGAAGCTACCTAGACGTTTGACTCGCGGCAGGATCGCCTCTTTTGGTTTCAGTTTCCTAGTCCGTTTCCTACTTTCACATCTCCACAGCGCAGCGAAGCACAGTCTACGACAAACACCCCCGAGCCCACGGCAACCACATCACAAAATTCAGGCAAAAAAGTTGCATTTGCGCCGGACACGAAGCCTCCTGCCCCATCTTTGAAGTCATCGCCTTCCGTTGCGCCGGAGGAAGAGAAGCAAGCTGAACCAACTATCGACGGCATCATCGGGCAACTAGAAGTGTACCAAAGCGGCGCTGTCAAGATCAGACTTGGTAACGGCATTTTACTGGATGTAAGGGGATGGTGTTCTAAGTATTCCTGTCATCGAGGTACTGACTACAACGTTTACCATAGGCTGCTGCCGCTACGCAACCCGCATTCCTTCAACACGCGGTGTACCTTGATGAAGAGAATAAGCGCATGTGTGTCCTAGGGGAGGTCAACAAACGCTTCACTGTGTCTCCAAATGTTGACATGTTGCTCAACGCTTTGGAAGCGGCAGATAAAGTGCCTGTAATGCTTGAGGGAGAGCAAGACATGATTACAATGGACGACATCATCTAATTAAAATTAGCATCTCGGTGAGTATAGCTCTCAAATACAACTAGCACTACTCAGTCACAAAGTCAAGCATCATTTAATCGTGCATGTCGTGTGTATGTATGTGTACTCGATAAACAGAGGGACCTTGCGGTCATAGGCCGTATTGCTGCATCAAATTACGCCAGCTATCGAGCTGATTTCGTTCATGGTACGCTATCTGGAATCCATGGTTACCCTCTGCATGCTGTTGAGGGCTAAGAAATTGTTGAGGGTGTGATTGAAACGGGTACGCCACTTCCGCTTGTTGGGGCGGCAATTGCCCGCCCAGTGGCTGCAAAGGAAGGTGATTGGGAAAGTTCTGCTGCACACTTGGTCCAACCTGCATATGGCCTCCTCCTTGCTCCGCATGGGGCCACTCCGCTGTCCGCAGATGTGTAGAATGTGCAAGTGGCTGCGTAACACTGAGCCGTTGGTCGCTCGTCGCGGCGTATCCCGCGTTCGTTCTTGCATCTGAACCGTAGGACATTCCGAACATCATGGAGTTTCGTCCCTCGAGGGCTTCGCTTACTACGCCACCACCCCCTCTCAGGTATGGATTGCCGAAGGCATGATAATAGTCGTGTAGCGACCCAGGGATATTGGTACCGTGGCCGACGGTCCTATTATCATGGCGATGTCCATCCTGGTGTTGTGAGGAGCCATGCGACACTGGGGAGCTTGATGTACGTCGATCCTGTATGACTGATTTCCGACCTTCAAGGACTTCAAGTTCATCAGGGAGTTCTGGGATTCTCGGGTTTACGGTGTTGATGTCCTTCCCACCGGCGCGGAATGTATCTTGGGCCCGTTGGAGTAGTTTGCGGAGGGTTGACTGGATAATTAAGAGTCAATTTTGTCCGTTGCATCCTGGGGATACTCGGCTCACTAGCGTCGAAGGAGGTCGCGTGGTTGCTGACCCTTCTTCGTAGAATGGAAGCGTCCTTTCGAACTCTTGTAGGGCGTCCCTGGAAAGCGTACAACTTGGGCTCTCAATGACCAGCGCTCCAAATATTATCTGGCGGGCGTAGTATGTGTGGTAGTTAGCTAGGCCAAGGGGTCACGCCAAATTCGGAGGAACTTACACAAGCGGAGAAAACACTAGACCAGAAAAACCAACAGTTGGTGGCATCACCTTTGTGAACTTCGTACAAGCCCCGCAAGCTAGAAATTATCCTGCATGCGCTTCTGTACGTGGCCAACACGGACTGAGCGAACTGGTGCTTCAAGGGGTCGTCTGAATCCTGGCGTATAGCTTGAGCGAAATAACTCCTATGGATATACAGCAAATCTAATAAAAGGAACGGTGAGGATCTTGCTTTAGGCGGGAAAGTGTACGCCTACTCGATTCACGTTCACAGAGGATACAGTATTGCTGCATGGCGCGGACCGGATCCGACGCCCATGATCTATGGGCCTCTGACTCGCGGACAGGAGACTGGAGGTGTGGTGGAACAGGCTGCAGTCGTATCTTCTTGTCAAGGTCCAGTAAGGCCATATATGGCGGCGCGTTGGCACTGAATACGTGTTGGGTGGACGTCGACAGACAAGCCACCGCATATCTCAGCTTCCACGCATGCCCTAATGCGCATATCATTAGATCCAATACAACGGAAAAATCAAACGATCGCCCTTACAGCCTAATTGCTTCTCACCGGACTCTGTGATGAATGGTTCGTGATCGTCCGGAAGTCGGCAGTCGGTGTGTTGCAGATTCAGTGCCGGCGGGCGGCCATTGACGATACTTGTCCACGCGTCGTACATGTAGATCTCCCAGAATATTCTTCTCCGCCGTTGGACCTCATCGGAGTCCAGCTGCCAGCCTGACGAGTCTCTCTGCAGCCCTATACTCTGTGCAATGCGCACGCAGAGACCTATGAGCAACCAGCGCTCCTCCGTGCTGCTTCGATCGAAGGTGTAGTTATAGCGGAGAATCATGAATAATGCCTGCACGGTGGCGCAGGTGGCTTCATGGAATATAGGGTCTAAGGCTAAGGCGGCACGGGAGAGAGCGAGGTATTGGTCCGATAGATGCTGTTTATCTGGATGTGGGTCGTGTAGGACGCCGCTGGCCAAAATGACGAAGAACACAGATAGGGTATGAGAGTGGACGGAATCAAGACATATGTCCTCGGTGCTGCCGTAGATAGGTTCTATGATGCGGGCCATAAATTCTGCGTTGATAACAGGGTCATACCTGAGGCCTGTAAATGCTGAATACGGAGGGCGTAATTTTTTACTTACATCCAGGCAACGTGCTTGTAGTAGAGGTCGGACAATTCGAGGGCCCTATCCCTTGATGGTAGATAGGGCAGAAGGGTATACTTGTCGTGCGGACAATCCCGCATTCCGAAAGGGAACGAGTTAACCAGCTCCAGGATCTCCACGGGTAGGTGACTCTGCATGGGTGCACGGTACCGATCTTCATCTGCAGGCTACATGATATGACTTAACCAAGGATCTTTCCCTAGTGTTCAGGAAGACCCACCGGCAAAAGTTCATGGAGGTACTACCGCAAAAATGTTTCAGCAATTTTTTGTAACCGCGCCACTTGGCGTAGCTCACCTCAGAGCCGGCGGATTCGCCGTGATATTTAATCTGACCATTGACGCCAATGGACAGGGTGCCTATGGTGTCAGACACGCCTTGGATTTCCTGAGTCCAATCTTCTGCGGAGACATTGTCGACTCCGCTATGATCCTCTGGTCGACACTGGCCCCGCGAGGCTAGGGCTCCCTCTAACTCATGCACACGCTTTGTGAGAATTTTGACCTGCTCGGTCAGCCTATTTGCGTGGGCCATGAGTACTCTGTAGGGGGAGTTTCAGAATGCGGCGACTTCGGCGAACGTATAGGCCTACTTGTTGCCTTTGGTCGCGGCCAGCGTGCCTTTCGCATGGGTCAATACTGGAACCGCCGCCGACCCACCGAGGCAAGACTTACCATTGGGACATAAGTGAGCACATCCTCGACTGAGAGAGGGGAGCGTGAGTCAGACCGGTTTATACGCCTCGTAGCTAATCGCAACACACCGAATACATGACTGGCATGGAAATACCCTATTGAAAGAAACATTTCGTCAGCTGTGAGAGGCTGTCTTAGGAGTAGAATAAGCTTAACCTATCGCACTTGAGCTTGGACCTATCAAACAATACTCTATTCAGGTCGTTGATCACATAGACATTGGAAGGACTTTACCTACGACACTCCGCACAGGAGAGCCCAGCCTTTCGGTCGGTCCAGCTCTCACCAGACGAGGTTCTGCCGTCGGTAGAGTTCATCTTGGCGAAAGGAAGGTGTCGTCGAGGGTTCATGAGCTAAAATATGGAAGGCGTTCTCTGCCTTCGAAGTTAATCGGTTAACCATTTGTAGTGATTGAGAAACCACAGTCCCCTGCTGTACATCATTACTTTCGTCTAAGCAGTGGGTTGGTTTCAAAGCTCTCTAGGGTCCTGCCTGAAGCTGACACACGAAGAAAGATGGAGTTGAACCGCCGGCGAATTCCTAGCCGCGAATAGTAACAAACGGGGATGCTGGGAGTGTCAACGTAAGGGTTGATAGGCCGCCCAAAGCATGGAAACTGGGCGACTCTTTTCGCTCAAAAGAATGTCAATCACACCCAGGTTGGTCCTATAATAGCCGACTCGCGACAGAGCACATGGTTGACGCGTTGGATTTGGGCAGGCTCGGCACGATTTTACTTGCGAGGCTCACGGAGGTGACTTTGAGGAAGACGATTGAATTAAAACCTGGCCATAGATGAGAGCCACGGACATCGAGCAGACCATTTACACACCGACACTCGTGTACACTGTATACTCAAGCAAGGAACCGATATAATCCAGTAGGCAGTCGAGGTGAGGGGTAAGACATAAGTACGGAGGAAGCGGAGAACGGACGGACGGTTACTGTTATGATATTACTGGTTGCTAGCGATTTTGTTGAATGTCCCAGCGCCATCGTTTGTGGACCGGTCGATAAGAGGCGTTAAGGGGGGGAATATGGCAAGGGAGCGGTGACTGGGCCCTTCTTCCGTTACGTTTGGCGTGGTTGTTTGACCATTAGTTTCACTAGCTCCCTACAATGCACCTTCGCAGTCTCTTCGAACTCTCTGGATAGGATATTCCTCGCTGTGATTGTCCTTGGGCTCTGCGTATCCGCGGTCCGGATCGCATAGGAGGTGACGTGAGGTGAAGATTGTCGACTCAGGTCGACTCCTGCGGCATCGTAGCATGCGCGCTTTTTCCTGTGTCCTCAGACATTGTCTCACTCTTCGCTGCTGGAGCTTGAGTGTCTAGGGATGGTTGCTACAGGTCGAACACCAGTGAGTTGACAAATCAAGTAGCATGCAATTGGAGCTTAGCAGCGCGCGGGGCGGGGGGATGTCTCTGTGAAAATGTGGAGGAACGAGACAATCAAGTGACAATCAAGCTCGTCAACGTGAATCATATATGTACAGAGTGAGAGAAATATTTACAGTGAGGACCTTGACTGTCTTGAGTATTACCTAGGTCCTTGGTTTTCATCGTTGTCCATCTTCCGAAGGCATAAAGAAGTACGTATCAGGAAGCTATTCACACGTCACATACCTACTATTATTTGTGAGAAAAATGGTCGTAGGCTTTCCATCGTAGAGATCGTACTTACATGCATAAAATACGAGCAAAGTCACCTGTAGATGTATGGCAAATCAGAGAAAGTATGATAGAAAAATCAGAGAAAGCGGGTCAAAGCCCGAAGGTACCTAAGATAAGTTTCCGCATCGCAGATAATACCCCTGCTAAAGCCAAATGCCTCCTACAGCTCACAGAACATATGGGGGTCACTCACCGTACTTCAAGTATTTGTGACAATCACAACCACACTCGGCGAATCTACCGAAGGATCTGCTTTTGGAACCCAGCTCAACTCCGAACCTCAGACTCACACCACCAACGCCAACTATTATGTCGACGTTCACTTCCCAGCAGTCTGCAGAGAGCCCACAAGCTGCGACGTCGACGCAGGCGTCGACCACAAATGCAGCCGCGTCTTCGTCTACCCAGGCTCAAGCCCCTCAGCCAACTCGTCAGGCCGCAGAAGAAGCAAGGAAAGATCGTACACTCGCCGAGTTCATGCTGATGCTGGATGAATACGAACCATTGGTACATGTTGCATGCTGTCTGGTATGGAGTTCCATATAACATTTGGCAGATCCCGAATGAAGTGACGGATTACTACCTGCAACGCGTCGGATTTGAATGCGAAGACGTTAGACTGTAAGTTCAAGTGTGGCATGCCTCGGCCGCATGCCAGCAGAGCTACTTAACCATTGTGTCGATGCAGGAAGCGTCTGCTGTCGCTGGCGGCACAGAAGTTTGTGTCTGATATAGCTGCTGACGCGTACCAGCACGCCCGCATCCGTACAAACGCACAGGGTGGCAGGGCACGAGCGAACCAGTTCCCTGGATCGTCCAAGGTAATACAGAGTACCCACTGGTGAAGCCACCCACTAATTCCTAATAGGATAAGACTCGGACGACTTTGACGATGGATGATCTCAGCGCAGCATTGGCAGAATATGGCATCAATGCACGCAAGCCAGAATTTTACCTCTAGATTCTTACATACTAATCATCCTGTATATTATCAACATTTCATAAACATGTCTATCTTTCACCAAAGCACCTTAATGTGCGTATAAATACAGGATTTCTTCTTGTAGCCCGAAAATGTGTGGCGGGGAGTCCAAAGTCATAAGAATATCGTCGATGGTCATGAAAGTCTAACCCATGGCCATGATCTGGGTTGCCAAAGGCTCCGCTGATGAAGTCTCCGTCATTATCGAAAACGAGAGATTCAGCGGGTCGTGCATCATCATAGCCTTGCTGCCCTCTCCCAACGCGCCCCACTCTACCCACCAATCCTCTGCGGCATCCCGCGCATTATAAGCAAACACATAGCCAATCTCGTCCCATTGATCCCTCAACTGGGCGTCCGACCATCGTTCGCCGTTCTCCTCAGCTTTTTGCAGTAGCGCCAAGGCCTGCCTGAAGCCAGCATTTCGACCGTCTCTCGTTGGACCTGGTGGAAGCGTCACCAAAGTCGCGTTGTTTAGCTCCGTAAGGCCGACATCCATGCACCGGTCTCGTCGCAGATCTTGGAAAGCGTTCAAAAGCATCGGTAGTTGGTCCCAGGTGCGCAAACGAGACATCAATGAACCCAAGGCCGCCGCATCCTCAATGGCCATTCCAGCGCCCTGAGTACTACACGGCTAATTGGGAACCTGACGTTAGATGTGCGCCTTGAGTTCTGTTGGAAAACGTACCAGTAGCGGATGCGCGGCCTCGCCAAGCAAGACCATTCTCCCACTCTCATGTACCCATTCGTCCGGTGGCGGTCGGACAACATATTTAGTTCGTATGCAATACTCGGCCATCTTGTAAAGTTTCTGAAGTCTGAGAAGTCAGGCTATGTCAGTATGGATGTATATCCCTGACGATAATAGACAACGTACCGAGGATCACAATTCGAAAGGTCCAGTACGTCTGGTGAACAGAATGTCTCCCATCCCTCGTCATCAGGTCCATCGTATGTCGTTGCCTTATTCGGCCAGTACAGATGTATGCAGTATTTGTCTCCGCCACGCTAGCCGACGGAAAGAAATTAGTATGATGAAAAGGAGGGTTTTCGTTGACAACGAACAGTTCCAAATGCTAAACCGCGGATAATGAGTTTACGTGCAAGTGCATAACATATGCTAAGGAAAGGAACGTACCCAATGCAACCCTCATGTCACCCATCCACATGGGCCACTACAATTCGTGTCGATCGCAACAAAGATGTGCACGTAACAATTGATGGGAGGGATGATATCATGAAGAACGATCGATCAGTGGGTGTAACGAGTTATTTTTGCAATATGAAACTGACCTCTTCTAAATCTGGGAATTCAGCGAGTTCTGGGTCCTCTCTCATACGGTCTCCTGGGATCACAACACTGCGAGACAATAAGCCTCGGGCTTCGGAAAGGAGGAGAGCAACAACTTACGAATAGTAGCTGTCATAGCTATCCGTCGCTGGAGGCTCCACTCCGGAGATGGCTTCTCTAACCGTGCTATTCTGACCATCCGCTCCGACAATGAGGTCTGCGGAGAGTATTGTTCCGTCCTCTAACGTCACGGTCGGCTGATCCTTCGTGTCATCAGCTGATACCGACTGCACTTTCGCGCCCAATGACACTTGCACTCCGTTTGATACGGCGAGATCGTACAGAAGCTGTCTCAAGTCACTGTACTACTTATAACTGATATGAGGCCTGGTGAGTCGGATCTAGAGCAGGCACGACGCACCAATATCAGGAAGAATTCCCCACCAGCCTCCTGGATGATGTCCTCTGCCCATTCTACGATGCCCACGACTTCGGAGGTGTTCACTATACAAAGAGTTAGGATTCACATGATCATACCATGGGAACGAACCACAAAGGCGGCCGACGCCACCTCAGTCAGCAACGGAGAATAACTCACTGTCACGAAAGGTACTCTTCCGACATTTCTGTGCAAGCCTGGAAAGTTCCTCCCCCAAACCCCACTCGACCAAGAGTTTGCTGCAATTCGGCGCAATTCGGATGCCGATGCCGCGCTGCGGAGGGAAGAAACGTCACACATGGGCGGCGAATACAACGAAAGTGATAGACGCACTTGATCAATGCTTGGTGCCTTTTCAAGCACGTGGACGCGATGGCCAACTCGCGACAGGGCGTACCCAGTAGCGAGACCAGCAATAGCTAAGATTGAGAGAAGTTCAGCAACCGATCAGAAGGAGGGAGCTGTCCTGAAGTTGTAGGAGGAAAGATCCGAATACTCACAACCGCCTATGACGATGGTGTCTATGGTCAAATTTGCCTGACGCTGGTTAATGCTGAGCGATCGCATGCGCTGATTCATCTCGTCTTCAGCAGTAGGTTTTGGTGATTGGTAGGAGGAAGCACTTCGGGAGGTTGGTGGAGGGGAAGAAGTGTGTTTCGCGCGGAGCCGAGCTTCATTCATCTGCACGGAGTGCATATGCCAGCTTCTCACAGGCGACTCCTCCTGCTCAACGAAACGTTGACCAGTAGGGTGATACATCCAGCTAGGGTCGCGAAATCTGGCTGTTGAATTCCTGGACGGGGTTGATACTAATGCTGGCGGGCTGTGTGTGGAGGGTGTTGATGAAGAAGCCTCAAGGGAAGAGCCAAGTTCGCCCCGATTAGATTGCTGAATGGGAACTTCTGAGCTGACACCGTCAGCGTCCCTGTCAGCCGGATTGATACCGACCATGGGGACCTCGATAAAAGCCAAGCTCGGCAGAGGAACGGAGGAGACCCAGGGGGAACTGGAGCGCGTGTTTTGGCCTGTATAACCAATGCGAGATCAATGGGCTAAACCACTACGCTGATACCGCTGATTCGATTCATCTTACAAGAACAGAATCAACAGAAGATCCGCCTGACGATGATAGGCGCTAGTCAACAACGTAAACGAATACAATGAATTCACAGCTGACATGCCTGATCTAGTTCACCAGTAGCACAGGAAATGCCCCGAGAAAGTGGCGACGTGCCAGCGTGGTGCTTTTGTATTACCACTTGGGTTTATTTCCCAATGATTTCCCTAAAGGACGTGTATCCGCAATTGTATGGACCACGCTGGTGGGTAAAGTCGCACCTACGCCTGCAGAAGTCGATTTCCACGCGTCAAATAGGATTTTTCGTGGGCGATGAGGCCTGACAGAATATCGGACGAGGAGATCGTCGTGGTTGGAGGGAAAGAAGTGGTCGCTTGAGCATATATTGAGTCCATCGGTGTGATAGTCATGTCTGGACAATTTTCCCACGACCATAGATTGACGGCGTAGCTTGCGCCACAGCGTGCCTCTTCCTCCACGCCACCATAATGACTTTGAGATTGAAGCCCGCCTCGCCCCCGGCCTCGCCCTTCTCGTGGGGAAGGTCGTCGCCGTCACCGCCGCTGAACCCAGCCGAGCTATCATCGCCGCCAACGATATGGCTATCGGCTCGCGACATGAAATTGTTTGGCGTACAGCCTTTAACTTCGACATCTGACATCGGTTTGGTTCGATGCAGAGAATGTGAGAAGCCCGTACTACGTAGCTACATAGGGGAACACGCAGGTGAATGTCGGCCAGAATACCGTAGTCACTACGGAAGCTAAACAGGTGTTAAGATAACTGCGAAAAGCTACGAGCTGCACCTAAGAAAGCTGCAAAAGGGAAGGGTGGTTTGGAAGTTGAAGGTACGCCACATACGCTGTGTCTAGCAAGCCCGACCATTGAACCACTAGTTAGATCCAAAGAAAGGATCCAAAAAGCGCAAGGCTTCCCCCACGCCTGATGATCCATCTGCACCCGCCAAAAAGAAGAGTAAGCCGGCTCCGAAAATCACCAAAGGACGAATCAAGGGGCCTGTGGATCTGGACCGTCACTGCGGTGTCATCAACGACAAGAATCTGCCTTGTTCGCGAGCCTTGACATGCAAGTCGCATTCCATGGGCGCAAAACGAGCCGTACTTGGTCGTTCTAGGAACTATGATGAGTTACTATTGGACTGGCAGCGCGCCAACAACCCGAATTTCGTCGAGCCAGTGAAGCGGGAGACCAAAGCAGAGAAGAAGGAGAAGAAGGAGCGAGAGAAGAAAGAGAAGAAGGAACAAGCGATGGCTGCTGCCGTTGCCGCTGGACTCGATCCCAGTGCGATCAAGAAAAGCACCAGCTCTAGCGGGACCAGCAAGAAAGTGAGTAAGAAAGCTGCCGCTGCCGCTGCGGCGGCTGCAGCCGTTCGCGCTGCAGATCCTCTCGCTGCGGAAGAAGCACAGGAGAACCTCGATGACGTTGATTCGGAGGCAGAAGTTGACGATCTCGTAAAGGCCATCCAAATTTCTCGGGAAAAGGGTATCGTTGGTGTTCCGCTGGCTCTACCTTGCGACGCTGGCACATGGTTTGTCCAGCGACGGGAGAAATCGAGGTGTTGTCGCGATCTATTGCTCAACGCCTTGGGACATGGTGGTGGGAGTGCTGTCAATGCCGCCAATCTAGGCATGGGTGGTTTGGGTATGGGTCTGCCGATGCAGAGAGCGGGTAGTTTGGGGATTTCAGGGATGACGCTATTGGGCAATGGTCACTGAGCATGGCACCGCGTTTACCACAACAGCTGGTCCCTGTAGATGTCTTGTCATTCGACACAATAACCCAGGCCTTGCCTTGGTTCGACATTCGGTTCACCGGACCATTCTCAATGTGCGCCATCCCCTGGCCACATACATACCATCTCCGGTACTGCCCACACTCCTGCCCATCATGGCCGACAACATGCCAGCAATTCGGCTCCTGGACTCTTGGTCTATCGATGCGGCGCTTCGACGGCCCCCGTCGATACTTACCTTCACGAGATGTTCTATTAGAGCGTCGGTTGTTCCTAGTAGGCACACATGTGGACGTTACGCGATGCAGTCTGATGCATTCCGTCCGAAAATCTGCTGACCACGGTAATACAAACTACGTGCATCCAATCGAGTCCGTCATTGAGTGAACCTGGATACGATATCGATAAATGCTCAATATATTATCCGAGGAAGAAAAAACAAGGTACGGACCCGAATTGGTAGGTCTCATTCGATACGCCGTCGATAAATATGCAGAAAATAAGATTCAGAACCCTAGCACGGGCCTCGCTTATTGATTGGTGTATTGTTGTGGGGACGAAGGGGAGACGGGGTGTGTTTGCGTCCGTTCATGCTGCCGTCAACTGATAACACCAGTCACTGGAATTCTTCCGGGAGCCGTTGACTTCACGGTACAGTCGACTCTGTCATAACCCATGACCGTCATAACCCATACTCTGCCGAAACCCATACATTTTCCCATCCACCAAGTTGGTTCGCAGGGAAATCCCATATCTCTGCGATACCTGATAACCCATACTTTTTGGGGATGTCAAAACCCATATGTATATGTTATTTTTGTCATATATTTAATTAAATTTGTTGTAAGCGGTTGAATTATGAAACTAAAAACCATTTTTGAGTCCGCACTCTACATGATTGAGCTCCCTGTACTTAAAAGGGGGCTAGAAATCCTCCAACGTGCCACTAGGAATCGGAAAGAGGAACTTCAAACTCGCATTCAGCAAAAGAAGCCTATTACGGAGGTCATGGCCGCGTCGGTTCTTCGTGGATATATTAGTGACCTCGATTCTCCGCTTTTCCGTAGATTGGAGGACTCCCTCGCGTCGTTCGGCATACAGACTCGATACGAGGTTTCTCGCACCATGAAAGCAACAAAGATTTCCGACCACTTTGCTAGCATTTGACATTTTCATGGCTTTCCTCTCTAACTATAGTAGACTTTAGTCTTGCTTTAATCTTTCCTTGTCATATATATTATAGTTACAGCCGTAGTCCTGTAAATAAATCCACCGACTAATTCGACAGCGATTTTTCTTAGACGCCCAAATAGGCGCTTTGAGTTAACCCATACTCTCTCAAAACCCATAGCCCTGCACGTCCACCGAGGGTCATGGGTTATGACAGAGTCGACTGTAGTGTGTAAATACAGACCAGCCAAGACTGTGGCTAGTGCAGCAATGGGTAACCGAACAGATGGTACACTAAACTTCGAGGACCTTAGTCCTAACCTGCAGCCTGCTGCGTGCGCGAAATACACGAAATATTATCCAATATTTACTCTGTAAGGACAACGGTGTATATCTCATGTTCGTTGTGCCCTGTCAGAGACGATGATCGCGATGCCAATCCGACGTCGACAAGGCAGGAATCAAGCCCACCGCCATGACAGTCAGACAGCCAAGTCGCGTCAGCACCGAACACAGCTGATTCTCAGTAAATATGACAAGGTACTCAGCATATCCTTTTGTTCGAGTTTCTAGCAGCTCCTTGGAGGTGTCATCTTGCAAGCACGAGTGCTCGGAGGACTTCGCTAGCTGTGAATGTCTATGACTCGCTTTCGAGAAGTTTTCGAAAGCCGGACCGGATGTCGACTTGCGAGAAGATAAGCATTACCGTTGTCAGTGTCCAATTACATTGGCCCGTTCACATATCTGAGCAACCTGTGCAGGCTATCCGGAATGCGAGACTACTAGTGAGTGAGTTCGGATGGGCGAGCGATGCGGGAACTGGGCGCTGATCAGAGAATTCCAGCCATCTCGCCGGCTATCGATTTATCACTTGGACCAACTGGAAAACGGCCTGCTGATTCCCCGGCATCAAAGTTGCACGGCCAGGCCAATGTGAGAGCCGCCTACTGCAAGGTGTGACTTTTGGCTAAAATAGTATGCCTCGCCTTCCAGCTGTCTCAGTGGTGAGTCAGCTGGAGCCACCGAATAGACCTTGGCCTGGGATGTGAATCGTGGCTTTCCAGGTTTCAGCCCCAGCACAACCCTCTCATGAACCATGGATAATTGTCCATCCGAGATATGGGACAGGATCTTTTCTTTTGCGTGTAGGGACGATGGCTTCACTGGACGATCATTGGCGTTGGTGTCGAAATACATGCGCGATGTCTCGAGCCCGACGCGGTACCAGTCCTTGAAGGTGGAGGGCCTTGATCAGATGTTGGGATGCGCACGCGTGTTGGAAAGCACCCCTGCTACTAACCGTCGAGTCCGATACCTGTTCCTTTCCACCGCCCACCCTGATGAGCAGGAGCCCAAGCCATCCACACAGAATACGCTTGACCTTATAAAACATGTACGTGTCCCACAAACATAGGATGCCCGCTGTAGCTGACCCTATCGATCCTCAGGAGGCCCAGATTCAGCAGGCAATGGTACAATTGCTATCCATCGTGGCGTCTTCTGTGCAGGTTCTCTACGTCATGTTCACGTTTCGTCGAAGTCTTATGCTTCCAGCAATGACCCTGCCAGCCCTCTCTGAACTTACGCTTTATGGCCCCTTTCCTGACGACGAGACAAATCAATTGATTTTCGAGCCATACCCCTCCTTGCGACGGCTCCATCTCGCGAATATACCATACTATCCGTCGGATCAGCGCATCCCCAGCATCGCACCTAGCCTCACCCATCTACGCGTATCGGCCAGGGAATCTGACTTTCTCGACTTCATTCGCAGACTCGCCAGGGTCATAGACCTCCAGGACCACATTGACGGTACTAACGGCATCATCGGTGGCAACCAGCAACTCAAGCTCCCAGACACCCTGCAGCGCATCCTATTTGAGCCCAGCCTCGAGCAACCTTCCTTCGGGGGAGGCTGGTTCATGTCCAGCTATCAGTACCTTCTGACGATGAAGGAGATATGGCAGGTCGCGCGGATCGACGATAGGTTGGTTGTAATTGACACCCGGAATTTATCAAGGTCAAGGTGGAGTTTCCACGAAGCTGAAGCTGATTGGATCGAACGTATCAACGGCGGACAGGGCTGTTGGAGATTTTGATGAACTTGACTTGACTTCATTAGCATACGTGACCCTCTTCATCCCCAAAAAAACCGCATATCATCTTGTTATCACCTCTGTCAACCTTGTGTATAGTATACGTGTTTTGTTACTTTGCAGAGTTTACTTTTTGCACCGTGTCGTAGTCATTCGTACCACTTGTTACCACCTTAGCAACGTTGAAGATATTTCGGTCTCTGTCATGACAAAAGCTACAATTGCATTGCGGTAGTACAGGAGCTTGGAGAAATATATTAAAGAATAAATAACTGGTGATACAAGTCCGAAAAGTGTATGGTCAAAGGTGATGATCGATCACCTCTTCTTGACCCTCCTATTCATCTGCTCATTCAATGCATTCCCGATCTGCTGTACTAGCATAGCGGCATGCTCGAGATCCTCTACAGGAACCTGTGATGCATCGTCGTGGACGAGAACGTGGGCCCTTTGTAAGGCTTCAAGTCGAGCTGAGGTAGTCTGATTCCGTTTCAAGGGAATTCGACGAGGTGGATCGGGGCTAGGCATTTCCTGTGGCTCTGTCTGAGAACGGTCACGGCGGCGCGAACGCAGCGAAGAATCCAACAATTCCTCTCCCACCTCCCCTATTCACCGATGAATAATTCAATTGAGATGGAGTTCGAGCTTAAAAGGCTTACCGGCTACAGGCTCAGTCCCTGTTGCTGACGTAGGCTCTGGTGAAGAGGCATGCTCTAATTCACTAGGGCCCGATATTCCAATCTCCCAGCTATCATAATCCTCCTCTTCTTCGTAAGGAGGGTCTTGCGCGCGGGAACTGGTGAATTGAGGCGAACCGCGAGGTGTTTCCGGAGATGAGAAGAAACCTTCGTCGGCTTTTCTTCGTTTTCCGCGATTGCCTAAGAAATATCAGAACGAAACCCGCGTTATCAAGAGTGCCTGAGACATGCCTATCGGCGTTCCATGACGTTTGGTCCGCAGCCACGTCCCACTCGCGCTTGCTTTGAGGGGATTTCCGGCAGTTACGCTGAGCAGTGAGCCTTGGCGACCAGACCGTTCTGTGTCCTCAAATTGCCTCAGATCAGGCACGGCTTGTGGGGTCCTATATGAGTGCGATGTTAACGACCGGTTAGGAGGCTCCATGAATATTTGGTCGGATCCTGGAGACAATAGCATCTTCGGTTCTAGCTTGTTGGGGGTGACGGCGGTATTGGTAAATCGCGGCTGAGAGAAACGATGAACATCATAGAGCATTTCAACTCCTCTTCCAAACGGAGACTGGGATGACGAAACGACTGAGCGGGGCTTTGCATCCAACGTTAGCCAGCCTAAGCGGGCGGAAGTCCAGTATACGATACTCACAGTAGGCGTCACATCCGACGCTGTCTCCAAAGAAAGGCCCATACCAAGATCTCCTCCAGCGGCTTCGTCGAAAGCCTTCAGACACTGCTTCAGTGAATCTGGATATACCGCGACGAACTCGTGTCTTCCGTGAAATGTTGCTTGCCAATACGCTCGAAAGGCCTTTGGGCCCAGTGCGGGAGAAGGGACTCGAACGAAGGCGGAGGTGAGGAAATCGCCAAAGTCAGTGATAGTACCCGCGGTTGGTGGTAGGCGTTGTAATGACTCCAACGCTAAGCAGTATATTGGGATGATATGCTGATTGTATTGGTCGTCGGACAGGAGCAAATGCTCATCGATGAGCCATAGGCGTAGTCCTTGCTCCGTGTCCTTTAAAAGCGGCGAGATTGCAGATGTGGGGGTTCCGAGGAAAGCTTTGCGCACAAGGCCTAGTAGAGTTAAGGAGGAATCCATGGGTTGTGTTCGTTGAGTGTAGAAATGACACAGAGATTCATTCAGGAGCCGCGAACAGCAAGCAGGATACGGTACCTGTTGGACCGCCTCCGACAGCAGTGCCAAGACAATTGACGGATTCTCCAAGAGACTGATACAACGAGAAGTAGTTAGCTTCCAGGTGCAGTAGACCAACTTTTCGACGCACATCGGGATATTTTCCTCTCCAACAAGTTGCATAAATGACTGAACGACAGAGGCTCTTTGGTCGCCTTTGGATATTGCATTCAGTACCGCGCTAGCGAGAGCAGCTTCCCATCCTTCTGTTTCGGAAGGTGACAATTTCCAAACTCTACTCGGAAGCGGACATCAGCCTGGGACGCGATACGATCAGACCTCACTCACCCGAAGGGCATTGCCAAGGCTTGGACGATGTTTTGCCAGGAAGCGTCGGCGTCGGCGTTCTGCCATATCCGCACGATCATGATCCAGAGAGACCGTTGCATTTCCACCTCATTAACCATCATCCCAATAATCTCGAGGACGCGATCAACGCCCAAGGACAATAGGTCGTGGCACAAATCACTCCAAGCTTGTCGGATTTCGGGGCTCGTGAGGTCGAAGGAGTGTCTCAGCAGCTCGCAGAGGACGGACTCCCCAATCCGCTTGGCGTACGTCATTGCATAGACGTTCTTGATTACGCCGATGAGTTGTTTGACGAAGGTCAAGTGCGTATCGGGCTTCGTCGAGGAGGTAGAGTCGATCACAAGATCTACTACTGTTTGGATTATATCTGCCTGCAGGGGGAGGTCCGTGGTGAAGTGGCAATGCTCCTGCGTGAATTCAGCTTGAGCTAGGAGCAGCGTCTGCCATGCGCTGAGAAGCTGGAGAGGGAATGAGATTGTATAAAACTGAGCAAAACAATTCCACTTACTCCGGAGTAGTCGAAATCAGACTCTGCCAACATGTTGCGCACTCCGTCGCTCCATAAGTTTCGGAGCGGATGCCAGTTGGACTCTACTTCTTGATCGGTAAGCGACCGTATCGAGGCAATATCTGGCGGCGCCAACAAGCGGATGGCGGCGGAGACATTCTCTGCTCCAGCACGGAGGAGTGTGCCATCGAAAAGTGACCTTCGTAGAAAACATGCATTTGGCCAGGAATCAACAACATTGCCTTGCACGCTCTCAGGGTCCACCGATCCCGCTAGTAGTCTGCTTAGTAGCTCTGCTTGCTTGCGTTTGACCGAAAGGCTCTTGTGTTTGCCCATATCTTGCAGAACTTGAAGCACCCTTGCAATAGCATCGTCGCTGGCTTCCTGTGTAACGGAAGGTAAAAAGAGCGAGATGATGGCCGTCCCAATGCCTTGTCGTAATTCCTGTTTAATAAAGTCGAAAGCCTTGCCGAGAAGTTTGCTTGTGCCTATAGTATTTGCGGCATTGAGCCGACCAAACGACCACACTAAGCAGTTCCAGACGTGTGGGTGGAGTAAACGGACGCTAGAACTCTTGTGTGCGAGTGACTTCTCAAGAGGAACTATCAGAGTCATGAGAACGCGAGGGTGGGTAAGAAGGCCTGCGTCACATAGGATCATAAGGGCTGCGGTGAGACACAAAGCTGGAACTGGCCCAAATCCTGGTTGTGTCGGACCAGTGATTGACATGGCGTCCGTCAGTAGTTTGGCGAGCCGTTGTCGAGAGGACTCTACCATGTTGGTGACTTGATCAGCAATGCGACGCAAGGTTACGGTCATTTCGTCACTCTGTAGTCTTGCCATAGCAAAGGCACCTAACACGTTGGTGGAATATGTACGGATTTCGGGGACTTCGGAGAACAGATTGTTGAGCAAGGGTGAGATGATAACCGAGAGTGGCTCGAGAAATTGATTCGGGTGATGTTGGATAACGTTGGCAGCAGCCTATGGGCGGAAGGTGAGTCATCATAAGGTTGGTCGACGGTAAGAGACGCGTGCCTGTAGTCCGTTAACGAGTACCTGATTCTTGCCAGCATCACCTTGTATGCATCTTCGCAACACCGAGGTTACTGCTTCGCGATTAGAGACTAATACCTCTACAGGTAAGCGTTGCATCTTAAGCAACCAGACAACTAGCAAAATCGTCTTGGGCTGGCAAAGTGGAGGAGCCTTGGATGGACCTAGTCCCGAGGTGCTGATAACGAGACTTAACAGAGGACTTAATGTAGAGTCTGTTGAAGTCATTCATCCAGCCCCACAAGACATATGGATTCAAGACTTACTATTAAAGCACCGAAAGAGCGCAGGAAAAGTAAAAATATTGGAGAGTAGACGGAGTGCCTCGTGACATAGTAGTACATTCTCCGACGCATCGTACGTGTCTTCTTCTGCGAGCGAAGAGGGTGGATTGAACAGGGATTGGATATCTCGATGAAGCGCATTAGCAATGGCAGATGAATGTCGTTGGAGGATGGGTAGCGCAAGGTCATGGGTCATGAGCTGAATGTTGGCTTGGGTTCTATTTGAGAAGAGGTTATACGCCTCTATCACGTCGTGGACAGATATTTCTTCTACTATCGACTCGAGGAGGGTCTCGATGGGTGAATATAGGAAATGGTCTACTTGATCGCTGGAGCGTGACAATGACTGGGTACTTGTTTCGCTGCATGGGGGATCCGTTCCTCTTGAGCTCTGGCCATACATTCTTTGCGTCGCGGTCGTTATCGAGAGAGGGGGTCGTAAGGTATGAATTCAGGGTGCGAAAGTTGACATTATCTTGAAACGACGAAGTTTAGTACAAGAGGGGGGCGGTCTACTTATCCTTCAAGAATTCCCGCACCGATACAGAATGTCTCCAATTGTGAGAGTTGACTTTGGATTGACTCTGTGGAAGTCAGACAGTGAGAGTCAAGGCGCGCGCGGCGGGATCAATAGTCGGGATGTTGGATCATGTGATCGACTGTTCGGAGTTAGGGGGTGGCAAATGTGGAATCTTACATCGACTGACTCCCTGCGCAGACTATGTCGACAATACGAGAATTCCCCCCTCTTTATGAACAAACTGGTGATGCAGCTTCGGATAGACTTGCTTTTTTCCACATATTAGAAAGACTGAAGGTAGTAGTAGTTCACTTTAGCCGTCCGCTTGGAAACTAAGACCCCACTACAAAATACAGACGCAAAAGCGGACTGGATGGGTTGATAATAATGTGAGGGTCAATCCGAAACTGAGAGATACTTTGTCTTGACTGACTGGTACTTCGAAATCTTGGTAGATCAAAGGCCCCGAAAGGTAGGTCGTCTTGTCGTGCAATGTCAGGTTGTAGTTTGACGATGGATGAACACGGCTTTCAGCATATCAGATCATATGTACCGTATGGCTGTCTTGTCGATGTGCACTTCAGACGAAAAGCTTGATATATCCAAGTTCGTCCTCCCTCTGGCATCACTGAAGGGACGGATGTTCATGTGCCTCCGTTTGCAGATGTGTTATGATGTCAATCGTACATGATCTCGCGGAGGCGCAAGGTATATATTATCCCATGATTCCACCAGGCTAACCTCACTGCCCCCTACGACTAGTTGGCGATATCACTCCAAGGGAAGGCTTCTCAAAGTCAGAGAAGAATCGCCTGGAATCTGCAAGTGTAGAAACCGCCGGGAAACGCTCACTTACTTATCATGGATTCTACAGGAAGCTATGCACAATTTTGTCCATGATATGTTGCACTACTCTTCAGCTGCAAAAAGGATCGAAGCACTTTGGCTAGTCAGTCGCAAAGTAGCTATTGATCGCTGACTTGGACACTACCAAAGTCTATCTCGTAGGAGTACGAAGAAGGTCGAACGGCGGAAGCGAAGTTCGTGAAAGGTAAGACCATCTGGCATTTTCGCCCTGGTCCGTCGAAGCTGACGCGAATATGATAGACCTAGATCGCTTTGAGATGGCTTGCCAAGGTATGAGGACTTACCCATGTATCACCGATATCTGGCTCAAGTACCAAGCTCTTGAGTACGAGAGACGAAATGAAGAAAAGGATCTTCAGTCGTTCTTCGACAGTAGCCTACCGTTTATTCGCCATCCTGAAGTTCAAGGCTGGGGTAAAGACCTCCTGAACGAGAGGAATGGTGGCTCAAGCTCAGGATCGAAGGCCGATTCAAGTCAAGATACTACTTAATCCGAAGAGATCTCGATAAATATCAAACATATTATATTTCTTCTATTATATTATCTTCATCGTCGCTGTCCTCTTTAGGGGCTGCCTCGATTGCTTTACTCTTAGGAGGGGAGACACCCGCATCAACTCCAACCTCATTGTCGTTATCAACCTCATCTATGGAGTGCGAAGGCTCGTCGCCCTTGAGAAGCTGGACCAGGCGTTCGATATGTTCCGAAATCTGGTTACAACATTCGCCTCTGTCAGCGGGTATCCTGAAGACCTTAGACGAATGAATACCTTATCAACGGTTTCGCATTCATGCGTTGCTCTAACGATCTCATATGTCCCGTGTTCACGGAGGTAGTCTCGTCCCCACCGCGTATGACAAAGCAAGAGCAGAGTTTCTACGTGTGTCAGGCGGATGGAGGGATCTGCTTCGCGAGTTTTTGTCGGTGGGAGAAATTGTAGAGAAGAGAGTAAGCGTTCTTGATCCTTCGAAATCCGGAAGATAATCAGAAGCATCAGTTTGACTTGTGAATATGACTTACATCTAGATCAAATTCTTCAGGACCAGCCAACGGTAAGAGGAGATACGGAAGTGCATCAATTCCTGGAGCCTCAATGGTGGAAGGAGGCACTTTGATTAAAGTATCTTCGGGGCTGAGGAACGCGCGGTGGCCTGGAACATGGAAAGCACAATTCCTTGACCATTCAGTCGTATGTAATGCTTCGCGAGGCACCCGAGGGGAATACTTACTTCATCGTCGAGGCTACACCACCTCTTCGTATTTTATCCTTGTGCTCCGTGAAAGGCACTATTTTTGCGAGGGGGTACTCCGTCCGCCCGTCAACGCTGGAATAAGGCTGGAAGAAGAATATGCGACCGGCGGGAGACTACAAAGTATAAGTTGATGTAGAGTTTAATTACGAGATCGCCTACCGTGGTGATATTGGCGAAAACGCTGGCAAGGAAGTGGAGATCTCCTTTTCTCGGTCGTTTCGATAGATCACCAGATGGATCGGTAGCGGAAGCTTGAACGAACGCATCCACCAGCAAAGGAAGAGCTAGTCGTTCTTGGGGCTCGCCTTGTGGATACGGAAGAGGAGCAGGAGATGTGCCACTTCGTGAATTAGTGGGATAAGGTCCAATCATCGGCACAGACAGGGAGAGCAGGGTAGAACAAGGACCAGACGATGCAGTCAAGTTAGATAGTAGCATTGATGCAAGATCCGCGAGGGTGGAATCGGGACTCTAGCAATCCCCATGAATATTAGGTCGACGGGGACGTACAACCTCAGAGGGACGTACAAGAATGTAGGAGACAAGGAAGTTGAGGAACAACGGCTCGGATAGCGCTGGTACCAGGAGAGGTGAGTCGGACAGGTTCACGAGAGCGCGGAACGCGTCGTGAGCTACGGCCTTTTGCTTCAATCAGCGTTATGGACGAGTTGACTTGATGGGGCCCACGAACCAGCTGATCCCGACATAAGAGCTTCAGATCGCGGATCACTTCCTTTTCTTTCGATTTTTGCAACCCCCCGCCTTGCAGGCCGGTGAAGAATATGGCTCGATGCGGCGATTCTTTTGGAGTCTGAGGAAGAAGATTAGATAAAGCTATTTGGCGAACTTGGGGGTTTTTGTCGCGGAGAAAAGGAAGGAGCTGCGTTGATTTCAGAACATTTATTCATCCAGACAACAACATCCCCTCACCTCTCGCAGCTGGCCCTCCATCTTGGAGTAAGTTTGTACAAAAGGCTCTTGATTATGATCTTGAAAAGCAGTGCGGTCGGCCCGCCTTCAAACTCTTTGCCCTTAAAAGGAAATCTCCGGTTTCAGGGACTCAGGGGCTTCCATGAAAGCTTTCGTTTCTGGCGGCAGAGAGGTAGGAACTTTGATACTTTAGAAAGTAGATGGTGTCTAACAGTGTCTAACAGACCAGCGGGAGAAATCTCTTAGCCGTTTTAATATACCGAGTACGCTTTCAAACAGACCTCTGCACTGAGTTTGAGGCCGAATGCACCGTTCTCGACGTGCGATCCAACAAACGTGCGATCCAGCAAAAGTATCACGACCTCCATAGTTGAGCGCCGATGACATGATATAAACATGACTACCCTACCGCTGCTCAGCCATACACTAACTCTGTCGAAACTAAATACTGCAAGGGCGATCGCCCAGAAGCTAAGGTACTCGCGACCCTGAATGTCTCCTGAGTACGAAGCAACTTACTTCTTGCGAGTTACAGAGGCGATGTCCATAGTTTTGTGTACAGGTCTTCAGCGATATGGAACGCCCTGGCCTTGAAGCAAACCAGATACACCTATTGGCTGACAACGCACCGTGGCTGGCTTGTTTTGAAGTTGCCCGGATTGTTTGGCTCCGAATTTCTCAAAAATTGGTATAAAAGTCGAACACACCCGTCATCCGCTCTTCCAGCTTTCGTTCTAACCACCATCACAAACTATTCCACACAACTTGGCTGGCCATGTTCAACTATCTCGCTCTCGCTTTTTCTTGCACTTTCATCATGGCGGTTTTCCTCCCTAGCTGGACTGGGTCTAGTCTCGCTCTGGCTGCTTCGCTACCTCAGCAGCTCAACGTCGAGAGGAGGATCACTATGTTCTCGGACGAAAACGCGCTGGAACGCAGGATCGTCTGGAACCCTGAGATTACGCAGCCCAACCGCCGAACGCTTTGGAACAGAAATACGACGGCGACCATATCATGGTTAGTGAATCTACTCCCCGCCATTGACCAAAGCTTAGAAATCGTTACAGGAACGCAAGTGCCATACCTAAAGGCGCTTACGAACAGAAAGGCAAGGTAGTGCTTGGTTGGTTGAACCCGAATCTAGGCGGGGGCGAACATCTTAACATAGGTAACTTAACGGGCTCTTCTTGCTTTACTTTAGAAGCCGTATAATTGACGGCTGCTCTTTATTAGAACATCCACTTGCTCATGGGTTTAACCTGAGAGACGGCCGCGTCCAGATCACTGTGCCGCAGGTAGGTACTTCGTCCACAGTATTGCAGACATGCTCACTCACGTTTCTTAGGTGGCGCCGCGCGATGACTACATCGTTGTCCGTGAGTGCATTCAAATCGTTCATCGTTGTTGAATATGTTTGACTAACAGTGAATGTAGTGTTTGGCGATTCTGGGAATGCCAGTCCGAACTTCAGCATAGTCTGACGATTGTATCTGGTCATGTATGTTTGGGCTATGGGTGATCAATAAACCGCTAAAGTTGCAAACCCCGTTGGATCCGGATTACTTGCGCGATCAGCGCTTCGACAACTACTAGCCCTTTGCGCACTGCTGGATCTTTTGAAACCACTGACAATACTTTCCAAGTTGGTCTAACAAAATCCGCTCTAGGCTGGTTAGTTCTTGCGCGTTTGACCCCTTGCTTGAATGCCTACACATGATTCAGTATAACCTAGACTTGTTGGACAGTGCCTTGTACGGTGATGACGGTCGCAGGGCACTGTATGAAACATCTGGTCGGTAGAGCCTTCAAGCCGGCTCCGAAACTCCACACACCCCACGACCTGATGTTCGTGAGAATAAGATACCTTTTGCTTTGTCAGCGGAGGAAGAAAAATTTGGAGGTGTCAGAGCAGAGCCACAAGCTCTTTGATAGCAAACCACCACCACCCCCAACACCCCATCTTCGTATCCCATTAGATTCTTCAAATCAGACACTCTTTTTTATCATATTCGAGAAAAGAGTACTAGCTTGAACGACGATAATATGACAAATGGAATTGTAAACGGCAATACTGGCATTGAGAGCCAGTTCGGTACGAGTTTTTGTTCTTATTTTTGACAGCATATTGACCGGAATCCAGCTACTCTTGGGCTCAGCAAGTCCGCTTATGTTCCCCCTCACATGCGGAACACCCAGCGTGCCGCATCTTTCTCATCTTCAAATGGGTACGTCGCCAACGAGTCATTTTACCAGCGCATCGAAGCTAACTTTTCTTAGAAACGACTGGACCGATTCCCGTTCTTCTACCCCACCTCCCGCTCGAGGCGGCTACGGTGGTACTTTTGAAAGAGGTGGACGAGGCAATGCCTTCTCTAGCCCTCGCAGCGCCAGCCATAGTGATTGGGCCTCGCGTGGACCGACTCCGAACGGCAACTCTCCCAGAGACTCACCTGCACCAAGGGAGAGAGAGACGTTTGGCTTTGGCACATGGAGAGATGGCTCCCACATCCCAGGCGGACGCAACATGCGCATGGAAAAAGAGCTCTACGGTGAGCTCAACGACCCCAGCAAGCAACAAACCGGCATAAACTTCGAGAAGTACGACGATATCCCAGTCGAGGCTACTGGTGCTGGTGTCCCAGAGCCGGTCCTCGAATTCTCCAACTCTTCTCTTGATCCCGTCCTCTTAGAAAACATTGGCTACGCTAGATATACTGTTCCCACCCCAGTACAAAAGTACTCTATTCCTATCGTTGCCAACGGGAGAGATTTGATGGCCTGCGCTCAGGTAAGCATATATCTTTGAACTAATTCGTATTATAGCTGACGTATCATGCAGACCGGTTCAGGCAAGACTGCTGGCTTTTTGTTCCCGATCTTGTCTGCCTCCTTCCACAATGGCCCTCGCCCTCTGCCCGATAATGCGAACGCGGGATATGGTCGCTCTCGCAAGGCCTATCCCACTGCCCTCATCCTGGCACCAACTCGTGAGCTTGTCTCCCAGATCCACGAAGAAGCCCGCAAATTTGCGTATCGTTCGTGGGTCAGGCCGGCCGTCGTCTATGGTGGTGCTGATATCAATCAGCAACTCCGGTTGATCGAGCGTGGCTGCGATCTTCTTAGTGCCACCCCCGGACGTCTTGTCGATCTCATCGAGCGCGGGCGCATCAGTCTTGCGAACATCAAGTACCTCGTCCTCGATGAAGCCGATCGCATGCTTGATATGGGTTTCGAGCCTCAGATCAGGCGGATCGTCCAAGGAGAAGACATGCCCGACGTCAACGACCGTCAGACTCTCATGTTCAGTGCCACCTTCCCTCGCGATATCCAAATGCTCGCCAAGGACTTCCTGAAGGATTACGTCTTCCTCAGTGTTGGCCGTGTTGGAAGTACCTCTGAGAACATTACCCAGAAAGTCGAATACGTTGAAGACAATGACAAGCGCAGTGTCCTCCTTGACCTCCTCGCTTCTCAGGCTAAGGCTGAAGACCTCGGCCTTACTCTCGTCTTCGTAGAGACCAAGCGGATGGCCGACATGCTCAGCGATTACTTGATGTCCAACAGACTCCCTGCGACGAGCATCCACGGTGATCGTAGCCAGAGGGAGCGTGAAATGGCTCTCCAGACATTCCGCACAGGCCGTACTCCCATTCTTGTCGCAACTGCCGTCGCCGCCCGTGGCTTGGATATCCCCAACGTTACTCACGTCATCAACTACGACTTGCCTAGCGATATCGACGACTACGTCCATCGCATTGGTAGGACAGGTCGTGCTGGAAATACTGGTATCAGTACAGCATTTTTCAACCGTGGCAACAAAAACATCGTCAGGGAGTTGGTCGAGCTATTGAGAGAGGCTAACCAGGACATTCCACAATGGCTTGAGAGCGTTGCTCAAGAGGCATCCTTCGGCGGTGGAGGCTTCCGTGGCGGCTCTAGCAGAGGCCGTGGGCGCGGACGCGGCGGCGCTTCGAGGGACTTCAGGGCCAGTGGCGGCGGCGGCGGATTCAGCGGCGGCCCTCGATACAACAACGCCAGCAACGGTGGTGGATATGGCGGCGGCCCTGGGGGATACGGCGGTGGAATGAACGGTGGAGGTTACCCTGGCGGCGGAAACAATGGCTGGTGGTAAATCCGCAAACTGTTCGTTTCAGCTACCTCGGTGTCTTCCTATGACCTTCCATGATCCCCAGGCTCAACCCTCTATGCTCACCTATGTTCCCTTCTGACGACTCCTCATGAAGACTTCTCTCTTACTCATCCTTCTCGCTCCATGCGCTGCTCTGAACTGTATTTGAACATCGTCTCGTCTCGTCATCGCCAATGCTTTGCTCCTCCGGCCAACTTTCCCGTCCCATTCAACTCTATCCCGGCCTTGTATTACCGCTTAATCACTCACGTCCAATGTTGTTATACGTTTCATCAAGGCCGCACGCTGCAACTCAGCAAGTTTCGCTAGACGAGCAAAGTCTCCACCTCTCCTAATCATCGGTTTCCGACATCAGTCATCATATTCTGCAACGTTTACATTTTTACCAATCGAGCTTCGCGATACGCAACACAATATCACTGATACCCCAGCACCCTACGATATCCCTTAGATGTATTGCGAACATGTGTGTCAAGATGTGGACGTTATTCGTTATGGACTGATGCATTTACCATACCATACTTTACAACCCTCTTCATAGATTACGATACGAGACAAGTCCTATCTGTTAGTAGAGCATCGCATATTTTACGCCCTTGTATTCTTGAGTCTCATAATCGAACTCTCGGTTTCCATTCCCCAAAGTCTCCTGTCGTCCCGCAGGGGTGGCAAAAAGTGTGCGAAATGAGTCTTTGGCCCGGATATCGGCGTCACGCCAGTGCATCTGCATTCGTGATCTTTACATCCATCACCGTCCCCCGCACCGCAGAATAACATACAAGGAGTGCTATCCTGTTGCGCTGACTCTTGAGGAGGATCTTTGACTCTAAGCTGTTCTTCACATTCATTCAAGCCATAACGTTATATCTGTCACTTCGACCACGTCAGCCCCATCCATTTCAAAGAAAGAAGTGGTCCTTCGATTGACGAAAATTTCAACCGTCAAGCTGGCTTCTGCTGGACTCGGTATGTGGCTCTGACTTCGCTGTATGTGGTTTCTGAGGCTTACACAGCGCATAACTGTCGGTTCTTGCATTTGCGGTGCTATAGCATACGACCCCCTCGATTCCGACAATTTTCCCGAATAATAGATTCTCCCAGGCTAGCATACTGAATATGTACCGCTCATCGTCACCCGTCTTCGATGCGTCCGAGCTTTCTGCTCTCCGACGGGTCAAGCCGCTGCCCAAGCGCCGACGCACGTCTACATCATCTGACGACCCCGCCTCCGAAACCTCCAGCAACGACATTATCCCGCCGCTGATGGAGCATCTTGAGTCCTTGAAGGCGAAGATTGCGATCGGCGCGTCGGTCGACGAGCTGCGGCCGCATGCGGAGTCGCTGACTGCGTATTTGCCCATGGGCGCTGCGGGGGTAGAGGAGAGACTGCTGAGGCAGCTGGAAGAGCGGGACGCTAGGGCTAAGGAGGAGTCTCTCAGTGAGGACGAGCATGGAGACGGGGATTATGTGGACCATCTTCAGCAGCCTGGAAATACGAAGAAGAGGAAGGTACCAGCGCATGTAATTGGTTCGCCCCGCGGGCCGGACCGTGCTTCAGCTCAGGCGGGTGGCGATGATGAGGCAGGGGAGGGGAGCATTGGTGAAGATGGGAACGGAGAGAGGGGAGCAGGCGGTGATGGCCCCTCAACGTTCGCGGTGCCACTTAGCATGTTGGCTCGAAGGCGTGGAAGATTATCAGCAGCGACAGTCGCGGGCCTGAAGCATAAGGAATTGCTGAAAAGTCGGAAGCGTCAATTAGCCGCCGTCCTTGGTGCGCTGTCTGTTGGAGATACCCTTGCTCTGGATCAGGCTCTATCTACGACCTACCCTCTGAACTCGCCGATGTACGATGACCCGAAGGGCACCAGCAAACCCCCACGCATTCGCCTTTCTCAACGGAAGGGACCCAGGCTTGGGAGAGCAGCCAGGCATGCCATGAAGTTCCGACATCCAGACAGTGTCCCCCTTCCAACCTGTCAGTTCACATTCAACTGTCCCAGCGCAAGTGAGTCTTTGGCATCTTTACCTGTTCCCTTTCTTGCCGCCACAATTTGGCTGGGTCTGGATAGGCAGCTGAATTCACCTACTCCCCAAACCGGAGACACAGTTTGTTGACGATTTCGATTGGTTGTTCAGCTGCGGAGCGCCTTGCTGCGACGAAGGAGGAGGTCGCGATGCTGCGCAAGCGGTTCGAGGCTGAGCTGGCGAAGCAAGCTTTGAAGGCGGCGAAGATGGCTGCGACGGAGCGACGCAAAGCATCACCAAACTCCAAGTCGGCACGGTCCAAAAATTCGGAACGAGCACAACGACGCCCTCGGACGTTGAATGCACCACCACCACCGTCTCAGCAAGCGAACGACAAGGGCAGTGATCATGATTCCCTTGGATCTGGAGGTAAATCTAGAAAGTCGAAGAAGAAGAAGCGGTCCGCCCTCGCAAACGCGTCAAACCCGCATCATCTGCGCAACTACGTTCCTTCTCGATTGCCAAATGCAGCCCCGCAAGTGGCGCACAACAATTTCCTGTCTCCTCCTCCTCTTCGTTTCCTTGCTGCCGATGTCCCTCCGCGCCGAAGAAATAAAGAGAACGCCTCGGTTCCTTCGACCCAGATTGCGAATGCTGCCGACGAATGGATTTGCGCGCTATGCGAATATAAGCTATTCTACGGTGACGAGCACGAGTATCGTACGGCCATCAAGAATCGAAAGAAAGTGCTGAAGAGAAGGAGAAGGGCCCGGGAACGTGCTGCTGCTGCGGCGAGCGGGAAAATCAAAGCCAAGGCACCTGAGAAAACAACACTTCTCGAGGAAGAATATGCGGAGTTCGATCCGTCCATGCCTGAGGAGTTTTCCAACAGTCTCAACCCCCGGTCGCCTTCTTGGAAGGGGGATCCGAACAGACAGGCTGAACGAGTAGAGCGTCAGGATCCAGTGAGGGTATAGACCCCGTTTTACCTCATGATCTTTTAATGCATAATGCATCACCTGTCCCCCTCGTACCTACATTCTCCCGCACGCATTCTTTATAAGAGTGGTTATTTGCTAGTCATTCACACACACGCCTCTACATGTACACCACAATCGGATTCTAATCTAGTCGTTCCTTCCTAGAGTACAGATCCATGGTGCGAGATTCAAGAAGTTTGCCCCTATTCGGACGACCCATGTGTCCCACTCACCGTTGTTCGGGCCGGCTTCAGTCTTGTTGCCCTCGATGCTGACCTCCTGAGACGAGCACAAAGTCTGAATTCTGGAAAAGAGTGCCCTGCTAGTGTGAGTATCTCTGCGTGCACTTTGCCATCGCTTCTGCCGAGCTGACAATCGTGGATCAAGCAGACAGTTCGTTACGGAACTACGCTGAATTTTGCGAGATTTCGTTTGGGCACGCCCCACTTTACGTTCTACGCAGAACGGTCCCAGTATCAGTGAGTGGGCTTATCCGTGATGCTTTCGTGGCTTGGCATGAGGACGGATGGCTTCGCTGAAGCCGATATCCGTCTCTCGTTCACAGTCACGGACTGCACGCGGTGGAGGATTTGAGCTAACTTTGTGGCCCGTTTGCAGTCCCTCGCCTCGACGAAGTCGCTGCTTACTCAAGCAGACACGCCCTGAGGGTACTGGCGGCGAAATAAAGGCTGGACGAGTCGCTGCTTAATTTACGCCACAATCATGTCTTCAGACAATCGATTCATGTATTCCCAACCGCAGCCCCAGGCGATTGCGACCAATTACGACTACTCGAGCTATCCCCCGCCCACACACGCTGCAGCTCCGTACGAAAACGGCCAGATACACCCGTCGCAGCAGAGGCCGCCCTTGCGTTCTACGTCTTCGTCGCAGCCTCACTCGCCGACGCAGCCCACTCATTTTCACCAGCCACAACCACAACCCACGTACTCTAATCAGAGTCAGACATACGCACCTGCTCCCTACATTTCTCAGTCTCAGTCTCAATGGACGGCTCAGGGATGGTCCTACAGCCCTGTCTACCCCCCACAACAACCGCCCCCGCCTTCGGAACCGTCGTACAAATCCGAGCCTCAGTATAATGGCTCGCCAACGAGTCGAATGGATACACGAATGGATGCGCGAATGGATACGCGAATGGATACACGAATGGATACTCGACCAAGTTCACCGCCTGAACAACGAGGTTATGCCCCTCCTCCTCCTCCTCCCAATCCAAACCCTCCCAGGGTCACTGAAGACAGACCGCCGCCGCCCCCTCACCACGCTCATCATTCGTCTCAACCGCCACCTCCGCATCAGCCAAATCATCAACCGCCTCATCAACCTCCGCATCAACCTTCTCACCAACATTCTCAGCAGCAGCATCAACCACCGCTGCCACAGCACCATCTGCCGCATCCTCCACCAGCTCAGCATCAGCAACACCAAAACCATCAACAACATCCTCACCAACCACATCACCAGCCTCCCGCCCATGTGTCCCAACCCCCGCCAAGCCATGCAGGACTTCCGCCCAAAAGGCTCAGAGAAATGGACTCACCTCCCATGGCTTCGGCGCCTATGCCCCCTCCACCTATTACACCAATGGGTCCTCCACCCCATGGCCTCGATTTTAGAAAGGTAGGTATTAAAATAATGGCCGAATCAGATACTCACTAATTCGTACCCATTCTGCAGCTGTTCGAGTCGTATGAGCTTATCATCCGTACCGGTGACTCTCTTTCAAGGAGCTCTGCACCTGGCCGTCCTTTCCCCTTGGATGCTATTGACGAGATGCTACAGTCTGCCACGTATGGCGTGCAGATCTTCGAATCAACATCAAACCTTCCCGCTTCTCCCGCCCTCAGCGAGGTCCGCCCACCATCGGAGGAACAGCCTCCCCCAGAACCACAGCAGCCACCGCAGGAGCCAACAACCAATGGAACCACGCCAGCGGCAAAAAAGCAGGTACGGTGGAGGAATATCGGGCCGTCGACGCGTTTACTGACGGTGCACAGAAGACGGAGGAACCCTCCCAAGACGGGCAAACATGCTTGGGATGCAAAGCTACCTCAACACCGGAGTGGCGTCGGGGCCCCATGGGTAAGGCCAATCGTCTCTCGCATTGATAGGACCTTGTCGCTTATCAATTGCGGGTACGCTAAGGTCCGCGTACTTTGTGCAATGCTTGTGGTCTGGTTTATGCCAAGATGGTATGCTCTACCATTTAAGTACATCTCGAATGCCTAGCTAACTCCGAGCCAATGGTAATAGATAAAGAAGCGCACTCGTGAAAGCCTCCGAGCTAACGGAAAGACCAACGGTCAGAACGGAGCAGCATTCAATGGTAACGGCGATGATGGCGCGTCCAACGGGGAGGAAGAGAGCGACAACGAATCCTATGCCTCTCAGGACCACAAGGATGCGTAATCTCTTCAAGCTCAGGCCCCAGGGCGCCGGCTGCCTTCTAGATCGTGAGATTGTGTGTAAGAATCCTTGATGATGCTCTCAGTATATTCGCTTAGGCTAGCTATCGTAGAGCGTTGACGTTGTGTTGTTTAGTACTCGCTTTGAGTTTCGGGTTGCTCGTATTTAAACCAGATGCCAGCATTTAGTATCTTAGTATCTTATTTCTGGTCGCTATAGATGTCATGTATCTTCGTGTATGTCTCGCCTACTCGCATTGTACAGCCTGAAGCTCGAGTTCTGCGCTTGGTGTCATCGAAATACCAACACAGCAAGAGGGCATGTGGATGTCGCATTGGGGGTACCTTTGATACTTCGGCGAATCCAATTTTACGTAGCAGTCCGTAGACTGTAGTATTCACTCTGCGAAACTGACTAGTCCACCCTTTCTTTAACCTGCCAGTACTATTGCGGTGGAGGTAAGTAGTCGGTCTCGTATATAAGATGGATCCGTTACACATGAACGATGCTAGAGTTCAAACTATCGGAATCCCCGACGTGGATCGCCACAACCAATCGGCCTCCAATACGGCTGCATCCTGTGGGAAAACCTCCTTCATCATCCCGTACCAGCCATCCTCGTCCTCTTCGATTTCAAAAGTCAGCCAGGTAGCCTTCAGGGCCTCCCACGATGACGGCATCCAGCCCGCGTACTCCCAGTCAATCAAGACCAATGGTCCCGCAGATCCTGATCGCCACATCTCCAGTCCCCCAGGTAACATTATGTTCTTGGGAAGTATATCTCCGTGACAAAACACGATATCGACGTCCTGCCGTTCCACCAGCGGGAGTATAGCAGGACGGAGGGTATCTGCGTGGCGCGGGAAGTCCAGACCGAGCCAAACTTGCTCGAAGAACTCCCGTGAGGAATAAATGATTCGCGGGTCGTCTTCCCAAAGCCAAGGGATACGCGGGTCACGGATTGGTGTTTCCATCGCAGAAGACATGGCGGGGTGGCGATTCTTTGTCTGCTCTTGTAAATCATTAAGTCGCATCCTCAATTCAGCGACGATCTTGTCTTTGTCAGAGGGGGTGAGACTCTCCCATATGTCCGCAGCGCAAACGCCGTTAATCCGGGTCATCAGAACGTACGTCATGTCTGAGGCTTCCACATAGTCGATGAGCCGGGGGGCCTCCACACCCCGGAATGACTCGACGATACGGAGAGCTTGGGCCTCATTGGGATTCGGGTAGCTTGAAGTCTTCATGATGATGTTAAAGGGAAGGCGGTAGACGTTGTACTGGATCTGGCAACCACAGAAGGCGGATATCCTGGTGGCTAGTTTGAATAGTCTAGCCTTGAAGCCTCCGGGCAAGAGAGAGAGGATGGTCTTGACGAGTCGCCCTGCCGGCATCGCTATAGGGAATTCCGTCAAGTGTCTGATTCCTCGTATAAAGTGTCACGGACAGTACCTGGTACAATGACAGTGGAATTTTAAATGTGGGCAGACGGAGGACGCTTTTACGTGAATGGTAGTGGACACACCGCGGTATACACATACACAACGGCCTGAAAGTAGACTAGTCAGCGCCCTCAGGCTGTCAGATCTCAGTGGCAGACGCTGAGGCGCGACCGGGGGCCACAATCCCGCAAGCATGTCAGTATGAACAGTGGCGCGACTATCACGTGATCGTTAGAAGGAGTCACTGACTTTAACTTGGAACGGATTAGCGCCCCATTGACTAGTAGTTGACTGTCCATCCAGCTCGGCTGTAGGGCTCCAGGGTCCGTATCAAGGTCAACGACTCGAATGATCACCAAGTATACGTAGTTTCCTGCAGCCTGCGCTGCCCAACCTACGCGCTAAAATCTTCCTCGCATTCTTCACGGCCGACGTCTCGTAGAACAACTACCGCGACATTACCAGCACCCGACTGACAGGAGTACATCGTGTTTACCGGCACTCCTATGTACGGTGCACAGACGACAGACCCGATGGAAAACAATACCACAGAGAAAGAGGGGGATAGATTGAGAACGACACTATCCCGAAGTATTCATGAAAAAACAAGCTTTCACAGTACTGACAGTAATCGCACTCACCTTGACGAACCCTCTATAGGAGCATCGCATGGAAAGATGTGATACTGCGACTCAAGTCTACAAGGCACGAACGGCCACAACGACGCACGCGAAGGAGCATGCGCGAGACCATCTGCCCAAACATTAGATATTCCAACAGACGCTCCTTTACGGATGTCTTTATCATGAACTATATATATATACTACTGTTCATGTTGTTATTGTTAGTCATTGATATTTTGCCTTGCTATCTTCCACTTTTATCCATTTCTTGTTGAGTGAACCGTCGACAGCGTTTGCGTTTCGATCACATTCTTTTCAGGTCGCAATAGTCGAGTATTGTACTGTGGGTATGACGGACGCCCACCGAATACGACCTCAGGCGAAGGCAAAAGACTTAGGTGAATATCGTTGACATTTATACTGTCTTACAACTTTGTACAGCCTGTGCGGTGATATTGTCTGGAGCATATGGGAGGCCTCTTCAGTTTCAACGTCAGGACCAAGTCAAATCTAGGACGTTTGACCATCCGTCGTCGTTGGAAAAATAAATTCCGGTCATCTGGAAATGAGTCTTGCATCATGTATAATCAGGCTCCTGGGTCCGCATTATGATATTTTTGTCGCTCACAGTATCGTCATCAGAAGTGCATCGCCAGGCATTGGACTTGAAGGCTCTGAAAGCGGCCTCGAACTTGGATTCTACAGAATGTCTCCATCAATAATCCCCACCAGTTAGGAAGCAAGATTGTTACATACTGAATGTAGGTTTACCGACGCTAGATGAGAAAACGGACAGGCCGTTGATTGGTACGTTATCGGCTGGCAAGTATTCCTTGGGGGTGATGTCGCTGAGTGAAATCGCGGAAGCGCAATCTTGATAAAAGAACTTACTCGGACAATCCAGTGTTTCCACCCTTCACGGGTAACTTCCTCGTACACGCCGGGTTCCCACCAAGTGTTGGTGTTGAAGTTTGGATCAGACCAATGGTCCTTTAACCGCACCGTCAATCAGTCGTACAGGTTCGATGCCAACGATCCGCACATAATAATCCTTGTAGTCGACGGAGTAATCGACCCCCGTGGAATCCTGTAGCCCGTGTAATTGGAACCTGTCCAAGCTAAAGTCGGTCGAGTATTGAGCACTAAATGTGTATTGCTCGTTCCCGTTGTTATTGAACATCTGCATGTCTTGCTCGAAGTCGATAGAATCTGTACAAATCCAATCAACAACCCTCGTATCGTCGTAGAGTGAACATACAGCTATAGGTGGTACCAGACTGCGAAACCACGCCGCGCGGTTGGTATGACACTAGTTTCATCGAAGGGTCGGCGTGGCTCCCTGTCTGGTTCCAATCGACGAAGTAGTATCCACAGTACCCGCTGGTGGGACCGAGATATCGCGGGGCACCGTTGGAGGAACGCAGCAGGCTGCCGCGGTCGATGGCCACAGTATAGACGACACCCCCTGCACCGGTAAACTCAGACGAACTCATGCCCCTGCAGTCGACCCCCGTGGCGTATGCGTAAAAGTCCGTGTACCAGTTCAAGTCATACTTCTGAATCAAGGACGGATCGGAAGTCTCGACACCGTATTGGCCGTCCGAACGCCAGGCTAGCCAAGTGATCGAAATACGTGCGGTATTATCGAGGACGCCCCTGCGACGCGGTGGTTAGTAGGGATTGAAGAATCAGAGACGACGGTTTACTTTTTGAAACCAATGACCCCGCTAGGCGGATCAAGCACAGACGCCATGGGTTTCATGCTCTGTACTGTGGCCACAGCGTACGAGATGGACGTTATTGCTTGCTCGTCAGGTTCAACGGCTGCCAAAGACACTGAGAAGGATCCCTTTTCAGGCAGCTTTGCGTCTTTGCCCACAGCATTCCGCGCTATCTCCTGGACCTTGGCTTTGCTAGGAACGTTGTTCGGGGCAATATGAACCAGGTCGTTCACCCTGAGGCACGGTAAGATGTCTGCGCATTGTCAAGAAATGACGACGGTGCGTACGTGTACACCAGGAGAGGCAGCCCTTTGGGCACCTCCAGACTTGGGATATCGATGGGCGTCTTGGTGACCTTGTGGATAGTCTCCAAGAACGCGCGACTGGGCGCAAAGAAAGCGAGAACTGTCTTGGATCGCATCCATTGGTCGATTTCTCCTTCGGAGAGGTTGTGATCCTCGCCTGCGATGGCAAGAACCGCAATATGCGTGCCTTTCTTCTTGGGCTGGTGACGGGCGTTAGTGGGGTGCTCGCTAGGTAGAAAACACGGCGACTTACGTCGGGGACGGAGTCGACTTGCTGGACGTCGAAATTGCTAGCGCGTAAGGCTTTCACAAAGGTGCCGGAGTGAGAGCCCACAAGAGCAATTGGGATCTTGGTGAGGTCAGTCATTGTTGCGCAGAGATAGAAGGGCGGGTGCTGAGAGTGAAGTGCAGGGAACGGACGATTCCAGCGTCCTCACTGCCGTGTTATATCCTCCAACGTTGTTCACATGTCCACCTACTTCTCGCAGTATTCTGATTGAGAGTCAAACTGTGGTCATGCTGTTACCGTAGAGGAACATGTTTCTATAAAGAAGTCCCCATCCAGAGTGATTACTCTAGAAGTAAGATCGTTAAACTCGTACCCCACACGAGATTCAACCAAGTGACTCGCCTGTATGAAAGCTAGCTACGAACGTGTGCCTGCTGTGTAGTCAACGTGGACAGCAGAATCGTTTGTGAACCTTGGACTGGCTTTCGAAGGAGACCAGCATCGTTCACATGAATCAATGGAACGGTTCTGTTCTCAAAGTCGAAGTCAAATTCCAAGCTCAGTAGATGCTCGGGCGTCACCTGCGAGACGTATCCTAATCTCGAGTAGAGCGCTGGTTCGAGAGCCTAGCGACGATCATCCAAAGTTGGGCGGGCGCCAAATTTGAGTCTCCCTTTTTCTGACACTCCTCGACTCAAAGGCGACGACGACGACAGCATATCCGTTTCGCGAAACAGCCGCTCACATTTGTGTTTGCCTCTACGCGGCTCCCGAAAGGTCGCGTTATCCGCTAATGGCCCGTTCTGCCGCCCCGAACCCTACCACCCGAAGCTCGTATCGATGTGTTTTTGCTACGCATGTTTCTTTCGAGAAATGGGATCATCTACCATCGACTCTACGTTCCATGTAGCTCTTGAAGGAACTGCGGGGTGTTGTGGCCATGGGGCCATCCTGGTACACCATCCTTGTGCGTCGGCCACACTTTTTTTGCTTGGAAAACATGCGTCTGCCGAAGCCGGAGAATGCGAGTAGAGACTTAACATCATTTGTAAAATATTCTGGAATTTACCTCCGTTGAATTCATACTTGGTTGACAAAAGCTTCTGGCTAGGATGCACCTGATGTTCACATCACTGAGTGCAGCTCGACGATTGATTCTCAGTTCATGGCTGTAAATCGCATACAGATGTATAGCTTGGTTAGGCCTGACACCTGCTCATCGCCTTTCATAGGCAGAGCCAATAGTAAGGGGCGCCATAGGAACTCGATAACGGTGAGCGAGTTGTTTCATTTACATAGTAAGAGACGACCTAACTGGCGGCGTAACTCGATCATAGAAATATGTATCTGAGCCTCAAGGCGTTCGCTCTGGCGTTGTTCTTTTAGGATCCTGTAAACCCTCAATCTGACTTCAGGTCGTTCTCAAGCGCCAATTGCCCCACTGTCTGTCAGAGAGCCCCCTCCCCCCCGAGAGACCTTCATCAAGCCTGCTGAAGGTAATGGGAACGCGTACACAACGTGCGTTACCTTTCTTGCGCACTCGAACGGAACTCTCACGTCGCTCCAGCAAGTTAGTCGATTCCAGTCGGTCAAAGGTGATAATCCCGTTCCTTCGGGTCCCCCTCATGCTGATGGATCCTGTACGCGTTCTATTGTACCTGCAGGAGAGGCGTCTCACCTGCCAAAGATACGGGCAAAGCAATGGAGGTGGCAAGGGGGTGGCAAGGGGGTGGCCAAAGCTCGCCATCACGTGACCTCCTATATCCTCAGGAGTGCGCAATTTAAGAACTAGACTTCTTGCCACAATTCTTCTTCACATCCCCTGCTTATCACTCGCCCACAACATGCTCTCTCTATCTATGGAGAGCATAACTGCGACTGCGCAATCCCTTATCAAATCTGCTATCTACAAGGCGGTCTCTGTGACCGTAAAGCTCCTCGCTCCTCAACTCGGTTGCAATTCGCCGGAAATCGTCGACTGCACCAAATCATATCTCCCATTCACCAGAATTCCTCTCTCACTCATCGGCCACATTTTATCTGCTCAGCGCTCCGACCCCGCATTTACCCAACGATGGCTCGCTCTACAATTCCCTACACCAGCTACGAAGACCACCTATGTTCAAATGTCACCGTCCCAAACCTCACATTCTATTGACTATAAAGCTGCCATAGCTGGTGGTCTTCTTCTTGAAATGGGACTATTGGTGGTGTTTACGGTCTGCATCCTAGCGGCTCGTGCTACCCTCCGCCGCTCTACCCTTCGCGCATCTTCTAGGCGTGTGGCAGAACGTCCAGTAGTGCGAGGAAGTTCTTTGGGCGCACGGGTCGCTATCTCGTATTTCCGTTGGATGACAATCGCTCGATTCCTTCTCTTCGTCGTCTTCCCCGCCGTTCCTCTGCTCATTGTAACTCGAATAATTCGAGGATGCATCCGCATAACTCGTGTGACGTGCTTCACCTTCGTGCCATACATACTCATCCAGTTGGCGGCCTTTCTATACAATGCGTGGTCGACTCTCGTATCTGTCTACAATGCCGCACTTTCCCTTGCTATGGATTCCTGTGTCGCTATATGGCATTCACAAGCACTTGGCACCCTCCTCGATGCGACGTCCTGCTGTGCAAAGTTCGCCATAAACTATCAGCACAAGTCTACTCTTGCCCTCGTTGCTACTGCATTGGCCAGACTCATCCCCGACGAGGCGGACTTCGCGACATCGTACCTCTTTTACCACCCTTTTGGGAGCTTCCTTCACCCTACCGTGCTCGCTAACGTGGTCATCCTCCTGCAAGCTATCATCTACTTGCTCCCATCTACACCTTTCTACATTGCGTTCTCCGATGTCGTGGTCGCACGCGTTCAATGCGAACTCGCAACGGCCCTGCCTATTCTTGACCAGCTCGCTCGCCATTATGGGGATCGCGCGCGTCAAGGTCTTCTTGCTCACTGCGCGGACCTCGCCACGCTTTCGCAGACGTACACTCTGATCGTCTCGCATCGTGTCTTCCAGACTTACTTACGGCCTCTACACAACGCGCTCGTGGCGCACTATCATCATCGCATCGAAAGCGCCCAAATTTCATTCTTCTCGTATATCGGCGCATTGACCGTCAAGGAAGAGCTACCGGCCATCCCCCGTTTCCCCGCGAAGGAGGTGCGCGAAATTAAATACGCGGTCTCGCTTGGCGAACGATTGGGGTCTGGTGCATTCGGTTCCGTGTATAAGGCCACTTCTGACAAACTTCCTGGAACCTTGGCGGTCAAAGTATGCGTCAAGAAGAAGTTCATTACTCAGGAGCGACTCTGGCTGGAAGCCAGTATATTGGCGACCATGGGCGGTCACTACAAATCCTTCCCCGAACTTCACGGCTACTATGAAGGCAACTTCGCTTTCAACTTCGTCATGGTGAGTGATACGCCGTTGCTTTTGTTGCATTTTTTAATCACTACTTGCATTTTACTAGAGAGGATACACAGGCGGAACTCTAGAGTCCCGCGTCATGGAAGGCCGTCTTGATATGTCTCGTATACAGCACCTGTCTGCTCAACTCGTAAGTTCAATGCATCCTTCTGCCTATTTTCGCTCACCAATACCCCCCGGAATAGCTTCTTGCTATCCATTTCCTTCACTGCCAAGGTATCATCCATCGCGACATCAAGCCTCCCAATGTACTCCTCGACGGTGACGATAGAATTGTTCTCACCGACTTCGGTGTCTCCCATTGGTTTCCAGAATGCTACGACCAAGATTGGATGGCCTTGAGAGCCTCGTCGCATTACGACTTCCCTCCTCTGAACCCATATCCCGGACACCCCCATCTTATGAGCCCCCTCAACGACAGCGGGTGCACACCAAATTACGCCGCTCCTGAAGTTCGTCTGGGATTGTCTTATTCGTACGGCATTGATTTCTGGAGCTTTGGTGCTACACTTCATTGGATATTCACTGGAAAGGTCAGTCTTACCTCTTCATTCTATCGTGGCGCTTATTTATGCTTTCATTCTTCTCTAGGACCCTGTTGTTGACCCGAAACACGACCTCGTTATCGTGTCGCGACAAAACACGGATCCTACGCGATTCCCAGTGGTCGCCCACAGGTTCTTAGAGCGCGTAAGTCTCCCTCACTTCTGGATTTAGACACCTTGCTGAACGACGCTATATATCCATCAGATCTTGGACTTCAACCCCCGTCTCCGCCTCCGCCTTTCAGCGATGATGAACGACGAGTTCTTCACTGGAATGTGGGTGTTCCGGCCTCGTAGTTCCTCACAAGCTATAATTAATGCTTGTTGTGTAGAGATTGGGAACAACTCGGGCACAGTATGACCCGAGAAATCCCTTCCACCGCTTGAAAACGTCTGTTCGGCTTTTATTACACTCCCTCCCTTCTCTTTCACACTCACGCCCCGCCAAATTTCTCCTCCTTTCTCTCTTTTTCCTTCTCTTTCCCTTCCTTTTTCAGAAAACAAAAAAAGAATAAAAAAAAAGAAATATAAAAAGAAGAAAAAACACAAAAACATTAAAAACGTCACTCTCGTCTGTAGCTACTTTTATACCTTTCTCCTTCTCCTTCTCCTTTGGACATCGCTTGTACAATATCCTCTACCGTATCGAACACCCTCTCAGTACCTACTGTATATACATTCTTCTTTTCTCTTTTCTTACCCCTCAGCCCACCCCCTCCTTCTCCTCTCCTTTCCTCACCACCCTACCACCACCGCCACGCACCGCTACTTACCTCACATCCTCCGACCATGCACCACCTATCGGCAGCTCGACTATCTTAAAGGCCTCAATTATGATGCAGCAAATATCCCCAACTGCATCTGAAAGGGCGCGTCAGGCGACGACGCGTCCAGATATCGCAAACGCCCTCAGATACAAATGATTCACCTCTGAGGGTGACTTTGCCCTTTATACGTGCTCTGTGATCCTCAAGGTTAGTACTACTCTTAGTGCTCACTTCCGCGTCTAACCTGCTCGTAGAAAGTACCCAGGATCATAACGCTCGCTGTCAGCCACTTGTGTTCATCCCCCCATCCCCCATTCCGTCATTCGGGGACTATCGTGCTCCAACCCCCCACGAGCGCACCCCGCGCAGATATTGTGCGTCTAATCGACGCTGCGAAGATATTCGGTCATAACGCTGCACCGCTAAACAATCTTGGGAGCACTTCCCTCGGTGCAGCTGGTTGACAGTTGACGCGCCCTCTGTTTGGTTTCCTCGTGAGTGCCCCGCAAACTACTTCTTTCCTTGACCTAATATATTCATTCCTCAGAAACGGATTATACGAACAGACTATGCCGAACGGTTCAGGCCTCCTTCCCAAGGGAGCCTGGGTCGAAGGCAATTATGCTGGCACGCGTAGTCAAACACTAAACATAAAACATGCAACCCCTTTCCCCGTTGGCGCGTGCCAGCCACATAGTTCTCAAGATAAACTACTCTCAGTTGAACAACAACGGGGAAGGGGAGCAATCAAGAGGGCGACGGTTGTATACCGGGAGGCAGGGAAGAGGGTGCCCTAATGTGGGCGAAGAAGGGAGGAAGGGGCCCGAGGAGGGCAAGGCCGAAGAAGAGGGCGTGCCCCTGGGGCAGGAAGAGGAGGTTTCTTTTTACAGGATTCCGATTGGCGGCTCGACGCGACCCGGCCTGGAAGAATGAATGATTCCAGACATAACGATGGCCCTCGAGTGTTATTCCTTCATGATGGTAAGTTTCGCTGTTTGATTGTAGTATTTTGCGTCTGACAACGAAAATATCTCTCGCAGGAGCGCCAGTCCAACCCGACAGGGGGTAGGAGGACCACCCCTCCTACCCCCTAAGTACTGATCTGTCCACCTTTCAGCTCGTACCTCATGGTCGACGAACTGACTGACGCGCATTGGGCTATACCAATTATTCTGTTTCTTGCTTATTTGCGAATGAATAGAATTGAAACGAAGCAATTGAAAATCCGACAACATAACGATAACAAGATGAGCAGTAATGGTAATATCCATAGTCCGTGATAGGGATATCCGTAAACGAGAAATTGGGAAATCGTCTGTTTAGATATGTAATGCTTGAGGGCAGATGGTCTCGCTAATGCTCTTTCGCGTGCGGCGTATGGCTGTTCGTGCCTTGTAATACTTGAGTCGTAGCATGACATCTGCCCATGCGATGCTCCTATGTAGTTCGTCAAGGCGAGCGCGATTGGTTTCGCTGTGGATGTTTGTCTGTTCGTGGATGCTTCGGGATAGTGTGGTTCTGAATCTATCCCCTGCTGCTTGTGTAGTATTGTTCACTGTCTCGTCGGTAGTCTCTGCGCCGTACATAGGAGTGTCGGGAAACATGGTGTGCTCCCCCCAGTTCTCTGGCAGTGACGGAGTAGTTCTTCGAGACGTTGAACATGATGGGCGGGAGATTAACTTAGACCAATAAGACGGCGAAGAAGATTCCAGCGCATCAGTCGAGGAGGTGTACGACATGGCGGGTGATGATGGTTGTAGTGATAGGTGTGTTATGGGTTACTTGAAGAGTCTAAACCGGTCTTTATCTACTTTCGAGAGCTCCACTTTTACTCGATACCCGACATCCGCGTTCGTTCTGGGCTCTGGAGTAATTCCCTTGAAAGGGGCTTTGGTTGTACGGTTAAGACGATGCGGCTCTACGACGTCCCCCCCCAATAGGAGAAAAGAGCGCTGATTTACCGCCTAGATTCCTCAACTACGCCGGTGAGTAAAACGGCAGTTCAAAAGTACCGAGTATTGAGTTATCGCCCGTCTTGAGGGCAAGCCTCGAAGCTGAGGCGTTTGCCGCTGAGGCTGTCTATAACACCTATACCCACGAACATTCATAATTCTGGAATTAAACTAGTATACATATTATTTTGATGTTATGTTAGCGGCTCGAAATGCATATACAGCATCCCCAGATCCGTAGTTGCACGACGGTAGAGTTCAATAGGGAGCTTAATAGGGGCTCACTGCATTGTTGGATGATGCTCACGTGACCTGAAACCATTCATCTCTGCCACAGTGGGCCTCACCGTCAACATATACCGCGACATTCCTGATGCTCATATGGCAGGGTACAACAGGACTCGCGAGGTAGAAGAACTACTCGCAAGAGCAGAAAACCAGCCCCCTTCGTTTACGGTCCATCTTCATCCGGAATACTGGGCACTCAATAACGGTTCCAAGTTTCTGTACAATAACCATATCGCGGTATGTTGATGCGACGCCCGGGGGACTGTTATCTGACACGGCGAATAGTCCCTGCTTGATGATATTAGAGCACATAGAATACCGGTGGACTTTCTCTCGCTGTTTGACACCGCGCGTGTGCCGTTTTACGATGGTGCGTACCAGCCACACACTTCGGCTGCTCGGTACTGAACGTTTATCGGCATAGGGTGCATGATAGTTGAGCTGCTCGACTACAGACCGCAGAAGAACAAGGATCCGTCGCCCGACAAACCGGATCGCACCCGTGTCGTTCTCCACCCTGATTCCGAGACACTCTGGGCGGACATATGCCTTCTTAACCAGAAACACGAGAATAAATGGACAGACGCGGATGCGCTGGAAGTTGAAGCCCGGATACTTGTAAGTGCCGTCGTGAAGTAGTCAAACCTGAAGTTCACTCTGTTTAGCTTGCAACCGCACCCCCTCTATGCCTTGACCCTAACCCGCATCTTACCCGCATCGCCAACCACATCCTTCGAGTTTCTACACCTACCGTGCCACTGTCGTTGAAGCGTAAGGCCGCCGAGCTGGAGCGCGAAGAGGATGAGGTTGACAAGACACGTCGACACAAACTCATGTCATTCATGAATCCTCGGCCGAACACATCGCACACGCATAAGTATGTCCCGTGCATACGATCTAGTTGTCTCGTAACTTACCTTAACCTCGCGCCATCCCAGCTTCCGTCTACTCGACATTATCCAGCGTCAGAAACAAGAAAAGGAGACAGCAGCAGCAGCAGCCCAATCAAATATGCCTATACCGAACTTATCTATCAACGCTACGCCCGCCTCTGTGCCTAATGGGCAAACATTCGGTCGCCAACAAACGCCCTTGCCCGCCAGTCCTCAGAAACCGCCCACCGCGCTCAAGAAAGATGGGCCGGAGGGGGCGAGAAACTCAAATTCCCCCCACCCCAATTCTGCGACTCAGCAGTCGTATACTCAACCAAACCACGTAGCGCCGTCTCCCAGCGCAGCATCTCCTACGCATCAAGCCTCGCCAGCGAACGGACCATATACCAACGGCGTAGATGTCACCCAGAGAACGTCCACCCCTGCTCAGTATGCACAACCTCCGCCTCCGCAACAACCCACACCCATCCCCCGCCCTCCCTCATCGCAGCCCACACAACCCACACAACCTACACAACCCCCGCGCCCCCAGTCTCGGCCTCCGTCGCAGCCTCAACAAGGGAACAGACCTACGCAGCCAATGCAATACCCCGCTGGTACCGCTGGGCACTTTATCCAATCGCAGTCGCCCGCGCTACGCAGCGCACAAGCAAACACGCCTACACCCCAGCCGCCGCCTTCCGTTCAGGCCCAGGCCCAAGCTAACGCTCAACTCATGTACCAGATGCAGCAGATGCAGCAGCAGCAGCATCATTATCAGGCGAGATTAGCCGCTCAACAGCAGCAACAGGGTGGACGATCAACTCCGCAAGCTGCAAACGGACAGGCTACCGCCGCCGCTGCCGCCGCCGCTCGCGCGAGCCCTCATATTGCCAATCAACAATTGGCAGCTACTCGATCGCCGATGCCGCAGCCTGCGCAACAGGTACAAATGCAGCAGCAATTGGCCCAGTATCCACATCTACTGCGCCAGAACCCTGCTCTTGTACTTGCCGCTGCTGGTGGTGCGCGCGCATCGACGTCTCCCCTTCCTCCCGGCGCCGTCCAACAGCAGCATCAGCAGCAACATCAACAGCAGCACCTCCAAGTCCCTCAAGCGGGCCAAGCAGTGGTAAATGGTCAGCAACAACAGCAGCAGCAGGTCCCGATGGTCGCGTTTTCCATGAATCCGCAGATGTACAATTACGCTCAAATGATGCGTCCGAATATGAATATGCCGTATTGGATGGGGGGAAGGCTGGTCAACGGGATGCCCAACGGTCAGCCTATGGCTATGCCTCAGGGAATGGCAGCACCGAATGGAAGCAACCCTCAGGCCCTTGGCGTAGGGAAGCCTGGTGCCGGGCAGGCGCGATAACAGACCGTGCTGGGAGAGACAATCGTTGTATTATATTGGCCCTCACTTATTGTACCGTGTATTTATTTGTACCATGGAGGAAATCATTAATCGTTAAGCCCTCGACGGGGGGTTCGTTCGTACACTTAGATTAGCTTAGGATATCTTGAGTAAAGTTGTGTGGTCTAGGATGGCATAGAATATTGTCGACCAGTCTACGAAATAGCACCCCCGGATGCTCTCTTCCTTCTCCTCAAGTTCTCCGCTGCAATTCTTTGAACGTCTCTATCCAATCGCTCCTTCGCCTGCTCCCACCCACCCTCTGACTTCCACGCCTCGGGATTCTTCAGGTTCCACCCTAGCTGCCGTTTCATCTTCCCCACATACCCCACTTCACTGGCACTGCTCCGCACCACCTTATCTCTCAGTCTCTGCGTCTCCGTCATAGCAGCGAGCACATGGGCAGGGGGGCCTTTGGCCTTCCGCCTGATAGTACACGGCAGAATCTCCCCGCGGGCCTCGCGCGCGCGTTCCCGGATTTTGTTCGCGATTTTGTCGCGGCGGGCCTGCATGATGGCTTCTTTCAGCGCTGTGGAGATGGGTGTCTGGCTCCGCTCTGTATCGAGGTCAAACCCCCTGTGGAGGTCGGCTCGGACGCTGTAGAGGGGGCCGTCTGCCAGAGAAGGTGAACACCAAGACAGTCAGGGTATGGGAAGGGGGAAGGCTACGCACCCCAGTCCTTCCCGTCGGGACCGGTATACACGGGGTCGAAGGAGGCTGTTGCGTGTTTCTTCAGCCCGTCCTCGAATTCACGCTCGCGGCGCAGATCGTCGATCCATTCGTTGACCGCCATCAGCTTCAGCGCCCGTCGTTCTCTCGCGGCGCGGCGGCGCTTGATCATCATGGTTATAGCGAGGGGCTGGGGCTTCAGACGCGGAAGCGGGCGGTTGGACAGTGTAGCACGGAGGAAGGACCCGGTCAGCATAGGGCGGTTTTTTAAGCGTTTCTGCCAGGCCTGATTGGGGGACGTCAGAGGGCAGTTCGCTGAGTGTAGGTAATAACTCGCCAGTTCTTCCCGCAGCATGTTCTCCAATCTCAGTCTGTCCCGTCTGGTTTTAAGGAGCCGGTCGTACCTCGACAATACGGCCTGCATTCGCGCGTCCCCCTCGTAGGCTGCTTGAAACGCATCCCGCCACTACGTCGACGGTCACCTGTCTTGGTTCGTGCAACGGAGCGCGATGACATACCTGGTGACCTTGACGCAGTTTCGCCCGCGTGGCTTCCGTGCCAGTCAAGTGCTGGTTCTGCCGAAAGAGCTCCCTCACGCGACATCTGATCTTGAGTTCGCCAATAAGAGGGGAGCAAGCGATCGTTGGGACAGCTCACCACTTCGCTGGGGGCATGACGAAGCAACCCCCGGTAGAGACCCCAGAGAGTGGGTATTCTGTGCGCGCCGAGCTTCCAGAATGGCACGCGCGCGCGGACGCGGCGCAAAGGAGAGACGAGACTCGCGATTTTCTGTCGAAATGCAAGTGATTTGGACAAGGCTGACATCCGGAAGTAGTTGTTGCCGTTTTCGGAAGAGTTTGCGATCCGCTCACACGCGAAGAGATGTTACACGCAGAAGCCACGTAACATGTTCAGTGAACGTCTAAGGAGGCACCCGCTGTATCTCTTTCAACCAAGATGAAAATCAATGGGAACAGTGGTCTCTATTGAGCCCCATTATTGGTTTCATGGAAAATAGGACTGTTGATGGAATTAATATTCCAGCTTCCTACGTAGTCAGCACATGGTGGATAATTGCGTAACAGTTTGTACGAGAACTAGCATACTGTGAGTAAAATGTAATGAGTATGGAGCAAAGAAAGTGCTATTAGTCTATCCAATAGCAATGCTGCGTGGTTAAGTGCAACAGAAGGGGCCATACGACCTCCGGAAGTACAAAGGGGAAGAACTTTGGAACGGTTGACGGCGGAATGGTCAGAGAATGTTGCGACCGAACCCCGGCCGTGACCTCGACCAATTAGAACATAGACTCGTACAGCCCAGCAGGACCTCATTGACACCGGGGGAGGTAGGTGGGGCGATCTCACCAAAGGTCAGCGCGGCCACTCGGTAGCATGGAATACCTATGGGTAACGGGAGCGACACGGAAAGGAAGGGGGAGGACATACCTTCAAAGAAAGCGCTGCGGTGTAGTCGTAGACCATATCCTCGTGGAGTACTGACTGTGGGAAAATTGTACGCCTAATGCGCTCGGCACCCGACGCGGGATCATATACACTTCGCGCTCCACCCATCTCTGCCGCAAACCACCATGTCCCTCACACTCCGAATATGCCGTTCTTCTTGGGCCCGCAATACCAGGCTCAGGACGTCGCACTTCACGCGGTCCCTTTCCTGGTTCTCGTCGCATGCATCACCTCTGGCCGTGTCGTACGCCATAGTGACCCCGCCTCGAATGCTGGTAGCGCGTCCGCCACCTCGACGGACATTCTCTACGAGCAGATCTCTGGCCGAAGCCGCGCCGAAATCTACATTAGACCCTTCGTCAGCAGACTCGGACGTTCTGAAAGCCTTCTCAGAGACTACGTTATTCCGCAAACTTGCCGACGACCCCGAAGCTCTCAGAGAGATGGCAGAATTTGTGAAACTGCTAAAGTCAAAAGGTGTGCAACTTCTGCTATACATACGACGCGTATTTTGAACTGAATGTCGCGCAGGGATTGATCCAACATCCGGTAAAACACTGGGAACAATGCAGATGCTCAAGTTGGTTGCCGACCCCGAATTTAGAGAGGCAGCGAAACGGACGCAGGAGAGGCTGTTGAAGTCGGGCGTAGACTTGAAGTCCCCTGTGAGTCGTCACTCAAAGATACTCGCACATGTGTGGTGCTGAGCACTAGTCCTCATGTAGGAAATTATGGCGGAACTCATGGCACTCAAGAAATCGTGAATAATGCGCATACATATGTATTTATACTAATATACTGCATAATATCTTACTTCGCTATCGCTCACGACTTGGCAACGCGATACCACGGCAGGCGCGGAGGGTGTATCCACAACTATGCGCGCATACAACTATGCCTCGACTTAGTGCTCCCATGGAAGATATCCTCAACTGCAAACGGGGCGTCGACGCACGTAGGAGGATTAAGATATCAACGTTGGAACCTCGTCCGAGCCCTATGGAAAGGATCAAGTTTGAAAGTATAGGACCCTTCGACTCTATTCAACCACGGCATTCCAGTGGATGGCGCAAGGCAGGTCATTTACCAGCGTACTTTATTGCGGCGCAGAAAATCATTGACGCTATGGAATCCAGGTAGTAGCAGGTAACTGTGAAGCATGCACCCGGATGCTCGTCTTCATATCGACTTGAAGTCCAAGATAATCCATGAGACCGATTGGCGAACAGGTGGAATCGTAATAATCGTGAGCGATGAGGCTAGCCGCCCTACCTCACGCCCCTTTCAGGGCGACCTAGACGAGCATCTGAGTTGTCGGTGAGGATGCTAGAGTCGGTGACGCTATCGCGCTGGCAAAGCTCCTTTCTATTTGCATCCCCACACGATTCGGAGCCTCCCTTCCGTGTAGTCCCAATTACATGGCGCCAAGATCGGAACACATTTTTTGACTGAGCGACACTGGTAAGTTACTTGTGGAATCATTGCGGGCAACGATGCTAACTGTCCTGACCCTATGACTCCGTCAGCGCAGAATATTCCTCTGCAGCAACGTTTCTCGTTCGAGTAATGACCCCAGATCCTGCCACCTCTTCATAGGTGAACTTAGATGGCATCTGAGCGAGTCAAGCGCCGCCAGTGCAGAATGTGAGCCGTCGGTGGGGACGCCAGAGTCGATGGCTCTATCCCACGTATTTTGAGCAATTATCAACCGTTCATTGGGTAAAAATATCAGAACCTACAGACAGACTTTAGCGCCGTGAAAACCCTACACTCCAGTTCCTTCGACGTCGGATAAGTTGGCTCAATCCCTGCTGTACGTGCGAAATACGGACGACTGGTGTGCACAAAGTCTCAGCAACACAGCTTAGGTATAACGTATGTGTGCAGTGTATTCTAGCGGGTGATTGGTCTGATTTCAGTCTAACCCATTACAGACAAGCTTTATGACTTTCCCTCGCACGGCCGATGATCAATTTTATGGTAGCACGCTTCTTGCCTCGCTTGTGCATTACGGGGCCACCCCTGCCAAAAGAGTCTCCCTCATCTCCTACCCTAGTCTTCCCCACACTTCGACCTCCAGTTTTTTCAAGTTCACCCTTCCAGTCCCGTCTCTCGGCCGGGGTCTGTCAGTGTGTCGACGATAGAACGTAAGTGCACGCAATCCCTCTCGTAATTCTAGCTCATTGTGCATGCATGCCTCCGTCCAGATAGGTCCATCCTGCAATGCTGTTACTTACTTGGAGGTTCTACGGCCAGCCACCCTTCTCACGACGCTTCAAAAAATGTAACTCCACCCTTCTCAGACCCCGCTGTCGTTCTGATCCTCTCACAGCAAAGTCGCCGAACACGCAGATAGATAGGAGGTGCCTCTCGGTGCGTGGCTGCTTCCGTCGATAAATTAAAATTAACAGATCTTCCTTTCGAGGACGTAGCAGTTGGTTGGGGCGTGCGTGGATGTTCCATTCCTGCGAAGCTCCACGCGCACGTAATCATTGCGAGCATCACGAGCACATCCAGCATGCGGAACGCCCCAGCGTCTCCGGAGGGAGCACGGGAACTCCCAGGCGACGTGGTAAACGTACGGTTACGGTTGGTGCTGGGGCTATTAGCGGATATTAACGGTGTGGAGTCGGAGATGGCTGCATGTGTTGCTAGCAATTATGGCGGACGGGTTTAGCTGCGGGCTGCCGTCGATTCGTCGCTCTCGCCAGGCGTCACACTATTCACGGCGTGCATACGACGTCAAGGCCGGCCAATGGACTCGGGAGGCTCCTTCCACCTGGAGGGCAGCTCGCAGGCGGTTAATGGCATCGCTCGAGGAATCATCGACCCTGCATTCGCTAACTAATTCTCGGTGCAAGTTCGTGGCTGATCCGGTTGGGTTTTCCCCGTCCAGTGCTGCGGTGGTATACTATTAGTCGAGACTGCCGTTTCGGATTCCCTCAAATCGCACCTCCTGCAGCATGTACGAGATCTGTCGCCGATGCCATTATCACACTCCCTATCTTCCCAACAACGAGGATGATCGTACAAGCAGTCGAATAGAGCCAGCCAGCCATTATGTTTATGCGTCGTTATATCCTTACGGGTAATATCCAATTATCAAACTGACAGGATAAATCCAAAGGTGATGATCGGAAGGTGTTTGAACCTTGGTCTGTGGAGCGGCAGACTGAAGCCAGGTAGGACTCAAGTGTTCAATCCCATCGTCGTCAATATTTCGTTCACAATCAATCGTTACAACAGTTTCCAAAATTTACAATCCAATCCTCGTGGTCATACATAAATCATAACAATATTCAGATCACAAATCACCCAGTACACGCGACACCTTCGTGCAAAGACACCGATGAGCTGAGTGAGTTGCAACGGTTGAGCTCGACTAAAGGCAAACAAGCATCAGCATACAGAGCAACAGCGATCAGCGTGGGCGGCAACATACTGAAGCGTAAAACACTTCAAGCGACGACGCAGTACGCGCCTCCGCCATTGCCTCCGCCCTCCTCATTGACGGGGGGCACGGCGACGGTGATGTCCTCGAATTTGGTAGCGGTGAAAGCGTCCATTGGTGATAGGAGGATGGTTCTCGTTGTGAGTGCGAGTGGTAGGCTGCTGGGGTGAGTGACCTGGGTGCCATTGGGGCGCTTGGGCCTCTTTTATGCGGCGGTGAACAAGAGAAGGGGTATTGGATTCTTGAGGCGAACGTCTCAGTGGACAATGGACCGCCCGGGACGATCGGTCTACATTACTTGCATTGCATATTCTCTTGTCGGGTGCGGCTCGCGATGCCCCCGACTATGTCTGCTGACATGAAAATCAAATTATATTGTTCCAGCAATTTGCCCAAAGTACAGGTCTGAAGTCGAAAGTCACGAAATGAAGTACCGATGGTAGGTAGTTGTCATCGAGTACCCCGGCAAAGGCACGAAGGCGTGCAGTTGCGCGCTCCCCCAAAGTCCCCGTACCCTCCTATGTCACCGCGACGACGTACCGTCAGGTTTGGAGTGCTCTTACACGATGCGGTGACGATATACTAGCCGTGATGGTCCGTCTGATTTGTGCTCTACTTTAGAGGAGGTACTGTGTCCTGGATGTTCGGCCGGAGGTTCAGGAAGAGCATCCTGCCGTCCCCACCGTTGTTGGTCCTTCTCTGAATCCATAACATGCGTAGATGAACGTGTTTCGTCGGCTATGAAGCAGTCTTTGGTATCACTTATCTGGCCGTCCAATCCCCAGAGGCGGTAGGAAACCGCGAGCAAGCCGTATAGGGTTACCTGTGACTTGGTTGTAGTGGAGAGTTGACGAGCATTCAATAATCCCTCCCTCTCATCGAGCCGTTGTCTCCACAACCCTAGTCTCTCCAACCGCCCAGCGGTTTCCTGGACCACCAGGCCAATCTCACTATCTGGTTCTCTTTGTTCTACATCACCAATCACCCTTGCGATCAAAATGCGATATACTTCTGAAGGTGTCTGCGTGGGCGTTGGCCATACATCCGGTTCCCAGCTGACTTCTTCAAACGATGGTGCCAATGCTTCGATTCCCGGGTTGAGGCGACTTCCGTTGATGCATCGAACCTTCTTGATCATTCCCCCAAGAGTCGAGCGCATCCTCGCGGCTCTACGCCGTGCTTCAAGGCCAGAAAGACGCGACCCTCGACGCCCGCCCAAGACTACGTCGGTGCCAGGTATTCCTTCGTCTGAGGCCTTGTCCTTGTTGAATCGTCAACGAACCACAGTAGGTCCATCAAGAAGGTTTCCTTCCACAGGCCCCAATGATTTGACCATCCAGTGAACATTACCGAGCGCTTTATCACTCCTGATATCGCCACAAACCGATCGGAGAATTGAGTCAACAAACAAGACGTGTAGAGGGACTGGAGTTGTAGCCAATACTCGTGGCATCTTTCCGGGTTGTCGCGATGTGTATTCAAGGCGAAGAACAATGCCTTGGCCGAAAACTCCTTCACCTCCCCTACGGGCACCATCACCGTTGCAGAGCATTCAACACACTCCCAAGCGAGCCCATTGGACCCATAATACAACGTCCTTGGCCCAAGGATTCGCTCTTGCACAACCCAACCCCGCGTATGAAGGGGCATTACACTGTGAGTAAGTGCTGATCTTAAACTAAGATCAACTGCCTTGTTGCTCTCGACCCACCAGCCAGGAAGAATCCGGCAGTGGCGGAAGAAAAGCGGGTTCCTCGCATTTTCAAAGAAGCAGCCGTCATGGGCATTGCGTGCTGTGAGCGCGGCGATGGTACACACGGAGGTGGCGTAGATTTCTCCCATGACGGCAGAGCATGTGCGCCACTCGGACACTGAGTCTTGTATGATACATAGTGAATCGATCCAGAGATAACGGTACCTGTTGCGATGTTGGGCTAGGCGTTCGAGATCAGGTGGGATGCTGCAGGAATCCTCACCCTAAACGGCGTGTGATGATGACCGCGTCTTGGAACGTTTTTGGTAAGTCTGGCATGGGGATGCCGGTACTCAGTCGAGCGACATTGTCACTCAAAAGCCGGAGGGTTGCAGCCCCCACCCCAGCAATGAATGAGTGTTAAAAACCCCAAGCGCTGAGTGCTTGGTGGTTCGTCAGTATGTACAAGCCTCGGATCCGTACCGTTGTCGTCTCCGACATCGATTAGACGACTGGGACGGCAGTTCGACGTCTTTGACGCTTCCGAGCGACTGTGATGTGCTGTCCAAGGCATTTATGTAGCCATTCTCGCACAAGAGAAAAGGTGGCATTTGACGCAAGGGACCTGGCAATTTGGGCATTCTGGTAGATGTGTTGTATCGCGGGCGGAAACACGAAGCCTGGTCGAGCGTTGGTTTGTCCGCTTAGAGTGCCGCATTCTTCCCAATCATCTTGTGGAACCAGCACAAGTCTCGAATATCAGGGTATTAGCGGAACGGTTCGGATCCCTTTGACCGCTGCTCAGAGTGTAGGTCTATCGAGGTACTCACCGAATGTTGGCACCATGGACATAGCATATGCTCTGACGCGAGTTCCGCTGGATTATTTGCGCCTTTGAGCATTGTGCAGCGAGCTTGGAACTTTAGCCAGAACCGTTGAGGGAATAGCACCAAAGCTGTGCTGAACTGATTTCTTCAAGATTGCTTATCCAAGTTCAATCAGACGCCGTTGCCACTATACACATTTTGCGGTTTACGTTCTCTCTGACTTCATTGTACAATGCAAGTGCAGGGTGACTAGTGGTGCCGCCAGTGTTAGAAGGCGGTCCAAATGCCGAGGGTTGATGTCTGTATGGTCTTCCCTGAACGCTGGAGATAATATGCTATGGCAGATGCAATAGTCATGTTCAGCCGGTAGAAATAACACGTCTACAGAGTGATTCCCCCCATCATCACATGTCATGGCTGCTGGTCGAGCGACGCGGTTGTTGAAGCCGGTATAAGAATCGTCCATAGTATAGAACGTGCCTTGAGGGAAACATGCGCTCTGATGGCGTTGGACGAGCCGATCAGATGTAAGTGGCATAAACGTCGTCTTTGGCTCGAGAGGCATGCGAAGTGGGGCGAACCAGACTTCTCATGGTCTTTCGAAAATGGCGTTGTGACTGTAGGCGGGTCGTTGCTAAAATTCCCAGATTTTACTAGCGTGAGAGGCAGGAATGGCAGGAATGACAGACAGCATGGAGCTGCTTGCTTCCTCGCGATCACCGTTACAGTAGTTGGGGGTATCGATGAGAGGGGCCGGGACAGTCATTCTTCATTCTGGCCAACGTATTTCATTGTACGATCGGTGCTGAGGGTGACATCGTTGCCTACGACAATGGGAGGCATGGGCTCGCGAAAGATGCTTTTGGCGTCGACGAAGACGACGATGCCTTGGAGTTCGCAAGCCAATTCGCAGAGTGAGTGGACGTAGGCAGGTTTGCCTTCGGTAGTGCTTTGCAGCGGCTCCATGACGTCGATCGCATCCCTGCCAACAGAAAAGGCCTCAGAGCGCTTGCCCAGACTTCGCAACGCATTCGCCATCCCAAACAGTATCAGGCTCTCGTGTTGGATCATAATGAAGTCCCCAGGCGGGGCAGCTAAATTCGCTTGCGCTTTGACGTCGTCGATGGATTTAGCTTGCCCTAACGCCTCCCATGGTATACTATACGAAGTCGCATCGTCGGACTCATCTATGGAGGCCCGATCAGTGCTCCTGACCACCTGGAGGGCGTCCTGGAGAGTTGATAGGGCTTCTAACGGCTGTCCGGCTTCGAGGTATCTTGCTCCTAGCGAACGCAAAGCGTATACATAATTGAGCGGGTGATGAACCCCGGGATCCTGGAGAGAACGGAAAGCATCGACGGCCTCCTTGCAGATAATAAGAGCACCCTCCACGTCGTCTCCCATAGTCCAGTTTAAATCCGTGAGCGCGTATCCGAGGTACGGGAGGAAGCGGTGGCCACCAGAGGTCAAACTGAGGGTGCGTAAAAGCTGGACGACGCAGCTGTCGTTGAGAACAGCGTCTTCCATCAGTCCCAGAGCGTGAAGCTCGCATCCAAGCCACAGCATCGACAAGGCGCATTCCAGGGCTCCTAAGAGCTCCAAGCGGCCTTCGAGTAGCTGCGTCACTTCCCAAGCTTTCGCTATCGTTCCCTTGAAAGTCTTCAAAGACTTGAAGACACCCAGCGGGGCCGGGTAAGTGGACGATAAATTTACATCGCCAGGAATACGTGTATCCGCTACTTGGAGGAAATCGTGAGCTTCAAAACTTTCGATGATGGTGCACATCTTCATATGAAGATACTCTCGATCTATATTGTGGAATAACTGATATTGAAAATAAAGATAAGTCGTCAGTTAAACTCGGATGAAGGCCTAGCTGGCGCTTACAGCTGGCTGAGGAACTTTGGCTCGGTCGGGCCCTAGAAACCCTTGTCCGTAGAGCCTATCGAACTGATTGATATTCGCCCTTTGTTGCACCTTCAGAACGAGCACCGTGTGCTCAATACGAGCCGAAGCGAGTGCCGTCTGCGTTGACAGTAACTCCGTGCGGGCTGAAATGACAACCTTTATGCGAGCATGCGTTTAGTCCGTTCGCCCGTTCGCGACAACAAAATCTATGACGTACCGTAAATCGAAGCAAACACGACTGAACTTGCTCCTTCAGGCGAGCAATATCATCCTCCACGTCATCCGCCTTCAACCACTGCTTCAAGCCAAACTTTACTTTTGCAAGGGCGCTATGAGATGGCACGCTGAACGTCTTCTCGCAGCGCGCGTGAACGTTGGAAAGTTGGCTGAAAACAATGCAGAGGATCAGAGCTCAGGTGCACTGCTTGGAGTACGAAGCAATGCAACTGACGAACTTAGCCGATTAAGAGACTGATGGAGCTCGGGGGCACCTCGGAGTGCGTGTTCCCTCGCACTGCAAAGGTCCTGCAAGTCGTACAGCGTTTGCAGTATATCTTCTGAGAGATGGAGAAGTTGCTTTCGATTCTTGCCGACCTACAGCCATTGCAACCAATTAGGAATGCTGTTGTAAACCATCGTAAACATAAACATTGTACTCGCCCTCTCAACCGAACCTTTGATTTTGAGTGCTACGTCGACGAGCGTGAGGACGGCGGTCGTGATTGACAAGGGATCCATGGATGGGGATAGTAACAGCAGTAAAAGAACAGGATAAGGACGGAGCAGTGTAGATCACCGCTATTATATGCCCGCTGCATGAACGAATCGGGCTATGGGGATTGATCATGGGATGCAGGGATGTGCGGAAGTATTTGTCTCCGGCGCTTATTGTAGGCTGGCTGTTGGTTGCTTGTTGCTGCGGACACCATAAACCACGGTCCCTGTCTTCGAGTGTTCTAACATTAAACATGAGCAACAGTAAGTAAGTAGCTAAACCAAATACGGATGAGGACTTCACCTGAGTGTCGTATATATAGCTCTTGACGTTAATCATTGATCAGATCAGTATGATGTTTCCCATCACAGAAAGCCAGGCCTACAAAGAATGCCTTCCAGGCTCCAAACCAACTCTCTAACATGTATGAACGTGGTATCCCTGACGCAATGGGGGAACGCAGCTCCTCTCGTTTCACTACTTATCTTCTCGGTTTAGCTTAACGCCACACGTTGACACGGTTTCCCTGGCATCATCACTTCGACAACCTGTACCACCAGCGGACAGGCCTAACAGACCCTTCAGGTGCGCCAGAGCGCAGCGCTTGTGGCGGTTAGCGCGGTCTCACGGGCATTGCTTTGTTGTTTACACGGATATTATTAGATTGCAACCCTTGCAGATCGCAAGACTGTGAACGAGTCCAAAGGTCTATAATTGCAACGTAGAGCTGGGGCTAGAATACTGGGGCATGTTATTAAACCAAATTAACAGCTGTGGAGATTTCTCACCGAATGGCAATAAGAGTCGAGGCATCAGCATTGGAGCATGGGCTGCGGCTCCTGTAATCGTATGTAGGTACCATAGTATGAACGTATCAAGTCATGAAGACCAAGACATGAGAATGGGATCCATGAGAGCAAACATCGTATCCGGGGTGAGTGGACGAGGACGAAAATGACTTGAAGAGAGATCAGTGCTTGTCCTTCGGGCGTCGACAACATCGGGATCACTAGCATTGAACAAGGTGCGGTCTTCGTCAGCGCGCTCGCTGCCGTTGTGAGTAGTTTCCTCTGGGTACACTAGATCAGAATTGGGAGGGCCGGGAGACGAACCGGGGAGAGAAGGGGGAGTCCAAGCAGCCGCCAACAAGGAGCCTTGGTTGTGGATAGGAACACGAACAGGGGTGGGCGCAGCAATTCTAGCGGCATAACGATCGCTAAGATGTTGGGCCACCCGACGCGCATTCGATACATTCGTTAAGGAAGTACCTGGGGAGTCGGACGGTCCAGAAAGAGGTATTTGTGATTGCTGATGACCCGAATGGGGAACGGCGTTCTGGGGTGCGAGCTTCGGCTCCGATCCAGATATAGGTAGTGATTGAGCGGTTTGGCCGTTGTGAGCTCGTGAAGGCGTAAAGGTATTCGCAAAGTAGGCATGAGGTGGTACGCTCGGGGGTGGCATATAGTCCAAATATCCAGACGAAGGCAAAGATGAAGCTGCTCGAGAGGCCTGATTTTGACGGTCGTAAGGCAGATCAGGAACCTGGTAACTAGCAAGACCTTTGAAAAATATCTGAGGTCAGAGCTAGATGTAAAAGAGCTGTTCGTTACCAACCTCGGGGGGCATTTGGGTGCATATATGCGTCTTGAGGTGGGCGCATCGAAGAGGCCGGGGTCACAGCAGGCTCCAGTGGTACAGATACTTCGTTCGAAAGGGTTTTATGTCTATGTTCAAGTCCAGCTCGACGACCATTCACTACGACGGGTGAAATTGAAGCCCTTGCGCTGGACGCATGGGATCGATTCAAACCACTAGTCGGCTCGATTGGGAAAACAAGAGTACTTTGAGTGGGCAACTTCGACCTTTCAACCGACATGGCCACGGGAATCGATGCAGGCAAGGGCGCCATATGATGGCTATAACGGAACCATTCAGCCTGCGATTTGAGGAACATGGTGGTACGAGTTCAAGAGTAACGACGCGACGCGACGCGCCCACTAAACCCCACTGACTGTGGGAATTTGAATTCACGTGTGGCCCCTGAACGTTTGAACCCCCCCTTATGGAGTAGTCGAGGAGTCCTTTCTCAACTTTTGTCCCGCCGCCGATATAGTTTGCATTAGTGCGGCGGGTCGCCCTTCTAGGGCAAATTGAAGCACATCGTATTTCTTTTCTCGTCCTTTGTCTGACTTATTGACTTATTTGAACCGCCTGACGCCTCAATTCATATAGAGGACGATCGGAACCGTAGTGGAACAAGCACTGTTAATTCAAATCTACAACCACTCCTGCGAACATGGACGTACCACATTACTTAGCCATCTTAAGGCTACGACGACGGATAGAGGAGCACATGCGATAGTATTTTCGCGCCTTTTCCGGGGTGCCAGCGAACCGCCAGCAAACGGCCCACCCGCTTTCGAAGCGATCCGTAGAATACTTCGAAGACGGCGTATTCAGTGGTGCTCAAATATTCACCGTCGTGATAACAGGTTATTCTAAGCCTCCTTTCAATTATACTGATGTAAATCCCCGAGTCGGGAGTGGAGCCTGCATAATATCACACCGGCAGTCTTACTTACGAAGGGGAGGTGCATTGATCAGTGGTCTATGGTCCCACATACACGTATATTGCCTTCGGAAAGTGCACGCTCACCCTATGCCACTGTCGAACACAGACTAATTTATCCTGTATAGGAACTTCGATTCCACGATTATTCCCAAGGCTAGAAGACGGCTAGTACTTTTGCTCGACCCGCTAAGCTAGGTCCCATACGGCTCGGTCAGTCCCAACCCCACCATATTCGGGCAACCTCGACGAAGTATTCCTTACCCAAACGCACCTCGGCGTTCCTATGTCGGTTGACAACCCCCGACTAGACTTGGAGAAAAACACTGCGGGCATTGCCCGAAATCATCGATGGTGATATCGTGATGACACGCGGATAGCATTCAAGTTTTAAACCCCGTATTTCCGACAGCAATATCGAATAGTAAACTCTGAATGTCAACTAAAATAAAATCAGAATAACTCATGCATGAAAATTGTGAATACAGCCATAATAAACTTGAAGGCAGAAATGGTGAGTAAATCAAGAGGAAAATCAGAATCCCCCCCCCGAGGATATCCTGGAAGTATCTTAGATGAAAATCAGACTACCTCGGGTGATTAAAATCTAAATATCTCCAAGCTTTCATCCGGGAGGATATGCTGATGATATCTAGCATATCTTCTTCGGTATTTCCTTCATTTAATCACTGAGATCATATTCTGAATATTAATTAACATACATTCAGAATATCACTCGCCGTTTTTGATCGATCGATCGATATGTATTCCAAGATGTAAGTCTTACAGCAAGAAAAGATTTGTACGTATGAAATCCCGCATTAGAGGGCGAATCTGAGCGGTAGGCAGTGCCCGCGAAGCTCTACGGGACCGCGTTGTGTGCCGTCGTTCCATGCGAATTCGGGGTCATCGTTACCGTCGACGGTTATCGTAGCTCGCAACGATCCGTTGCGATATATATATACGGTCGCGGATAGTTCGAGTAGCGCAGATTCCGACGCGCCTCTGTACTCAGAGTCGTCAGTCGCTGAAGCATGCATATGGCGATCCTTACGTGATAAAGAGAGTGTCTCTCTTCTTGATGCAATTGCCAAAGCGTAGAATCGCGGCGTTGTAAACGTCCATCGCGAGTTTGTGAGTAACGTCTGACGTATAGTATGTTTGGTTGATTGACATGATTCTGTAAGCAAGTGGGGGTTAGAGGAGGCAGAAAAAAGCCGTATGAAAGGCAGGGCGTACCTTGCAGCAACGTTGTTGGTGGTGGTGGTGAGGAGGAGGGAGGTTTGATGGCTCAAAACATTTATTTGTACCTACCTATCGTTTGTAGTACCTACTAGCCATCGCAAATACAAACGAAGACACCCTCTGCGCGTCCATCCCACTCCCAACTCTCCTCGCTTCGTGGACGATCCCACAATTAAAACCTACGCAGCGAACCAACAAAAAGGTGAACACACAAATCAAATTTTTCACTTACTCACTCATGGACCAGGGCGCACGATACCCGAAATCTTTCACTAATTACTCACTCATGGACTCGCTCCACTCACTGTACGCTGTGACGATATGTTATTCTGCTGATCATTCAAGGTGACGCGTCTGCCTATTCCCTCTAAGGTATCGCCGTGTTTCGTTGATAGGCGTCAGCAGCCACGGTGTATCACCGTTCCATAGCGTCGTGGATTGCGTGGTTAATCTTGTTGATCGAGCCGTCGCTGAACCAAAAGTCCCAGAAATGGGTCTTCATCTCCGTAATCAGACTGCGATCCAAGTGGGAGACTGCGTTATACACTGTAGGATACAGTAGCTGTCAGAATACCGCTTCGCGTGGATTACAGGATCGCTCACCTATTAATAGGAAATCCGAGGCCAAATATGCCTGCACATCCAGCATCGAGGACACTTGTGTTTGTATCATCGAATCTGTCGTAGCACTACACGTTCGTGGCGACTTCGACGCGGCCGGCCACCCAGATCCTGCTGATCTTCTCGTCGATAGAACGTCATCCACACGTAGGGGTTCTCGCGAACGGAACCCGTTCGTGACGCTCGCGTAGCCACTATGGTCCCAGAACATCCTACCCCTACCCGCATACCATTAACCCTACGCTCCCCCGCCCCGACCTTCCCCAGAAACCCCATTTCGTCGATATCCTGTTGATCACCCACCGTCGTCGCGCTCATAGGCTGGCCGTTCGCGACTCTGATGGACAAGCGGCACGGGAGTAGCTCGATTCATTGACGCAGAGGCGAGCAATTGAGGCGCTATATGCGTCATTCCTTGCAAGTACGATATCATTTCTTTCGTTGGACGTAACAAGGTGTCCTATTTGCCGTACGTTTCCAACTCGGGGAACGCCGTAGGTGACTTGGATTCGTTACGAGCAAGATGGGGCCGGGGGAGGCGATTCAGAGGGTGCAGGCCTTCGTGTCGTCGTATACCAGGGCTCTCCTAGGCCAATATGCGCGTCGGTTCTTTTCTATGCTTCGGCTGATGGCAAGTTTTCGTGTAGGTTCCTCCGGATCTACCCTCATGCGCTCATTCAAAGCATTGATCGCTTTGGATATTCAACTGCGCGAAAATGAGTACTAGTCTTAAGTGAGGTGACCGCAAATGATAGGGAACGAGAGTGAGCTGTGTTTGTCTCACATGGTGTCCCTTGGAGTGTCTAGCGTCCAACGTGCGATGTCCAGAAGTAAGTCATCCCACACGCTTGTTGTGTCCCCTTCAACTCAGCAAACTCGCCACTGCTGCCTGCTTCCGCTGCGTGCTCCAACGCCCACTCAATCATAGCCACTATCCGCCCTGCCAAAAAGCGCATCGGCCGTCGGCCACATCGTACGCATCATGATCAGCCTTAGATCTAGATTAGGACGTATCTTTCAGTTCAATCGAATGAAGGCAATTGCAATGTCCCGACTCACAGATTACCCTTGATTTTGGTGGGCCGACATCCTTCGCACTTGCAAAATCATGCAGAGTCTAACGAATCACTGAAGGCCGGGAGCTCTAAGCTAATTCCTTTCTCTCTCGCTGCTGCCTAACTTTCAACTGAAGTGAGCATTTCATGATCAGAACCAGCGGAAACCCCACACCGATTTCTAGATAGGTTTTGCTCCAGGCCAAACTAGTATCATTTCTTAAAGGCACATTACATGCGCATGTACAGGAGCGTAAAAGTTGACCATCCAAGAGGGTCCAAGTCTCAAGCTTAAGTACAGCGTTGAACACTGTACTTCTCGAGCCTCGGGGAATGAACGTTAACAACGTTAACGTTGTTTTAAAAGCAGTGACGCCAGCCAATTCCACTGCAGCACGTGCGAGGAGTCAGCAGTGTCACATGATCAATGTAAATTTAGAGCCCATATCAGGAAATCTAAACATTGCAGCTCAGCCTAATTACCTCTAAATAGTTGCAACTATTTATTGTGAGGGAAAAACGTGTTGTCTGCGTTGCAAGTCGAACATGATCATGAGTGGCCAGTACTTCCAGCCCATACCATCCTCTAGACCTTGGTTATTCACCCGACGTTCTCGCGTTACAAAGCTCTCCGTCCAGCTCACATGGTCTGACGTCCGTATCAAGATGTTATATTTGCGGGGGTTCACGACGTTAACTGTGACAGATAGTTTGTGGTCGCCCCAAAAGACGTATCCGACATCAAAATCGCAGCTAGCATTGGAAACACGATGTGGGATCAATGCAGCCATGCAGAGAAAATCTCTACGTACACCGAAACTCTTTGGCCTGGTGTTGTTGAAGTCACCGAAGGGCCTCATAGATCAAAAAAATGGGTCGGTGAGTAATTGCTCTAAACTCGATCACCGGGGCGAAATTTTAAATGTCTAATGCCGTATCAGCATCAGGCGGTTTCATAATAACCCATAGAGACACAGAAGTCATGGTACAGGTTATCCAACCTGTTCCATTAGAGTACTTCCCCAACGAGGTGATACATGGATCATGTGCACTATTCGAAAATAGTATTCAACTACTGCAACAGATCATTCGTAGGACCCTTGAGGAGGCTGGGAGAATTTCCCGAGGTGCAAGTAGAAAGCGGGATGATGAAACGGAACAAACGACACATTGTGACGGAGCACTGCAGTATACCGCATTTTGTAGGAGCTTCCTTTAATGCAATGTCCGCGACTCAATAGATCCGGATTTGTGCATGGTAATTATCCATACTGAGAGAACATCTTTGAACGGTCAACGTATAGATTATTCCCTGAATGACTGCCTGAGCTATAATTATAATATGATCTATCAGTCTGATGATCGCGTAGGGAGTGATAATAGCAAACTCTTACCCGGTCAAGTGGTAATATATGAACAAGTTTCATTCCTGGCGCAGCCTCCATGAAAGTCAACGCGCAGTGC